AATTTGTTTAGTTCCGGCTTGGTCGGTTTTGTTACCAAGCAATCTATGACTGAAGATACCAAGCCGATAAACAGAGATACAAAATTGTCGTGATTTTGCATATTTTTCTCTTCGACACCCACTCTGCAGAGTATTGCAGTTCTCCAAGAGATCTCACGGGTACACAGTCATTTCAAGCACGTGTACCGCGTGCAAACCTCATTTGCCATTCATATGTAGTGCAAAAAATAGGTTTTCACTAAACTGACCTCGCGCATGCAACTGCCATGCTCTGCAGACTGGTTTGAGGCTATTCAAAATCCTTGATAAAGGTTATTTAAATTGCTTTAATTTTGCACATTTTGCTTCGTTTGTCAGCCGATTGAAGAATCTTTGAAAAATGTTGCGAGTTGTGAACATTTGTTTCCTTTTGTAACTAAATTTAACTTACCGTGTTCAATTTTCGCTTGAAAGAATGTAGCAATGAGGATAAAAACGATAATGTTATAAAGACCTTGTTATTATTTTGATTGTTAATGAATACCACTAAGCATGCTTTGGAAGAAGCAAGCTTTCATTGCAATCGTTAATGTACTGTGTTTAATTTCGTAGCTTTGCCGACATTTAACGATGCAGAATCGATGCAAGCTTCTACGACTTTAGTTGAAGGAAGAAACGGGACAATACAATGCGTTGCGAGTAGTCGGCCTGTTTCAACTGTGACGTGGTCATACAACAATGCAACGATCAATGCAACTCAGTCATCAACTACTTCAACTAGTGGTAGTATCATTAAAGCGACGAGCGTTTTGAGGATTAGAAATCCATCTTTGTTACTTAATCGTGAAAAAGTCACTTGCTTTGCATCGCATCAGTTTTCTGCTGCAGTGAATCGCACAACGACCATCAATATTCAATGTTAGTTGATTTAAATATATTTTTGTCGAATAACATTACTTTAATGCTGCTTTGATGTATTTTAATATTGTTTCTTACTTTTTTGCATATCTTTCAATTACATTTGTTAACTAGTCATTTGCAAAATTGCTAAAATGCAAAGCGATAAAACATTCAATAAAGAGCAAAGCAGGATCAATTGGAGTAACTGCTGATTTCTGATACTAAGTTATCAAACTTTCAGTGAATCTGTTTCCCTAGGCTGAGGGATATGTGAAAATTAGTTGAAATTCTGCACCAAACTCATTTTAGTCAAAGTTCTCATTTTTGAATTGTTATCTTGTTTCGCCTTTCGCCTTGTTATTTCTTGTTAACTATGCCAGGGCTCGAAGGTCTATGGGAGCCTGATTCTCAAATCTTGGCACTTCTCAACCTGGAGTGAAGCTCATCCTTAAGCTGACTTTTATTATCTAACATGACCTCTTATGGCACTTTGCTTTTTACCAATTATAAATCCTTATCTATCCCTTGTCTTTATTGTAGATCGCCCAAAGAACACTTCGTTTTCTATGGTACCAGCAATGCCAAAACTAAACCAAAACATAACACTGACATGCAGTGCAATTGGCAAACCAAGTGTCACAAAATACAGATTTTACGTCAACGATAAGTCTATCGGAAATTCAACCAGTGGGTCATTGACTGTAAATGCTAACGACTGCACAATGTATAATGGGAATTACAAATGTGTTCCTGAAAGTAGTATAGGAGATGGAGAAGTTAAGACCCAGTCCGTTGTTATGACAGGTTTGTGTTTGCGTAATTAGTTATACACTGCCTTTCTTGATATCAGTAATAATGCAGCTTCTTGTTGTATTCTTTCTTTTTTCAACAAATTTTATCTTTATTCAAGTAGTAATCATTGTACATCTTAAAGGTTTTTCTTATTCAGACACTAAAGATAGCAAAATTTCCTATTGTCATTGTCGAGTCTTTGATTGTGAAGTCAAGTTGCTTGCAGTTGCTACATGCACGACCGGAATAACCTAATGCAGTAGCGTTATACCTGTATAGAATTAAGAATTAGGATAGAACTTTTTTTTCTTAGCGTTATAATTCGCAAAAAAGTACTTATCTCTGTCTTACTTTTAGTATCTTTTTAAATAGTGGAGTGTTTCAAATGAGTATGATATCCATTCTTTCCTTTCAGATGATATCAAAGTCAATCCAAGAAAATCTGCGCTAGTAGCCAATGAAACACAAAATATTACGCTCACGTGTGATGTATCGGGGTGCCCTTTGCCAACCACACAATGGCAGAAAAATGGAAACCCTTTGAATAGATTTGGTAGCAGTTTGAAGTTGAGCAGTGTTGGTAAATCAGACAGTGGGCAGTATTCTTGTCACGCAGAAAATGGATACACCAATGCTTCGACACAAATTCAAGTCACTGTTAATTGTGAGTGGATGTATCATATGCTTCAAAAAGCCTCTCATATTTCAAATGACGGGACCCGAATTGCCTCGCTTATGTTATCAAAATAACAACTTCACTACGATAAAAAAAAAGACGCAGATTTTTAGTTTTTCGCTACCAATTTTCTCATTATGTTATTCTTTGCACCAGCTATAGATCATAAAATGGTACGAGAACATCACGCGAACAAGTTATATGAGGTGGAATTATCAATAGTTTTCCTTGCAACTATAGTTACTACAATGCTAGTTTTAGAAATCTCCCCACAACCGTTGAGTTCAAGAAACCTCCTGGATTTCATAAATGACTTCGTTGGTAAAATATTATCACCATTATTCCTTCTTTTCCTTCGTGTTTTTAGATAAACCAGTGTCCACGAACTTCAAAGCATCGGTCGCCAAACCAACAGAAGGTTCAGTAGTAACTTTCAATTGCAGTTCAGATTCCTACCCAGCGGCAACATACAGGTTCTATCGTGTCGATAATAGCGGGGATGTGTTAGTCAGCAGCTCTGGTTCAGAGAAAAGTGGGGTGTACACAATATCAAGCGTCAGTTACAGTGGTGCATACAATGTCACTTACAAATGTGTTCCATACAATCTTCTGGGAAATGGTGTGGCTGCAAATACCACAATTGAAATTCAGGGTATGATGTCTAGATTTGCACTTTTAAATCTTTTCATTAGCATCGTCTGACATTTGCCACTTAAAGTTGATTGCCTTTTTTGAAAATTGTTTAGTGTTGATTTTGATCAGCTCTTTTTTGCTCTAGCTGTTACTTATTTACCTGAGCAACCAAAATTAATGTCAGATAGCTTTTAATCCAAAATCTCTATTTTAAGTGAGTTGCATTTTGTCATGCCCATTCAATTTCGATGCCGAAAAACTCACGCCCGTTTAGAATTGTACACATAACAACTTTTAAAGATTCACTCTATAGGCCAGATTTTTCTCATATTACGGTAACTGCTTAGATCTAATATCAATTCATGATATAACCTCGTTCTTTATCTTATTAATCTATTCTGCCTTATTTTGTGACGCTATTCCGTATCTCGCACTGAAGCCTCAGTTTTATCTACTCCTTTGCTTCTGGACTTTCACCAAAGTGTTTGATGAAAATTTTTCTCCGGCTTTGCTCTGAGTTTTATCCCTTCTTTCTTCATTCACAGTGCCACCAAAGATTTCCTTTTCAATTACTCCGCAAACTGTCAATGAAACTGGTAATGCCAACATTGCCTGTGTTGTTGCTGCTGCCAATCCAACTCCAGTTATAACGATCTTGAATCCCTTGAGCCAAAAAGTATCACACAAAAATGGCGCCGCTGCTCTTACAAAATTATCTCGCAATGATGCCGGAATTTATTCGTGTAGTGCAAGCAACAGTGTGCCCGGGTCCCCGGTTACAAAGACTGCTACTCTTTTCGTCAATCGTAAGTGATTTTTTCCTTTCTTTAATCATCATTTTCGTCGGTTTTTTATGTAGTTTTAAAGTTTCTTTTGTGTTGTTTTGATAGAAATTTGTTCCTACACAAGATTTATTTTCAGTACGAAACTGATTGCTATTTGTAAGATTGTGGCTACATTGTCATCCTAGATTGGCACGAAACGAGATTGGAATTGGAATGCGGAATTGGAAATTAGTACACGCAGATTTGAAATTAGCATAAGCAAAGGAAATTTAGCTTTAGTCATTTAGTGTCACACTGGTCAAAAGATCTTTTGGAAACTGGATTATTTAATCAAAGTGTTGGCCGAAAATTTTCTAAATTTGTAGAAAAATTGGATATGTATTTCATATAAGGCTATGATGAAGAGCTCTGTCCTTGTGACAAGTGTCTTCAGCGAAATAGTATCTACGTTCTGAATCTTATCAACGTAGTTTCTCTACGTCGTTGAATCTTATTAAATTATTAGATTTATTTATTTATTTTCATGACATTTCATACAGATGCTCCAGATCAACCCAGGATTACAGCAACAGCAACCAAGCCTGTCACTGGTTCAGCAGTCACTTTGACATGCTCTGCACGCGCCACTCCGGCAGCGCACTTCCGATTCTTGTCTGGCAATGGGACTGTGTTACAAGACGGTGCTAGTGCCAACTTTCTTATAGCTTCATTGAATTACGCGGATTTTACAAATTACACCGCTACGTATGGATGCATAGCACATAATTCTTATGGTGAAGCCCCTCGTCAAGAAATCGTCCTTAATATCCAAGGTAGTTATTTTCTATTTCGACATATATGGTATTTGCATCGTTCGCCTTTTTGTTTGAATTTTAGGCGTGCTAGAAACAGCAACCCCTAATTGACCTTTGTTTTCTTTTCCAGTCCCTCCTTTCATCTCATTTTCAATAAACCCGAGCACAGTCAACGAAACTAACAATGCAAAAATGCTGTGCACTGTTACTGCTGCACACCCAGCACCATCAATCACTATACAGAACCCAAAGGGACAAAATTTAAGTCACACAGATGGTTTGGTACAACTTGATTTGATCACTCGTAAACACGGTGGAACATATTCTTGCATTGCTTCCAATGGAGTTGTTGGTTCACCGGTGACGCGGACAGCAATCCTCACTGTAAACCGTACGTATCATCAAATTCAGAAATCGAATTTTTCACATTCGTTCTGTTCAAATATGACTTACTCTAATCGTAGGAATGTCGATTTTTAACACACTCGATCTGTCTTTTTGGAATGTAACACGTGATATTGTTCGTCGTAGCCCTCAAATTTATGTTTATATTAGCGCAGCCCTTTCAAACTAGTTAATGATAGAGGGCTGGAGATAGATGAATGATGATAGAAGAGCATCCGGCACTTCAATCATCACAGAGAACAGGTTTTGATTTGAACTTTTATAATAAAACTCAATTATTATTTTCTTAGCGTGTAAAATTTACTCACTGTAATTTTTATGGCCTTGTTTTCTAAAGCCCGAAGCGTGAAAGTGCAAGTCGCAGCGATTCCAGTGCTGGCACCACCCTGGGCAAAATTTTAGGGTTTCAGCCTACTAAAACTTATATATTTTCTTTTACAGCATGTTCCAAATTTTACCAAAATCTATGATTAATGAATACTCATATAACCTTTAAAGTTTCCTCCCAGTTAGTGACTGAATCTGAAGCTAATTCTATTTAGGCTAAACATACTCACAAAAAGCATAGTCGAGGATAATATGCATCCCTTTTTATGCTATATTTTCTATATACATAATAATATATTGAATGGACAATGTAATTATCAAAGACTATACTAGCTCTTCATTTCCAAGGCAAATCAACTGCAACTGACTCAGAGAGAACAAATTCTACACAATCGAATGCTCATGCCATTGGTTTATACGCAGTGCTGGCTTTCTGCATTCCAATAATCTTCTTGCTTACCATGTGGAATATAGCACTGAGAAAGCGTATAAAGTCATTACAAGGTAAAAAGCAAAAAAATTCAGCCTTTCGATTGTTTGTTTTTGCATTGTTTTTCTCTTTAAGATTCTTGTTCTATTCTTCTTCAAGAGGCTTTGATTGTTAATATTTGTCAGATGATAAGAAGGACGGGTTATCCAAAAAATTTTCAATAACACCCCTTAGAATGAGGGAAAATTTATTTTCTCCACTATGAAAAAGGTCGTAAGTGTAAATGACGTATTTCTGTGATAAATCTTTTATATGAGAAACAAGGTGGCAAATAATTGCTATGATATCAAACTGTCGCAGAATCGGGTATTTTACCCGCGAGTACTCTAAGCTAATAAAAAATATTGGTATATAACTAACATTATCTTATTTTGTTTTTGGAACGTACAGTTTACTTGCAACTATCTTGCAACCATCTTTAATTGGTTGATATCCAGTCATCGATGGATAAAAACTGAAATGGCTGCTTAAGATATAATATCAGCTACTTAGGGCATTTGATCGCAAAGAAGAGCTGTGCTGAAAGTCGCGGGATCGAATCCAGGCGAAATTTCGACCCTCGCCTTTTGAACGATTTACGTATTGATATTGCTTAGGGGCCGCTTAGTACTTGAAGATTGAAGCCTTCCATACTTAGCAGTTCATCTCTATTACGAAACATTGGGCATTGCATTCCCCTTGTTGCAATAACAAAAAGGCTGCATTTTTAACGGCTTAGAACTCTTCCACTACTTCGGAACAAAACCATATTCATTTAGTGCACTATTAATTTGTTTCAGATGATCATTCAAAAGGCAACACACAAAGGTAAATTAACGGAAATTGACTTGACTTGCTCTTTCCCAAAGAGGAAAACAGACGCTGATTTTTATGGTTGAAGGTTTGACGGTTAATGTTCAGGGCCCACGCCGCCGAGGGTAGGGGCCTTGGCTCTCCACTTTTGCTGGCCTTGGCCCCCCACTTTCAAATTTGTGGCGTAGGCCCCGATGTTTGTCTTAAAATGGATTGAGATCATTGCCAAATGTTAACGGAAAATTATTGACGCTGCCACGGACCAAAAATGTCTTTCTGATACAAAATCCAGACCACTAGAAGAAATCTACTGCTTTTTGGCTATATTAAAAAGCTGTAAGGAATGACTGTGCCTCCTCTTAAAAAATGTTTTGGGCGATTGGGGGGATTGAAGCTTCAAGCTTTTACGTAAATGACATCTATGATAATACATATTATGTTTTGGTGACATCATCTTCCCTTCACCCCTCTTATAACGAATATTATTTGTATGTGACTCGTATTTGGTACTTAGCATTCAAGCCTATGCACGTTAAGACAATTAAGTGATTATTTCAACTCTACAGCCCCCGTCAGGATCTTGATTATGAAGTCATTGGATATACAAACCTCCAATTTGAAAGTGACCAACAATCACGTGCAACAACTGCAGATTCATCCCAAAGAGAGGTTGCAAACAATGGAAGCAACAACAATGCCGTATACATGGAACTAGGGCCAAGGTGCAAAGATGAACAAACATACACGCCTCTTTCTGGCGATAAGCAAACGACAAGCCCTTATCTTTAGCGTAAGAGATCCAAAATGCACTGCGTGTCCAGTGCAGTTATGTATAGTATAACAAAATCTGTATTAGATTAATGTAGATGAGCTGAACGAGACATAGAGGCAGCGTATATAAGATTTGGGTTGTGAGAACTGGTGAAGCTTTAACATAATTAGTGAAGCAAAGCCACAATATTGAGTGCATAAATTATTAGGAGTAGAATTATAAGGAATAGTTTCTTACGATAGTGCTGTAATTATGAAACCCAACATTCAAATCTAAAAAGCTAAAAAAACAACAGAAGAAACACCCCAGCTGTGCCAGTCATAACGGAAAAAGATACAAGGTTTTGGACTATGACAGGCACTTACAATCTTACGTTATTTTAAATGAATAACCAAATGGAGATATGGGAACGATTGCAGACGACAAGATGCAAGACCTGAAGGACAGTAGGCATGATGTTGCTGCTTTCAAACTATTGATTATCGAGCGATATTGATCGCTAATAAATGCGATCATTTTTGACAAATTGGTTATATATTGTTATGATTAGAATAAATTAATCAAAAGATAGGGAAGGGAGACTTCGTATGACAGGTCGACCTTTCGAAACCGTCTCTATCATTTTTATGATTATTCAATAACAAGCATTTTTACACATGCGAAGCATTTTGGATGTATTATAATAGCAAATAAATTTAGAGATTTAAAGTTCAGAGACTTTAGAGACTTTTCTGCCGATTCTAAATAATGGCATCAAAAACAGTTGTCGCTGACCTATGTTCTGATTTTAGGCAGTACTGTCCACCTGAATACAAAATTCAATTACATATTGATACAATAAAGCAATCAAACGAAATTCAAGTTTCGAAACGTCAAAGTCCAAGCACTCAAGCGCAGGTAAGTGTAGAGTTTAGCTATCACGTGATCGATGACGTCATTTTCCCCGGTCATCAAAATGTTTAATTCTCCTTTTGGAAAAATCGCTCCAACCATCTTCTTTGGCATTGTAATAGGAGCAAAAAGCTCTTAAGAATAAACTTTATCAGACCTTAAAATAACGAGTTATTGCTATTTGAAGTTTGCATGGCGTCATCAAAATGGCGGTTCTGAAATTTTCAAGCACTGGAATTCAAAGGCTGGTTGTCGCAATTTAGGTTGCTTTATCTCGATTTTGAAGTTTTTTTACCTTTGTTTTATTCAGCAACTCAAGAATGTCATTTGAGCTTATATATTTGCCCGCCTGGGAAACTAAGTATTGAGCAAAAATGCAAATACTTAAGCCTTGTTCAAACGCTCTCGACTTTCACTCGACTACTCTCGATTTTTGTTGAGCGTTGTCGAGCAGTGTGGAGTGTAGTCGAGCGAGGGGTGTCGTGCGGTTTCTTGAAGGCAATTTCTGCGATTTACCATATTCTTTCTGTCATATCATTGGCGCATGTGTGTTTAAACGATGCGCTGTGTATGTATTGCGCTGTCTAAAATTGGTAAGAAAAAACGGTTTCGTATAGTGTATTAATGAAATATGGAGATGCAAAAGAGTGTATTCTTATAAAAAAGTTTTAAGTTTGAAAGTTATCTTGATTTCATTGATGATTTTAAAGAAAGAAAATGCTTTTTAAAACCTAGGTTGAGCGCACATAATCTAGAAATTCGGAAAGTCGGAACTGGGAAATTCGGAAAAGACGAACTCATAGTAGCTGAATTTTCAAAGTATGGCCCTAATGCATAAATTTTGAAAACGAAACGCATAAAGGCAGCATATGAGATTATTTTTCTTATGACCATTCCCTTTTAAAGCAAGACAAGCCCTTTTTGTCATCTAACTACATGCCTGTACCCCTCCGAAATTTTGGCTCCGCCCCTTCTCGTAGCTAGAGGCACAAAGGGATCGGGCGCACTGGCACTTTAAACAGGACAAAATCGAGACAAACGTAATCCCTATTGTCTTTTAACAATAGGTGTTTATCGTTGAGCAAAAGCAAAAATGCGAGTCATGGCTTGAGAACCTGTACCCTGGGTACCAGACTCACTATATAAAATATAGTGAGTCTGGTTCCCAGGGTAGAGAACCTGGTCGTGCAATCACCAACTTTTATTCCTTTCCTATTATTTTGTCCAAATAAATAAAAGTAAGGGACGGTTTGGGAAATTTTTCACTGAGAGATTATTTTGTAAAGCAAAGCGTGCTTTTTTAAGAAACTCACTAGACCAAAGGGAGTCTTTCAAGAACAATTTGGAAGGGCCTTTCACTCAGTGGACCTATATTTTTATTACTCCTTACATAATTTACACTGGTCGCGTTGCTAGATGTATTAGGGCCGGCAACTCGAGCTTCAGATAGAGGGACATTGAGTAGAAACCATGGCCCTTGTAATATGACAGGGCAATGGTCCCCTTGACTCCCTGTTCTTACTTGCTGCATTCCTTGCGTATGTTATTTAAAAATATAAGCTAATAAAAATTAACTTCAAGTCAAAGTTCTCTTTGTGAAAAGGGGTCTTCAAAGTAAATTTTATTGCCAAATTAATGTTGTAGTCGTAGTAAGTGAACATCCTCTTTAAAACCTGTAATAAATAATGTTTATTACCAAAGTTAGGCATTTAACTGTTTGATCCATTCAACTTTGTGGTCTCCAGAGATTTGAAAGCCGCATGGCGAGTGTTTTTTGGTTTCTTTGAACAGTTGTTCATAGGGTACCTAAGGTTTAAGTTGGCTGATAAGCAACGGGCAGGCTTTGAAAAAGGGTCATTGTGATGGTGTCAAATAAAATTGATTTAGAAGTTTGGAATTTAGTCCATATAATCTAAGAGATTACCATATAGTCTTTAAGAAAATTCTAAACTACCTATCAATTTACAAGATCAGTTTGATTTACAAGAATAAACACAACCGCATCTGGCATGGGCGTTGCGGATGCTAAACATGAGTGTGAATCTTGCTTGAATATTATTTCTTCATTGAGATAAAGCTGCCCGAATAGAGCCCGAAATGCGATAAGTGTTGCCCGAATAGGGGGCTACAGCCCTCCCAGTTCCTATGACATTTGGTTTTGCAATTTCTAGCACAACCTCCCTCCAAGTGTTAAACTTAATGGCATCATAGTTAAGAAACTCTTTAGAAGCAATGAGAATTAGAATTTTCGAAAGCGTCAGACAGACCGCGACGAGAAACAGAGACTGCACAAAGAGTGTAGAGTTGAGTTAAGCTGGATTGTAAGCAAAACTGAGTAAATAATCAAAAATGCTCCCACTAGCTTTAAACGTTTTTAGAATGGTTCTACCATACTTGACAGGATTGATTTTCTTATTCGTTTAAGCTGACGAGAGAATGTTGGAGGAGGGATAATAATTTTGATGAAGTAATCGGTGATCAAATTCAATGATCTAAACTGCCACTAGCAGGGCCGCATTTACGTCTGTTAGGGCCCTGGGCCCAAAGTTTATTGGGGTCCCTTAAAATATACCAAAAAAATTGTATCACGTGCATAGTACTTGGTTAAACATAATCATAACCAACCAAGTTAATACTCACTAAATAGTTTAATAGATAAACGCTATAAGACACGAATAAAATTGTATTCATTTCGCATTTCAGTACATTCCCAATAAAACTACCCTTGCCCCTTGGCTCAAGACGCAAATGTCTTTCGTCTTTACTTAAAAGCTGAAAACTTTTCCATGATTTTATTGGGGTTTAAAACTCCCTGGACATCAAAATCTGCTGCCATTAAACATAAGGCAACAACGCGCTACTGTGACATTGTGGATCTCAGTTCACTCTTTTTCTTTACTCTTTTCGGCATGGTAAAACATTTTTTTCTCCGAAGGAACTTCCGTATGGCGAATTGAGCAGCAAGTGCTGTCATGGCATTGGAGAAAATCCAGCCAGGGCCACCGAAAGTTTTGAAGGAAAAAACAGAATATGAGGCCTCCTGGGAGCGGAGCGAGCTGAAAATTGTTGTGACCACGCCCTTTTTGCCATTCTTAAAATTGAATTCATTACCTTACGAAGCCCTGTAGCTCAATTGCAAGATTAAAGCCCAGAGCACTTCAAAGGCTTTTCAAAATTTCGCTCGGGGCCCCCTAAATTTAAGGATTTTAGGGGGGCCCTGGGCCCGAGCTCATTGAGCCCATGGGTAAATGTGTCACTGGGAAACTAGAATTAGAGTACTGAAGTGATGACGTCACAAAGACCATTTTTAGAATTTTTCAGTTTTGATCATATAACCCAAAAAAGAATTATGAAATGCCTCTAAAGCCCTGGCAAAACGACTAAATATTTCACTCCACTATTTTTAGTGGAAGGTTTAGTGGAAAGTTTATTCATTTTGCAGCCCTGTTTAGTGTTGTTTAGTCGTGTTGAGTGTTGTTGAGCAAAATTAAATTCTGGTCAAAAATGTTTAGCGTTGTTCAGTGTTGTTTAGCGAATGTTTAATCGTTGTGCCACCAATTAAGAATTTGTTGTTTATGTTGTTAGTATTCTATTAGTAAACTTGAAATCTTTCATTGGCCATATCACACCCAATTTTGAATATATTTAACTGATTTTGGATACTGGGATTTATTTTTGCTGTTCTTTCAGGCTATGTGGTCCAAAATAGAAAATTTTTAAAAAATATAATTTTTATGACGTCACATTTCGGTACTCTATTAGCCAAAATTAGCCATAGGCGTTTTTAATTGGTAGCACCGACTTTCCCCGGTGCCAAAAAGGCATTTACTGGCAATAAACTGGGGCGTGACTTTAATTTATTTTGTCTACCTCTAGCCTTCAGACAGCAGTCAGAAACGTTCTTATCAAACGGGACTCTTGACTAAATAGTCGATTACAAGATTTAGCCCCGGAACATATATATTTTGCGATTTTACTTATTGCGACCTCGTGCTACTACAGATATCTCAGATAAAGCTTCTTCTGCAAAGACGTTCAGAAGAAATTTTAATTATTACCAAAAGATCACAACAAAATCAATCTGTGTAAAGAAATTAAAAGTGTAACGAAACTTGATCGTTTAGGATATTTGATTCCATGACCAGGGTTTAACATGTTCTTTATGGCAGGACATCCCCATTGTTAAACTACCTTGACAACGGAAAGGAAAGAAAGTGAGGTACGACCTTTGATCAAAAAAGTAGCGCGTATTTGGTAACAATTCTTGCGGAGTTTAACAAGCTCAACATTGCGGAGGTAAGTGCCTCAATCCACCCCTAAATCGATGTATCTTCCCAGTTTCTATTTGCGCTTGAATTGCCTGAATCCCAGGTTGATTCACTGTACAGAAATCCAAACTCAGAAATGAGAGAGTCACAAACTGTCACCTAAAACGATTTTCTATTTTACGTATCACGATCTTTTAATTGGATATCAGTGAATTGAACGAAAATCTATTCTTGGACCGTTCTGGCATCGTAAATTTTAAAAATTAGCTCTAGCCCCAATAGTTATCGACGGCTGGCGGTTCTGTGTTTTGCGGAAGAACTTTGTATCTGATAGATCAAATTACATCACACTAAACAAAGCTATCTTTCATTTCGTCATACGGTTTTTAGGAAGTAGAAAAGTTAAATATAGTATTCAAAATATATTTAATGAAAAGCATTTCCGAAAAAGACAGCCTTGAAGAGGTATGAGTTTGTTTGCATTGGCAAAAATCGTAATCCGGCATTAACGTAGCCTGGCTGTACCAGTGAAAAGAAGCAAAACGAGGAGTGCAAGCAAAGGAGCATTTCAGAGACATCCCCCACCTTCAAGCGCTGCAAAAACTTCGTTGACAACAGCAATAGCAAGTTAGGGTTGATATAGCAAAAGTTAATTCATATTGTGAGTGCAGGAACATTCCTAGGTAGTAAATTTTATTAGAAAATATGTGCCAAAATCCAAGATGATCGGTTGGATTTAAGGTTCTTATTTGTTGCAATGTTAAGAATACTAGGTTACGCCAGAATACTAAGTTTCAGGTTTATAACTTGCATAGTTTATAAAAGATATGGAGAAAGACCCAAAAGAGGACTTGATATAGGCATCCCAGTCTCAAAATAGCTTTTGGGGGCGTTTTTGAAGTGGCATTTGCATCACATCTTATCCAGCATGTAAAATTATGTACTTGTACCAAGTTCCATGCTTGTATCATAAAATACATCATCCAAATGCTAAGCCACTGCACTAAATAGGCAAACTCAAGAAAACTCAAAGGAAGCTGACATTTCCATGCAAGCTTGAAGCTGCAAGCTTTGATTCTGCGATGTCTATCTCACATACGCTTGCCTCTAATATTTTCCGAAACCAGGTTCTAATTTGTTTTGCATGTCCAGAACATTGGCTCAACCTGGATATGAATCTATGATAAAGCAAATTTGATGGCCCGGCCACGGAACTTTCTGCAGCCTACAATGCAAATTAAAGTCAGAAGTTTGTTTGTGTGCAAAATGCGTAATCATCTTATTTCAACCAAAACATCACGCCTTACATTAGCTTGTGTGGGCCTTTTCCAGCATAGAGTGGGAAGCCTTCCTCTTTACAAACTCTGCTAGGTAGGCCCAAGTATGGTCACAAGGGATGAGGATTTAATACCACACCAGGTATAGCAATAAACATATATTGAGAGAAACACTCTCAATTCATAGAACAAACTTTGAGTCCGAAGTAACAAAGCTGTTACACAACACTTGGGTTTAATTTGCTGCTTATTTTCGGGCATTATCCGACGTTTGTACTTTGAAGGGTGTCGGACGAAAAGTTCTTTAATATGCAATGTTTCCGGTATTTCGTTCAATCTTTAAAAATAAGTTTGGTAATACTCAATCTTTTGCATGCTTTACTGAGTTCTTATCTAATCTTTTAATTTATATTGTCTAGTATATTGTGATACAGGGTTATTGGAGCAGTGATCTAAAGGATGCATGCCACAGTTATAATCACGGTGTTGGTAGCAACAGGAAATCTTATCTTTGGTGAGTATAAATTGTTCCACGTTATTTTTGACGGAAATATTTCGCATTAAAAATTGTAAACAGGATTACTTAGGTTTTTTGGAATTTGGATCTTTATTGCCTGTTCCCATATGTACATAGCACGTGCAAACTTTTTGAAGTGAGAGCACAGGGTAAATCATTAAATTTTAAAAAAAGAATAAGAAGAGTTTTGGAAACAAGACGAGAAAGCAAGTGAAAAGAAGGTAACATGAAGTGAAAGAGAAAGTTTAGATATCATGTCCAATTATCTACAATTAAGGAGACCAAATCTTTGTAAATTAAGTTAATGAGTAAAAATTTGGACATTTCGAGTGCAAGAGGCTTACTCATCAACTATTCGCAAAATTCTTCGTTAAAAGGCTTCATTAGTGTAATTAAAGCATTAGGAGCAGAATACCGTACTGATAGCTTTAAAACTGACAAAAAGTAAGTCAGTAAAATTATAAATTTATATCTGCTTCATCCTTTCGTTGTTTTAAATGAACTTTAGGTGAGACGTAATGTGAGTTTAATCGAAGTTGAGAGTAAATATGAATGCTGGATAAATCGATTCTTATTTGTAACTATGTAGTTTGATGTATCATATTATATTGTAGCTTGGCGATAGAGTTTGAATTGCCATCGCAAAGGCAGTAAAAGTTTATATTGAGGGGTCAAATGAGGTTGAGAGCAGGTAGGAAGAGACGTTAAGTAAGGACAGGAGGGGGACAGGACCAGTAAGCCAGGGTAGTTGCAAGTTACGCGGAGAGATACAGCGAAGTTTAGAACAGGTAAGAAGTAGCAGGAGATGGTGCGATGAGGTCAAATGAGGTACCGTATTTCCTTGAAAGAGCGCCCGGGACGCTCATTCAAAAGTCCGCCTTTGAGGGAAGGCGCTCTTTCGAGGGAAGCTCTCTTTCAAGGAAATACGGTAACTACGAAAACAAAAATAGCGGGATGTATGTTGGAGGAGTAAGTGAAGTTAGAGCTAAGTGAGCAAAGTAGTGAGAATAATGTTGGAGGTCAAGTAAGGTTGAGATAAGGTAGACAAAGTCGTGGGAGATAGCGTGAAAAGGTCAAGTAATGGTGAGACTGGGTAAGCAAAGGTAATAGGAGGTCACGTGGGGTTAAGGTAAGGTAAGGTGCAGGCGGTGGTTAAGGTGTCAAGTTATATTGAGAGTGAGAGGGAAAATAGAGAAGTGATTAAAGGTTGAGGTAAGGTATGCAAACATCGTGGGAGATCATGTGAAGAGCATAAGTAAGGGTGAGACTGGGTAGGCAAAGGTGATAGGAGGTCATTTGGAATTAGGAAAAGTTAAGATAAGGTGCTATAGATGATGTGTAGATGTCAAGTGAAGTTGAGAATGAGATTTGGAAAAGAGAGGTCAAGAAAGTTTACAAGAAATTTTGAGTTATTAGCAGCATCAAGGCTAAGTAACTTGCTAAATATGTGTGCATTGTATATATTCTTGTAGATATATAAATCATATTATTGGACCCATTTGAACTGATTCTTCGATTAAAATTCTACTGCCTTTCCTTTTTATCTGGCAGTTTTCTATCATACTTACCTATATTTCAATTAAGATTGTTTTTCAGTATCTGACCACACATTTTATTCCTTTCAGGGACCACGGAGAGTGCCTCTGTAAACGTGACATTGCCATCAAGTACAGCAATAATGAATGGCACCAAGATTGACTTTGTATTAGATGCATTTGATCCCCCTTCATCAAGTAGTTTATATGATCAAATGAAATTTGGCTATGAAAAGACAGGCGCAGGATTTGTCAGCCTCTACAAGTACAATAAATTTACATCTGTTTTTGATCTTAACTCTCCGACACCAGCAGAATTGGTTGGGAGGTTGACCACCTCTATGGCTGGAAGTAAACCTATGATATCAGTTTCTCCTATATTGTTCACAGACGAAAATTATCAGTTTTATTTTGAGCTGGACTTTTACAAAACTGGAGGTGTCTCAGCCAAGGTTTTGAGCCAGAAGTATTTGCTGCAAAATGTGTACTGTAAGGCGAATCTTTACTATTTCTCTTTAAATTAGTTCAGAGTTTGCTTCAATTTCTTTATATTCTGATAACATGCATTTTATTAAAATTCTGACAGCTTCCTGAAACCGTATTGATGGTTCATTCTTTGTGCCATGTCTCTTTTTGATAATTTGTTTAAGTTCTGGCTTGATCTTTGTCATTACCAAGCAGCCAAGGACTGTTGATAGCTAAAAATCTGACAAACAGAAATACAACATCGTCGTGATGTTGCATTATTTTTCTGTTTGCCACAAAATAACTTTGATAAATGGTATATACTTGACAATATATGTGTATACCTCAAGCTTAATATTGTAAGAAGCAAAGGCTTAAGGATTTAACAGTGATGACTGATAGTGAGTTGCTGACAGTTTAACTTGTAAAAAAGTGGACTTTTTTGTTGAATATTTTAGGTGTGGCTTTCTGTATTTTTGTTCGAAGAATATTCAAATACTATGTGAGATTCAATTTTACTTACCTAGCTTTGCCGACATTTAACGATGCAGAATCGATGCAAGCTTCAATTACTTTAACTGAAGGAAGTACCTCTTCAATACAATGCGTTGTGAGCAGTCGACCTGTTTCAACTGTGACGTGGTCATACAACAATGCAACGATCAATGCAACTCAGTCATCAACGACTTCAACTAGTGGCAGTATCATTAAAGCGACGAGCGTGTTAAGGATTAGAAATCCATCTTTGTTACTTAATCGTGAAAAAGTAACTTGCTTTGCATCACATCAGTTCTCTGCTGCTGTGAATCGCACAACGATCATCAATGTTCAATGTAAGTTTCTCGAAGGCAATTTCTGCTATATAAGATATACTTTTTTAGCTGATATGTTTTAGCTTTTCTCGCGGATAATGGTGTCATTCTCCTGTCATATCATTTGTGAAGATGTGGTCAAATCCTGCGCTGTTGTAGATTGATTCAAGAATTGGTAAGATGAAACGGTGACCGGGCTCTGCGCGTTACCCGGAACATGTCACCTATGAAGTTTTTGGCACAATCTAGGTTATCCAATGGCAGATTCTATCAGTTTCAGTATCCATCTTAATAAAATTGTATAGACATTGTATAGGTAGAGCCCGTTCACCATTACATAGGCAGAGCCCGGTCATCGTAGATATTGTAAGAACCGCTATTGTATAGACAGAAAGATTTAGTTTTCACCATTGGACTCCATTGGTTATAGCTCGCGATCCTGATTGCCCTATTTCGATCTACAACTGGGAACAATGCCTATTTCGATCCACGACTGGGTATAGTATTTCGATCGTAGTCCTTACATTCTACAATATGAAGAGTGCAAGACAAGAGGCTTCAGTATCTTTTAAAATGTTTCCTTTTTTCAAAACCATAATCAATATTTCCAGATTCGATTTTTGTTCTTGTGTTCTTCTTTTACAATTCAATTATACTTCCACCATCAGATTTCAGAATAGGTCCTACAACAGAAAAAATATTTTATTCCTCTGCTTATTACCTGGCTGTGGCTTACATCTTCTAGTGAAACTCCATGTAAAAGACGCAAATATTCGGCTCTAACCACTTGCCTCAATGGAGCTTTCCACGATTAAATTTCTCGAAGCCAAAATAATTCTATTTTCCGCTTAGTAAGTGCTGGCTGAAAAAAAGTAGAATAAGAGAAGGCTCTTCCTCCATTAAATTACTAGAATTAGATGTTGATTCTCAAATCCATGACACATCTTGATTCACAATCAAAATCAAGTCTTTTTTGATAAAATGCACCATTATTTGATTGGTGGAGTGGAGCTGTTTCTACAATTTCAGGCAGTTCTGCAAAGCGAAGGGTGTCACGCCCAATACAGCAGACATTGATATTGGGGTATCCCAAGGATAATGCTTTGTACCTTCCTTATTTCTGCTATACTTTAATTATCTTTCCTTTGCTACAGAAATGCTCTTCTTCTATGTAGAAAAAATTGGCTTGAATGATGCATTTGTTAATGTAACCTTTGAAAAATGGTTGAAGGATGATAAGTTTTCCTTGAACTTTTTCAAGACACAAGCCATGGTGATTGTTTTAACTTAATATCTGGGACAGAAACATCTGAAGTCGTCTTTTGCCTTCAAGTTAATGAGAAAAACTTTAACTCGTCAATTAATTAAGATATCCTGGTGTTATGATTGAAGATGTTTGAAATAGGGAAGCCAGGCAAATTTTCTTTAAATGAAAATCTAACAGGCCCTTGGACTAGTGTGTCTAAGAATTTATTCGAGAACACACCTTAAGAAGTAAATATTTCAGTATTGAACCCATATCAAATGAAATGTGAAATATATCACCCAGTCCAAACAACACAAAATTAAATTGGCAAATCGGTAAATTCACTTCAGATAATTAAGCCAACTTGAGATAGATTCAACTTTATGATGTTCTTTTAAGTATTTTATGATGCTCTTTCATTTTTCTGTGGTCAATAGGCACAAATTACAAAGTAATATTTTTTTGTATGACGTCGAACTTTACAAATTTATTCTAAATCCTTATCATCGTTTGTGTTAGACCGTCCAAAGAACACTTCGTTTTCTGTGATACCAGCTACGCCAAAACTAAACCAAAACATAACACTGACATGCAGTGCAATTGGCAAACCAAATGTCACAAAATACAGATTCTACATCAGCGATACGTCTATTGGAAATTCAAACAGTGGGTCATTGACTGTAAATGCTAGTGACTGCACCAGGTATAATGGGAATTACAAGTGTGTTCCTGAAAGTAGTATAGGAGATGGAGAAGTTAAGACCCAATCCGTTGTTGTGACAGGTTTGTATATACGTAATTGGTACTATGCTGCCTTTCTTGATATAAGTAATCTTGCAAATTTTATCGTTTTATTCTTTCTTATTTATCATCATTAATGGCTACTAGTGTTTAGGAAGCTTTTGTCTATCAGTACGTAAGGGACACAGACAAAATGTATGTTGATCTCCCATTATCAATTGAAATCGTATAAGATCATATAAGCCTAATCTGGAATAATTTTAAAATACTTCAAAAAGAACTCAGGAACACATTCTAAGACTTCCTGATGCAATTAACAAGTAAAAACCAAAGAAAGATTTTCATAAACATTTTTCTCCATGCAACTCCGTGCGTTGGAATCGGCTGAAACTGAAACGGATGATGATCAATTAAAAATAAGCATAATTTAAATGAATTGAAGCAAATTGAAAAATTTAAAGTAAAATGCATGATTACATACCAATTTCTTTCTTTTAGATGATATCAAAGTCAGCTCAAGAAGATCAGCGCTAATAGCCATAGAAACACAAAATGTTACGCTCACGTGTGATGTGTCCGGGTGTCCTTTGCCCACCATAATATGGCAGAAATATGGAAATCCGTTAAACAGATCTGGTAGCAGTTTGCAGTTGAGCAGTGTCAGTAAATCAGACAGTGGGCAGTATTCTTGTCACGCGGAAAATGGATACACGAATGCGTCTGCACAAATTCAAGTCACTGTTAATTGTGAGTGAATATTTTATACTGCCTCAGATACTCATATTTTAGAATTCATTGCCTGGCTAAATTCTTAATACTGTTGCGACGAGAGCTTCACCATCATAATACGAAAGGCAATGATTTGCACTTTCCTTTGATTCCATTATAAATATACTGATGATGTTATTCTCCAGCCAGGCTTGCCTATTGGATCTTACTTTAACGATATACTAAAACGATTTACTAAAAGTATATGAAATTAACAATAGTGCAAGGTTCCTTTTTAAAATCAAATATAAATCGCTGCATTGCCAATACCATACTTGACAAAATTTTGTTTGTTTGAAATTTTCTTCCAATTTTGACTTTATGCTTATTTTTTTTCCGCACGTTGCATTTCGAATTTTCTTTCAGACTCTTCGATGTCCTTCATTGAAAAATAATATTGTACAAATAACCATTACTAAATGTTGAAGACTGGCTAAAAAATTTTCATTTCTTTTTTGTTTTTAGATAAACCAATGTCCACAACTTTCACAGCATCGATCGCCAAACCAACAGAAGGATCAGCAGTGACTTTCAACTGCAGAACCGATTCCTTGCGAACGGCAAAATACAGGTTCTATCGTGTTGATGATAGCGGGGATGTGTTAGTGAGCAGCTCTGGTTCAGAGAAAAGTGGGGTGTACACAGTATCAAGTGTCAGTTACAGTGGTGCATACAATGTCACTTACAAATGTGTTCCATACAACCTTCTGGGAAATGGTGTGGCTGCAAATACCACAATCGAAATTCAGGGTATGATGTATAGATTTGCACTTTTAAATCTTTTCATTAGCATCGTCTGACATGTGCCACTTAAAGTTAATTGCCTGTTCTGAAAATTGTTTGGTGTTGATTTTGATCAGCTCTTTTCTGCTCTAGTTATTACTTGTTGAAATGAGCAATCAAAATCAATGTAAGATAACTTTTAATCCAAAATCTCTATTGTAAGTGAATGGCATTTTCTTACGCCCAATCAATTTCAATGCCGAAAAACTTGCGTCCGTTTAGAATTGTACACATAACAACTTTTAAAGATCTGCTATATAAACCAGATTTTTCTCATATTACGTCATAAAATTTCAGTTCGACCTCGAATTATGGTATCAGCAATACCTAGTGCAGTGAATGAGACACAAACTGCTGTTATCCAATGCAAGGTCTTAGCTGCCAACCCTGTTCCGTCTCTCGCCATCACAAATGCCAATGGCCTTTCCATTACCCACACAAACGGAGATGTAACATTAAGTAGTGTCACGGCTGATCAAGCTGGAATGTACAAGTGCACAGCCAGCAACGGAATTGGGCAACCAGTCACTGGAAATACCACGTTGACTGTCAATCGTGAGTTGTTTACTTCGAAATCGCATTACTTTCATTCAAAGTTGTCAGTATTTCTTATTTTTTAGTTTTATTATCATTGTGTCAACTAGCAATATCTTCTTCATTCATATCATTCCATTGCTCTTTAGTAACTCACTTATTCTTGCAGACATACCAGACAAGATCAACCTTACATCTTCCAACAACAAACCTGTCAATGGTTTGTCTGTCACGTTAGCTTGCTCTGCTCGTGGAACCCCTAAACCTCAGTACAGGTTTTACAATGGTCTCACCAACTCAATTGTCCAGGACTCTTCCAGTGGAACTTACGTCACAGGTCTTCTGAACTATGAAGCTGTAAGAGATTATCGCGCAATTTTTCGATGTGTACCTCACAATATGATGGGAAATGGAAATACAACTTCGATAGCTCTTGATATTCAAGGTAACTGCTTAGATCCAATATCAATTCATGAAAGAACCACGTTCTATATCTTATTAATCCATTCTGCCCTCTTTTGTGACCCTATTACCTATTTATCTAATACTGAAACTTTCTTTTCTCTACTCCTTTGCTTCCGGACTTTCACCAAAGCGTTTGATTAAAATTTTTCCCCAGCTTGGCAGTGAGTTTCATCCCTTTTTTCTTCATCCACAGTGCCACCAAAGATTATTTCCTTTTCAATTACTCCACAAAATGTAAATGAAACTGGAAATGCAGACATAGCTTGCGTTGTTGCTGCTGCTGCTAATCCAACTCCAACGGTAACACTTTTGCGCCCAACCAACGAAACAATACAGTTAAGAAAAGATAGCATTCTTATCTTTGAAAAATTGACTCGCAATGATGCCGGCATTTATTCGTGTAGTGCAAGCAACGGTGTGCCTGGATCACCGGTTACAAAGACTGCTGCTCTTTCTGTCAATCGTAAGTGTTATTATGCTTCCCATTCTTAAACTATTCATTTCACGATATTTTACAGGCTCTTTTGTAAGCAGACAAAATTCAATTTTGGTTACTTAATGTTACGCCGGTGAAAGGACCATTTTCAAACTGGATTATTACAATGTTTTGACAGAGGTTATCTAGTCTCATTTTATATGTTTTTGTTATAAAGCTTTGATATAAAGTTTAATTGAAAGAAATTTTACCAGCTGGACGTTTTTCTGGTAGCAGAATAGATGTCTACAGTATTCAGAGATTCCAATGCCAACGCCCCTGCCAACAAAGAGGCCGTCATGATAGAAGATTTCCCAGTAGAAAAGTTTTTGTCAAAAAGTTCAAGAATTTGCTAATAAATAGTTATTAAATATCATAAAACGGAATGGCAATGAAATACATTCATTGTCCACAACCCTGTACTTTCTGTGTTACTATTGTTCCTCCTTACGTTTTGCATTTCATTTTATCGTTTTGCATATAGCCTTGATTATAATTAAACCTTTGCAAAATGAAATATGTTCTATACTTAGCATATTGACATATTTACATATTTATTATGCTGTTAACTTGTAGCTTGAATGTTCTGTTTTATTAGATACAAATTCGTCACCGGTTCGAAAGCTTTTTAGAGCTATTTTCATATATCCGTCAGCACCTTTTATTACCTTTGATGTAACTTTCAACACCCTAATTTTATCTTGATGGTTCTTTATTAAATAAAGCATCTTTAAATTAAAATAAAAATTTGTAAATAATTGCTGAAAGTATATATAGAATGAAATGAAAATAAAATGAGAGAATGGGCGGCAGCGGGCATTTCGGCAGTGAGACAGCGCACTGTCGGGCAAGAAATGACGATAGCAGGGTCAGGAATATTAATGGAATCATGTTACCGCAGCAGCTTCTTGTAATGAAAATAGAAATCAACCCTGATGTCATCTATCATGATAATAATAATATAATAATAATCCATTTATTCACAGTATGTGTAGTTTACAGAAGTAGCTAAATGATAAGCTAATTAAAGCCTACTGTTTAAAGGAATAAAATTGACAATATTGTATAGTACAGATAATATTAGTAGCTGGAGGTTTCTTTTGTGTATTGACACACAGTTGTTTTCAATCAAAAGAGTATCAAAACCTGGCACATTGTTTTTGCATGTGATACGCAGTGCCTTTTCGTGTACATGGTGTATCTTATTATTTAGGCTTTTGTCATAGAACATCCATACAAGATGGCAATAGCTAGAGTGTTATTTATTTATAGATTTCATGTGACCTTAAAGTTTCGAAGAAACTTTCCTGTGAAGGAAGTTTCACTTTGTCGAAACAGCTACTTTGACATCCACAATTTTACGCTAAAACTATCCATTTTCCAGCAAACTATTTAATCGAATCCATTTAAATGCATAGTGTATTCCAGCCTGTAGAGTAGTTTGAAATTTGTGACATTGAAATTCCTCGTTTATGCAAAGAAAATTGTGTTGTTAAGACAAGCAAAAGATATACAAATACAAAACAGAATTTAAGATGTTGCCAGCAATTTTTTGGTAGTAAATTCTTTGTAATAGCCTATGCAAAAGTTTTTTGTGAGAAATATATGATTTTTCTGTAATTTTCTGTGACCAATGGTCGTACGGTCACGGGGAAAATAACGCCCTGCCAGTAGCTAAATTGTGATAGAATGAATGCTCTCGTTGTTTTTTGTGTTGTTCTGTGCTTAAGTAGCAAGAAATGCGCGAGAGGGCGTGTTGTTTTCGACTATCCTTTTTACGCAGTGTTTTTATGTGTGGCTTAAATGAGAGATTTTTGTCTATTGTTACACCAAGTAGTTTTTCCTCGCTGCTTTCGTTGATTAGGTTGTTGTCTATTTGTATGGCTAAGTTATTACTTTTATCTCCAAAGGTCATGAGGTGGCATTGGTTCCCATTTAACTTGCAGTTGTCTTTAAACCATTCTGCAACTGTTGAGGAGGACAATTTCGCTTGCATAAAGAGTTGTGTCATCTGTATAGTTACATATCTCTATGTCTGGTACAAACCTAAGTAGATCGTTAATGTATATATTAAATAAGAGAGGCCCTAGAACTTACCCTTGTGGAACACCCTTGTCGATTTCTTTCCTTTCACTGAAGGACTCATTTACTTTTACTCTTTGTTTCCTCTTGTTTAGATAGCTATGAATGAACATTAAGGCTTTTCTGCTGAATCCATTCGCCTTGAGGTTTGCTATCAGGAGCTCATGGTTTAAGCAATCAAAATAAAGGCCTTTGATAGGTCCATAAAGACAGCTCCGACACACTCTCCGGCGTCCAGGCTCTTCCTACATTTTTCTGTGAAGCGCAGTAGGGCACGTTCACTAAGACGACGATGTTTATTGCTGAAGAGTTATTGAACAAGATTTAGTTGCTCAAAAAGACCAAGTTGAATACAGTTAACTCTAGAGCAGTGGTTCCGTAGAGGGGAGAATGGGCTCAGGGCGGCTCAGCCCCCCCCCCCCCTTGTTAAAATTCAGAGGGATTCTGTGATGCGTGATCGTGAAATTTAACTTTCATGGCCGCGAAAGCGTGGTTTGCAATTATTTTACGCGTGACTGTGTGATTCAGCGTGAATCCCTGGTACCCCCAAAGACACACGCATGCAAGTGTGCATTGGCCTTGGGTATATAAACTTTTTGTTGGCTTAGTTTCATTCCTCACACGTTGCAAGACACCCTGATGTTAGACTGTGGAGAGCAAAGCCTTTTCTTGCGACGAAGTTCTCTCATCTTGGTGTTTTCAGCTTTTACATGGATATTAACTTTCTACTTCTTTTCTTCTTACATTAGCTCAAAACGGCTATTGCTTAGGGCCTTAGCGATTGGCTCACCGACAGCCCAAAAATCAATGGTGCAAATGATGAGAGAACGCCACCCTCAGTTTTACGATTGCTAATAGTCAGATATTTTGAGGACCATCTTACCATTATTTGCTGACTGGTATTGTTTGGTAACCTGAAACAAATATTGATAGTATGAGATAAAAGTAGCGATCAACCCTTGTGACAAGTAACCTGTGCTCTAGACTTCTACTTTCAAGATAGGGGTATGGAGCACAGGCTAGTGACACGTGACTAAAGCGAAATATACACGGATGTTAATTTCTCAATAAATTCATTTACTTTTTCATGATATTGTGAACAGATGCCCCAGATCAACCCAGGAGTACAACAACAACAACTACATCTGTCAGTGATTCAGCAGTCACTTTGACCTGCTCTGTACGCACCACCCCAGCAGCGCACTTCCGATTCTTTTTATTTCTGTTATCATTAAGTCAACTAGTAATTTCTTCTTTATTCATGTCATTCTATTGCTCTATATCTGCTCACTTTATTCTTGCAGACATACCAGACAAGATCAACCTTACATCTTCTAACAACAAACCTGTCAATGGTTCGTCTGTCACGTTAATTTGCTCTGCTCGTGGAACCCCTAAACCTCAGTACAGGTTTTATAATGGTCTTACCAACTCAATTGTCCAGGACTCTTCCAGTGGGACATACATCACAGGTCCTCTGAACTACAAAATTGTAACAAATTACAGCGCAATTTTTCGATGTGTACCTCACAATATGATGGGAAATGGAAATACAACTTCGATAGCTCTTGATATTCAAGGTAACTGCATAGATCTAATATTAATTCATAATAAAACCTCGATCTATATCTTATTAATCTATTCTGCCTTATTTTGTGTCCCTTTTCCCTATCTCGTACTGAAGCCTTAGTTTTATCTACTCCTTTGCTTCTGGACTTTCACCAAAGCGTTTGATGAAAACTTTTTCTCCGGCTTGGCAGTGAGTTTTATCCCTTCTTTCTTGATTCACAGTGCCACCAAAGATTTCCCTTTCAATTACTCCGCAAACTGTCAATGAAACTGGTAATGCCAACATTGCCTGTGTTGTTGTTGCTGCTAATCCAACTCCAGTTATAACGATCTTGAATCCCATGCACCGAACAGTATCGCACACAAATGGCGCCGCTGCTCTTACCAATTTGTCTCGCAATGATGCCGGAATTTATTCGTGTAGTGCAAGCAACAGTGTGCCTGGGTCCCCGGTTACAAAGACTGCTACTCTTTTCGTCAATCGTAAGTGATTTTTTCCTTTCTTTAATCATCATTTCCGTCGATTTTTTATGTAGTTTTAAAATTTATTTTGTGTTGTTTTGATAGAAATTTGTTCCTACAAGATTTATTTTCGGTATGAAACTAATTGATATTGGTACGATCGTGGCTATATTGTCATCCTAGATTGGCACGACACGAGATTGTTATGCGGAATTGGAAATTAGTAGACGCAAATTTGAAATCGGCATAAGCAAAGGAAATTTAGCTTTGGTCATTTATTGACACACTGGTGAAGACCTTTTTAAAATTGGATCTCTAAATCGAAGTGTTGACCGATCTTATCTAACTTTGTAGAACAATTGAATATGTATTTCATATAATGCTAAGATATAGCGCTCTGTCCTCGTGACGCGAAATATACACGTATGTTATAGTTTCTCTACGTTGCTGAAACTTATTTCGATGATTCCGGGAGACTTCGCCGGGAGGCTCCGGGTTTTGCTTTCCTTATCCAGGTCTCCTGATTATCTTAAATTTTCTCCCTATTTCTCTCTTTTCGTTTACCAGAGGTATTCTCAAATTAACCTGATTAAAATATGACTTCCATCGTGACGAAATTTTTTGTTAATCCTTACGAACTAGTAAAGTACACTTAAAGATCGGTAAGAAGAAATTCCATGTCAAAGTTTTGTCGTTACCTGATCGCCCAGAACAACGTTTAACAAATATGCTGCTTATTCAACAAATTCTGGATATCTTCTTGTTTTTGGCCGAGTCGACCTGTTTTTGTTATGAGAAAATCCAAAATCTTCAGACTTGAGAATTTTAGGTTAACAAGTCTGTATGAATCTTTTCCAAAAGCTTTGGTTCCAATGGCTACGACTACTTACAGGTAAATTTACGCTGAATAAATGTTGTTTTTGATTAGGTTTCCCAAGAACATCCTCTTTCTAAAGTTTGCAATTACTTCTGCAATATTGTTAAAAAATTGAAAGTAACGTGTTTGATGTTAAATACAATCGCTTCAGCTTCAATTTTTGGAGCACTATGATTCCAGTTCTTAGCTGTTTCACAACCATCTTCTTTTTTGCTGTTTTATAGACCGACCAGACAATGTCAGAATAAAAGCATCAAGTCTGAGGCTATTAAATGGTTCAGCCGTTACATACACGTGTTCTGCACGTGCCAATCCGCCTGCAAGATACAGGTTCTACAAAGTGACTGGATCAACTGTAAAACTTGTCCAGGACTCCGCTTTTGCCGTGTACTGGATCAAAAAGATCAATTATGCAGATTACATTGGATTTGAAGCAACTGTAAAATGCATCCCATACAATTCCTTTGGGGATGGTCCAAGCAGGAATGCAACAGTGTATATTCAAGGTATGGAGCTAAGCCAACAACCAAACCTTTAATACTTTCAATAACTGTGCTCGTCTGGTAGGCACAGAACTGAAAACAGAACGGTTCAAGTGGTATTATGTTACATTCATGACCACCTTTGTTGGTATCATTCGCGTTGTAGTCAGTTCCTTTTTCAGCAATATAATATTTACAGATCATTGTTTTTTTGCAAAGCGTTTAGTTTGATTGCCTCTTTACTTTGTTGACATTACTTTTTTATATTTATCTCCTTTTAATAAGAAGCACGGTGCTATGAAAGAGCTACATTAAGATCGAACAATTTCGGATGGAAAAGTTTTGAAAAACAACTTCGGACAATAACTTCTCACGTATTTTCAATAACTTCAAGAAAATAGTTTTTTGGATGATGCCAAAATAGATACTAAAGCTAACTATGAGTTCACGTTATTCAATCATGTAATGTAAATTTACTATATTGGTTGATGCCTTCTTTTCTATATAAACTAACTCTGATGATTTTTTTCACTAAACAGTTGAAAAATCAATTCTGTTTTATAACAAAGTCTGATTATTAGCAGCAAAGCGTCTACTCCTGGTTGTAAGCATAATTCCTAATGATCTATGTTTTATTTCAGTGAACCCACTAATAAGTGTACCATCTTCACTTACTGTTAATGAAGGCAAAAATGTCACCTTAAATTGCACTGTGGTGGTAGCCAATCCTGCGCCTGCAATAACTTGGAAAGGCCCAGCAAACAATGTCTTATCACACACCAATGGAGTACTTTTTATGCCATCAGTCAGTAGGAGCCAGAATGGAACATACACATGCCAAGCTTCAAACGGTCATGGAATGCCTGCTACCAAGACGTCCTCTCTATTTGTGCACTGTAAGTAAATCAAACTTTGATGGTGCATGCTTCCTAACATGTTACATAATCTTCTGTTACACAAAAACAGTTTCTTAGGATTTCCTTAGGGGAGTCGTCTCCTAGGCATTAATGGGACATTGAAATTCAAATGAACAAAGATTTACAATATATGTTAGTATACCATCATATTTACCAATATGTGTTTCACTCGTCCGTACCTAACACCACATCCTCCCCTCGTTCGACAATACAGAATTGAACTTATTGACCCTGTTAGCTCCTTAATAGCTTGAAAATTATTAATGACTGATTGAATATCGATGTTTTCCAAACTGATTGCATTAGCTAAGCGTTATGGTTTATGTGACTTCTTTGCAGATGGATCCGAGTTCACGAGCAACAGCTCTAGCATAACTGCTTGCAGGCCACAAAGACCTATCATTAGATGCGTTGCAGATGGCTTTCCTGTACCAACAGTTAGATTAATGTTTTCAAATACTGAGAAGGCAAGAGGACATGGACAAGTTACTCATGTAATAACTGACTTGGCAGACAGTACCTTCGGAGTATACACATGCTTGGCAAACAATACCGTCAAGGAAGTGAACATAACTAGAACCTTGGTTAAAAAAGGTAATTAGAAGATTAATCATAGCTTTCTGAAGGGCTTAAACCGTTCCATAGTTCCGTCAAAAAATGGACTACTTCTTTGATTTTTTTTTCTAAAGAAATTGACGACTTAAGCGGAAGAATGGTGGTTTTGATCATTTCTCGCTTGAAAAGTGGCAAAATGATGACATCATGAAACTATTTTTAAAAAGTCATGAATTTAGACCAATAATCCGAAAGTGCACCGTAAAATTCTTCTTAATGTGAAAACGTAGTTAAATCCATCACAAGTTGGTTCAGTAAAAGTCAGTGAAAGACATGAAATTTACCAAGGATCACTGACTTGGTTCATAAAGTTTAGAACCAATACCAAATGTCACGGATTTAATACGGAAGAAGGCTGTAATCGCGCTGCTTTTTATATATGCGAACTTTTTATAATTATCTTTCTGTCCAAATCCACAAACTCTAGAAATATATTTTTTCAAGTTGTGATCCAAGACTACATTCTTTCAATCGCATTTTACTTTACTTTTTTCCTTTCAAGTCTCACCAGACCAAAAAGTATATTTCCATAAAAAATTTTCTCCACTAAGTCAACTAATGATTCTATGTTTTAGATGCTCCTGATCCCGTAACAAATGTTGGCCTAAAATCAACTACGTACAGCATCGAAGTAGCATGGCGCTTGCCCGTGTGCAAAGGAGTGCGAGGAATAAAAGCAATCAGGGTAAAATACAAAAAGATTGGCGTCTCAAACTGGGAAGCAAAGAACGAAACAAAAAGTACCAGCAAGGCCATTATTGCTAAACTAGATAGTGACACAGAATATGAAGTGCAAGTGTTTATTGTTGATGGAAATGACGAAGAGCATCCCAGCCTCCGGTTTTCAAAAAGAACAGGTAATGTTTCGGGATATCTATTGTGTATTTGCTGTTTCCAACTTTGTTGTTCATGCTTCCTGAGAATTTCTACTTACCATTCTTCGAAACTTTATTGAGATATTTTGATAAAATTATTTTGTATCTTATTGTTGGAAATGTTGCTTCTTTATCTGATACCTAATAAAACCTGCATTTTCTCATGATACATGAAACTTAACTGTATTCCGTGTATTATTTTGTTGCACGGTATTTTACTGAGATTGATGATATTCTTGATGTAACAGAACTTTGAATAATATTACAGTATTTCACTTGATATTCTTCATTTTACTCCTTTTGATTCAATCTCACTTCTCACACGATATTGTTGTCATACACATTTGATATTTTACAATGTTAAGTGATATTGTCCTGTTTTACTAGCTATCATGATATATGACATTCTGTTTTGATATTGCTAAATGACACTTCATTGATTTTTATGACATTTATCATGTCTGATGATACCATATAGTATTATATGTTGGTTTATTGATATACGTTTATCATAATGTTGTGATGTGCTACGATCAGATATTTTACCTTTGTTCTTGATATTTCACAATATTGGCCGATATTGGATTATTTTGCATGATATCATATTATTTATCTTGATGCTTCACATTTGTATGACGCTAAGATATGTTTAACTATAACTATAGTGTGCTTTGCTTAATGCTTCGTTTCATATTATTCATTATACGCTGCTCAATCTTCGCTTTATGGCCCTATTAGGTGTTTTTAATTGATGTTCGTCTTTCTACATAATTTCATTTTGTTTTTTCTATGTTATTTCGATATTTTACATTACACAGTAGAATATTTTCTTGCACAATATTCCACTATCATGTATGACACAATTACATTTAGTTCAATGATACTTCGCTTTTGTTCATGATATCATATTTATTGCATATGGTTAATTTTTACTGTGTTACATTACGATTTCTAAGTTGTATGTTACTATTCTGTGCTACATGTATCAATAATCACTATTATATTAAATTGTATCAATAATCACTATGCCTTGATGAAAATTGATAGTACTTTTTGTTATAGTGACAGAGCAGCGATAATTTGGTTGTAGAACAACACGGCTACAACTCTCTGAGCTTCATGCCTAACGTGGCCATTAGGTAGATTGGTTACATGTGATGGCTGCATGTCTCTATACACAGTGTATTTTACTATGTTCAACGATTTTCTTTATTATGCAGTATCGATTATGACATTATGACGCGTTAGCCTTCTTTATTTACTATAATTAAGACCGAAATAAAGTATTCAAAACGAACGGAAAGGGGCAAAAAGTGACTTGATACACGTTGTGAAAAGGTCTAGAATTGATATTTGACAAATTTAGGGGTAATGCTTCTCTTATCTTAAATTTGGTCCTAATACTGCATATGATATTGTACCTGACGTTATAGCGTGATACAGCTGCATGCCGCTAACCTTGCATGCAGCAAGGGTTTTGTAAAAATTATCAGTATGGACTAGCCATTACATTTCAATATTAAACTATTCTATTTATGTAAAATATTTGCACTTTGTTTTTTTTTAATCTGCTAGCCAAAGATTTGCAGTAATAGCGCTATTGAAGTAGCCTAAAGTAACCGAATGAAAATTATTATTCATTATTATTCATTAAATCGTATGAATGTTTTTTTGTCCGAAGAAGGCACATCAAGCATGACGTCAGAGACAAATAGTCTAGCTTCCAGTTGTCTACGTCCGATTTAACTTTATACGATTTTCCCAAATACAGCAGAGCCCAAAGTTCTACTGAAACTATAAGGTAATGAGTATTCAATGTTCATAATCTCTTAGTCTTATTGATATGATGAAAAACACAATCGACAGCTTGTTTTGATGTAGACACCATCAAGACATGCATCTCCATAAAGGTTCTGTTATTTTACATCTTTATTCTACAAGTTTTCTTCTTAACGTATTGAGGGAGTATAGAACTTTTAGAGATGATAAAAAGTTAAAAACACAATTTTCAAACCTCTTGAGTCGCGCTTGTTAAATGCTTTCAAAATTTGAAAAAATTTGGCATCTATAATATTATCAAGATAAATTATCAAAGCTTTTACTTCTTTTAATACCAACTGTGTGGTATTGAATGAAAAATTATTTTTTGTTTATGAAGATTTCCCCCTCCCAGATGACACGGATCTACAATTTGGTGAAAAAAGGCAATGGTATGCAAAAGCTATGTTTAAAAGTGATGGTTGACTACACAAATTGTTATGTAGCCAGGTAAGAGTCTCGGGAAATATCACCCGATAATTTCTCTAAGCGTTTAAAACAATTGTATCAATGAGCACCTCGGTGATGACTGCATCAAATTGGCCAGACAAATTGTCCTACTTTTACATGCAAAGCATATATTTTCCGACTTGTGCGAGATCCAACTATGAAATGGCTGCAGCCATATGTAGCACTGCAGAAGAAAAACGTATGATAATGCTTCAGTTTTTTCTTGATTGTTAGCGATTCTATTCTGTAAGCTAAAACCACAATTCCTTCTATAGGTGCATGGTTATCAGATGCCAGTGCATGATGTCACAGGAATTTAGAGCCGAGCCTCCTATGTTTTATCGCTGATTGACTCCTTCATCTGCTGTTCATCACCGCCATCTCCTGACTTGATTGGCAAAGAGGATTCTTAATCTAACTGTCAGTTAATGACTCGTTTTTCATGCATTGTTGTATTCAATAACGATCTACTCAATAAACGGGGTTGGGTTTTCCCCAAAAATATCAGATAGTCTATCGTAAATATTGGCATATATTGGCAATAGTTCATCGCCATAATTTTACCAAGTCATATTTTGCTTTAAATTTTTAAAGACATTTTCGATAGCCATTCTTAATTCTTGTGTATTTTGCCTGGTTCCAGCTTGATTTGATTGCAATAATTGCATCGAGAATGCTCCCTTTAAAAAACGTTGGCATCTTCAGTAGCTTCCAAATAACGGGACCGCCAGCACCACCAGGCAGAATTGAGTGATAATGCAGCTTCCAGTTCACTATGACACTTGCATCTAAATAGGCTGTGTTATGCTTGTCCTATTAGATTGCAAGATAACCAGTCAATAGACAAGTTAGTTAAGCGTGTTGTACGTCAAATGTTTACTTAAGCAAATCATTTAACAAAGAATTTTTCATTTACAAAGAAAAAACAATTAACATATCTTTGTGATGGGTATAAAAAACAGAAACATTACACGTCAAGATCTTATGTCATATATTAAAAGTTTTTATTTTCAGATACACATCGCAAATATCTACTGAATTCAAAGTATAGGTTCCGAATCTTTGATTGGTTGAGAGACTAAATTCTCAATACCATGTTGACCAATCAGAATTCAAGAATATGACAACAAACATGCCACGCAGCTAGAATCAGGCCTATTTCGCACGTTTCACCAACACCTACAAAAAATAAACGTGTAAATTGTGCTGAAAGTCTCTCAGCCAATCAAGGTTTGAAACTTATGCTTGGAATTCAATAATCAATTGGTTTACAAGTCATGGTACGTGGAAGAAGACTAAAAACAATTAACAGATTTGATTTAAAATGATTTTTCGGAGCTTTTCAGGCATCCTTATGGCCTAAAAATTAGACTTTATTGTCATGCTTGTATTGAAAAAGTTTTACCTTAACTTAAACCCCAGGCATTCGCTACCTCAGCGATAGAAATATAAATGCCAGGATTTTTTACAGAATATTCTATACATTACATCAAAGCAACAATTCTTCCATGCAAATGATCTGCGAATGGCTTCATTATTGAACGGAATTGCTTTGTATACACCTTGCTCATTAAGTTCTCGAGTTCATTATAGGAATTGTAGAATCGGTCTTCAGTAGTTCCCAGTTCTTTGGCTTGTGTTCGTAACTGCTTGAGGTAGGCGTAGAAGAGCAGTTGATTCAGCGGACAATAATAGGCCACATCTTTGTATGGAAACTCTGCTACAATTTTGTTTTTAGAGAAGCTATCAAGTTGACAGACCACAACTGGCATGCTTTCCGTCAAAGACCCGCTAGAATACCTTATAAGACCATTCAAGTCAATGTCCTTGTTGCTGCTCAGGATATCAATTATAAGGCTAATTTGCTCCGCATGCGCAGGGTTTAGGTGCTGCATTATCTGAAAAGCTTCGTCCACTCTGTCTTGCAATTTTGTTCTTTTCAATGTGGAGCCACATTCAAGGCTTTCTTTTTCCCGACCTTTTCTATGCACTTCCTCATCAAGCTTCATGTTCTCGATCCAATACAAACATTTTATATATACCCAGGCAACTTGGCAGTAAATCAAAAGTTTCTCTTCGCATTTGGAAAAACTTGATGTGTCAAGTCTTCTCAAAATCTCGATCAGGGCATCAATGACAACCGATTCATCGTAATGTTTACTTCTTGATCCATTCACAAAAACCCTGGACACCTCTTTGTGTACTTTTGCGCAGTAATATATCTTAAAAAGACAACCCAGATTCCTAGTCCACTCAGGTTTGCTATCGATGTGGCTTCGGTGCATTTTCTCTGATTCTAATAGGGAATATTGGAGACTGTAGAAATATTTATCCATATTTCTGGCACAAATCTCATACCACAACCCATCAGATATCCATATCTGTCCATATATATCAGACAACAAGTCGTCACAAATTTTCACAGCCTTTTCCAGTTGTTGATCAGCTATATCTCGAAACAGATTATTTTCTTCAATGAAATAATGTGGACATTTTTTTGACTTTAGCGATTTACGTAAGCCTTTCAATACCAAAAATAAACATGTAACAAGGTTTTCTGGCCTCCAAATTCCAGGATTTTTTGCTTCAACAAGGTAGAACATAATGTTTTTGATGCTGTATGATGTAATACCAAGTTTAGAAAGATAATCTGTATGTAACGTTTTCATAATACGGTAACAACTCTTTTGAGTATCACTCCATCGATCAACAAGGGTTACTTCAGCAATAGAAAACGACAGTCGCCATTCAAAAGGGTAGTCTCCATCGTTATTACCAAAACAACTACTCTTTGCAACAAGATCTACTCCATAACCAGTGATTTCATTTATAAGCTTCTTTTCAGGAAAATTATATCTCCGCCTTCGCCGCTTCCATTCAGCTGCTTGAGTAGGCCAATGGGGACAGTGCAATGCAAAAACCATATCTAGGGGGCTGATTTTCACTCGCTGTGGCAAACCAGATATGTTCCAGTACATCTTACTTGCCGGACCACACTGCTGAAACATCAGCCAGCCAGCGAATCGCTCACGATTAAACTTCTCGTGCATCATAATAAAGTTATCTGATCGCAAAAATTGTCCAGTTAGCCTCGAGTTTGTTGCCTTGTATAAATCATGGCTGCAAATGACCTCTCTTTCGAAAAACTCCATAATCTTTTCTATTTCTAGTGAAGCATGGAACTCCCCTTTCATTGCAATATGCCTAAAGTCATTAACAATTTGTTTGATTGGTTTGACAACTTTTATATAGACGTACCCTGGTACACTGGCATCAACAATTTGCGTATTGAAGGAAACATCATTCTTGGAGTTTGGGGCCATGGCTTGACCTAAGACGTCAAAGTTCTTGTATATGTACATAATATCAATATCACTCGAAGCATCTGCATAATGCAATGACGCAATCGTCTCCCTGTAACTTCCTACATACCGTACCCTGACTATGTCTTTGCCATAAATCTTGCTAATCAAGGACTCTTCGAATTCCATGTAAGGTATGAGAAACCTTGCTCTCGTCCGCCACCAAATGTTTGTTTTGTCCAAAACGTCATGCAGGAAAAGGCTGAGATTGCAATTATCAACCCTGCAGGACGAGAAATCTAGACGTAACTTTATCTGATATTTTAAAAATAGTAAGAAAGTCACACTACTTCATAACGCTGGGCACTTTTTTACAGGAAACCCGGTGTAAAGAGTTGACAGAATAATGTCAGAAAATATTTTGCGGTAAGTAGTATAAAAAAATTTCCGTCAAAATAAACTACGCCCCATGCTGTCTGATCCATGCTTGGCTTTTAGCGAATAACAGAATAGCACCAAGATTGGGTCATAAAACCAGAGCTGACTGAGCACTTTTGATCATCTCAAGATTCCAATTGAACCTTAAAGGTATTTGACACAGGTAAAAGTGGCTTACAGCCACTCGATCACGAGCGATGGACCAACCAAATTGCGCACAGAGAATAACACATGAACAGTTTCCGCCTTTCTGCAAATCGGCGAAATCCTAGAGCAGCGCGCAGTGGTTTCACGTGAGCAGTTTTCAATTCCCTTCTTGTGCGCGTGCTCTGATCAATTTGGCCTAAGTTATTTTTGGATTCGCTGTACTTATGCATGTCAAAAGCCTTTGAAATAAAATGTTACCTGGGGAGACGAGCAAAGTTTTAATGAGAGCGGCAACTGGAGTCAAAGAGCATGCGCATGGAACGAAGTTGTTATTACGCATGCTCTCTGACTCCAGGACGGAGCTCGTTTGAAGATTTTCACTCGCTCGTCTCTCAAACAAATATGTGCAAAAATCAGCCGGCGGGCTATTTTCTTCACGATCTGAGCGTGATGTGAAATGACGATGAAGTGAAATGAAATGAAACTAGGGATAGCAGGTAAATATGGCAGGGGAATGAAAATTTGTCTTGGACTGGCTGGAGACAGGGTGTCGTGTCAAAGAGGGAAATTTAAACTGACCGAGACAATCGCAACTTGCGGGGGACGTGGGGGGATTGGAAAAATACAAGGGTCATTTGATTTTACGAACGGGGACGGTCGGGACATTTCTTACTGACACGGTTTCACCGGGCATGGTACACTGGGATCGACTTGAGTAACTTATGAAGGCAAATTACGGGTAGCTGCTGTAACAAAATCTTACAGAAAGGATATCAAATTACCCAGGCAAATAATCCAAGTAAACAGAACTAATTGCATTCATTACCTGCCTGTAGTTTGACCATGCTTCCAATACGAAAACGTGTTAACTTTGCCAAACAACTTGTAAACAAAAATCTTCCAGCATCGTGAAACTCTGTGAATTATCTTGAAACAAAGTCTTTTCAAATTCGTGGCTGTAGATACGCTGTAAAGGGACACGATTATAAAGCCAAGAATCCTCAATAACAATTCGGAAATCATATTTGCAAAGGAAGCTAATTTTATAACTTCAGAGTGCTTCTGCTTCAGAAACAGGAAGAGCGCTGGTGAAAACCCATTTTCCAGCATGGGTACTTTCCCGAAAGAAATGCTTCTAATCCTTTGTTGACAGATCTGGACAAACTCATCATGTGATGCTCATCACTCGTGTCATAAATCAGGCAACATTCAAGAGGTTGTAGTATAGTGTATAGTGTCGGGGGAGGGCTCGAGGAACATTGTCTTTGCCTCGCCCCTATTTTCCGCTTTATTCTTTGTCTTTCGACACACCTCCTTCACTATCTTACTCTCCTCCACAGAGGCAATTGTAAAGAAAGGTGGAGCTGCGGAGAATATGAAGGGAAGGCGCTGTATATTTTTCAATTATTGATACCGATTCTCCAGTTAACTGAAGCTCAATATGATAGTTGTATGTGACAATCTTTGGGTGATTTAGTTCTACCTTTTTCTAGCTACAGGGGAAGCACGTTTAGATATTAACACGTTCAATGACTTTCCTTCCTGTCTTATCACAGGCCTACTGAAAAAACTTGCAAATATTTTTTCTAAAGAAATTCCAGCGGTCAATAAAAAGGATCTCCAGTAACACAACTCCGTCTTATCAATGTATCAAATACAATAGATTAACATGAATTACTTTGACTGTATAACGACTTTGTTAATTTTCGAACTATTCAAAGTTAATATCTCATTATAACCAAAAACACGAGCTAAGAGAATGTTAAAACGAAGGCCTAAGGTCTGGAATAAATATTGTGAATGCAGATTTCCTTGAAGCTTTTGAATTTAATTTTTACGTTACTTTGGCAGAGAGCCCTATTGTAAAGAATTTTTCTCTTTGTACTCTGAGGTCCTTAAAAGAAGGGGGGTCTTGATAGTTGGGGGGGGGAGGTTCAGAATTTTATAAAAAATAAATAAGCGGGGGGGGGTCTTAGTAAGTAGGGGGTGTCCGGAAATGTGAAAAAAATCTGAAAAATCACGTGATGATTATTTTTTGGGGTCAAAGGAGATTTTCTTCCTGAAATTTAGGCCTGTCCACGAAGGTCGAATAATCGGTATTCGTTACCTGTTTCAACTATTCGGTTAGCTGAAGTCAAAAGCGAATATTCGGTTACAAACGAATAGTTCGAATAGTACGATTATTCGGTTACAAACGAATAGTTCGAATAGTACGATTATTCGGTTACAAACGAATAGTTCGAATAGTACGATTATTCGGTTACAAACGAATAGTTCGAATAGTACGATTATTCGGTTGGAGACGAATAGTGCGAATAACCTCACTGTTGGAGGTCCACAGTGGTTGTTTGAATAGCCGTGACTCATCGAATAGCGTTGACTATTCGAATAACCGTGACTGATCGAATTGTCGTAACTGATCGAATAACCGTGACTGGTCGAATAGCAATTGCCAACCGAATAGCACTGACTGGTCGAAAAGCAAAGATTGTTCTAAAGGAGAAAGGCAACTTCCTATCTTCAATCTTAGAGAGAGTTTCATGTTTCATGGGCCTTCTTTAAAAAACGCAATCCCAAGAAATAGTTACAAAGCCAATGAAGCAAGATTGGAAGGGGGCAGGGGAGAGTGGAGCCTGGGATGCAGGTGGGGGTCATGGGGCTTTTTCTCGGAAAATGGTTGTGCTACAGTGCCTCCGACGAAGGGGAAGCCGGGGGGCTATGGCCCTACCACTATTTTGCAGAATAATATAGCTTTTCACAAAATCATTTGTTGTGAGTGTTAAATTTTCTTTTGCCCCCCCCTTCCCAACCTGTGTTGAAGCCCGCGCTAGAAAGCTTTTCACTTTTAAAAATGTTGGAAAACGACCCTTTTTGAAAACGTACGACTATGGTTTCTCGTTAATTTGATACTGACTTTCCGGCCATTAGGGGCAACTAATGCTAGGGAAGGTTCTAGAAAACATTTATTTTTGACAAAAACTCGTTTTAAAAATTGCTTTGCAGCACACCCTTTGAAGTTACGTAAAACACAGGAAATATCAATAGGAAAACAAAAAATTAATGGTTCTGACTTATCGAATAGTAATGACTGATTAGCTATATTCACAGGTTGGTTAAATTACAAGAAATTTTCAGATTGCAATTTTTTACCACCACCCTGCCACACCCATTTTACCACACCCATATTCGCCGAATAACCGAATATTCGTTAAATTTTAAGCCGAATAACCGAATAGGAATATCCGAAGGTTTGGACAGCCCTATTCTGAATACAATTGATAGCAAAATGACAATTATCACCATGTAATAATGTATTGTTGTATTACTAAAATGAGCAGGCTAATTATCATTGTGTACATCAGTCAGGCCTATGTAAATTTTTTCGGATGTTATACTACTTTTCTATGTTAAAACGTTTGTTCAATGCAACCTCTTCATTCAAGAGAAACTTTACAGAAATTTCACACCAGAAGAACAAATGACAAATGAAATAAGGGATATGAATGATTTCATATAAAAATTAATAAGCGGGGGGTCCAAATAAGCTCCGGTGGGGTCAGAAAAAAATCGAAAAATTAATAAGCGTCCCCCCTTCTATTAAGGACCTTAGAGTAGATAAATTATTATAGGCTACCCACTTTGAATATATATCATATTATTATTAGCATGTACAAGAAAGCATTAACCAATATAAATAGGAAACAGATGGAGCATTGAAAAAGGGGGGGGGGGGGTTGGTGACGCCTCTTCAAGAGATATCTAAGCATTATTACAGCTGGTCAAGAGATATCTAAACATTGTCGTTTAAATTTGATCTTTAGAAAAGGTTCAATAAGAATTAGACCTTTATTAATCCGAGCAAATTTAGAAAAATTTCAAAATAACGTCAGGTTTGGATGCAGTAGATAAAATAATGCTAATTAAGATATAAAACTGAAACTATGTTACAAAGGTTTCATAACCTTAACCTTTACTCTCAATTACTCAATCCTCTCACTGATTTTACATGTTCAGTCGTCTTACGATTCAGTTATAATTCAGACCAGTGGTGGCGCCAGGGAGGGCTAGGGGGGGCTACAGCCTCTCCATCGGAAGCATCTAGCCCCCCATCGGAGGAAAATTTTAGGTTATTGTCGGAGCAAATTTGACAAAATAACGTACGAAAACTGCATATTTTAGTCATTTTAGCCCTCCTGTCGGAAGCTCCAACCCCTCTGTCGGAAGATTTCTGGAGCCACCTCTGATTCAGACATGATCTGTAGATGGTAGCTTAATCATTAGTTAAAGCATCTGACCTGTGTCTGAGGGCATGAGACTGCAGAGATCTGTCTTACTCTGTACTGGTCTTTTAACACATGAATTGATACACCAATCATAATGACATAATGTAAGTGAGAGTTAAACATGCACCGCTATGACTGGTTTAGTCTGCTCAGATGTCAGCACCAGCACCATTTTGCATATTTCAATTCCATACCACATTAAAGGCAAAGAATTAAATTTTTTTGGTGTTCTGTATCATCTAGGCAAACGTTTTAAAATAAAACAGTCCCTCGTCTTGAATTCCAACGCAATGCTAAAATATTTACACATCTGCAAATTGCAAATCTTTCATTGATGTATTCTGCGAGGTAGGAAGAAACATCAGAATTGCAACCGCACCGTTGAAAATATAGCATAGGAAATAGGCATTGTATGCTTGATAAAAGATTTTCAACAATTTTAGCGGGCGTTGGAGCCAGAGCGCCCGGAGAACTGGAAGCGGCGTTGCTAGCTAACGCGTGGGACGCATTTCGCTTACTACACCCAGACAGCCACGCGAAGAGGGGGGGGGAGGCCCCGAGCTAAGAGGTTATAGCAGTGTTCTTAACAACAAACAACAAGAACAACAATCGCAGTTTTAATGACGTCATCACGGGCCCAATCTTCATTCCGGTCCCAGGCCCGATAAATGCTCACGATCAGCGTGGATCCAGTATATTGTTTTTCTGAAAGGTTTTCAAAGCCAGGGTTATCAGCTAGGGGCCTCTGGACTCTTATTGTGATAAATTCCTAACAAGCCCCAAATCTGAAAGCGAGTTCAGCAAGCAATTAGCTGGAAATATCAGCAATGGCAAAGATGTCATCTGCCACTGGCATGAAATAGAATTCGTTCTCTAGAACATACTCACAAAGATTTGTCTGTTCCCTTCTTTTTCCCCTTCATTTTGTAGCTCAAGTATCAAAACCACGAAATAATCGTTATTGACCTATACCTAGGCGATAAGTGCTTCAAAAAGCATCATTGAACAAGGTAGGAAAATCAATATAGATTTTGCAATGAAAAATACCTTGAAGATTGTAACTCATTGCTCAAGCGATTTGTTTTGGTCACTTTTTCGGTCATTAGAAGGGGAATCCCAGTTTCCGAGCCGTATTCTTTTCAAAATGGATTCCCCAACTTTGCTTATTGGTGTTGTCTCAATTTTGGTAACAGGCAGCACAGTCACATCCTGTCCGATCTGTTTGCGCTTTCCATCACCAATTTTATTCTCCGTCGTATCCAAACACTTTCCCTCAGTTATTAGTTCAACTGAACTCTTTTCTTCAGTGACAACTGTAGCTGACGTATGGTCATCAGTGTATTGCACCAGGCCACTTGGACCCGGTGTAACATTGTCAGCCTCAATCGCGTCAACTCGAGAATCTGATTCTATTGTAATGTTTTCGTGTAGTTTTTCGCTCTCTTCTTCGGACTTTTCAACTATTTCGCCTACTCCTTCTGACTTTTCAACTATTTCGTCAACAACCTTAAATGACGCTTCTTCAGGCTCCTTTTGTCTGTGATAAACAGTTTTAAAATTGTCCGGTGATCTTTTTATTTTCTCCTCTGAAAAAAGCATAAAAACTTCCAAAAATAAACAAAAGGAAAATCGTTTTTTTTTTAAAGTGGAGTTTCATGAATAAAGCAGTAACACAGTTTAGAATTCCATCATAGCAGAGAGAACATTTTCGATATCTTATCAAAAATCATTGAGCAAGCAAGATCGCCTTTTTAGCTCAGTGTTTTTGAATCAGTTTCAGATTGAATCTGTCTACATTCATATATAAAATCACAAAGTGAGTGGACAGAATGTTCTACTTTCCACAGTTCAACTGCATACAAACGTGTTGAATGCAATAAGCACCGACTGGTGGAAGCAAGGGAAGAAGCTAACCAAACACGAAACTCTTCTTCTAACAACTTTTACCGTCTTTTCATTATTTGACGTTGCTCAATTCAAAGGTTAAACATTAAAGCGTCAAGCTAGCTATATAAAGGGGTACATTGGTACCTTGACCTTTTCGTAAGACGACATTTCATAAAAGCCTTCTTCTCATTAAAAGAACGGATCGTATTAACTCACATTAACTGAATGCATTGAGTTAAATAACTTTTCAATGCTGATGCCAAGACACATACATAAAACCATAAACAATACCTGATCTTCTTCTTGATGTTCCTGTTCCATCCTTGCTTTGTTCTCTCGATTTCCTATCTCTATGACCAGAAGAATGCCTGCGAGTGTCTGCAGCTTTGTTGCTACCTTTAACCTGTCAGGTTATACCAATAACGCTTCCAATATCAACAGAATAACGAAAGAATAACGAAAAGAAGGATGAAAGCGATGCATCATAGTATTTTGACTGTATTAGAAGAAATAAATCCCCGTTCTTAACTCTAGCCCTTCGATTGTCATTGAGAAATTGTTTCCCTTTTTTTAAATCTAACGCAGAAGCTGGCTTTGACGTGTCTCATTGTTGTACATTTGAAATTTGGTTTTCCTTCCCGAAAATTATCGCTGACTCAGTTGGAAAGAGGGCTTGAACTCCAAACCACTCGGCTCTGTGCTCAGCGTTTCAACAAATGAGCTACACTTTATCTCATAGAGTTTTTACTTGTGACGTGATAAAAATCCGTTTTTAGAATTTTTAATTTGCCACATAACCTATCACGACACGATAATAATATTTCAAAAAACGGATGAGATATGGCCAATTAGGAGACCAAATTACAGAGCTTTGATAGGAAAAGATCCTGGGCTCATGTGACCATATCTCAGCCAATTCATAACACATTTAACTCATTTTGCACATTTTGTGGTATTTCATGATACCCCTTCAGGTTTTGGTATCCAAATTCTTGAAATAGACTTTTTGACATCATTACTTAAGAACACTTTTAAGAATTTAAACACTATAAAAACAAATCTTGACAAAGTAGCCTATAGCTAAACTTGCAACAAAATTTGCCAATTTTCCAATAACTTCAAAACCATAAGTTTTTAACTTGATAAAAAATTAGTTGAAATAAACTGGGTTTTTCTCAAACAAAGCAGTACTTTTATTGACTATTTCCCTGAGTACACCTTTAGCTCTCCCGCATAAAATTTTGTTCATTTTCTGAAAATATATTTATTGAAAACACACCTCTGTGTTTCTAGAATGCTCTCTACCATCACGGTGCTCCCTTCTGCTACTGATATCTTTTGAATCAGTGGATTCGACTTTCCCACCAAATAACATAAACTGTTTCAGCCCTTGTATCTGCATATTTAGAGCCTCTATCTAAAATATAAGACTTTCATTTTCAGATTCTTGATAATCCATATACAAACTTACAGAGGTTTTTGGAAATGATTCTAAGTAACTGCTACTTTAAGATGAAAGAAATGATCCCATCAATCTTTTTAAGACAAAAAGTAAGCAGGAAATATGCAAATAAATAGAAAATGATACTATCAAATGAAAAATTAAAGTTTTCAGAAATGGGCTAAACTGATATTGCCTTTGACATGCACAGCTTTATTCAAGTGAATAATGTGTTATTAATCTTCACTATTTCCTTACTGACATAATTGGAAAATTAAGTTCACTCAGGCAGTTCTCAGTGTCATCCCACAGAAACAAAAATGATGTAACAGCATGAAGTTTTGACTCGATAGAAGTAGGCTATATGCTAAGATATTGTGTTTTACAGTTAATCAATATTGAAGAAAACCCAAACCTGTTTGTCTTTCTCTTTCAATTTGTCATTGTCCATGTCATTTTTGGGTTGATTTTCTAACTGTTTTTCTAGCTGACCTATAACCCAAATAAGCTTATCCCTTTCAATTTCCCTAGACACCATTTGAGATTTCAGATCAAGGTTCTCCTCTGTTAGCTTTTGCACCTTCATTTCTTCAATTCCTAAATAAGCAAGATAGGAGACAGATCAAAATAAACAGGAAGGTATATACCAGAGCAAAGTATTATGATAAATAAGGCTGGTCTATCTCTTGTTTAGATAACATTTGATTAAGTATGTGGTGAGCAGACATTGGTCTTTACTTTGAATTAGAAAAAGAGCTTTTGAAAATGAAAAAGAGCACATTTCTTGAGCTGAAATTAGCATGCTTCAAAAAAACATTGGGGGAATGCTGCTCTAGTTTCTCTTAACTTTCTATAGCCATGGATAGCACTAACCATTTCTCTTAGAAAATAGTTCAGTTTCAACATGTCAGTAGATAGGCTGTATTATACAGTCAACTTACTCCTGGCACTTCTACTATCTTCATTTTCTTTCAGCATCTTTGATTGGATCTCCTTAGAACCTGCGTCTGCATACTGATGCAATGAGCTATTCATAAGATGCAGCTTATCAACTTCCTAAATTATAAATGACATCACTATGATAAATGATTCAGTAACAAATTCCCAACTTCAAAAGCAGCTTGACATCTTAAAATTATAGCAATAGCAACCACCTTTTTACTTCAAGTTTTCCCTTCTTTACCTCCTTAGTAGAGATTGGATATATATCCTTCTTTATTTGATCTAACATTATATGTCTAAGGCATGAATTATTCCTACCTATAATCAATCCTTTATGACTGCAAATAAAAACCTATTGTTCTATTGTTCCTTAAAATGTGAAAGCATATATCTGATGCCCAAAATAAATTTCAGTGAATCTCTTACTAATAACTTCATAACTTTTTCAATCAACTATATCTAGTAATTTTAAGTAAATACCTGCAAAACACTCATGATGAAACTCAAAATGGCTTCCCTTTGATCTTGGGTGAACATGTCAAGCAAAGCTTTTTCTCTGCATGAACTAAACAATGATTCCATTGCAATACCTTCAAAGAATATTTGTTATTATTTTCTCAAATGTAGACATAATTCAAGTTCAGTCAAATGCATTACAAAGGCAATTTATCTTCCAAACACCTCTGCTAACAATTCATTATTAAGATGGACAGGTTTTCCAGTAGGCAATTACACTGAACTCTCAAAGATTTCAAACTAAAACTTCCTCTGCAGAAAGGTGGTCCTTACTAATTCCAAATTACCCTAACTAGCATGTAAATTTATATGCTGTTAGTATGTTTGCAGAAAATCTCAATGGAAATCAAGTTTACATGTTGCAATCATGCCTACATGCATGTCCTATTTTCACAAAGAAATTTAACTGACAAAATTTCCATACTAAAGACATTGTGTCAACTCACATTTCTCTTTGAGTGAATCTGACAATGCATTCTGTTTCTTCCTGTGACACTCTACCAAAGCTTTAAGATCTTCCCCAGAAGCAACTAATTGCTCTATAAAACTGTTTGCAGTTGAAATAAGTGCAAAAAATGTATTGAAATTAGATGGATTACATTCACTATGAAGGATCCATCTTTGAAGAGTTCTGGCTGCATCAACAAAATGATGTTGATTTACTAAAGCCGACATGGTTTCTGAAATGGCATGTTGAGAAAACATTAGATAATCTTCAGGAAGAGAATCAATCAAGTTAACATGAATTTGTGACACCATCAAAGGAAGCATGAGGGTACCTTCTCGGCCAACAAAAATGTAATGCTTATCAAACATCAGTGCATTGGCTGCTGACCCTTTTTCTTTGAACCTTATTTCACAAACTTTGGATAGTTTTTCATCTATGATATTAGTCTCAAATTTAATGGAGTTTATCTCACCAAACCTTGAAAAAATTTCAGACATAAGCTCCTGATTGACAACTGGTGGAAGATTTGTGACAATGATGGCAAGAGAACCTTGGTTTTTAGGGTTTCTTGTATCATGTTTTATGGCACCTGTGTGTCTCGGAAGGTAGAGACAGCTAAAATTTGTCGTGAGTATGGGTTTTTGTGACTGACAATATTCTACATCTGTCAAATAATGATGTGTGTCCAATGGCTTGTTATAATGATTCTCATTCATTTTCTCTAAATGATCAGCATTCACAACAAGGCCTTGTTCTTTTTCTTTAACTTTAGCATAGCTTGACCAGAGTAGAGGCGATTGCTCCTTGACACTGCTATAAATGTTATGTTCATCTTCTCTTGCTTGTCTTAATGGCATTTTTCTTGGGCTGCTAAGGAGGGTTTTTCCATCACAAGCATTATAAACTATGTGTTCATCAACTCTAGTTTGTGATTGCTGTATTCTAGGTGCACTATGCTTGTGCCCACTTTCCCAAAGTGGGGTATGTTGTGCAATGTTGGGTTCGACCAGGTGCACTGTTTCCTCAAAATTACTGCATTGTCTGCGTTCATCCTCGTGGTGCACTTGACTTCTACTAGGCCCCTTGTTACTAGCCCTAAGGTAGATATCATCAAAGTCATCGTCAGTGTATCCAGTATAAGGTCCAGTAGGCTTCTCTGCCTCTTTAACAGCCAGAGCAACTTCACTACTTGCAGGTTTTGGTGGTCGAAAACCACCTCTTCTCCTGAATGGTCTCTGTCTCCCTCTTGGTGGCCTCGGTCCTCTGAAGTTCCTAAACATATTTTTCAATCTATGTTACTTCTCATTGCTTTCCATAGGTTCTAAGGACATGCATTGCAACCAGTTACTACTGTGTGTCCAAACCTACATTATTTCCATCTAGAAAACTTGCTCTTATAATCATGGTCGCTGGAATTACCACTTTCTTCCACAAAAACCCTCCGAGAACCAACCAGAACCAAATAATCTTAGAACTTCATGTTACCTTCCATGAAATGTGCCTCCCTTTGGTGAGGCTTTGTCAAGCGAGAAAGCAACAGCTATTGGACCAGGGACGGGTAATTCCGTAAATCCTCGAATAAGCCCCCCCCCTTCGAATAAGCCCCCACCTAAAAAATCATTCTTGCAAATAAGCCTCCTTTCGAATAAGCCCCCATGGGGGCTTATTCGAGGGAAGCATAATTGCAGAATAATACCTTATTTCAAGAAAGCCCCTACAGGACAATAACTATACAGTATTACTTCCACTGACTGTACCAAACTTTGAAATAAGCCCCCCACCTCGAATAAGCCCCCCCCTCGAATAAGCCCCCACCCAAAAAATTCATTTTTGCGAATTTGCCCCCGGGGGCTTATTCGAGGATTTACGGTAAGTGTATTATTTCTAAACATCAAGAAACGGGCAAGAAGTAAATTATTTTCAAAAATGAATGGGCAAGAAGTATATTTTTGTCATTCCTTTTTCTTCGAGTAAAGTGCAAAAGCCAGCTGTTTTTAACGCCTTTTCGAACATATTCCCCTGTTGGAAAGGGATATTTATATAACCCTTGTTAGAAGAAGAGAACACACTTGGAGAGAATAATTTCAGCCGCAACCGCTTAATAATTACGCTTGAAGTCACAGTACTGGATACAATCACAAAAATAAAGACACAAATATGCAAACTGGTCAATGTAATGTAGCTCCATTTACAGTCACAAGTTTTCAAGCAACATTTGATGTGGATATAACCGGAGTCTACTGTATGAAGCTATTTAAGCTTATTGTAAACAGGGAATTTTCGGTACAATCCACTGTTCTTAGATGCTAATATAATTGTAGGAAGCTGTGCATTGCCTTCAAAAGTAATTTTTCCAGCAACTCTGCTAAATGCCTGCTTAAAAACTGTATTTCGCGGACCAGCCCAACCTGTTCCCGAATAAATATGGTATTTGAGTATATTTTATCAAAGCTTGTAACATCTATTCCAATTTTATTTATCTTTCTTTTCTAAAATTCGACTATTCATTTTCTATCTTAAAAAACTGTGAGCCAATATCAAGTACAAAAAGACGCTATTTTATGAGATGTATCATATTTTCTAAATAAAAATAACAATAACACAACTTTTTGGAACTTTAACACAACAAAGATAAACAAAATTAGTATATGAAAACCAAACAATTGTTATACATATTTACGATAGTGATTGGAAAAAACGTACTAAATATTGGTATATAAATTCTATATAAATTGGCAGAACTCTTTGGGCAAAATAAAACTTTATATCCTTTTATTAATAATTTTCTGTAAAATTATGCAAAAATTTTATGATTACGAGTACGTAACCATGACTATTAAAGAACGGAAATCGATGGGGTGCTGTTTATCCTCTATTTGTATGGTACTCAGGCACCCACTCTAATTACGTCATAGTATAGATCTGTCTCTATTTAAAAACATTCGCTATCAATAATTGGTCACAGAATAGTTGGCTGCGCACATGAATCTATGAAAAAATTTCTAAATAAATACGATAGAATTAGAATGACATGAAATTTAAAGGTGTCCTGTTAATAAATATAAAATAAGTTCAAACTGGATCTCTGTTGCTTTAAAGATTATAGTGGTCTTCCGTTAAGGCATGCGTTTCACCTTGTTTTATAAAACTTAGCTGCAAAAGAAGGCGATGTCTTTAAACCATTTTTTAACAATTCTGTAAACAACTTTTTCTATATACTTCTTTTGATACTCTTGTCCAAATTTAATTTCCACAAAATATGTATAAGAGATGAAGCGTCACAGCACTATTGTGAAAAACTCGAGAAAACCATGTTTATATGGAAACTCGTGGCTCTTAAAACCTCAACTTGTTCGTTATCTTTTCCCATAATTCGCTTACCTTCTCTGAAGTCTGGGGAGTGAGCCAAGAGTTCTCTACAACAATATCGCTAAAACACTCCAGCACATCTAGGTATTTTTAGAGGGAAATTAATTGTTATTATCTGAATAAACATCTGTATATTATTTATCTGTCTATTAAAACTATCTTAACTAAACTAAACTAAACTAAACTATATTTTATTCTGTTCTTACGAGCACTTTCAAAATCCCTTCTTTCACAAAATATTCAGAAGCAAAGAACATTGGTACCATAGTTGAGTCATTACATGGACGGAACAGCAACACTTTACGATTCTGATCTTCGAGTCTTTATGAGTGCATAATAAAGACATTTTCACATAAACCTCGAAATATGATAACGACATGATCCAAAATTCTGTTTATGTGGATGCAGTCACCTAGAAAGAAAAGTGCTATGATAAATATGCAGGTAGGCTTTAGCGCAGCTCCTAAAACACGTGTACGGTCATGTTCTATTACTGAAAGGGAGGCTTTGCTTTATGGGGAAGGAGAAACGTCAAAGTTCAAGGTTTATCACTATTAGCAACACCAAAAATTGCAGGGTTGGCATATTATCCCTGTCTGGCTTGCATTTTCTCCAGACTCAAAATCAACAACCTATTATCTTTGTAGTGAGTCCAACGAAACTTGGAGAGCAAAGAAGCATCTTGGCTTCAATACACAGCCAATCTGGCTGTTTCAATTTGGACTTCTAGACGAGAATGTCGCAGTCTCAATTCTCAATAGAATTTTGTCTATCTATAGTAGCCTCTTGGCTATGGGAGAAACTTGCAATAACTCCATCTGGAGGAAAATTTAATATCTTTCTATGGCATCAGTTTCGAGCTGGATGCATTTTCACTTTTCCAAAGGAAGTCATGAAGTAGATAAAATGAAACAATACGTGTAACAAAGGTGTGCTGTTATTACAGTAATGGAGACACAACAGCCTTCAAGTTTACTGACTTTACAAACATGTCATTGGGAAACACACTTTATGAGGCAGAAAACGAGCAAATAAAAAATCAATTTATAAAAAAGTTTATACAGAGTATTGTATAGTACGAATAAGGGCTACCTTGGATTCTGAAGTGAAAATATGAGTCGCTTCAGGCCTTCTATTTCACAGTTCAAAGCGTCTATCTATAATATGAATATATTTAAAATTAGAACCAATACACGAAGAGGCGTCTGTCTAAAATGAGTATACCAACAGTGTTTTTATCGGAGCAGTGTGAGCACTTTCCGTATTTATACCGTATTTATTTGAATGTTGTTCAGTGGGGACATAGTTTTTATCAACTAAAACGTTGAGAAACAAATACGAAGCAATGTGAGCGCAGCGTCAGTGAGAATTTACACAAAAAAGAATGGTGAAATGACAAAACTGAAATAGGTGACAAAATTTCGAAATTTCTTCGCAAAATAAATCGTCATCTGTTATTCTTTAAATGCCAACAGAAAGACCCACATAGTTTTCATGGTAGTTTTAAGTAATAAGAATGACAAATTTTATAGAAAAATCTTACATCACTGGTTTCTAAAGTATAGATAATGAAAATGGATTTCGTGTTATCTTATTTCGTCTGCTGATTTCGTACCGTGTAATATGCTCTCTCCTGGATAGTTTCAAATTGAATGAAGGAAAATTATATTGAACACAGAAAACAAGGATAAAAACCTGTATGTTTTTGAGTTTTTGAATGGTTTTGTCATTCTGTACTTGCTTTTCCAGCTGACCATTAACCAAAATAAGCTTCTCTTTTTCAATTTCAATAGCTGTCATTCGAGATTTCAGATTTAGATTCTCCTCTGTTAGTTTTTGTACTTTCAGTTCTAAAACTTTTGAAATAAGATGAATGTAGGCAAAAGTTGAAAGGGCAATACTGAAAGGGCAAAAGTTGAAAGGGCAAAAAGAGAAAATCGTTAAGACCCTTAAACGTTAAGAGACTTCAGCCAAATATTTTTATGACTTATTCTTTGTTAAAGACTCATTGCTAACAATGGGCCTTTGCGAGCGTGGCGACGGTCCAAACAATGGCAGTAATTGATTTTAGACAGTCTAAAAATGCATTATGGGATGCTTACGTAGCGCAATGGCTCATTGTTAGCAATGAGTCTTTAAGGAGAGACAATAACTGGCATCTCAAAAACTCGTCTTTAGCTTTGCCTTTAGTAGGCAGTAGATGGCATGCTATGGGCCATGTTTTCAAATGACGAGTTCGTCTACCCTTGTCTTTAGAGCTTAAAAATAAAGACAGGCTCCACGGAGCATGGGGGGGGGGCTGGGTGGTTTTAACCCCCCCCCCTACTTTTCCAAAAATGCCAAATTTTAAGTAATAAACAATCAGTAAAGCCTCTTTTTATACGGTTTTAGCACCCCCCTACTATACTATTCTATACTATTCAAGATGCATAGAATATATTGACATGATCTTAAGATAAAGGATATTGCCATACCATATGGGACCTAGCCAAGGTTTCAATGGTAGGATCTTGAGACTGGACGCTTTTCCCTTAGTGCTGCATCCCATGCCCGAATACATCATATAACCTTTTATCTCTAAACAAAAATATAATTGTAATAAACATACGCAGTTTAGTCTTTGATTGTTGATTGTCTTCCAGCACATTCTCATTGACTACTATCAAATTTTCATCTTTTTTCTCTCCATTGACAACTTTATTTTGAGGGCCAACAATCAGTGCAGGTCCCTCAAAACTATTATACAACTGTGGTTCAATATCTATTATTTCTAAATGTTGTCTTCCAATCATTTTCTTTGAGCCTGACTTTGCGCAATTTTCTCTAAAACTACCATAAAACATATATTGAGCTTCTCTCACATGTTGTTGCATAAGAGCATTTTTAGAATTAGGTTGATTGGCTGGGGCCTTGTTGCTGAGGTACAATCTATGTTGATCATCCCAGTTTGCTAAGTGTTTTCCAGAAAAACTGTTTGCAGCCCTTAGGTACATGTCATCAAAATCATCATCAGTGTACCCTGTGTATTGGCCATCAGGCCTCTCTGCCTCTTTTACAGCCAAAGCAACTTAAGGTGGTGCTGGTTGCAATATTTTAGCTTTCTTTTTTCTCCAAAAATTATTTCTTCTTTTTCTTTTCCTAGCTTTCTTTGGGATGTTTTTTACTTCATTTTTCTCTTTTGCCTTCTTTGATTCTGTTGTTTTTACTGCAGGCTCATATGCTGTCTGAAAGAAGTGAAGGAAAAAAGGATTGCAGTGAGCTAAAGAGCTACAGGTGAAAAACAAACTGGTCACTTAATGGACTGCCAAGAGAAAAGATGAACAAACCAGATCTTAATTTCTTTTCTATTATTAACTTAAATTGACTGAAAACTGCCAATCCATATAAGCATAATTGTTCCTAAGGAATTGGATTGAATTGATGTCAAGTACCATTGGAATACCAAAGAAAAAAAACAAATTTTATCAATGTGAAAAATGAAAAGAAGTAGGAATGCATAGGTGTACAAAGTTCTAGAGAAAATATTTCATCAAAAAATCATATGATAGCAGGCTTGTGCAAATACCACATCGGTTGGTTTGGATCGCTGTGAAAAGCATGAGTCCCATAGAGGTGGTTCTTCCCCTACAAGACATGGGAGAGTAGAATTTTCCATGGCTTCTTAGTTATGACCAGTTTCTCCAACCTGACACAAACAAAAACAATCCTTGTGAAATATAGTTAAGAATATCATTTGTAAATATTAAACATCAACATAAAGCATGAACATAACATGAGAGGGGGTAGATTACCCCTCCAGCCAACCTCTGAGACCCATCAAGGATTGCATGGCAGCTGCACTCCTGAGAGATTTTTGTAAAATAATGGGTGCACTTTTGCCCACCCGAAAGATGGGCGTGGTTTGGGCGTGGTTTGGGTGTAGTTTGAGCGTGGTTTGGGCGAGTTTTGGGATGTGGCTCAAATTAGAAAATTTTTTCAAATATGGCAAAATGATTTTTTAAATTTGTCCATAGCTGAGATTGGAAAAGAATGTGTAATTCTAAATTGCATGATCCACTTTGGATTAGGGCCGGTAAAAAAAGGGGTGTGTGGGGGTGTACACCCCCCAACTTTCATAGGGGGTGGTCTCTCCTCGATTAGTCTAACTACTGAGAGAGCTCCTCCTGTAAGTAATTCCTTCCATACAATCCATATTGTGTCCATGTTTTGTATTGGTATATTGTATTAATTTCTTGTATTTTAGATGTATGCTTGTCTTGTTATTGATAAATTGTATGTAGTGGAATTTAAAAAATGAAAACTGAACTGAAAAAAAATGAAAATTGAACTGAGAGAACTCGTAGGTAGAATTAAATTATAACAAAATATTAATGTAATAAAAGAATTTATGTTGGTAAAATATGGTTTTGCAACTCTTACACCCCCCCCCCACCGAGATACCCCCCCCCCCCCCCCCCCCCCCACAGCGAGAATGGTCACGTGACGCCACTGCGCGCAATAAACGTGAAGACCCAAAAAGGCCAATATTCATGATCCATCTTTCTAGGCACAGCAGAGCAGGGGCAGAGGGATAAAGGTCCCCCATCTTTTGCCAAAAACGTTAGGAATTAAGAGACTACCATTCAATCCTCCTGTTTCGGTTTTAGCTCCCTGCACTTTCCTCCACGCTCCGCTGTGCCTGATTTATAAAGGTATATCAACCTTAAAAATCAAAAGTTTTTGGCCTAAGCATGTAATTATTATCAGAGGTTGCCTTTATCAAATTTTTTTTAACAACTTTACATTTTTTACTCACTTGCAATTATCACATCATATCACCGTCACGTTGGCTTATCAATTTGAACTTGCCACTATGTGTGGAGGAGTTCATTACGAAGGAGCACACGTTGCGAAGGAGCCCGAGGGACAGGAAGAATATATATTTCCATGTGACAACAACTGACCAATCACCGTAGATTTCGTCATAAGCAACATTCAATTGTTAAAAACAAGTAGGCTGCCTTTTCGATATTTTGACTGTCAGTTGCTGGTACACAAGACTGGTAAATTAGAAATTTTCTTCTTTGCTTTCGCTAAAGCCAACAAAATGCCTGCCAAACAAAGAATGAGAATAGCCAGTGAAAAGCACAGTCAGAATGTTACTTCTCGAGGCAATGTACCGAAGTCCATGGTAGGTTAATTCGATCATCGATCTGGCCTAAATTTTAGGCCTTATTTCAAGACACCAACAACAGATATTCTTATTTTTATCTTATCTTGATTTACTGTTCAGTTATCTTTTTTCTCTAAATAACTATCTAAACACTGGACGAAAAAATGTCGTCAAATTGATAACGTGACGTGATCTATGAAATTTTAAGATTTTGAAAAAACTGCTCGCGGGTGTAATGTGATGACGTTGGCATTGCGAAATACTTCTTATGATATTTTCATCCGTTTTTATTTCTGTAGAAACCGGCTGAAGACAAATACCCTGTTGGGCCAATGCTGTTAGGCCTTTTTATCTTCGTCGTTTGTGGTTCAGGTAGGCATGAATTATTTTTGACATTTTCTCCAGTTTTTGAATATGGATAAAACAATGTTTGGAATTGAATGATTAGACGATGTAGGTAATTGTAGAAAGAAGCTGGTGCAAAAAGTGATGTCTAAGTTGTAAACTGTTTAGTTTCATGTTATGGCAAGAAAAGTGTACGAAAACAGTTTATCACGTTACACTCTAGGATGTGACGTCACCAGGCCATATCGAATATTTGCACAGTTTGGACAGCTGATTATCTTGTCTTTGAAATTTTTTGTTTTTCTGTAGTATATGTAAATATTTTTTAACCATGTGGTAGGTCAAAAAATGGTTCATTTTGTAGCATTCATGAAAATTATTAAAACCATCCAAGTATGTAATGGATTGCTGTTTTTACCAAAGTTTCAGCCAGATGCTTGCCAGTAGATGAGCCCCTCTGAACAAAATGAAACTGAAATAGCCTACTACACCATAAAAATCTGTAGACTGGGATATTTATATGATTATATGGCTTTTATAAAGGCTATTAGCAAAAGCAGTAAGAGACAGTTTCTTGACCCTGTTGAAGATCTGTAGGAGTGGTTACAAAAATCAAATAGTTATATATATTATTGGATAGTTTAGCTTGGTTGAATGAATGTTTTTTAATGTCTCAAACTGGGCTTTGATTCCAGTTGCATGTACAGTGTTTATTTTTTATATAGCATAGGAAGATCTTAGTCTTGATTTTATGAACTTAAAAAAACTGTTATTCATATCTTTGTCCTCTAAAGCAACCTTCATATAAAAGTACCCGCATGTTATATGATGTATGTTTTCTATTTTAGCTGTGTTTCAAATCATCCAGAGTATAAGAATGGGATACTGAGAAAATTTATGGAGACGTCAAAAATAATTGTGGACTAGTATTTACCTGAGAGAACTTTGCTTATGATTGGCTTGATATTGCTCTCATTATCTGAGAGACATCTACTATTAGTAACTGAAGATCACCCAAAAGATGCAATGTCCTTGCACATATTTTTCTATAAAGTTGAGAGTAATATCTAAGTATCATGCAAAAATCCTTAGGATTCACATGAAATCTATTAACTGTATTGTATATGTAGCATTGGGAATGGGAAAAATGGGTGACAAGATCTTACTTTGATTGTTTTTTTTACTTTGCTTCTGTCACATTTTACTATGAAAATACTGGCTATTTAAGGCAAGCAAAAACTTTTTGCTTTTTACCATATTGCCTTTGAAAGCCAAGGTGGCCTGTAAATAGTCACATTAAAGCTAAAATTTAAAAGACATTGCTATTGCAGGGATTTAGACTGTTAACATCATAATAATTTACTGTGAAACACCAATGTTTCAAATATTCTCTCTACAGTTTTATGTTTGTGTGATAAGTCACATGCTAATAATAACACACCTGGTTTTTTCTGACAAGCAAACAATTTCTTGGTTCATCTTTATAGCTCACTTATAAATGAGCTCACATGGCAAAAAACAATAGTCAGGGCTGACTGGAAGATCAAATGCATGTTTTGAATTGTTTAGAAAAAGTAATTTTGCAATTCATGCTTTACATCAATGATTTTGTGACATGTTATATAACTCATTCCAGCCACAGTTAAATTTATTGAACTGACAGCTTTTGTAATAAGGCTGTTAGAATTATTTCTAAATCCATTTAACGCGAGTCAATCTTGATATATTATAGAATACAGTCATATATTTAAAGTCCTGTGCCAGGAATGTCTTAAAAAGGTCTGGCAGTGAAAGGCTAGATAAAGTTATGAAACTGCTGTTTCTTGGTGTCAAATGGAAGATATTATAATTGTACTATAATGATGGCCTGCATGCCTGTCCACTAATAGTAAGTCCTGTTAGAAAGATTTAATCCATAATTGGAATGAGCATTCCCATAATACCCACCTCTAAAACTATGACCTGAATAGATGGAAAATGAAAAATTGGTGAATATTGATTTGTCAGTTTTAAGCAATAGCTCTTTCAGGGGTTTGAAGCATCTTAAGAAGCTAAAGTTAACCTGAGGAAGTATGGAAAAGATACTAGCAAACAAGCAAACAAACATCTTTTTTCATCATGATAAACTTGGCATATGAAATAGATATACAAGAATGCAATGCAATAATATTACTTTTTTTAAATATGTGGGAAATATTTAAATATACATAAAATTCAGTAAAATTTTCACAGAGAGAAGCAAACAAAAGTTTAAATGATGAAACAAAGAATCTAACAAAGATGGTGCTCAAGTTAAACAAGCGCCTTTTGGGATATAGAAATTTTAGATTTTGAAAGATGTTTGATGCTGATGAAATACAATGATTACAAAATGTTATATTCGTTATTTCGATTTTAGTCACACGTACACGAATCACAAGCGTCACGTAGCCTGTTTTTGCTCCAAGGAATATCAAAGAATATTTTAATAGAAAATATTAAAGAATTTAAAAGAAAATTAACAATTCAGAGCCAAAAAATCAAATCATCAGTTTCGAATTTAAATTATACTGTTGTTGCATGGTCAAACCACAGAAAGACAAAACTAAATTGCAATCAATTTCTCATTTACTTCCCGAGTTGTACTAGTTGCTATTTATACCTTATCGGCATCAATTTCGTCCGTCTAAAAGCGATATCAAATTGTTTGAACATTGAAGGCCATCATATATTAAATATCTCTTGTCAAAATGTCATTGTTTAGACACAATTTTGATTCTTGAGATTCTATATAGCTGAGTTTGGTTTTCTTGTGATTCTATATAGCCAAAAATTCGCAATGATTTGTATATGCTCAAAAATACTATTGACCATTATAATGTAACTTTATTATTTTGCTTCCAAGCTGCGTTAGAATCTACTTGCTTCTCCTGCAAATTGATATTACATTTACTTTCCATAAGTATGGCAAAGAAAAATGCATGTTATCATTGTCACCAGAGACGCCTTTCAGCGGCAAGGATTGGGGAGTTGGGTGTCGCATACCCTGGGTACCAGACTCGTTTTATACAGAGTGAGTGGTACCCAGGGTAGGTGTCGCATCCCCTACACCCCCCAGTAAATCCATCCCTGCCTGCGAATCAAGTACTTTGTATGTAAGTAAGTGTGTATGTTTATACTAAGAAGAACCAATAATTATTCATTTAACGTAGTGATCCCGAGAAATTTGGAGGGAGGGGGCAAGTGATTATATCTTAATAAAAATAACAACAATTGTAACTGATTCAAAATCTCCATTTTGGGGCAGTTATCCATAATAATATCAATGGCAGGTACCACAAATACCTCCATCAATACGAATGGAGAATCTTGCAAGTTTTAATGATTATTGAGACTTTAAATGGTTATTGCCTTTTTATAGTTTGGTTAGAGCATTTTTAAAGAAATTTTCAATACTGGGGAAGATTTGCCAAAAGGGCCCAAAGAGAAATAACGAAAAGAAGAAGCACACAGGTCTACGCTGCCGAGGCGTTGATTTGAAACCATAGAAAAGAGACAAGCACAGCTAAGGGAAAAATTAAGTGAAAAAGTGTAATGCCAACCTCAGCCAGTTTGCACTGGACGTTGTCACACAATCTTAAACCGTTAAGGGACCCAGCTATCCTGAGGGTCTCCCAGGGGTTTTTGGGAAAATGGGAGCATGGCAACAAATGGTGCAGGAACACGGGGCTTATTATATTCGACGAAACGAAACGAAACGAAACGAAACGAAACGAAACGAAACGAAACGAAACGAAACGAAACGAAAAGAAAAGAAAAGAAAAGTGATATTTAACGAAACAAACAAAACGAGCTCCATAACTCAAAAACAACTTGTTAGAATGGTTTTAAAGAAAACTTGCCCATCTGAGATGAATTTTGAAAAAGTGATATTTAACGAAACAAACGAAACGAGCTCCATATCTCAAAAATCGCTTGCAAGATCGAATCGAAACCATGAAATAGCTACCTATATTAGAGCTAGAGCTACCTATATTTTTCCAACCTACCCTAACTGCAGACTTGAAGCAGACAGGCTACCTCCCTAACTACAGAAAGTAACTTATTTTTATTATGTGCCCTAACCCTTGTCAGCTTGCTTTGTGTGCCAAATCGATTGTTTTCTAGACCAATCGCAAGAAAGTTTTGTAGGGAAATTCTCGGGGGCTACGTTTGACTCGAATTTTAGGCAAGTGTTTGATTTAATTATTTGTCAGAGTAATTGGTGAAAATACTTCTTAATACTTCGGTACTTTGTTGCGACTTCTTGGATTCAGTAAAGCTTACACCGACTATTTTTGCAAAAGTTTTTCCTGAAGCGAATATATCACTCTTCAGGAAATTAGAATAACACCCTGAATCATATGTCATGACTCAAGTGTCTTGTTTGGAAAGGCTTTCTGGGGTTTGCTTTGTAACACTCAACAGAGCTGCGAAGGGAAAGACTGGTCTTTCGCGGGCATTGTCAACCATGGCTGAGAATCCGGATCCCAAGGAAGCTAAAACTATTTTTGATTTCAATGCTGATGATATTGATGGCAACAATGTCCAGCTTTCGAAGTACAATGGCTTTGTTACTTTTATAGTCAACCTTGCAAGCAAATGAGGCCTAACAAAGAAGAACTATGCTCAATTAGCCGAACTGCATGAACGGTATGTGCATCACCGCGATTAAAAGTTGCTATGTATTCAGAACCTGATCATGCCCATTGCAGCCGTTCAGACCTATTTCTGAAAAAGGCTGTCTTTTTCTGCCACTGAAGGGGACAGCTCAGCTCAGCTCACCAGTGTTCTACTATGTTCTGTAGATAGTGTTTTGACGTCAGAAAAATCCATGCCAAGAATGTTTAATTTTTACCAAGAACACCCTAAAATACAAGAAAAATCAGTTAAAAATGTTAAGAAAATTGGATGATGTGTGGCCAATGAGAGATTTGACGTTTGCTTACAGAGCACAAATTTACAAGCCAGTTTCGAACACATCTAAATATTTCATGATGCTCATTCAGGTTATGTGATCAAAATTCAAAAAGTTCTTAAACAGGTTTTTTAACATTTTCACTCAAAAATTCTTTACCCAGATTTAGGGAATCTAGAAAGGTACCATGTGTGGATAGTTGTCATAGGAGGAGAGTACTCCCCAACCCTAGGTATTCTGTGGGTTGCTACTTCAGACAAAAGATTCCTGTAGCCCAGACTGAAAGGTGTTGCAGAACAACAGAACAGATTAAGAATATTTTGCAAAAAGTGTTGCACAGGATTGTAGCAAAAGCTTTTGGAGCAATAATGTTTTCTTTTTTACTTGTAATCAGAAGTCAGAAGTTTAATTGATGGAATATTTGCAGGGTGCATGACCGGCACTGCGGAGCAGGGGGAGTAGGGGAGCTGGGGGCTTTTGTCCCCCTACTTTTTGCAAAAAATGCCAAATATCAATAATAAACTACCAGTAAAGCATCTTCTTATATGGTTTTAGCCCCCCCCCTTTTTAGACCCTCCACTTTTCTCAACGCTCCGCGGTGCCTGGTGCATGACCAGATAAAAAATCTATACAGATTCCCATCTATGATTACGGATTATGCAGAGACTATAACAGATTCCCAATAATGCACAGACAGATTGAAGGATAGGCTTATTGCATGTAATGCCACAAGATTAGTCAGATTACCCTGTCCAGATTTGCTATCATATTAGTCTCATGGTTACCAATGCTACTCATTTGTTATTTCCTGACAAAGTTTAACTATACAGGCAATGATTGAATAGGGAAGAAGATTAGGTAGTACAGCAATATTTTTCTGTCAAATAATTGTATTAATAAGCTTTAAGGTTATGCCAATGCTTGTATAGGCAGCCTTATTTTTCAGATTACATGTCATGGAAACGTATCTAATGTCATTTTCAGGTATCATGAGGGTGGTCTTCGAATCCTTGGCTTTCCTTGTAATCAATTTGGAAGCCAAGAACCTGGAACCAATGCTGAAATTAAAGAATTTGCAATTGCACATGGTGCCAAGTTTGATCTGTTTGCAAAAATTGATGTTAATGGTAACAATGCTCATCCATTGTACAAGTTTCTTAAAAAGGCTCAAGGTGGCACTTTTGGTGACAGCATCAAATGGAACTTTACAAAGTTTCTCTGTAACAAGCATGGTGTACCTGTGAAAAGGTATGGCCCAACTACTGACCCTTTATCAGCAGTCAAGGACATTGAGTCAGAACTGAGTAAAGAATAAGGCTTTATAAGCAATAATATCAAAGTTATGAGATACAATGGCCATATTAAGAACAAATTCTTTAGTGTTATAATCTATCAAAGCAACAGTTATTTCAAATACATTCTGATCCAGTAAATCCTTCAAAGATAAATAGTTTCCGTTTGTGTTCAACCATTATCTGTGTATTTTAGATTTATCTAACAATTGAAATTATTAAATGAAATTTTACTTTAATGTTAAGTCAGAGGATCTTCGTGTTCAGTTTTGATTCAAGAAACACCATTTAAGTATCTTAAGAAAGTACATTGGTACCAAATGCTGCAAATAAAACCAAAAGTTGCAGTGCATTTGTTATTTGAGTAATTTTCATCTGTTTTATCTATTGCCTTTATCTGATGCTTTCATCCATTGCCAAGGCCCTCTTCTTCAACATGTAGCATATTGCTGCAAGTCCTCTCTTATCATTTTAAATGTTCTAGTATACATGTGAAGATGTTAATGGTATTGTTTTTTATTAGATGTAATAAAGAGAAAAATTATAGATATATAATGTTTAATTTGTATCACATTTGCTGGATGTATTTGTGAAGGGAAGCCAGTTAACAGCTTATGTGTGGCTCCCCTGATACTAAGTAACTATGCAGAGTTGCTTGTGTACATTGTATAGCGAATGAATATGCAATAAATATTATTTTCGTGGATTTTTGTTCTTAATAACTCATATTGGAACAGATTACCACAGGGAAGTCAGTTGAGACACAAGGATTCATGCATTATACTACATTTTTAACTTTCAGTTTACTTATAATCTTACTTGGCTTTTGTTATCTCCTTGCTTCATAAAGTCTCTGCTAAACCAAAGCTTTGATGTTATGGTTTGTCTACATAGCTCAAGAAAAATCATTGATGTTCGCTTTCCCATCAAAAAGTGCCAAGGGAAACCACACTTATCAAAATCTGCCATCATTTGAACACCAAAAAATCTCCCTTCATCTAAACAAATCTAGAGGTGACACAAAATTGTGGTCAGAGTTGAAGGAAGTGCTTATTTTCATTTGATACCAAGAACAACACAGTGCAACATCCCTTCAGAGCTGTGAATTCTCAAACTCGACCTTTGTTTCTTTTAAAAAAAATGAATTTATGTAGCTCATTTATATTCAGTCAAAAGGAGTGAATCTACACGTTGATAAAGCAAAACTCGATGTAAGGCTTGACAAATCTATTAGATGATATGTGGCATTTGGTAGCTGATGATATGGGAACCTGGACACTTTTTGTCAACAGTGCTTTTTCCATTATAGAGCCTTGGTAATGGACGAAAGGTAAATCTTCCACTCTTTCCCCTCTCTCTCAAATACCAAATAGAAAAACTTCTTTGATGATATTATTAATAGAGGTGATACTCGTGTAGCTAAATAATACCGAAATTTTAGTCAAATTGACAGAAATATAACTGATCTAGGAGGCCACATTCCCTTCCCCAAAATAGCCACAGATCTTACAGAGTTTTTGAGTAAAAGCTTGAAAACTGCATTGCTGCAAATTTTTCTGAAAATTCATAGACTTTAAATCGAAACACCAAGCTATAAAAATAGAATGCAACTGTAAATGAACCAAAGCTAACATTGTTGAAGTTAGTTTCAGAAAAATATTGTTTTTGCTATTTTTAAGTTTTTCAATTATTTTTAAGTGTATTAGCTACTTGTAACCAGTTATTTCTAATGCCCTGCATTAATAAGCATACTTCCATCTTTATCTTAAGTCCCCAACATGATTTGGTGTATCAAAAGTTTGTTCATTTCTGATAACGATATATATAGTGAAGAAACGAATGAAGATGAAGAAACGAACAGATGATGAATATAAACTTACAGGATGCTCATCGATATGAACTACACTACACCTTTATCTCAAAATAAATCACTGGTTACAAAATGTATAGGGCGTCCAGAACTACTCTCTAAAAAATCTAGATTCAGCGTATTGCAAATAGACTCCATCAAACTTGGGTCTTAAATCAAAACCTGTTAGCTTAAAATTTTAACCGGTTCATAGAAAAAAAGGGTCCTCTCTTAGTGTAGTGGACATCAATCTTTAGCATAGGGTTGTAAAATCTTTTATTTAAGAAGAAGCACTCTTCAGAATCTTACTGGTTTTTTGGCATGCTCTGGAATCTGTTAAGATGATATCAACATATTATGATCGTAAAAATATCAAAACGTTCCAAATCTATCGGAAATACCCAGTGGTGGATTTAAGGGGGCAACTAGGGCCAGGTGCCCCTCCTTCACCGAATTGAAGAAAGTCTGGCGCCCCTTTTTGGAAGTTTTGCGCCCCTTTTTAAGAGTGAGATTCAGGTGAAAAAGTTTCTGAGACTTTACCTCTTGAGATTAGGGTCACGTTGATATTCTAAAATGTGATGTAGAGAGCCTCCTGTCAGTAGTTAGGGTCTGAAATTGTTGTATACAGCATACACTCGTCATCAATTTCTGAAAATCTTTCAGCGCCCCCACTACTAGCGGATCTTTCAAATTTGATCTGGATCCGCCCCTGGCTCGGTTTATTTATTTATATCGCTATCTATCAGCGTTATTTGTTGGCAGTGTCATGAGGGTTTTGGAATCAAAGATGATCCTTTAACTTCTTTGTCGAAACGCAGTCCACACAATTATTCTAAAAATTGATGAATTATAGGTATAGGTCATTTTGAATATTTTCGTAGGGAAAATGAAATAGCAATGTAAAAGTGGAACTGTTATGATGCAACAAGGCATGGTCTGATGCAACGTTGCCCTTCCAAAAATCGTGCCTCGAGCCATCAATGCTTTCTACTGTCTCTAATTCATAGATTTTAGGAAAATTTTGAGCATGATTCTAGTGTTTATATTCACTGGATTACCAAGTTATTATGTGCTTTACAGTCTCGTAGTTTTTTAATAAATGTAGGATTTTGAAATAAATGAGATTAGACGTTCCACTTTGAATGCCCCTTTGTGGCATCTTAATAATTTTTTTAATATCAAATAGAGGTGATACGATTTCAGCCAAGCAGGGTTTAGCCAATCTCTTTATAAAGCATCGATTTTTATCCAGGCATTTGCAGCCCCGTTGAGCGTTTTTCTGGGGCTTGGAGCAAAAGGAATAATGAGACCTGTGTCGACGTCATTAAAACTGTAACTGCTATTGCTGTTGTTACTGTTAGGATCTTTGATATAGCTTTTTTGGACTCCTCTCCACTTGGGGCCTAGGGTATTCTACCCCCTTGCGCCTTTATGTTGGGCCTTGGTACTTGTAAAATCACAATCCCAGACAAAAATAGTTAAGATATTTCAAGAAAACTTTATGTTTTCTCTTTATTTTGAAACATAGCTTCCCCCTTCCCCAATTCAATGTTGAATGCATGATTTTGAAGCAAAAATGATAGAACTACAAATCTAACATTGCTTCGGAGGGAAACTGGAGGGGGATTCGAACTTACAGGGGCAAGATAAAGCAGGAAATTACTAAAATTGCATTTGTCTCAACATTTTTGTTCAGGATTGTAGAAGAGCCTCGTGACATTTTTTGTTGAGACGAGCTACTTTGTACGGCGTATCAAATTGATAAGACTGTGATAGATTAGAGCTATTTTGATACTTGGCAGCCTTCACTATAAAAATTGCTGCCTTTTAGTTCGATAAAGCCACGGGCTGCTAGAGCAACTGCCCCCATTACATGCCCGAGGCTTCTGGGCATCTTTAAATTTTATATTAAATCTATAACTAATGTGTACCCCTTTTTAGCGAGGCCCCTTTGCAGAATCTGCTAGCGGTTCAATGAGTAAATAGCACTAAGCGGGGCCAGGGGCGGATCTAAGCAACAATGATTGGGGGGGGGGTGTTAGACACTAATTTTGGTGCCACGCCCTTCAGGTCACTGGTAAATTATGGAAACGCCCATTTTTAAAAATCCTTTTTTAACTTTAAGGTATAGACGATAAGAAGCAGTGGCGTAGCCAGGTTTGGAAGATTGGAGGGGCAAAGAGGAGACAATTTTTGCTGATCACACCCTTAAGAATTTAGGAAAACACCCCATTTTGCAAAAGCGTTTGGAAAAGCTATGGATTTTTTACGTGGCAATTTCGCCTTATACAACGTCATATCTGGCTTTTGTGGCTGACCCCATTCTACAACTGCCTATCTCCTTGACAATTCATCTAACGCTTACATTCTGAATTGTGTAAGGCGAGGAAGCACTACGTGTAAAAACTGATTCTCCACAGTTTTAATTAAATATCTAAAAATAACAAACAGGATTCAAATGTTTTAAACTAATTCCGCTCTCCTTGGAGCAAAATCCCCGACAAGCATTTCAGAATCCAATTTTTTTAAGGATTGAAGCGTTTTAACATTTTAGTTTCTATTTTATCGGGATTGTCTAAAGAACGTGAAAGACTTTTCTATTTAAATCCTATAACGTGGGATAAGTTCTTGAACATTCTGTAGAGTTATAAAGGAGGGTCCCTGTGCGAGCGAAACGAGCAGAAAATTTTTGCTACAACGCCCTTCAGATTAGCTTGAAATACATTTCAGATGATTTCTTACAGTCGTTTGCAGTCTTTAAAAACGTTTTAATATTGTCTGAAATATAAAGTCCCCCTTTGAGGTACTAATTCTATTGCAGATTTGTATTTTTCTCAGACACCGACTTTCTGAGCGGTCGCTCCCCTTGCCTCCCCCCGCTACGCTACTGATAAGAAAATAAATACTGATATTAAGGAGATAAATAAAGTAAAATCTTGGCGTTAATTTGTTACTGCTGACTACCAAAAAATTTAGCGAAGAAGACAGAAATGTTGGGGGGTGTCGCACCCCCGCTAAGTCCTTCCCTGGCGGGGCACTAGTCTTTGTAATAGTAAAATCTATATCAAGACATTTCTGTTTGGCACCGTTGTGTTCTTTGGTGTTTGGAGCAGCGGTGGAGGTTGTGAAGGAGCGTTTCGTTTATGTGTAAAATTCTAAACACACAAGAAGCGCAGAAATGTGGCTATGCTCAAAGGAACATGTAAACAATGAATTGTATGATGTCAAATGCACTTGCAAATGATAAATAGAATCGCCACAGGACTCGTTAACATCGTCAATTAAATCACTGAGGAGTAACAACTTTGGTGAATAGGGAATAATCTTTGAGCGTTTAACAGCTGTTCTGGTTGTAATGCAGAAGAAATGGGGGCTGGAATATCAGCATTTCGCCATACTAGGGATCTCCAAAAACGGCAGCAAAACAGCAGCGGATTTTCGTGTTTCAGTCCTAGTAGGAATTATACTACTGAGCAGACACTTGTGATCGTATTTTCACAGTGTATCACAGATGTAAGCTGGAAGTGTGTGATTGCGCTGATCGAGCTGTATGGAGAGCGTATGCGACTTCACGCTGCCACCGATGATTATAGTAACATCAAGAATATTGGGGATAAGAACATGCTTAAATATCTAAACAAACAATTATTCGTGCATAAGGTAGATTTGCGGGATGAACCATCCGTGGAGGAATTTTACGTGGAAATTTTAAAAATGGAGCAATCAATTGACGCTCTTGGTAAGTGTGTGATGTTTAGTTGAACCTCTAATCAGCAATTGTTTGCAGCAATCTTGAAGAGAGGTATTGTTTGAGAAAAGGGGGGGGGGGTGTGATAAAGTGCTATTGGCTAAATTCGTTGTTCTCTCAGTTAAAATGGAATAAAGGAACCTTAGCGGACATTGTAAGTGAAAGTTGTTTGGTTTTCTTCAAATGTCTGACTCGGGAATAAAATGAATCCTTCTGCGTCAAGAAAGTGGTCAAGAAAGTGGTCAACAATACTAAAAGTGGGATTATAATAAGACGCCTAGTTCTAAGAAAGGAAGACGGGGGTCTTGAGGAAATTCAAATCTTCAAGCTTTCAAATTCACATCAAAAATGAGATGTCCATTCTTTCATAACGTAAATGTCTGCACATTTTCATTGTTTATAATAATACCTTAATTTTTTGAGGCTCAACAACATTTTGAGGCTTAAAAATTTGTGATTTTGATCATATATTAATTAAATTTTGTACAAATTGGTAAAGAAAGTCAAATTCTTTGCTTCTGTGTTTTGCGAGAACATTTTAGATGATTAAAAGGGTTTTCTATGGAGGCCAAAGGGAACCATGGCCCCCGGAAATTTGCTTGGCCCTTTGTTTGCCCTCCCCCAGTTTTCAAGAAGACGTGTTTGTATATAGATCCTTGTTTATTTTGTATCTATTTCATAGTAAAGTGTTGGATTAATATGGCTTTTTGACACTTCGGTATTTTTTTTAAAGGACATTGACACCATGATTTTTCTTTTCAATTTACAATACAGGCAAAAGTATCTTGCCGAAAAGCCCCTCTGCCGTGCCCTCCTATGGTGTGGCCCCTGATGTCGTGTAACAAAATACCGCTTACCTGTGAATTGAATGTGTTTTACTTTTTAAGGGCGGGGTGTCCGCAAGTAAAACTAACTCCCCACAACCAAGGACTAGAGAATTCATAGTCCCTTTTTTGCAAAATTGATCACAGAACCTCAAGGCAAAGTTCTGCACCTTCTTGCAGAAAATAATTGAAGAGTGCTTTCCTAACGCCTCTTTACACTCATTTTTTTATAAGAAACAAAGGTCAATGTTGAGTACTCCAGTTTCTTAATGTTCTGGAAATTTCAATACTCATTGTTTCTTAAGAGTTTCTTAATTATGATGTCATGAATGATGTTATGAAATGTTCGTGACCTTTTTTCACGTCAAGAGATTCGCTTCTGTTCTGGATGCTGTATTTAGACCTGGAAAGTATATTCTTATTCCTTGTGTCTTAAATTTTAGGCCGACTGGGCATTCATGTTCTTGTATTTCACAAAATTTTGTTGTTCTCAGTTTTATCACGACTTAATAGTTTCTTAATTTTTTTGCTTGGAGTACTGGAGTTTCTTAATTTTTCTGACTGTCCAGTACTCGTTTCTTATAGCCAGTTTCTTATATAAAATGAGTGTATTGTCTCTTTTCCTCATATTTGGGAGCAGTCCTAAAAGTCCTTTAATTTTTATATTTTTACGGACGAGCAGGCTCTTCCTGGCCTTCTCGGGGTCGAGAATAACAAGCTCGTGAAAATTGATCCACGTTCTGAAATCCAAGCTCATTTTTGGTGACAGGATGCCATACCTTCCAACCTGTAGAGAAGGAAAAGCGGGAGACATCGCGAGCGGAGCGAGCGAAAAATTAGAGCTGGGGGTCTAGGGAGCGCTCTGAGCAACCCGGCGGGTCCAGGGCAGCGCCCTGGTAGGGTTTCAGGGGGTGAAGCCCCCGGAAGCTCCTGACATTTTGTCATTCAGGATTCTTTAATTTCTCTGTCTGTAATATGTTAATAGAAGAACAGTTCTTCGTAATCAATAGGTCAGTAATATCAAAGAACTTTCTTTGAAAGTGAGGGGGGGGGGTGGGGGGGCAAATGAAGAGGCCGAAAAAGTTCTGGGCTTAAAAACGCCACTGTGCACAATTATAATTATATTTTTATAGGAAATGTTTTCTTGCAATCAGTGCGAATCCATGCGAACCCCGATTTAACTCCTACAAAATTTTTTGGCAATTTTATGTCACTTAGATTAGTTTGAAATTATAAGAAAGCATATCTTTTATGATGAATAAACAACAACAAATGTTAAAAAGTTTGGCGTCTGGCTTCTGGCAGTTTGGCGTCTGGCTTTACCCGATGTCGTAACTATTGTAATGTTGTGAATACATCGAATCGTTTCGTCCGTTATGAAAAGGTTGCACTGTTGACAGTGATCTTGATTCTTTATTTTATACCAGCTTTTTATTTTTATTATAAGTTTTTTTCAAAAATCGGGAGGATTTTTTAATTGTCGGGAGGTCGGGAGATGACCTCTGAAATCGGGAGTCTCCCGGTCATATCGGGAGGGTTGGAACATATGATCGGATGCAGTTTAATATTGTTTAGAATTTCGTGAATGTCCGAGGAATCGAAATAAAAATAAGTGGTCTTCTTGCAAATTCTGTGAAAACAAACATCAATGCCATGTTGAAATATCTTGATTACACTATAAGAAATTATATATTTTTGATACAGCATAATAACTGCAATGTTTTACACAAATATTTCTAAATGGAAGGTAAAAATGCTGCAATTTATTATTTGATCGGGGCTTGAGAAAAGACTTGCTGCTTTGTAGGCGAATGGTTCGCACTAAACCCCTCGCATCTTACTGGCATTTCTGCAAGTAGCAAGTATTTGTAAGCTTTTTTATCGTTAAGGTTTTGAAAATTTTCATGCCAACACATCTTACAAAGTTTTGTTTGCAAGTTAAATGCATTATCAGATAATGCGACATTTTTTAACTCGTTTCCAATTACGAAAGACACTTTCAGAGGATTTCAGGGGGAACAGATCCTTGTGGTGAAATGAACGTCAGAGGAAAAGTGATTATTTCAGTTTCAGCAGATAAGCATCCATGGTACCGTATACCCAACTTTTCTTCTCCCGGGGGACGGCACTAACGATCTAACAACCTTGATGACCCTGCTAATTTAGTAGTTAAAACCCAGGTTGTTAACTACAGTTATCCCTGCTTTGAAGTTATCAAAGAATCCTGTGGAACAATATTTACAAATGTCATCCGATTACAAGATTTGCGACAATCCAAATCGATTTTCCAAACATGCTTGTTGTGCTAGAAAGAAGGGCGATTCCTAAACCTTAATCCGATTCTTAATTTGTTTTTCAGCATTTGTTTGTGGCGTGGATTTAGACCCCGAACAATATTAAGGCTAGAGTTAGAACGGTCTAACAGGCGCTTCTGTTCAGATAAAAGAATTGAGAAAAAGGACTGGGGTATCGATAGATTTCTTACCACAAACCTTTTAACATGGAAACTTTCCTACTTTTTTCGCGTTAGTAATTGCCTCGTTTTCAAGTCGAGGACACAACAACCAAAGCATTAACAAACTTTTAATAGAAGTATTTTTCTGAATATGAAATAAAATTTTGTCTTCCTGACCAAAAGTTAAATATTTTTATCTTTGCCATTCTCTGTTGCTTTATTCTTTCTGGGTAGTATTTGAAATTGAGGGAGATATTTTGGAAAAATGTTTCAAATCTATGTTTGCAGTCTCATTGTAATTATTGCCTTTGAAGCGGGGGCGACCTAAAGCATTGCCTTTGAACTAATGATTTAATCCCTACTGGAACCAGCCTTAATTCGTCTGTTAAAACTTCCGCTCAAGACATAAACCAAGTGATCGTAAACAGGGTAGGCAATCTTTTACGAAAAAGTTTCTTGTAGTCTTGGAAAACATCTTTCTCGTTTCACGTAATTGATGTTAGATCTTAACATGGGCCCATAACTTTGTATCATCTACAGTTTCCCACGGATAATTTTACTCCTAATGAATTAATTCATATAATCTCAAATTACACCGAAATATATTGAAATAAGCATCTAGGCTCTTCACGTCATTATGGGATGCCACAAGCCTTCAGTATTTCATTAAATATATTTTGTTGAGAATGTGTTGGGAAATGGCATACGTGTACTATTTTCAGGATATTGTGTTTTGCACCACAAAGTCGTGATTAACATTACGATTTCCAGACTTTAGTAAGCTGCTTGTTTGAGAAATTTGTCTTGACCAGTTTGGATCTTACGATTGCACAGCTGCAACGATTACAGGTAGAAAGCGAGCTTAACTGCCTTTTTTGTAGCTTCAATCCATGTCCCATAAACTAACATCTGGCCCAACCCATGGAGCCCCTTTTACAAGAGCCCTCTTAAGACATTGATTACAATTAAAGCCCTTCTTATAGTTTTCGATTCGGTAATTTGCACAACCTATAGGTAACGTGTCAGAATTTCTTACCTGAAGTTGTGCATTCGACAGTTAATTAATTTGATGCAAATTCATCCAACAATATGGTACTAGCCTGTGCTCCAGAGGGGCCTGGGACACAGGCTATATGGTGCTAGCGCCTCGCTTAAACCCTAAAAAACAATCCCTTATATGGAGTCACATCGTGAGCAAAATGACGACAGATTGGTCGTACCGAGATACGTGGATCGTACCGTCAGATACCCCTATATCGTCCCGTTACGTCACGCAGGGACAAAACTTAACTATTTTCATTAGGGGGTATGAAGTTTAGATGCCCGACGAAAGGGCATGTCATGCTGGATGAAAGGGCGTGTCATGCCTGAACGTTATTCTTACGGAACATCGCCTCAAGGGTTGAAATCATCAGGGACCCCGAGAGAGAGTCACTAAGTATGTTAGGCCTTCAGACTCAGGCTGTTTTTCAAAGTCAAAAAATATGCCTCAAGTTTTTATGGTGTTGGCTATAAACATTTGTTTCCGAAAAGCAAGTAATTGTAAGGCCTGTCTTTTCTATAAAAGAAAAATAGTCTTCACTTTCTAAATCACCTAGCTATTAAGAGAGCAATTTAAAAAGAGATTGAAATAGGGTCTCAATTTTATCACAGTGCAACAACAAAACACAACTTGGACATTCCAGAATTTAGAAACAGCTACGCAGACTACAATGTTTCAACAAAAAGGAGCTTCAGTTGCATTTTCCGAGTTTGATTTTCAACTTTCGGTTGCTCCATAAGGGATTCAAACATTTTTAGACATCCAAGCACAAAGTAAGTATCTCTGAATTCACCAAAGCAAAATCCCTCAAGCTTGTGCAAAAAAAGCTTTTGGGAATATTTTACAGGTACACCTGTCATCAAAGCTCGTTTTTTCTGTTTTCGTAATCATGGATATTGTTCAGAAATAGACGAAACTCGAAAGTTTTTTACAATTCATCTCCTACTTACAATTCCTTGATAAATTTTCTATTATTTGCCGCTTGAACTGTTGGCTTAAAACTTTCTGTCACTTGTTACAGCTATTTGAATTTTTTTAGTTAAGGGTTTAAAGGGTTTTCAGACAAGATCTAAAAAAATTCTTTGAGACCATATCAGCAAGTTGATTATGTCCAAAAACTGTGACCTTTCAAGCAAAAGATTCAAAAAATTTCTTCATTCATCAAAGATTCAAAAAGTCAGGATAAGCTAGAGAAAATTTACGTGAGGGCATTAAGACTTGCATATGCGGACTACGTTCTTTTTTTCGTATAAGAACAATTTTATAAGAACACGAGCCTCAAAATTGGTCAGAAGTTAAGAAAAGAACAAGCTGAGGCTGACCTACTGTAAAATGCAATTTTGCACAAAAAAAAATTTCTCAAAAACAAGGAATTTTAGCCATGTGTAGGTGCTTTTTCGGTGAATTTTCAAACCAAATGAAGGTTGTCTCACTCACTTTGTTGGCAAATGAGGGCTGACTACCTCCCTAGAGTGAAAAAGCTAGCACTCGCACTGCTTACACCATATCAAATTTAAGAACAATCCAACCTCAGATTTTCGAAAAAATCAAGAACAGTCAGCCTGAACTTCAATTTACTGGTTCTTATAAAAAAAAGAATTTATTCATCTTCGTACAAAGATTAACTTGCTAACTCAAAAGAAACTACCATACATGTCAAACGATACAATATGAATTTCTTTCCGACGGCATTGCCTTTTGATGAATATCAAGCATTCCAACTTCCTTCATGTGCGAAACGAACAAATGCATTTTAAAATTTATGCAATTTTTTGGGTTTGTGTCCTGTTTGGGCTGTAGGCTGCCAGATCTTTCTTCTTTTGGAGTTTTATATCATGGGCGTCGACACAGGCTGTAAGTTGGAAAGTTTGGGAGGGGGCAAGGGAAAACGTAACACCTATAACAAAAGATTTTGAAAAAGCTCTATTTTTAGCCATGCCCCCCGGCCCTCTATCGTCCGTTTGTTCCTGTGTCTAACCTCAAACCAAAACCCCAAAACGACCTTGTGTTTGTGTTTCATTTTAGGTGTAAAATAGCCTTCTACAAACTACATTTAAACTTTTGAAATATCATTTTCTTTTGTTTCTTTCAGTGATTCATATTGATCAGATGTGTGTAAAGCCACTGAAAGACACTGGGTCAAAACTGGTCACTTCAGCTTTTGAAACAAATTTTTTAGCTCCGTTAATGCTTATCAAAAATATACTGCCAACAATGAAGAAGCAGAGAAAAGGTAGAATTATATGCCTTAACACGGTAGCAGGGGTGATTGGCATTCCATTTCACTCGCTATATTGCTCAACAAAATTCGCCATCGAGGGCCTAATGGAATCGATTGCCGCCGAATGCATTGAGCATTCTATCACGTGAGTTTTGTTGCTGCTATTTGCTTTTCTCAATCAACGAGGGTAAGGACAAAATTTCATGTAGGGTATTAATATTTATCTCTTTGATCAAGTTAAGGGCGAGCTCGTGTTGTCTTCCTTCCGATTGGATGTGAAGGTCTACCAACCCCACTTTGAAATTTTTAGAGATCAACATTGTTGAAAATTTGTAACCAAAGACATACTCTTTGTGGCACACTCTTTGTGGCACACTCTCGTATGAAAAATTCTTTGTGCTCCCCTTCCCCTTAAATGATAAGTACCAAACCCGAAAGTATTAATAGAATTTACAAATTTATGTAAAAGCTAAGCTGTCTACTGCTAAAAAGAATGAAAATAGCCTCAGTCAATCCTTGAGAGAAAGGAATTAAGTTTTGGTTTTTGAATTGAGCATGCAGTCTGAGTATCTACTTACTACGTTAGGGTCAGACCATAGTTTCATTGAATGCAAAGTTCAGTTGCTTGTTTGCCATTTATAAATTGTCAATTCCCTTTTATTTGAAACTGATTTTGCTTTGCTCTGGTGGTTTTAGTGCATCTGTTATTGAAACATCTTTGGATGAAGAACAGAGTCCGTCAAGAGTCATACTTGAACTGCCAACAGAATCTCATTCGTCGCATGATGAAGAAATGATTTTTGAATACGATCAAATGGACGAAACTGTGTCGAAACTTGAACACGGATCGCTGTTAAGGTGCTTAAATGTGCCAAAGATTTCCAAAACTATCAAGGATATTATTGAACACAAACAACCAAAGTTTAGGTATATTATCGGCAAAAGTACAGCCAATATTACAAATGAAAAACTAAAGGACCCGAGAGGCAACACAACAATTAATGAGGTTGCAAAGTTTTTCATGAATGCCGAAATGGACTAAGAATATGATACAGAGATAGGTATTTAAACGAAAGAGCTAGTTTTGGCGGCGACAAGAGAGCGCGTATCGCTATATGTAGTGATTGCTCCAGTCCGGAGTCAAAACGACGTACATTTCGTGGGGTGGAGTACTGAACTATTCCAATTGTCTACTGCTGAACTACTAGAAATTCTTAAGACAGAACTCTAGGTCGTTGCATCAGGAAGGGTAGGGAAGGAATTTTCACAAGGAAAATTGAAAGCAACCTATACGAGTGAGTTTAACATAACTTTTTAATTGACCCCCCCCCCCAAATAATAGGTTTAGCAGGGCTAACGCCCTGGAAATCCATTTTCGGTTACAATACACCAAAAGTAAGAATTCAGGATTAAAATTTTTAGTTAGACAGTAGTAAAGACATTGTATATATTTTTGAAAACCCTGTGCCTCAGCAAAAGAATGGCAATTGCTCCTTACACAATAGCCTTTTTAGGATCAGTGCCTTTTCGTACTTTGGCAAATCTCATTGAAACCACGAAAAAACTCCCGTTTTGATTGTCAGAATTCTCAGGACTGTGTCCTCTAGTATCTGCTGAATTCTCAAGAAACGGTGGCTTATGTACAAAACGCTCTTAAATTCAAACATAGAAAGTATTTGATGTACTGTTTTCTTTACATATTGTAAATATTTTCAGCATAAACAATTAGGATTTTACTCTTTTCTTAATATTTCAATTAATAATTGTAAGTATACTAATTGCGTGATAAGAATAAGAGAATCATTTAATCTGCAGACACACGACTATGTTGTAGTAACAATTCTGTTATTGTGAATCAGTAGTAAAATTATGAGAAACAAATGAGTTTTTTCAGATTCATTCACGCACATCTCTAGAAGATATCACACTTTGTGTCTTCATGCGCATTGCTTTCATTATGAATGTAGTAAGACCAATGGGTCCCTGCGTTAAGCAAATGGGTAGTCTTCCTGTTGCACTTGGTCAAAGAGGTTTTGAAAATGATCCAAACCTCTGTTCATTACACCTCACACTAGAGCGTGGAATCGTAGAGGCTATAGCTCTAGGGAAACTCTTTAGGATTTTTAGAACCAAGAGATAGTTAAGATTTTGACATGAGGGGAGGGGGGGGGGGTCAAAACTTTTCTATAAACATGTAAAAAGGACCACATTGAAAATAACGTACAGAGATAATGTTCTAACATCTACAAACCAATTCAGTCATGTGTGAGAGGCAACATGTTCTCATTTTCAAAATAACTACATCTACACATTGCAATTTACACACTACTAATGTTTGTTCGTCTATCTGCAAACTTTTTGGTTTTGGGCCCCTCAAGAATATTTGTGAGGCAGGCCCCCTTCTACCTACCCTCTTGCTTTAGAAATCAGCCTTGCTACATTACAGAAACGTCTTCATTTTGGATCATTCTGCAAAGTAAAGCGAAACTGAACATTTGTTTTATTAGCAGGACTAACAACTGGTTTTGTTTATATGCCTACTTTTTTATCATTCAAAGATACTAACTTGCATGTTTTTTCTAATTTACAGAATCTGGACAATTAATAAAGTATCTAGTGGCCCCTTAGTTTAACGTAGTATTCCTAATTGTAATGCAGTAGTTTCCCTTTGATATGTAGTAAATCATTCTCAGGTATAAATAAGTGTTCTTAGAATTGAACTATTGTTATTTTGACGTTTGTGTAGTACCATTTTTTTAGCCTAAACACTGAGAGATACTTAAGGAAAAGAAAGTATATGAAAAGATTCTTCCTTTATCCTTTATCGAAAATAGATTAAAACTAATAAAAATTGCGCAAAATTGATACCAATAAGACCCGATCGACATTTTTTTTCCAATTGCATGATCCAAAACACTGCATTGATGAGTCCCGCGTCTACGTATTTTTCGGTTTAAGTATTTAGGGTCTACGATGAAATCTCTTCCAGAAAAGTGAAACCATAAAAGACTTGTAACAGTGAATGGTTTTGTTGTAAAGGGTTCTACGTGACGCTAATCACAGGGCTGAGGATTAAAATTCCTGACCTTGTATTTTTATCTTATCTGAGCAGCCTTTTCTATTTTCCATATCAAAACATCTACTGCTCGAAAGAAAGTACGTTTTTGGCGCCAGAATCTTTACAAACAATTTCAAAAGAACAATTTTTACACTGATTATTTCACGGCCATAACTGTTATTGTTCTTAGGGTGGGGCTGAAGCTCCTCATTATTATAAAAACCCTTTGTTTCCATTGAAAAACTCCTTTTTCCCTTATGTTTTTAACAATTGAGCCCCAGATAATTATTTCTTTCCTACGGCAATGGCTGTTGGTTTTGTTTTTGGTTTTGGCTACAATCCCACTAGTGGCAGAGAATAAGAATAAGGTTATAGGTTATCTTTATTCTGTGTTGGAGGGGCCTCAGAGGTACAAAGGGCCGGCAGAAAACCTCGATTGTGGGACAACTATCCATTTAGAGGCTGTGTTTAATGGCGGAATCTTGAGGAGGAGAATGAAGACAACAAAGTGATGTTATTATCGTGGTGATATCAATTATCTGTGGTAATGTAGTTAACACAAGTAGTTCAAAAAATTCCTTAAGCAGTAGGATAAGATAACGTGAGAAAATTACTGATTAAAACAAATCTTTGCTTGTAATTTGGCCAGTGCTGGTGTGATGGCCTGGAAAATTATACATATATTCAACAACATTTCAGGCGTGAAAAGGGCCCTACAGTAGAATTCCAAGTGTGAATTTATTTCTTAATTGAAAAATTGGGTGTAAAATCGCCATGCTTTCCGTAAAGAGGGTTTTTATCAAGACATGCCTCAACAATTTTTCTGTTTTGGATGGTTATTTGCCATCCTAGTGAAATATTGGCCTTGCAGCAGTGTTTCTTTTTGTGAAACGAGGGAACATTTTTCATCCGAGCTAATCAATTAATGTTTTTAAAGTGGTTCCATTATAAAAAACGCTCTAGTTATTGTAACAATATTATGGTAGGAATTGTCTTAGAAGATTTGCTGCAGATTTTTCAGCATTTTGTTGCAGCTATTGATCACAAAGTTAAGATACAAGAAAATTGAATGTTTCCAGTAATTTTTCTAACTATCCCTGTGGGTTGGGTTAATTGAAAGAATTTTGCCTTCAAAAATATATATTCTAGTCTTTGTACCAACCCAACATTTTTCTGGGGCAGCTTGTGCTACCACTGCCTGCAAAGCTCTCTGAAAACTTGGCAACTACCTAATCCTATAAAATTTTCAACATAACTGTAAAGACCAACACCAACCAAGGCTTTTTTGATATACTTACTATCATGGCCAGTGGCCCCTCCAGCCCCAGTGACCCTCCATTGTTTAAAATAATAGGCTTTTTTCTTCTCTTTATGCAAAGAAATGCTTGACGCTCAAGTTGATTTCTCTTAGAAACAGCTATCATGCTTAGTAGCAAACCCCCTACAAACAATCAGGGAAACTAATCAATTCTAAGATGAAGCAATACATACTTGCAAAGTAGATATATTCAAATTGAATTGGGAGAGAGGGTATAAAATTGTCATGTGATCTGCCTAAAATTGCAATTTGTTGATAAGCCTAATAAGTTTGATTTGGTTGATCTTGCTCAGTAAATGTCAGTAAATATGTTTATATCCTAGATCTTTTCCTGTCATACAATTTTTTTTTCAAAGGCTGCAATTAGCTGTGATGAATTGCTTTCCACTACGGGTAAAATAGAAATGAATTTGTAAAATCGGTAAATATAACTGTTTTAAAAGATGCACAGTGTAAAAGAAGAAAAATCTGTTGGTTGTCTTACAAAATTATATATGCCTTTTCTTAAATGAAGTTTAAATTAAATTCAAATTAAACTTTCATCAAAATTTTAAGCAAACAGCATTTATCTTCAGGTAATGGCCCATGAAGATGTCCTTATGTCAAGTGGTGGCTTCGATCCAATAGGGACAACCAATTTGTTTCCTAGTCTTTCAGAGCCTGGACATTCATTCCCATTTGTTGCTGGGTTTTCTGGTGAAAGAGCAAATGATCACCCAGAGAGGTATGTTTATTATCTTTCAAAATTCTTATATGATAAATGATGTAATAAATGATAGATTCTGAACAAGCTGATAAGTTTTATGTAGCGGATTTTTTGAAATATGAAAGCCGAAACTGTAAAATTCAATGTTTAACTATGAGTCTAGCTGCTTGCTTTTTACAAAGTGAGCTGGGAATCTCTTGCTTCCATTTCTGGACAAGCTGTACTAAAATTAAGATAAAAATAACAAATCATTAATTCCCCATATACATGGCAGAAAACTAACTGGATCTGGTGTGATTTACCTTGTGTGTTGTAGTGAAACTAGGATCACAATCATTATCTGTTTGTTAATCCATAATTTTAATGAAAAATTGAATGCCAAAGACATTGTAAAATGCAAAATTGAGAATTTATTTTAACAAAATGGTGACCTTTTCTTGACATGCAACTCTAATATTCAAATTTTCTTGAAACTGATGTCTTCAAAATAAGAAAAAAACTGTTGTTGTTTGTTGTTAAATAGACAGAGCTTTGGTGTATCAAGCAGTATGGATAAAAGTTGCAAAGATACATTGAAATGATTACCTACTTTTTTAAACAATATCAAAAAACTTTGTTTCTCTTTCTTACTAGTATATACAATAGTTATCACAATCCTGAACCATTTATACATCAACTTTTTACATCGTGGCTGGTTGAAATTAGCTCAAAATTACAGAAACAAGGAACAAAAATATTGCACTTTTTAAGGATTGCAATCCTGGCCTGAATTTCTACCTGCGATAGCATTTGTTGTCTTATTAACTAGACCCAGCTAATTTTCTTTTGCTGTGTTCTGTTTTTGCTTTATATCACTGCTAGCATTTCCATCATAATTTTTGTTTGCTTTTTCCATTTAGCCAAGATGATGAGAGAGATAAAAAGTTTAGAAAGAAAAAGAAGCATCAAGATCATGCTGTAAGAACAAGTTTTTAAATTTGCTAATTTTGTACTTTTTCCATAATCCATTTCTTAGAGCAGTTTATTTGAAATATTTGTGAACGAAACAAAAGTGAATTTTGGTTCATTAAGACCTTTTTTGTGAGTTTTTGTTTGACATTTTCACTCAATAGTCAAATGTCAAAGGAAAAAAAGAAAGAAAGAAAGAAGGAAGAAAGAAAGAAAGAAAGAAAGAAAGAAAGAAAGAAAGAAGGAAAGGAAGGAAGGAAGGAAGGAAGGAAGGAAGGGAGGAAGGAAGGAAGGAAGGAAGGAAGGAAGGAAGGAAGGAAGGAAGGAAGGAAGGAAGAAAAAACCATTGGGAAAGGGGCCCATGGCAAATTTTTATCAGAGCCAATGGCTCATACTATCATCATAAGTTCCCTCTGCCCATATTTGGCTGCCTCTGATCCAGCACTCTTTTATGATGGCAATAGAATAAAATTTTGCAATTACTAGGGGGCATGGTACTGGATCTAGACATCACTAATAGTCTAAATGCTTGGCTGTTCTTTCCCAATTGCTTCTTACTTATAGCATCTGAATAATTAGCTCTCAAGAACCAGAAAGACGAGTTAATCTATTTTGATCTTCTTCTTTTTCAGAATATGGAATCGTTTAAAAGCAAAAGGAAAAAAGTCTCAGAGCATTATAAATACAAGCTTAAAAAGCTGAGAAGGAAGGCAAAACACCTTGTTTTTGTGAGTTTTGATTTGCAAACATTTTTTCTCAATTCTCTCTAAAATATGTATAATTCAGAAATTGGCAAAAATTGCTGGTAAATTGACTTTTTTTGCCGTTATTTTTCTGCCTGTAACTGTGTATTATACTTTTTAGGAAAATGCTGCTCTGTCTGATGAAATTTCGTACACAGAACAACTTTTAGTAAAAGCAAAAGGCGATCGAAAGTATGCATTTGAATTTTTTTTGGCCTTGAATGAATACTGCTGTAAACCCGGCCTGTTTTTTATTGTTTATTGCCATGCACAGCAGCGATGCCCAAACTTTGTCGAGGACTTGCAAAATTTGGTGTAAAAATGCCCAAGGGCCAATAGTCTCTGTTTATATTGTTGTGAACTACATTAATTGCATACAGATACATTGCTATTTAGCAGTTGACTTGCATTCTGCGATGTTTTTCAGTTAAGTAAGCACTGGACGTTTTTCTGCATTTCTGCATTTCAGTTCCCTGATATTTCTAGATCTTCCATGTGAATACTTGATCTCGATTTCAGTACAAAGACAAAGTCGGTAGCAATAGTTGAAATGTGCAAAGAGTAATTAGCAGGCCCAAAACCAGCCATTTACCAGTGGAAGGGGTACCAGTCTTAAACAATTTTGTTGTAGGAAAAATTGCGTTTCATGTTGGAAAAATCTGCTCATACACCATGGTGTATATCGCTTTACAATCAACTTATGTTAAGGTCTTTTTTATAAAAGCTGTATCAAAAAAGGGTGAAATAATGAATATAAGAAATAAGAACTGCTGAATCGCAGTACCAAAAAAATGGGCCTTATGTAGAACAAGTGTAATAATTTTTTGTGCACCAATATTGCCGACCGGGGAAAACCGAAATGTCGCTTAATATATGACAGAGAACTATGGCGAAATTTTTGCTATAATTTCTCGTATTCTGTATAAAACGGTGATAACGAGAAGTATGATAATTGCCGATGGAACCTTTTCATGTCCTCTTTTGGGATCACTGACTTACATTCCACATGACACATAGAAGAACATAACGAGTTTGTAGAGAAGATGTGCGGCTTATTTGAACTTTAAGCTCGGGCCGTAACTAGATTTTTTCTTCGCAAGTTACGTAAAACTGTCCTGTTCTTCATACCAAATCATTTTGATACATTAATGTGCTTTTATTCTGTGTTGCTTTCATACTCTGCTTGTATTCACTTCCCAGGAGATGGAGGGACTCGTATTTTTTGAGTGGAGTGGTGCTCGGGCTACTATTTTTGGTGTCAGTCAATTATATTTGGGTGCATAAAATTCTAAATTACATTTTTGGGTCTTTAATATGAAAAAGATTTTCAAAAAAAGAGAAGAATTGAAAACTTTCTTGTGCAGGACCAGAAAAATTATTTTTGGATCAATTGTTATGCTAGAAATTGTTTTTCTTTGGGTTGATTATTTGTACCCAAGCCTGAGCACCTCTATTTTATTTAAGAATTTATGAGATTCATTTACCAGTGCCATAAATGAATCTGATAATTTTTTTCCATTACTCTAGAATGCTACTTAAGAAGTTATTTCAGTACTTACCAATGACCGAATCTCAAGCTCTGCAAAGTTCTGCTGCTTTGAAATCATTGGCTGCCAATTTCCATGGAAACCTACCTCCAACTGTGCTTGGACCTGTGCAGCCATCTGGCCAGACAACAACACAATATACAAAAAAGAAAAAGAACAATAAAGTCAACGCTAATAAAAAGAAGAAAGACATGATATCTAAGCAAGGTTACTAAACATTTTATAAAAATACTAAGGGAAACGTGCATTTTTTTTATTTTGAAACGTGCGTTGATTTTCCCCTTTGAAACAGCATTTAGAGGATTTTAAAAGTATAACAATACATTTTTGGGAGGGGGGGGGGGGTGACATTTTTTATGTCTGCAAAGTTTAGAAGCTCCAGGTTTTATGAATTAACTGCAAATATTTTCATCTCCAAGAAAAGAAAAGAAAAAATTTTTCTTTCATGTTGGAAAAATCTTGTTGATATTTTTGCTGCTGATGTCTCTGATTTTAAAACTTTAAGTATTGGTACTTAATTGCAAATATAAATAATAAAAGCTTTTATCTTGATAAAGCCGATACTACTATACAAAATTTTTAAGTGCAGGATATCGATATTTTACTCAGACATTTTTTATTAAAATATTCTGAATAATGATTTTTAAAGAATCTGTAAAATTGTTTTTGGCGCCAAATTTGAAAATGGCTTTGAATATAGCAAACTCGCCTGACACTCCTCAGAGTATAAAACTTCAGAATAAGTGTCTAAAGGACCAATGTGAAAAAGATTTACCCATGAAAATACACATAAATTATTATGGATCGTGACGTATTTTCCATCTTGTTCTTTTGGAACCCTTTTCTGATTTCTACTCTGTGTCGGACTAAAAGCTTTTAGAACGGTGTAAGATGTTTGCTTTTTTCAAGGGAATATGTTTTCTAAAGAATCATTTGCAGCTAACATAAGATATTTTCATAATAAGAAAGCTATTAAAAGAAGCGTCATGAAATTCACCCATGTTCAACCCTTCTAAGTATTTGAGTTTCAGTTTTAAGTTACATTTTGCCTTTTTTACTTTATTTCCCCTAATTTAATTTGCCTTCATTTCTTCAGAGAAGCCAAAACGGAAAAAACCTGGAACAGCTATGAAACGCAAGGTTCAGTCCATTCCTGTGGATGAAGATGGTTTGTTTGATAAAAATTTAATGTATATCATTTACAAATCATTTTTAGATTTGTTGCGACATTTAAAGCAACCAATGTTTTTCTGCTGTTTTATGACATACTACAGCTTTCCATGTCACGCTCTTCTGAGTATAAAACGCCAGCATGAGGATCTAAAATTGTACTTTAGGATATTTCCTAGCTTATGAATTTCTAAGTTGCCATTTTTGGAGTCTGCAGTATGAAATCTTTTTGAGCTATTTAAACAATAGAAAGTAGAATACACTAAATCTATTTAAATGCGCTTTGCCAAATTCTGTAAAAGGGCGTTTTTTGGAAAGCATTCATCGCTTAACAAATCATGAAACATTTAGCTCAATTTATTGGAAGGTTGAAGCAGAAATGTCTTATGAACTTAAAACGAGATAAAGTTTTCAAAATTGTGAATTTCGTATGCATATAATTGTCCTGTTTTATTCTTTTAGCTTTCATATATTATTTGATTTTGGAGTACTCTTGTCTCATACTGTCTCATTAGAAGAGCAAGCTAGGCCTCCTTGTGATCTCAATTTTCTTCATGCAGATTATTGCCCTCGTGACAATCGATTATTGATTTTTTCTTAATTATCTTGTTCTTCGAAGGAATGCCTGTATTTCCGCTTGTTCTTGGTGGCTTGACTGTTCATGAGCTTGGAGAGGTGCAAAAATTTTCTTATTTCATTTAAAAATTCGATTAAAGTCGAAATTTATGTAGGATAGGCCGTTCAGCACCTTTACAATAATTTTTGACAGTAATCACCGCGCTTTGTAAAGTACCATATCGTATAGTAGCTTCCCAAGTTCGGAGCTTCTGTATCTTATCCTAAAAATGGTTGTCTTTATAATAAAGCCCTTTTAAGGTGCTTTCTTTAAGAAAATGTCTTTAACCCCATTTATACGCCTTATTATGAATAATGAGGTTGATGTTTTCTGTAAGACTTGGCAGCGATAGGGGCTAGAAAGATTTAATTTGTGAGAAAACAGACCAAATAGAGCGAATGCAGATGCTGAATATCTCGTTGCTGAAAAACGAAAGCTTCTGAATTAATATGGATGAACAGTTTCTTCGTCTCTTTTTTGCTTTAGATCTTTGGATTTTTTGTTGAAAAACCACCTTTTTAAAAACAGTTCTAAAACCAGTTGGAAGCAATGCTGTTGATAATAGAGGATAAATGGATATCTGCAACTGACACGCTAACAATTACCTGCGATAATATTGATATTTCAAACTTGAGGAGTTGTTTCTAATGACAAACCAAGCAACATCTGTTGGACTGATAATGTCATAAAGTTTTTGTGTTCTTGCATCAAGAACTTTGTCGATAATTGAATACTGTAGTTGAAGAAATTGAGGCGACATAGTGTAAGATTTTGGTACCATTTTAACGATTCATATTTTTTGAATTAATATTTTTGAATGAATTCTATTCATTGGTGCTTTGACTTGTGCATATATAGGTGATATATGACAGAACAGGATTCCATTCTGAGCGATATATTTGGCCCGTTGGCTACTGCAGCTCGCGGTTGTACCCAAGTATGATTACTCCTGAAAACAGAGTCATTTATACATGCAAAATTCTGGATGGAGGTTCAGAACCGATGGTTAGTCTGTTACAATTTCTCATTTTCTTCATCTTAATTTTATTTGGTTTCACTTTATTCGGTTGTATCCCATTACCTGATAGTGCAGCAGAAGTCCTGGTAGTTTAAAGTGAGTTTGGGGGCGGTGAAACTGTACCTTTAGGTATTTTAAATGGGGGTGTGGGGGCGGTGATGTTTATGTCGACCAATTTTTGCAGAAAACATGACACTGTAAGGAATATTCACATGCATCCTACCTTGATATTGAATTTTTTACACAGAACCCTACAAATTTCGCATGTTCATTCAACCCATTTTAGTGTCCAATAAATGCTGATCAGAAGTATTTTTAATGATGCACTAATTTTAATCAGAAATGGAGGGTAGATAAACAAAATAGTACAGTGGTTTTTTTAAGACAGTTATAATTACATATGCCTAGGATATTTGGTGCTACAACTTTTTAAAAAGCTCTATAAATCAGTTAAAATTATTCTAAAAAGTTCGTGATTATGTAAAACAATTATTTGATATACTTCGAAATTGCTATAATTACTTTAAGTTTATTCAAAACATTTTAAAAGTATTTAAAACACTTTGAGATAATTTATGTTATACTCTTTTCATACCTAAATGTTTAAAATTGATAATCATCATTTATGGTTGCCCTTTTCAATAAAATCTACACTTTTATCGGTGTTTTTGTACTTTGAGCAAGTTTATCTTGCAATTGATTTTACAGTATTTATTATATTGTTATTTCTTGGATCTTTTAGCAGAATACTTTGAAATTTAGACATCTTTTGAAATAAAAAAAATTATGCATTTAACTCAAATAACTTTTTGGATTTCTGTATGTGGAGAGATCGAGTAAAAGGCCCATTTAGCTCCAGGTTTTCACTATGTTAATCTTAGATTTTCGTATAGAAGCATGTTTTTTGGCATAAACTAGGGCGAAGCGCATGCTAGCATTTTACCTGGACTTAAAGGGAATAATAGCAATGAATTGGTCGTTGAGTTTTGAGAATAGTTTCCCGAAAATTATCATTCAGTTTCAAGATTGCCTAAACTTGGGAGCTTGTTTTCTATGGCACACATGAACTTGTCTCTATATACATGGAATTATTTTACTTCATCGTATAGCACAGTACATTCAATTTTATATTCTCTTACGAAAACATTACGAAAACATTGGAAGAATCAGCAATGTAACTTATGTCATTCAATTTTTCTGCAGTTTGAAATCACACCTGAAGACTGCAAAGAACAACCAATAACTGCATCAACTGCTACTGCCTGTCATTGTGCAGTCCTAAGAAGATTGAATAAGGCACGTGGCAAAGAGACCACCAATACAGGATCTGGTCCAGAATTCTTTGGCTACTCACACCCAACGGTGCAATATCTTATACAAAGCTTAGCTGATGTAACAAAATTGGAGAAGTATAAATGGGTCAAATTTGAGCTACCTGCAAAAGGAACAGGTGATCTTATGAGCCATTTCATTGCATTGTAAATGACGTTAAATAAATTCTTAAACTCTTAGTTTTCAAACTCGGGGGATGAGCTACAACACAGGTTGTTGCAGAAAAAATCGCTCTCTCAGGAAAAACATGCCATAGTCATCCGCAAGTCAGTAGTGAGGCTGCGTTCCAATTTCATCAAGAGCAAGTTGAGTCTTTGGTGTCTCGGCGCAAATCGCTCAACCTACCGTAAACCTCTAACATGAAGAAGTTTCTGAAAGAAGTTATACAAAAGCAAAATGTTATAAAATGTTATATTAATAGTATTCGAAGGGATTGGACAAAAAAGCCTTCTTGCCCTACTATGAGCCAATGCACCAGTCCTGCCTTAAAGAATCACAACGATTAGCAGCATAAAAGATACGGTGAGGAATGAACAGCTTTCACGCAACCGGAAAAAGAAAGTCAAAATTTTAATGTAGAGAAGACCAAATGAGAGTGGGAGGGCTTGTAAAGAACGGACAGTTCCCTAAGCAAAGTGAAACCCACGCCATGCCAAATCCTTAGACAATCTTAGTTCAACCAGGGGAATCAATATTCTATGAGACCACACCAGCTTACCCTAGAATTTCAAAACAAAATCCTCCGTACGCAAAGGAATCCTTAACCATTGCACATAAACCTGTAGAGCGGGTACAGGAAAACGTGATGAAACATGTCGCAAGAAATCATCATGAATAGCAAACAATAATAGCTCAGGGCGAATTAAATTTACAGCAAACGCCCTTCATGTAATTAGCTATGTGTAAGTTTCATGTAATCATCATGTTTATCTTGTTGGTGATATAGGGTATCTTAATAGCTGTTGAGACAACACTATCCTATAATATTTTCAATATAATTTAGCAAGATGTGTTCACAATTGAAAAAGAAAGGAAAACTTGAAGCAACAAAAACGACTTGTTAGGCATTCACTGCCAGAATTATCGTTTTTTGTGCAACGTTTTGAGATGATGAAATTTATGGGCCCTTTTATTTTCGTCGACTGGACCATGTTTTCAGGAAGATGGACCGGTAGCCAGGAAAAGGATTCAGAAAATGTCTACAAGTACTCAAAAAATAATTTAATGAAATGGTGACGTTGTTTCACTAGCAACGGCTTAATCTAACCTGGTTTAGCTTTTGGGTAAGAACAAACCAAGGGTAAGAACACCACTTCAAGAGGTAACATAACTCGTGACGAAAATTGAATAGTTGCATTGGCATGAGATTACTAAATACAGCCTAGTTTAGTGCAACCCGGAACGAATAAATTTTCCTGATTCTGGTAGCTTTCAAAGGCCGCTTCATCAAGACAGGGACCTCGTAAAGACTGAGTCAGGAAAAAGACGTATTTGATAGGGTATAGCTTTATCTGATGTTCACGACATCTACTGTATTATTGTTAAATCTTCATATTTGTTATTTCGACACACAAACAACACATTTCTAATTTTTGTTTCGACTTTTCTTACCATAATTTGGTTATACTTTTTTATCTAGTCAACAAATAACTCAATGTACCCCTTATAACGATACAAACTAATGCAAACCAATGTCCTGGTAATGCCCTGTCAATAATCTTCTTCGTCGTATGATCATCTCTGGCTCTTTGCATGTGATCATACCAGCATAATCTGTTACCCCTCGCATAATTTTCATGACATTTCCTACTCGTAGCTGACTCCTTTTGTTTCTACTTCGTTTTCTGGCCTGCAGAGTCATTCCCATTATCGTTCTTAGCATTCTTTTTCTGTTCTTTCCAGCTTTTTCTCCTCTTTTCTGGCTGTTCTCTCAGTGTCCGATCCATGGACTAGTGTTGGTCATACTATTTTCTTACAAACTTTGCTATAGTTATGTATTTAATCACTTGTTTCCAATTATTCCTGACAAACCTCTCCATTTATATTCATTTTTACGCACTTTCTCTGCTATTTTGGATCCTCCATTTCCATTCAACATCACCCTCAAATAATTGAATACTTGCTTTATAGTTGTGCATCGTTTCTGTCTTAAATTTAATTCATTATCTTTCCGCTAACCATTGCTTATGTTTTCTCGATGTTTAACTCAAAGCTTCTTCCTCCTTACCATTTTGCCCCTCTATCTGCCACTGTACTGCTTTTTTGCTTTTTCCAATACCACTAGGTCATTACACGTTCTGGGTTATTAAACTTAAATGATGCATACAGTTTCCAAATCTTTCCATTTTCTAAGTCATTTTATGCCTGTAATTTCAATCCATGTTGCAACAGGAGTATGATTAGCCTGCCATGGAAGTTCTTTTCCAATATGCACCAATACACCAGGTACCTGTCCTGTCCATGCCAGAGAGCCTTATCGTCAACATCACCATCACCATCACCATCATCATCATCATCATCATCATCATCATCAGCATCATCATCATCATCATCATCATCATTGAGATTATTTTTTGACACAGTTGTCAAATTTATGACTCAATTTAAATGGCCGTAAAAGAAAACTGAATTCTTACTCACTAACAGCCATATTTTTAGCCCTCCTTCTTAATTTATCACTTTGTTTCAGTGCCATTTAGAGAAAGATTTACAGAGTATGGAGATTCGACAGCCAACCCAAATTCAGGAACTGAAGGCTCCTCAAGTGGAAGTGAAGGATAAGAGGTACTTTTAGAACTTGAAAACTTTAAGAGTTTGTTATTTTTGAGGGGTCTACCAACTCACATGCAGTTTCACAAGATTAGAACTGCTCTAACTGTTAGTTTTGCAAACATAGCAACAAAACTGTCATATTTGGAATTAAGGTATGTAAAATCTTTGTTAATTTTAGACAGTAACTTATGGGAGTATGAAGAACATCAAATTTGTCATATAAACACATCATGTCCTGACTTGCCTCGTCATATCCCTTGTCATGTTGTGGCTTTTCCTGTCATTGCATGTCATGGCATGACTTGTCAATGGTGGCTTGTCTTATTGTTTAAAAATTCCAAGTATGGTTAAAAATATTTCATTAATTACAATATGTCACTTAAATTCTATAGTATTATGCTATAAAATCTTATATAATTCTATTACCAGACCTAAAGATTTTCTAGTAATGTTGAAAATAAGGAACACACTGCAAGAATAAAAAGCATTGTCTCATTGTGCATAAGTCTCATTGTTGTTGAGTTGAAAAGCTTTGACTTTGAAACTGAGTTTGAGTAGAAAGATAAGTTTTTGTGAGAATTTTTTTTTGGTAAATGAGAGGTAACATTGTTTAGTAAAAATGTAGCTAAAAATTTGTTGAAAGTTGTAAAGACAATAGATAATGTCTACTAGATAAAACAAGATCAATAGTGGCATCAAAGTCATATCAAAGTGATGAAATTCTTTCCTTCATTAGTTGATTTTTGTTTGGATTTTTGGAACCAAAAGCCTTTAACTATACATGATGATATATTGTATGCAAATATAAATCATGTCTAGAAATTGACAAAGAAAAAGTACTGTAGCTCAATGAAACTATTTTCAAAATAGAATAAGACTTCTGTAGGTACAGTCAAATCATGCCATTAAATACACCAATTTCTACTATCAATTGGAAATATTTTGGAACATTATCACCTTTTTTTAAAACTGTATGGGTTCATGCTTGAGAGTTAAATTAAAATCAGTGGGACATAGCAACCTCCTAGACTGATTGAGAGAGCTAATGAAAATGTTGGGACAAATGTCACCTCTTAAACAAAACAGTGCAGTCTGTCAATAAACCACATCCAGGGGGCTCTCCTACCATTAGCTATCAAATAAATCTATGAGCAGAGTGATAAGGAAGTGTATAACATGGTGTTTTAGAGATGTTATTTGAAATATCTGAAAACATAGTAAGAAATATTTTCTCATCAATCTCTTGCCTCACTGGCTCTTATAAATTATTCTTGCATATATGTTTTTAATGTACTCCATTTGTCTGATAAATAATAAACAAATTTCATTTTGTTTTCTAAATTTTGAAAAAGGACTCTGATATCTCATTTTGTTGTCACCACATTGAAAGTTTGTAACTCGGATGCCTGAACTTTTCCTTATTTCAGCAAAGAATACTTTGCATTATCCAATCAGCTGATGCATTTCACGTTTTTGTTCTGCATATCTCTACAGTAAGTTGCACACTGTATGGTAATAGAATCTTACTCGCAGGCCAAAAGCCTCATGGCATTAGAATTAATGGGCTAATACCTTAGGGCTTCATTACTGGGCAGCAAACTGCTATAGCAAAATTTGATTTTACTTGCATAGTTTGCCGGAGCCATCACCCTTATGTGTTTCGTAAGACCCATCATTCACCCAAAACTAGCTGGATAAATCAGTATCTGGGAGGACTGTCAAGTGCACATTTGAGAGGCACAATTAAATGAATATTTCAACCGCATTGAGAAATGTCTCTTTGGGTTGTCTAAGGGCCAGCTGTAACAATTATACCAAGAAAGTCATTTGATATTCATCAGTTATATATTATGGTTATTCAGAGACACTCACAATGCACAAAATGATAAGTGGCAGTCAATCCAGTGTTATGCTAGAATTATGCCAGCTTATGCCCTGATTCTGTAAGATAAATAAATACATTATCATGAGTCCTTTGAAACAACATTTCGCCAGTAAAGTCAACGAGACAATGTTTTCTTGCTCTCAATAAAATCCCTACTACTTTGTTTGAAATTCTTGTATACAACTCAAAAAGAGCACCAAATCTTATGCCGTAAAGATTGTTTGCCGGATCAATTGAGCCATGGTTTTTAATTGTCTTTAATAATGTTATTATTTCAGAGCTCACGAGCTCATGGGCTTGCACCCCTCGTCGTTCTGTTTTGCTCCCTTCGACAGGTTTCCCGTAATTTTTGTCATTCATAGCCAATCTGGCACGATGTGAAGCACCTTCCCATTCTGAGAATGGATTTATAAGCTGTTTCTCTCTATGGTCTTTTAGTTTTTGCTCCCATATGTTCACTTTATTGCTGACATGTTTACGAATCTTGTTGACATCGTTCGCCATTTTGAATATACTAGGTAACACAGGGGACCGAAAGACTCCTAAATCAATTTGTTCTCGATTGTTGTTATGAATCAAGTCGAATAATAGAGTTTAGCATTTAAACGTTTAGCAATGTAATGTTATGAAGCATTTAAACTTAAGCAACTACAAATCATTCAAACTTACAAGAGATGATTTTTTGAAAATAAGACTTATTTCTACATTACATTATTTTGTAAAGAGCCAGTAAATTCAGACTGGTTGCTCTTAATTCTTCGAAAACTTTGAGGCTTGTTCCTCCTTAATTTGTTCTTAAATTAAGTAGTGCAATCGCTAGCAACCAATTTTCCAACAAGTGAATATAACGACCTTAGATGGCAATAATCTTTTAAAGGGGTTTCACGTCTTTGTTCAAAATCACATTTTACTGTACTTCAGCCTCGGATTATTTTATTTTGTTTTTAACTTTTGACCAACTATAAGGATCGTGTTTGTTTTATCAAAATAAGTGCATTGAAAATTATATGCACCTTGTTTTGTTCTTATTTTTCAAACATCATCCTTGGGGATTTACTTCATAAAATCTCATTTATTCTAATAACTCCATTCAAATTTTCCCCTTGACCTGAAACCCTTGGCCCTTTATAATCTTTTGGTATTTGTCCATGAAATAAAAACCCGTATTTTTCTGTTCCAAGCACTTTTCCTTAGGCCATGTGCCAAATGCGTGGAGCAAATGCTTCTCTTCGATCTCCTCGACACCAAAATGTAGCGTGACCCTTCTCGTTCTTGTGTATTTCTTTTTTACGACTTTCTCCCTTGAAAGTTTTTCAGCTTTTTTTACAAGAAAAAGAGTTTCAGAAAATCCAACTTGACATTAAGTTACGACTTCATTTTTAATACCTATTTTGACTTGCCTAATGAAATCAAAGTAAAGCAATGATATTGAACTGCCTGATGATACCTCCTATCCTCCTCAGCCAGTTGGTGCACTCTTATTTCCAGTCTTAGTTCCAGCCTTCATCAACAAAATTTATAAATACTTTGTCTTCAACTCTGAATAAATACATCATGATCTTATGACCCAGTAATTTAGTCTAATCTACGATTTCTCTGATTTGCCTTTTGCTGCAACAAAAGTTTGTCAGATTTGCATCAATAGTGCTCCTATGTTTTTGCAGAACCCTGTTGGCCTATTAGACACACAAAAATTGACATATCTGATACGTTTCCACCCATTTTCTTTTCGCTTTCCCAATGATAGTGGCGTGTCAATGGTCATAACAATTCTTGTCGTTTTCAGATTTAGCTTATTAGACTATATCGAATGATAATAATAGGTTTATTGCACTGTTCTCAGCTCCTGGGTTGAAATCTGTTTAATTCTTGCCTACTTTGTGTAAACCTTTTTTAATGGATACATACGTTGTCTTTGCGTAGTGTTACCTGCCATTGTTTTCTAGCGCAATTATGGCTAGACAACCATTTCTGCCAACGTTATCCCATTTCAGATTCAAGTTGATGTTGCAAATCGGGGATTTTATGTTCAATTAACTACAAACCTCCATGTCACATAAAATGCTTCTATTGGTGAATAGTAAATAGTTGCCAATTTCTATAAAGCTCTACTTTGAAAAAGGCTCTGGAGCTACAATGCCTGCCAAAAGTTTTGAAACTGTGACGTCAGTTTTCGAGGTCAAATTCAGCCATTCCCTTCTCCCCAGGAAACAATGTTGGTTTGCCATAAAACAGCGTTAAAGATTTGAAATTTTCTGCCTTAAAGTTGTTGTATGATATTTTTTTACACTATCAGCATTGTTGAAGATTTGAAATTTTCTGCCTTAAAGTTATTGTATGATATTTTTTACACTATCAGCATTGTTGAAGATTTGAAATTTTCTGCCTTTAAGTTATTGTATGATATTTTTTACACTATCAACATTGTTCCAGGGGAAAAGGGATGGAAGTAGTCAAACTTGCTAGGTGTTCCAACTATTTTTGGCAGGTATTGTAGTTTATCAAGAATGTTGGAATTTACCTCAAATGGATCTTTCATTTTAGACCAGCGGATCTTTCTGTTTTTGTCAGCAAGGCAGAATTTCCTTTACGTCCAATTAGATGTTGTAGGCCGCCAAAAATTATATGTAAAATAAAGATAAACAAAGATGAAAATAAAGCTCCGATAAAGCCTGATAGCCAGACCTCGATTTCATTATTTCCTTTTGTAGTACTATTTCCAGTAGTACCTTCCTCAACAGCTAGAGGTGATTGATAGAAATATGTAAACAAACCAAGCGAAATTGGCGGGACCTGATTGGCTGAAAAAGTTTGAAAACAAAACATCTAATTGGACAAGAAAAAATTAGCCTTACTGATTTTGTCAATGTACTAGGTTATATTAAGTTGCTCTTGCTACCAAGAGTTCATCTTAGTATCTTTTTAAAAATGAGGATCGGTACCGAACGAACACTGTAAATGTTCTGTCCCTGATGACCTTGAGATTAAATGGCATTTCTGTGAAAGATTGATCAGCAAATGTTGCGCCTTTGAGATCTACTAAAGACAAACTTCAAATTGTCTACATCATGAACGTAATCCTTCTCTCCAGTTTATTGCACTGTGTGATTAACTAGACTGCTGGAACTTTAAAGGTCACTCAATTTTTGCGAATCATGAAACCCACTTTTCATTCGTTTTCTAACAGTTTTTGGATGATATTCAAAAGTGATTTTCAAAGCGCACACAACCAAAATTTTTCTAGTCCAAATTTGAATTTTTTAGATGTAGTATGGGCATGATATTTCTTTTTCTTATTTGTACCAGCATCCTCTCTGATTTGCTTTCCATCAATAAACACATTGAGAATACTATGGCTTAGCCTATGATTGATAATATATCTTAACGCCACGTATTGTTGGAAGCAATATCCCTTCAAAGCCTTTAAAGGAGAAGATTTCTGTCTCGAGAATGAGGCTTAAACTACAAAACTATACCAAATAGCTAGGTCATTCTGTTAAGCAAATTTAATATGAGTTCATACCTGTTAAAGTAGTCACTAATCGCTGCTCAGTGGCTCTTTTCCCAGCAAAAACAGTATTATCTACAAGTCCGTTGGATGCTTTTCCAGCTGGATTTTGAAGTAATTATTTTCGAGATTTGGATAATGCTTGGCAGTGAGGTATTAGTTTTCTTTTGGACTCTCATTTAACGAGATATGTGATTTATGAGCTCTGAATAACTGGAGTACTTTATTCGTAATTAGAAGGTCTTGCGAGTATCAGCTCACTGGCATAAAAAGTTGGCTGGAACTGGGGCGAAACTGCTCCTGTTGAGAATCTATTACCACTATGCAACTTAGTATTTCACTTTTGATCAGATTTACTTCAATTAGTATTTGCACTTTGAAGTCGATAATTCTTGAAATGATATGAAGAAATGATTGGAGAAATTATACTTGTTAGATGAGAATCCACCACTCTTTATTTAAAGCACCTTGTTATGAAATCTATTTGAAGGCAATCATTCCAAAAATTTTAAAAAGAAGATTTCTCTTATCACAAGGTTTTTCTTATCAAACTGTAAAATTTAGTTTTGACAACAATCCAAAGTATAGTACGACACAGTGAATGAATCAGATGTAGAAACTTGCTAATATCATACTTTCCAGTAACTGAAAAGACAGAAAGTTGTCATTTTTTATTGAAATAGCTTTCATTTGGGCGGTGAAGTGTCAGCAAAGAATATTATCAATTATGATATGTACGTTACGGCATATCAGTCAGCGAATTATTGTTCCTGGCTAGTTGTTCCACAACTGTATGATAGAATTGTGCCTAGAGATATATGTAAAAAAAATAACTTTATGTAACATTCTCAGCTGATAACAAGTAAGAATTTGAAAACTGTCTCCATATCACAGTGATGTTGAGTACTTCAAGGATGATTCTTGAGTCCCATTATACTCATGCCAATAAGCAACCACCATGTTTTCAACCGTTTAAGAAATTTTTCTTACGTGCAGAATTTTGTGCTATTTGCTATAAGAGTGTAGAAAGAAGAAGAATCATAATTTCAGTTTAATTCCATGTGCATTATATAACGTTTGCTTTTCTGTAGTTCTTCTATCAAATATGTAACGTTAAACGTGTCTTGAATTAGAGTAAGCTAGCATCTTGGAATTGCATGAGCAAGAAAGAGTTGGTTGTGTTGATTACAGGTAGTTTTTGTTCGAAAAAAACATTTTTTAGGGCTGTCGAGTTTCATTAGAACGTACAACGTAATATTTTCGTGTCACAAAGGCGGGAACTCTCTGAAGAAAACAAACATATAATGTATGAATAAACTTTTATCTTTGAGCGAGTGAGGAGTGATAATTTCTTCTTATAGTGATAAGCTTAACCTTATCTTTACGTTGCCACTTTTTGCATTCTATTTACGATGAAGAATGTTCTTTCAGCTTCTCATATATTTTTTGATACGGTTGCAGCTCAAGGATAGCATTCGAGTGTGATTTTAATAGTAATAGATCAAAAGTGCTATCCCTAACTCTTTCATTCATAACTGTTCAATCAGCTCTACCGTTCTGTTCAAATAACAGCGATAACGGGATTTGTTGTGTGAACACAGTTGCCGTGTCTTAAAAATAGGCTGATCTGTTTGTCGTGAAACACTGGTAAACCAGCAAAGTCAATTGGCTTTAATCCGTTTGATTTTTCCTTCAACTTTTGCTTTGATAAATGAACAAAAACCAGCAACAATGCTGGCCGTATGCGGTTGCTGCGATGCAATACGATGGTCTGAACAGAATACTGAAAACAGTCGAGGAATGAAAATATATCGAGCTAAACAGGATGCATGATTGTCCCCCATAATACCAAGACGTTAATAATAAAGTTTCCTTTTGATTATGATCAACAATGATTGGTAACTTGAATTCTGTTAAAATACTTAGAAGGGCAGGGTGGTATATTTTGAATGCTGCTTTTGTCAATTATGCCAGGATGTGTAAAATATAACTGCTAATTGAACTGGGTGTTCGTGGGAAAGGTGATTCTTGTCACTTTTATTTCGAAAGTGATTCAAAGATATGAAAATAGAACGTTGTTATGATTAGTCAGCAGTAATCAATGCTTCTGAATGGTGAATTGAAATTTGAAACATTGTGGCTTTCAATGTTGTTATGGAACGGCCTATGAATCAAGACCATTTTTTAATGACAACAGGCTCTGCTGATATCATACGAATTCGTCTTCCACGTGTTTAGAATGCTTATACATAAGTGTCTCTCGACGCATTTCACTGTGTTTTCCATTGAAATATCCCCCTCTCCTTTGTTTTTTGTAATGTACTATTTTTTAATTTTCCACTTGGATTAGCAACTTGTTGCACTATCTCCGTGTTTAACCGACGCCTCCCGATTGCCTGAGTTATTATGCTTTCTACGCACACTCGATGTGTTGCATTAGGCCAACTGAATGTATTAGAAGCTCCTAGATATTGTATCTACAAATTCCAACGTTAAGTTTTCAGCATCATTTTACTATACTTCTTTCCAGTCATTTGTTTGTCGTTGGGACATACTGGTACAAACGGGCTTGTTATTTGTCCCGTTGTGCATTACTATTGCAAAACTATTGGCTCCTTGGCAAAAACAAAATTTATTTGCGTTATAGTCACAAGGCAATAGCGCTTGGATAAGTCACATGGCAATTCATGATACATAGCCTAATGTTTATGAATAAATAAGCTGGGAGTAGTTTATAACGTTGCTATGTGCTATCCGTAACGAGGATAATATAACTCGCTGTCAATAGCAGCAGTAAAAAAATAACTGTTGATATCTTATGGAAAAAACAAAAACTGACAAAGAGGTTTATTTGTAATTGATGAATTAGTTGTTTTCTTTTTTTTTTTATGAAAACATGTTTTTGTTATTTCTTTTATTCGTTGCTTCCTTATTGCTTCTTGATTGTTTTCATACCTGTTCCCCTAGAGGCAAATGATGAATGACTGTACGGTAAATATGACAAACAATACGAATCCATTTCGTCGTTTTGGTTTGTTGTTGTTGTTAGTCTTGTAGAGTAAAGAAGCCACTCTTTGCAATAGGCAAAAAAGGATAGTTTTAAACAGCAAGCAGATACGTGGGCAGTTGTGTACCCTGACTTTGGGACAGGGTTGTAAAGCTTGATTTCCACTTTGATTTAATTTGAGATAATTTCGTGATCTGATATGGTTTGAAAATTAACTTTAGTGGAAACGCTCATTAAAAAGTATCTCATGAAAATTAACTGGTTACTCATGTTAACTCATGGGCTTGGAAACAAAAGTTTTTGATTTAAAACTCATGAGCTAACGCAGAATTATCTCACGTTAACTCGTAGTGGAAACCACGCTTAAAAAGCAAGATCTACCGATAAAGGGGGAGATTATGACTTAGTTCGCTACTCATACAAAGCTACAGGCAATTTTCTGGCAAAAAGGTTTTGACCAGACAAACATCAGAAAAATTTAGGTGTCTTCCCCTCCCTTCTACACCCAGCGATTTTGGCAGAACCTTAAATTGAGGTGTTTCTTGAATATGATAATACCACTTTGTCTAAAAAAGATACTTTGCAAGAAATTTTTACTTTCTTTTTACATTAAGTTTGATTTTTGATCATTTAATCTTGGTGTCGTGTGTTGTGTGCTTTCAGGTTAAACGGACGCAAAGCAAAGACCTTTTCCTCTTCGTGGAATCTCTAAAGAAGACAAATTTGCACTAGGCCTTTTCTTGAAAGTCCACAAGAATGCAAGTCACGACTTGTTCTACAATAAATGATAGGTCTGCTTTAATTTACTATGTTGCTTCGTAAGAAGAAAGTATATAATACATAAATTAGCAATGCAATCTTCAAAGAACGTAGTGTGAAGAGCACGGGAGAACACGCCATATGTGGCGGTAGAACATATTTTGTCAACAACAGCAAAAGAAGATCGCCTTTTATCGAACACGCGAGATACTGCGGCACCTCGCTAGTCTTTCGACCAAATTTGTTCACTATCTGACTTAATACGGTAACTTTGTACAACGACCGAACGCTCAGATGAATGAAAAGACAGCAAAATCGCATTTAGAGCTTATTGAAAAGCCCATTGAATTCACTAGTAACATTATTCCGTCATTAAGCCAAATTATCTTAGTTGCTATAGACGTAATTGTATCACGTATCTAATTTAAAGACGGTCGTACATTTTAGTCTTTGTTCTGTTTTGAACTAGGGGAATTCTTTTAAGATTTATACCCTAATGATATCACGTTTTGAAGAATTGAAATTTAAACGAGAATATTTTCGCAGAGGTGAGCTCTCGTTACATTTCATTCCATGTCTGATGCAAATTGTGTTTGCCATGGTAACAGACCAATTGATTAGTAACTGTCTTTAATTAATTCTTCGAAATTGCGGCCTAACAGATCAACTTTGGCTTGTTTACAAGCGTTTGATTAAAGATGTTTGTCATTCTCCGCATCCAATTGCGAATGATAATGAATGAAACACCTCGATATTGGTCATCTGTTTGTATTTAGCTCTGTGGATGGTCCTCTTCTTTCTCTGTTTGTGGCCTGACGTCCTTAATAATAGCAAATCTTTTGATATATCTGCCTTAGGAATTTAGATACCTGATAAGCTTTTGCTGTCATTGATGTAGCTCCTTTGCTTTGGACTTCAAGTGACGGTGGCTTGAAAAAGCATTGGATAAAAGAGTAGTGTCTTGGGGCATGGGGGGCGGTTCCTCTAAAATTTCCCTTGATAAGAATGGATCTGGCTCTACGAAATTTTCTTAGCTTTTACAATATTTCAGTGTTAAAACTTTCCCACGTTTTCTTGACAAGTTTTGCAGTATTGCACATATGTAACTTCGAATTTACGAATTAAACTACTTAGAACTTAGGATGAATGTTTAGCTGAAATCTTAGCCCAACGATCTTTATTCGCATATGCTTTTTCTTGCCAAAATTTGTATTTGAATATATCTTTGAACATCCATTCTTTATCTACAATATCTAGCACCAAATGGGAGATGAAGAGAACCGTATTTAAGAAGAATCCTTAATACTTTACTAGAAGCCACAATTCAACATTGGAGATAGTCAGTATGGACATTGTAACTGCTTGACGAAAGTTCATTTCATTTGATTAACTGTAGTTACTTTTGCATCTAAACTCTGTCAAAATTGAAACGCATGCCTTCGCCCCCAAGGGGCTGAGCCAATTTTGTAAGGGCCTACCAAAATTTAGAACTCGAGCGTTGTATCACAAAGGTGATTCCACTATTCGTTCAAATGAACTTGCATAATTTATAAAAAAACCTTGGCTGGCAGCAGAATTGTAGCTAAAGTTTTTGTACTTTGTAGTTACTCTAAAGTTGTAGTTACTCTAAAGCTATCCTTGCAGCGGTTTAACGGGAAATAAAAATTTAAAGAACTCTAGAAATTTTCAATGCTATAAAGATATACCTGAAGGGCATTAGTCTTCTAAAGGAAGCATGTTGCTGCGTCCTAAAGGAGATGATCTTGCATAATCTTCGAAAATCGTGTAGCTTAAGCGGTGTTTTGGAAATTTGCTAGTTTGCTATGAGAGTAACAGATGGAGCACCCCCCACAAGAGACCTACCAACCATCATTTCTTTTTTATTCAAAAAGATATAAAAGATATGTTTGATGTTTCCTTGGCCTTTTGAATGTACTTTGTGTGACAACTGGCGTAATTTTTAACATTTTCAGGATGTTTTTTAGGCCGTTTTCAGACAGAGAGGTGTCTGGCACTTTTTAAGTCTTTTATATTGTTGTCTTTGCTTAGAACAACTCGGAAATAAAGGCACTTGTCAAAAGCCAGCCGATAAAGGTTGCCTCTTTCTTTTTCACTATTATTTTGTCATACTGCTGATTGATACGGATGTTTGTAATTGAAGAATTTTTCTTTATACTTTTAAAAACAGACAGGCATTTCTGTTATCTGAGTAAGTACTTCCTAGAATATTTATGTTGTCTTTGGCTGCCACCGATTACCCATTTGCTGCCTATGCAGGCTCGTGGCAATAGGGGTGAAATTCTCAGTTATCCGGTTTTCCTATGGCTACCAAGCAAAATATCTCAGAGTCAGACTGGCAGATATACTAATTGTCTGGCCCCTGTGCCGTTTTCCTTAGAAGTAGGTGTCCCATTTCTGTCTGCAAAGAGGTAGATAATACGTCGGAGCAGCTGACTTACAATTAATTAGATGGCCTTAATAAACTTCTGTTGAAAGTTCTGATACTGGCTTTCCTCTACCGCTCTCTCTCTTTCAAAGCCCTTTTTGACAAGTAATTTTGGGTATATGGGTTGAGACAAATGTCTGAATGCTGGTGTTCGTGGCTGGGAAACATGCACATACATTACACCCCTCTTCCCTGCCCCCTCAAAATTGAGACATATTCAAATATACAGAGGAAATGAACAAACAGAGAATAGGGGGATGAGATGCATAATCAACAGCTTTCCAGGAGTTTTGTTAATAATATTTAAGAAACGTTGTTCCAAAATAGTAGGGAACCATCCAAACAACAGATATCCAGGCAAACATGAAATAAGGTGTTCTTAACTCTTGAAATGCAAATATAAATACATTTGCAGAGCCCATATGGCTAGAAGCGCTGTAACTGTTTTTTTTTCATTTGGATTTTCAATTCTTGTTTTTGATTTTATTTATCTTAAATATCGGCCGCGTGCTTGCGTTTTTCTTAATGGCCCATTTCGATCCACGACTGGGAATATTTTTTCCATTTTGTTCTCTTGGCAGGGGCGTAGCGTGCGGGGGAGGTGTGGGGGTGTACACCCCTTCAGCTTTCAGAGAACTCGTCGGTAGAATTGAATTTATAACAAAATATTTATGTAACAAAAGAATTTCTGTCGGTATAATATGGTTTTGCATGTTTTACACCCCCACCCCCCAGCGAGAATGGTCATGCGACGCCACTGTCTCTTGGACCCTTATTCTTATGTTTCGCACTCTGAGAGTGTCAGATGAAAAAGCTTTCAGCATGATGTTTGCTTATTTGAAAGCCATTTTCAAATTTAGTACCGCAAACAAATTGTTTATATTTATCTTACAAATGAAATTAGAAGCTTTAAGGCAGGGAGCTATTCTGAAAATGAATGCCTATTTGTAGTCATGGTAAGGCGAGAAGAAAAGGAAAAACATGAAAAATGATCTTTGAACTACCAACGAAAAGCAATGGACAACGAATAAAAATGTTGGATACACCATTGTGAGCTTCTTTTTCAACATTCTTCTACAAACGGTTATAATGAAGCGCTGCACAGGAGCAAAAAACGTCATATACGCTTACGTCTCCCCGAAAAGGGTCTTGAGAGACACCGTTTCATCTCATCGTTCCTGTTAGGATTCTGGCTCTTGCCTTTTGCAAACACCCCTGTGGTGTTTAGTCAGGCATCGTGGCATCAACGACCGTTAAAACAGTCTAGCGATATTATCGTGATGTCTCGAAATCTTTTTCCAAGAAAATTGTTGCCATCTGTTGGCCTAAATTTGTCACGATTCGTTAAGCCAGGAAGTCTTCGGTCAATGCATGTAGCGTGATGGCATTTCTGCCCCCAAAATATCCAAATCTTTGCCAGCCAATTATCAGGCCTATTGAGATTTTCCTTTTCTTTCCTTTTTTACCAGAAGTTTGAAACGTATTTTGATTGCCCTCTTCCTCTGTTCTGCCTATTTCTTGGCTGTTGATAGGCAAAGACAGATGTCTCTTCGCATATGTACACCAGCCCTTGAATAGCATAATTTATTACGGGGTATGCAAATTATACCTAAAATGCTCTCTGGCTGGGATAGCCTTTATTTTTTGCGTTGACGATAAATTTTTCCTGGCCGGTGAAATTATTTTATTTTAGGCATGGGAATAATTATGCTAATTGTTGGATATATACCTGAGAACTGCTTTCAATACCAAGCACATATACTTTGGTCTGGGCCTACAGAAAGAGATTAGGTTTACGTTTTTTGACTCTGGCTTAGACATCCACTGTAAGGCAACGAAACTGGACATGTCAGATAAAAGCCATCATTGTGCTCTCTTTTTTTGAGACCTTTATCTATGTTTTGTTAGTTGAATTTGTACTAATGATCTGTTGATTTAAGATTAGCTTTTATTAGTAACATTTTGAGTGCGTTTTGTCGTCGACATTCATAGATTTGCATTCCGTTTGCAAACCATAGACTTGTCTATGTAAATTTGTCACTAACCTCTTGACCTGTGGTGTGTTGGGTCAGCAATAGGTTTGCATTTTTGCGTCATATGGCTCCCTGTCACTCGAACTTCTGTTGCTTGAACATTATACCAATTCAGATGCTACAGCAAATAATTTTGGGTTGGGAAACTAATCTACGCTTTTAAGAGAAACATGAAATAACAATAAACCACAAGGCTATCAGCATGTTATTCTTTTTGTTAATTAATAGTCTACAATTCGTTTAAAAAGGCAACCATTTTGTTTTTTTCCTGGCCGAACCCCCAATTAATACGGAGTGGGTAACTACGTTAGCCAAGAAAGTGATACGATTGAATTTAAGTTATGGCTTTTGAAAATACCTCCATTTGACATCGAGGCTGTTTGAAAAGGATAGAGTTAGTGCTACTACAGAAAAGGAACTAAATAAATTTGTACAACATCATTTGCTGTTTTCTTATTGGTTTGGTTCTAGAGTATTCTATATAATTCTTAATCATTTCATTGACTCTTTCTCATTGAATCCGTCCAACTCAACTTCACGTGAAACATATAAAGCAGTTTTATCATTTCGTGAGAGACCACTGTAGATGACATTTGACACGTGGATGACAATTGAGAGAAAATTACATTAAAGTTGCATTAATATAGAGAAGATTTCCAAACTGCCAGACAGCTTTTTTTGGATTGTATAAAGGATTATTTGAGCGAGGCATTCCAGAAACTGACGTAAAAAGAGCTGCTAGTACGCGCAAAGTACTTATGACTAGCATGTTATGAGATTATACTAAAGTGATGATTCGATACTTTTAGTCGTCTAGACAAAGCGAGCTGGAATTTTCTTGGCATTATGAAATCTAGGGTTCTGGAATCATATAGAAAAGAACCGTAGTTTAATGTTGAATACGACAAGAATGGACCCGGAGGTTTTACAAAAAATTGTTCAATGAGAACTCACCGCCTTAAAAATTCAATAGGTAAACCACAGGCTCCAACACAGGTTGGAGAGTGGGGGGAGGGGGGGCGAATGGAGAATTTAACACCCATAACAAAAGACTCTTGTGAGATGTTCTATATTTTGCAAAGAAGTGCGGGTCCATACACTAGGGAATGCCCATAACTAGCTTTTGGCTACGGCAGTTTCATATCCATAGAATCGCTTAATAAAGAACATGTTGCCAATATTACCCCATCCCCAACACTTTCTCATCAAATTTAGACGCAATAGCAAATCCATCCTGTCGAGAAATGGGCACAAGTGTTCCCCCTTTAATATCCCGTGGCGCCACAATTGTTCCCTTTATACGCCCTAAAAGTAAGAGCCAGTCCACTAGTTCTATGACACAAGCAATCAAGTGTAGCCTTTTTAAGACACCAAAATAGCACAAGTCATCATCCCTTGTTATTTGCTTTCTGCTTATTTTACTGCCGCAAATGGATGGGTTTGGTCACAGCTTTTACAAAAAAATAACGAGTTTAACCAAGGAAATGGGGCCGTGACCCTAACTGCAGACGAAGCTTAAAAAGAAGGAGCTATCAAGTGCAAGATCAATATTTGGCCGAGTGAAAGAAACGAAGGCGACGAATAAGAGATCGTATGAATGAATGAGCAGACCAGCAACGAACTCCAATTTTATTTTCTTCAAGAATACGTTTAATAGACAAACGTTTCACCTCTGCTCTGATTTGCCAAGGCCCAAACCACTAGAGAATGGCATCTGCCCCTAATAGACCACCTACAAATAGTAAAACACTTTGTTAGTGCTATGAGCAAAAAGTAAGCAAACATTGATAAATTCTGTCGTTAGTCTATCAACGTACTACTTTTAAATTTAAAGAAAAATTTTTGTGGTGTTTTAGTTGAATGCTATATTTAGTCCCCAAGGTCCATTAAGAATGGAGCAGCTGGCACGATAATTTTATATCCATGAGGTAGCATGATACGCGATCTGCTATACATGTACTAAGACCAGTTTCTAAATACAACAATTATGAAGCCCCGCCTTGCCTATAGAAGACAGCAACATGATTTACCGAGTCATCCTTTTTCAGAAGCGGCACCAAGGGGGGGGGCAGGTCCCACCCAGTTCTCGGCAGAATCGATCTTATGTTTCATCTAATTTCGGTGGGGAAGGGTTAGGGGAGGGTAATATTTTAGCATTGTATTTTTTGTGATGTAATGCTATGATTTCGAGACCGCCTTCACGTGATCAAAAGTTGGTCAAAGTCTTTTCTTATTGGCAAAATTGGCGTTCTTTACTTATTGGCAAAACTGGCGGGCCTTTTTTGATAGTAAAAAAGGCGTGACCTAAAATGTTTTGTTTTGTTCCCTCCCCCTAAAGCCTAGTGGTTGGTGTCGTCCCTGTCCTTTTTTATGTGTATACGTTAAGCTTGGTGTACATTTCTATGCTTATGAAGCTTGTAATGCATTTAAAGCTTGTATCTCGTCAATGGCAGGCAGTGGGGAAGCAAAAATTTGGTCACAGCTTTCTCTGCATTACAGAATACATGTCTTTATCCAAGCACAAATAGTTGGAGGTGTGAGCACCCACTTTTTCGAAAATTGACAAGTGAGGTTGTGCCCCCTGACACCCCTCCCCCACCTCTACATCCCTGTGTCAGACCCGATGCTGCAAAGGATCTGCGCAAACATCATACAGTCCAGACGACTCACACACTTATACCTATGGGAAAACTGTACTTCACCTTCCAAACATTTGTACTCTCCTGGCACCGCTGCTGGTCCTCAATTGCTTCAGGCTACTGCTTAGACACCGATTATCGCAGTTAACTTCTACTTGAGGAAGAATGTGTACTCTTAAGCCAATATGACGTATTTTGTGCACGAATGATACTGGAGGTCCTGTCAATCAAGACTGTGAAATATCCTGAACATCTCCTTGCAAACTCTCTCAAAAAGTTAGAGGCTGCATTAAGCCAAGTTTTTTTGTCAAAGACATTCGGCTCTTTTTATTATTTCAAGCCAACTGAATTTGATAATTTGCAGATGAGTTTTAACTTACTATTGAAGAATAATAAAGCTTTTCAGATTTCATTTATTTTTACTGGTTTAGCTCTAAAAAATTTTGTGAGAAACGATGAGATAAAGCAGTTCTGAAGTTCTTCACTAAGAGGTTATTTTCACTTTTGCATCTTTGCTGAGTAAACATTGAGAGGAAGCGAAGAGGGAGGAGCCTCATAGGCTTTCGCAAAGAGCATGTGACCATATCTCATATTTGTGTATCAATAATATTGTAATGTTTTCAAAATTTCTTCCCAGTTTACTCGATTTAGTTACCTTCAATTTAAGACCTCTGATTCACAGAGAATGGCAAACCTTGCGAAATACGAAAAGATCCAAGAGATGCTCTGCTAGGTCTTATGAAATTGGGCTGTGATTGCCCAATCATGTTGACTACCCCCACCAGTCCTGCTGCTTTGCCACCTTTAAAGCCCGTGCCATTGTAACCTGGGTTGTTTCTGTACCCATTAACCCCGTGCAATTGCTTTTCCAGATAATTGTAACGGATAATCATCATCTTTCCCTGACCTGAAGTAACATCACCCCATTTCGAGAAATCATATTGTTATGTTAAGATAAAACGTCTATCGTCGAGGGGAAGATACCTTTGATTGGAAAATAGGGCTAGAGAGCTTGATCAGATTCGCGTTTTTAAATCAATGTTTTCAGTTATTTTCTTATTACGGTGCGTGCTTCTCTGAGGCTATTTCATTTTCTAAACTGAACTTTTTGTTTCCGATTTGTAGCAAACTCTCCCACTGTACAAATGACGAACTGATGCGATTATCATTCTACAACGCCCGAATGTTATGAACAATTCAAGCCTTATCAAAGGAAACTCGGCTCCTCGAGATCGCAACGGCCTAAGGCAAATCTATAACTCAATCTGGCAGGGTGCCGGTATCTTTCGATTTCATTCAGCCCATAAACCTGTAACCTAAGGGAGATTCATTGATATTTGTCATATTAATGAGTTTATGTGGATGAAAAATGGCTAGTGTCGGAGCTAAAGACATTCCATATCGATTCCAACTTCCCTTTGTAATTTCCACTTCTTTTCAAAGCTTAAGACCTAATAGGGCGTTGCCATTATTACTAGCGCCTCCATTTCATTCCTTAACAGATATGAGACATAACCAATGCAAATATCTATTAAAGTAATTAACTATTTGGAGACCCTTGTAGCTCATTGTTTCCAATTTCACCAAAACAAATTCAAATAAAAAATACCTGATACGACTGACCACCAAGCATCGAATCTCGATTTTATTTTTACCAGACATGTAATCGTGACGTCAAAAATTCAATCTTTCTTGCAACGCGTTTGAAATTGCTAATAAAAACAAATGCCACCACACATAGTGGTTAACAGTAAGGCACTTCAAATGTCACTTTGCGCTGCGCCTTTTCAAACATAATCACCGTTTCTCTGTCATTTTCACGTACAACTTTATCTTAAATAAGTTCTGCAACTTAAAGCATCGTCAGCGTGTATGGTAGAAGATAAATTTAGCTGTAGATAAATACAAGCTCTTTTTTCACTGCCACCAATCATTCGATTTGAGGCGCTTTGAAATATCCAAATGGCAGAGTTGTTCTATCTACTTTTTAATAACTGCTCTGGTAGCCAGTACAGGCTGCAACTGGAGCATTAAACCGCATGTAATCAGCTTGCCTTCACTATCTGATATTCACCATCTAATGCCTGGTAGAGCCTCAACAGATTCCTAACAGGGCCTAAACAGAGGTGATACGAGCTAAGGCCCTTGTATCCATGTAGCAATTTTGTTCGCAGTATGGATCCTTGAGCTAAGACATCTCAACCTCTATAATTTGGATACTAAGTACTCTTTTTTAATGCCATTTTATCTCTAGAAAATTGGCAAGTAGGAGGTAAAAGAAAACTGATCTTTTGAACTATCTTGTCAATTTGATTTAGTTTGAAATTCTTTGTTTTTAAAGAATCGTGATTTACCCGTAAACATAAATTAAAAGCTAGGCACTTGGACTCAAACTTATCTAATTCATGAAATCTAGAACTTTTTATGGCAAGAAAAACGCTGATTATAAATGCGCTTTCTGACACCAAAGCGCTTCCTAAAGCAGTTTATATTTTGCAGATACTAATTTTAAGACCTATTGTACGTTATCTCAAAGCACCCTCTAATACAAGTCCCGTTATAACGCGTTGGTATATTGATAATGAGACTTATGTACGATTATGCAGCCTTGTTTTAGCGTCGCAACGAGCGCTAGTAAAAAGGCCCTGCTCACAGGACGCAAGATGAGGTTCCGAAATGCGTAGTACATTTTTCTTCGCAGTACCCTCCACACAAAACGAAGGTTTCCAAGCGACAGTGTATCGTTTGCATATGTTCAAACGCGCACGTAAGTGACACGCCACGCTAACGTACTATATATTCAGAGCGGACTGTAAAAACCATACGTTAACTCGATAATTTCAAGTGCTAATTTTTGAGTTTTAGTAGGTATTCTACGTCATCTTTATCCTTAAAGTGCAGATTAAAACGTGTTTTAGATGACCTGTTTCACGACTTGCCAGAAAATTATGCTTAACACTGTTATATAAAAAATACTTTGCTAAGTATTATGCTTGCTCTGATGTATCTTGTTACGTCGACAGCGTTTGCATACAGATACCAACAAACAATTAAAATTTCAGCCTTTATTTGACATACGATAGCTTGACATTTGGTACATCCTACGCATTAGCAGTCTGGAACCCAAGAAAAACGTCATAAAAAGACGTCATTTTAAAATAAATCAGCCCTTGGGGCACTTAAACGTGCGGTAAGGTTGATAATAGCAGTTGAAAGCTGTGGGCTGAACAACATTGTTACGGCAAAGTTTACTGAAGATCAGTTAAAAGAATCCAAAAAGTAGTCATTCGTTTGCTGTTACCGTCAATAGATGCCGTCTCTTGTTTTCTTTGTTACACTATCAGTTGCAAGGTTTTTTGGTGTTTCGGCATGGTCAGAGTGGGACAAGGTGGAGGGACCTGTTACTTTCCATTCAAGACACTGTTATCACAATAGAGTTACGGGGAAATTTTTTAGGAAGGAGTTGGGGCTTTTCCCAACCGACACTCCCACTTGTAAATGTTACTAACTTGCAGCCTTCTCGGACGTGTTGTGCGTCTAGGCTACTATGGACGCCCCTTACAAAATCTATTACTCTATCAAATGCAGTTTTCAGACACATTTTAGGCCCTTTATGGTACGGAAACTGCACTTTGGGCATTTACGGTTCGAAAGTATCCATGGGTAGTAACTGTATCTTTCAAGTCAAGCGTCGCTTAGTCCATGGATGGATGACCTGTTCTCATCACGGGTGACGTTAAGTACTTTTCCTCCTGACTCACGAACCCAGCAAAATTCTGTTTCTTAAAGACGGGCCTGGCAGATTCTCAATAGATCATCATTTTCTTGAATCAAATGTGACTTAATGACAATTAGCCAACCTGAAATAGGCCCAGCGTCTCAGTTGAGCCAAAAACTATATTAAAGTACAAGCTCCTCTTGCAATTATAAACACAGATATAAGCGGATGGTGAAAATGAATGTCACTTTATTATTCTAGGCCCAGAGCCCTGAAAGTTCTAAATGCAAGCCGACGATTTTGCGCACTTCACTCAGCGCATAGGAAAATTGGAACAGACAAAGATCAGTAACACTTACATGGCGCCGCCTTGTTGAATTATCCATCTATATAAGACGTTCTCGTCAATCTAGCTTTCAATTTTTAGCAAGTTTCGTGAAAGTGTCGGGTGCAATTTCCTCAAATAGAACAAAATCATGTGTCAAGTTGAGTAACCCCGATATTACCGTCTATTTTGTTGATTAGCTTCGCCTTGTCATTTCACCGCAAATGTTAATTTCACTCAGTACAGATGACATCCGATATCTCGAACTTTTTCGAGATAGTGCATGACCAAAATAGCGGGCGTCCCATCAAATTTGTCTGAAAATTTGCAGATTTTAAATTAGCTGCAGTAGGTCATGAAAAGTGTTTCGTAAAAAAATCAATTCAATAGAAAAACTCTTTTCTGGAGTAATTCAATTTCTACAACTTTGTTGAGCTTGTATCTTCGAGCTGCAAAATGGCATCACTGCATTAACCACTCTATATAGTGGTTAAAAATTGCTCATCTGAATTCGTGACAACTCCAGCAGCCAAAAATCAAATACACTCTTAAATATTTATTTTGAATAAGGACAGCTTGGTGTCCTCGTACCTTCACGGTGTCACATAACAAAAAGTACTGTTTATTTCGATTGACATTCTGACAAAAGTGTTCTGCGTTGTTTGGCAAACAACAAACAAAGATGTAAGGAAAGGATTTTTTTCTGGAAATGTGATTTCACACTTGCACAAGTTGACTTTGGCCATTTGAGACTTGAGTTTTGGTTCAAGCCTTTTGTATTATAAAAAGCAATAGTAAAAAATACAATATTGTTTGAAACAGAGAAACGTAACTGGACTTTCGTTCAAAATGTCACCTACTCGGAGACAAGGTGTTCATCTTTTTTTGTCTCTATCCATTCTATCATTACAAATTCACTTGGATTTTTTACCTGTCTCATACTGTAACATTGTGGTTAAATTCTCTTTCCACTAGTTTAAATGCTTAAATTCTGAAGACTTTGATGACATAGCCTATAGTGGCTACTATTTTTTGGGGGGCATTCGGCACCAGCTCCCCAAAACTTACAAGATCCCTTCTAATTAGTAGAGAGTGCGGGAAAATAACCGACCCGAGCGAGGCTCGAACTCACGACCCCTCACTTTGTACGTCAAAGTCAGGGGAAGATCACTTCTGTTCCTATTGTTCTCAAACAAGTGCACCCCTAATAATTCTATTCTCATCGACGCTGATACTTAGAAAGATATTATCAAATGTTTCGTTTGCCCACTTACCCATATACTGTGGTGCTATCTAAACGATGTGTTTGTCGACTCTATGATAAGATGGTATCAACTTTTCAATTAGATATAAGACCACAACCCATTGCAACGCCACAAGTTTGAATTTACCCTTTATTATACATTCATGGGCTCCGGGTACCATTTAAGGAAAAATTCTGTTGTGCCAGAAGATTGAAATATTTCGTCTTTAACCACTGTCTGCTGCAACTGGACAGGAGACAGTAAGATGTAGACTTGGTTTAAATGTTGATATTTGCTTGTTTTGGCGTTGTTTGTCAAATTATGCAGAAAATAGTTTAACCAAAGATTACAGCATACCTAATGGCAGTGTCATGCGTACTTTAAGTTATTTTTCGGAAAGTTGCTTCCACTAAATCGCTTCTAAATGACGTCAGAAAATTACATTCTGCTGTCAGTCTAAGGTGTACGAGCTACCATTATAGCTAGCTTTTGGCTAATCGCTGACTTCAATTTCCACAGTATTGAAAACCCACACTAAGATGGACCGTATTTTCTTATTAGATTTGTAGGTGAACAATTTTTTGGCGGTACAGAATTTGAAAATGGCTTTGAAAAAAGCAAACATTCCAGAACATTCCACATAACTGCATAGAAAGGTCTTGTTGTGGAGGTGCAGGTAACATCAGGGCCAAAGCTGCGAATTTGAAAGTGGGGGGGGCAAGGCTAATGAAAGTGGGGGGCAAGGCTATATTCACCTTTGATTGTTGCTTCGAAATAACCTGCTTCACAAAAAAGTGGGGGGCATGGCACACTGCCCCCCCCCCAGTGGCGTGGGCCCTGGTTAACATGAAGCCAACTTGGGACGTAACTAGTTTATAAAGATGCAAGTTTTTCCCGTAACAGGGAGGGCGACGTACTTGCACAGAGATATCTAACCTGGATGCAAGAGTCTCCATAATTTGGTCTCAGAAATATAGTTCGAAACCAGTCACAGAAATTTTTCAGCAGTCTACAATTTCTTTTCCCCGGTATCTTGAGTCTGGCACACACGGTAGGAGATTTAGCAGATTCTTATATTGACTGACTGTTATGGCTAGTCTAGAATACACTCAATTTTATGGTGTGGCTCTTATTCCTGCAAACATTTTATTGCACAGAAACATTGGTTTCGATCAATAAGTTTGTGGTTTCTAAAATTGATGAAACCATAGTCTATAGAATTCTGTAAACTATGATTAAGATCAAGAAATTTTGCAGTAACAGATCTCCAATATACTGCCATTTCACTCTCCACGGAGACATAGTACTTCTAAGAATTCCCTTTATACGACTTACGATGACTACTGACACGATTCTGGTTTATTTCTGTGATGACGTCATATGCGGATTCTTTTTAACTTTTCAAGAATGACAGCTGAAGCTATCAAGTGACATTCACTTAATCGGTTCTTTCTGGATGACGCCATGTTTCGCGGTTGTTCATAGCTTTCTAAAGCTCTTAATGGACTTTTTAGCTAATTTAAATTCATAATCTCTACACATTTATCGTCATCATCGAACGTTTTTGCGTCAGAAGGTAATGGTTGCGCAACTGAATAAAAGTATTCCTGAAATGTCCGTTAACCTATAAAACGTTTTCATTTTAACCCCTGGTCATCGACTCATTGTCCCTTACTTGGGTTCAGATGTTTCATATCAATTCTCGGCAAAACAGTTTTCCCAGGAATAAAGTCGTTTATCGAGGAAAAGTTAGTTTTTGAAACAGTAGGCATTCCCCCTATTGTTATTAGTCCAACACATTCGGGTTGCTTGACGGTTCTAAATGTTCTAAGTTTCAGACACGGCTTATTTTAATTTGGCTGCTAGCATACACTCATTTTTTATAAGAAACTGGTAATAAGAAACGGTAGGCACAATTTTTCGGAAGTTAAGAAACAATCCCATCCAAACTGAGAAAAGCTAAGAAATTTTTATAATTTGCAGTTTTAATTTTCCGAGTTGACAATTGAAACGGTCTTGACATTGAACATCACTGTTTATTGCAACATTACATTTGACATGCAGTTTGCATTCATTCTCAGTAAAATGCACACTCAAGAAGTTTTCATTTTAAAATTTGTTTCGACTTCAGCTTGACATTAATGAAGTTCAATGACCTTAACTGTTTACAGATCTCAACAGAGTTAGTCATTCTAGGAAAACAAAATTCCTTGATCACTTTGTTAGTTTATCTCTGAATGTGAGTGAACAATTCACTTATTCAATACCTAAGAATTTTAAGAAACATGTAAGAAACTTTTGATAGCAAAATGGCCAGAAAATTTAAGAAGCTGCCTACTAGCAACGGACCTCAGTTTCTTATAAAAAAGATTCGTGTATCGCTTCTAAGTAGCATTTATTCAAAATTGAAAGAGTGTATTTTACAAGCTCTTATTTGCCCTTATTCCGTGTTATCTTTATAAAGGAAGAATAAATGGAGGAAGATTCCGGCAATGTAGCGACTGGGACAGGAGTTATCAAAACTTCTTATTCCTTGTTGGTCAGTGACTATGAATGGATGGTTTCACTATGACTATGATTCGATGAAGCAATGATTCAAAATTACCAGGCAGTGTTAAATCACACTCTATTTACAAGAACCAGTTAATTGAAGTTCAGGCTTGCTGTTTTTAAATTTTTTTCGAAAATTTTGGGCTGGATTGTTCTTAATTTGTTCTTGAATTATTAGGGTGTAAGCTGTGCAATGACTATTTAGAATGTTCCAGGGGGTGTTCATGTCTCGCTTGTCAACGCAAAAGTGAGTTGGTCATCCTTTATTTGGCGACAAGCTTGAAACTTCAAAGAAAAGCGCCCCTAGATTGCAAAAATTTCCCCGTTTTCGAGATGAAACCATGTTTAAAATCGAGGGGCAACTCACTATTGCAGAAAGCGTACGAGATTTTGCCGAAAACAAAAGGATTTCTGGGGATTTTGAGACAAAACAATAGGATTTCCACCAAAGGTGTACGAGAGTGATTTTTTAGAGTGATTTACCCCTCGTTTAAAATCATATTTTACAGTAGCTCAGTCTCATAACTTTTGACCAATTTTAAGATTCGTGTTCTTATAAAATTGTTCTAATGAAAATAGAGTGTATTGCTCTGGAAGAGTATATGCAAGAAACTTTTCACTCTTGATGTTAGATACATAAAACCCAGCCTCGTGAGGCGCCTTGATTCTTTGAACTCGTAATGAGGAACTGGAATCCATGCAGATGTCTGTTACCTTTCTCGCAATGACGTCATTGGTGACGATAAACGTCCCAAAGGCATAACACATAATACGTTTTAAATCTGCCCTGAGAAAATTTGCGATTGTTCTCCATCTTAAGTGAAAGATCAACCGTCTATTATAAAATACAATCGCATATTGTCAACAGTGGGTGTGAACAGGGTAGCGGCATATTTCAAAAGAACAGTGGCCATTTGTCGTGACTCATCACCTGACCTGTAAAACATTTCGCATTTCCAAATTTTCTTTTCACATAGATTGTTTATTCAAGCCGATGATTTGCAACTTGATGAGAAGTTTTCATAGAGCATCATCAACCACATACAAGAAAGAGATGCGTAACCTTTAATCAGCAAAAAGCGATGATTTCGCTTATCGCCTTCCGGCACACTGAAGAGTTTACACCACTTTATCAATAAATCAAAGAGCATTTACTGTCAGCATAATCTCTAGTAAATTATATCATTTCTTTTACAGAGGAAAAAGAGGTGTTTTGCTCTCCCACCGTTCTCTCTTCTCCGTTTTTCATATTCCCGATCTCCTTTTCTTGTTTCCTTTCATACAAATGCCCCTATTCTATCCAATAAGAAATTTTGAAAACATTAGTGAAGGATTTTATAGATTTTTTTGCTGTATATAAAATTTTGGGTTTTCAAGAGCGGAGTAAATAAGGACGAGAGCACGTTGCCCGATTTAAAGCTGGGACGTGATTCACTCGTGTTTTCTATCTGCTTTTTCGTCTGTGTGTGTTATGTTTGCATAAAAGGGACTGGTCCCTGATTCATGATGCTTCAGAATCCATTGTCTTGAGTTGGCACGTTCTTCAAATAGCGGTAGCCAAAAAGGAATTTGTCTAGTTATCAGATATATTTAAATAATTTGGTGTCTCTCATATTAGTATACGATACTTGCATTTGCACGGTTTCATGAGACAATTTGATCCTATTAAAAGCCTATACCATTGGCTATGGAACTTTTTGAAGGGCGTGGGAGCTCAGTGAATTTTTCGAGTTTTTGCTTGGTCATTTCTCTGCTATCTTCTATGCTAATGACCTGATTTTTAGAGGTTAATTATCCAGTATTTCAAATCGCCAAAGAACGCTTTACTAAAAAAGGAATAAGCATGAGGGGCGAATGATATTTACGCCTAAGATAAACACTCCAAACGTCTCCTTTCGAAGACCCTAAATTGATCTCTTTTCAATGGCAGAAACTTAAGAACATCGTGAAAAAAGGAAGGGGAACTGGGAACAAGTGCCTTTACCCTCATCCTGCCGCGAATTATTACTCTTTCTTTGGTGCATTAGTTTTCATTTCATTTTGCGTTAGTTTTCAAGATTTTCTACAAGATGAAGGACAATGGTTCCAATTTGGTTTTCCCATCACGCAAAATTATGTCACATAAACAAACATGGCCTTTTTAAAAAGGGCCTTACTTGAATAACATGGCCTTTTTAAAAAATAAGCAAGCTATTCAGCATCTGGCACCCAGACCAAACAGAGATACGATGGCTCATACATTGCAAGCATTAGCCAGAGTCAAAGACTCTAAATAGCCCCAGACAACCAATACTTTAAGTTTTGAGTCTGGGACTCAGGCTAGCAAGCGAGGTCCCATCCTCCTCCCTGCTATAGTTTTTGTGCTCCGGAATAAAGAGGTTGATATGGTGAGCTGCCACCTTTCAACTGCGCCATAAAAGTATTTTTAAATACGTTATTCTCGGTGACGTCCTCCTTAAAGTCATTCAAACTGGTCTGGCATTGCATTCCATAGTAACATTTACTTATGATATAAAGTTATTATCAGATACAAAATTAACTGGGAAAAACGGGACCTCTAAAGATAGTTTCGTTTTTGCTTTCAAAACTCTATGAAACCGTACTATTAAAAAATTTCCTCGAAACTATTTTCTTACGGATGACCACTCTGTGGTGGGGATGGATGGAGGACGCCCCCTTGTGTAGGCTGATGGGATTAGGAACTGCCTAAACTGATCTATCTTAATCTCATCTTGAATTCTATGTTGATTTGATGCTTTGACTTGATGCAAAAGGTTAAAGGGCTGAAGAATTGCATCCCTCTGCAAATTCAATTTGTTCTTTTGCTATTTTAGTTTTGGATCAACCTCCATTCAAATCCCGTGCCCTCGTTTCCAATCCATTCAAAACCTCCCCTCTCCTTTTCCACCACGCAGGCCCTCCCGTGAAATTGGATTGAAAATACTGAGAGCCCAGTGCATTTTGCAACACCTTTAATGTTGTTACAGAAACTTTGCAAAGCTGGCGCAGGGTTTTGAGAATCGATAGCCGTTAATCCTTCGGTATAAAAAACTTTCCAATACGCTTGGTTTATCCCGTTTTTGCAGTTAAGATAAAAGTCACTGTTTAAGGTAGATGGGTCTCTGCTTGTATAGTATGTCTCCTTATGCATAATTAAAGTAGCGTATGGACCCAATATAAATGGATGAGCTTCAATTAGAAAGGGGATTAATCGTTTTAAATTTTAGACGACATGAAACCAGATTGGAACGAAATGACTTTAAAAATAGTTAACAATGCTGCAACTCGAATCACTCAGAAACACTTGAACAGACAAGATTTAAATCCTCTGTTTACTGGGTGCAAAGCCCATTCTTCTGTTGTAGTCTACCGATTTTATCCGCTACAGCCATTCATTCAGGAGAAGGAAAAATAAGTAATCTCAAGCTGTGGATGACTGACTCACGTTTGTTCTAGCTTGATAGGGGTTTCCGGTCTTTTATTATTTCAAACAGAGACTATTGATAAAATTTTGTTCAGATCTGGAAAACCGCTGGCCTGGGAATTGCAGATAGAACTTTTTTGTTAGATAATTTGGGTGTAAACAAGGGCGTCGGGTGCCGCAAGACTGAAACTTGGCACGCGAGGGCGACTTTTTGATAGACTTTTTCAAGATAAGAGACGCATCAAAACATGAAGGGGCGCTTGTGAACATGAAATGTCTGGGCACCAAAAAGCAGGGCACCCAGGTACATTTATCACTGGTTACTTGGCCATATAAATGACGCGGCTGCCCTTTATCACAGAATAGCATCTTCAATGTCTTGATTTATAGCTTGGTATTTGAAGCAAAGCCCTTTGGTTTGCGTTCGAATATGTGTACCACACAGAAAGTGGCTAAATACAACAAGGAATCCAGTAGCAGCGCCAGATGGGGATAATTACCCCTCCCCCACATCTGTGAAATCATGGTCCAAATATTTTTTCTAGAAAATGATTAAAAAGCGTTAGATAGGAGTAAGTCATATTATCGCCTACGGAAAATTCACCTGGTACACATCACTGAAGCGAGGTAAAAAGGGTGTGTTATCACTGGTCACGCCCATTACCTTCACACCCTGCAGTAGCTGGCACCCCTACTAAAGGGACTTTGAAAATACATTTGAAGATGGTATGAAAAAGTAATAAAGACAGTAGCTTGATTAAGAGACGGTCTCTAGTCAAATTATCTGAGGGATATAGGAGACTTTGAGTCCTTCAAAAATTGCGATTCCGTAAAAAAGGGGCATTTCGTTGAATCCTGATAGACGCATTTCTTTTTATCAAGAAAAAACTCTTAATAATCATCCACAGTCCTTGCCCGAAAATCAATAAACTCTTGTATTGTATTGTTGAATTGTGTTAAAAATGGAAAAACTTTTTCGTTTTGTTTATTCAACATAAAATTTATGCCTGACTTTTAATTTTTCAAAAAAAGTCTCCATAGCTTTTTCTGGTCAGTTCCTTTATTGGAATTGTCGTGACTCACAGGTTGAAAAATTACTGAAAAATTGTCCAAGAGACCATAATTGTTTTCAGACATGAGAAAGGCTAAGTTGTATCGCAAAGCTTTTTGTTAGCATTGCGTGCTGGCCACTCTCATCAGTATCGTGATCTTGCAGTTCTTCATTTAAGGTGGCGAGAAGCAAGTGATGAAATTTAGTCGTTTGAAAAAGAACTGACACGTGTCCAAGGTTGTCTGCCAGCCAGAAGAGTCACTTTTAGGCTGCATGTAAGGAAACACGAACCTTTATTTTTGGCTTTGCTTGAATACGTATTAAAAGGGGGACATGGCAAAAAACACTCTCATACCCTCCAATTTAGTTAAAAACGACCCAGCCTAACTTCTAACTTTAAAATTGAACTTTCCTGTACTTTTGAGTCTCACTGTTTCAACCAGGTCATATTAGATGACGAGGTTACAATAAATTCGCTGTTCCCTTCTTCTGTGTTTTATTTGTAATTGTTGAAAAATTCATTAATCAAAGGCCATACACGCCCAGTGAATATGATAATACGACGACGTGCAAACTTGTGCAATGCAGGCTTGGCCTAAATGAAAGTTGATTTAGGCCAAGTATAGAATTAATTGCTTTATATGCAAATAAATGGAAAGGAAAAACTAAATTAATGATAAGCGAATCTAAAAAAAGAAAATTCTGCCATTCAAAGTATGGATAATTGTGGTTTACCAGACAGAAATATCCAACGAATAGAGAGATGAAAGTTAGACATTACGTAAGTAAGGCAGCTCTACTTCGTGTTTTGTTTAAGCGAAAATTCCGTTTAAAATGCGAGTTTCTAGATAAACATATTAGAAAAGTGGAAACTGATTGTGTCGGTAATCCTGACAAAATAATAAGTAAAATCTCCTTTAGATCTAGGATGTTAAGGGGAGGGTATGAAATATTGAGCTGTAAGGAAGATTATCAGAAAACAACTAAAAATTTGCCCTTTTTCGGCATGAAAATGGGGAACTCGACCGCTTTGAACCCCCAGCACTGTGTTGCAGTATAAACATCAGTGACTGTTTGGGACACTTCTAGATTCTCTTGGTCCATTTTTCCTTTGATTTGTAACAGGAATTTCTTGTACCGCGTAATAGATTGGGAAAAACCTTCCTTCCTTTATTTTGCGCATTTCTCGTAGCTTTTTGCGTAATGCTGAGAGAAAACGAAACTCTCTTTTGCCTTATTGTTGCTAACAAGGAAGTTTGTTCTTACACATTAAAGACGGTAAATGAATTGGATAGTCTTTATAACAACCATATAGCACTGACTCAAGGTTGGTGCGCCATTTCCCACCAAAATGTTTGATAAAAACACATCGCTTCAAATTTTCGCACATTTTTTACTCTGTTACTGTTTTATTATTAGAAATATATTCGAAATTACCTCAGCTATAACGTCAATTCTTAAACTAAAGTGTTTCAAGAATACACAAAAGCGCCTTTTTCATACACATCCTATCCTGAAGGTGTCTAATTTTTTCATCGTTGCCCCCATGGGGCTGCTACGTGTGAGTTAATCACCTCTTTTAATTACTGATTTAAAAGGAATAATTTTGAAGGGTGAGAAGTCAATCAGAAACCCCAAAACAACTGTTTAGAGAGTTTTTAACTGCCAATTAACACAATTTTCATTGCCTGAGTTCTGTGAGAAATTATTTGAACCTTTCTAGAAGTATCATGAAAACGAAATTTACAACTCGACATTAAAAATTACTTAGGTTAACGGCATCATTCTGTTCCTTCCACCACCGTTCTGCCCTTTCCACGGGAAAATAGGCCTAAAAGCAAAAACCTTATCACAAAATATTGAACAAAATTGCTCTAAGTTGTTTGGGGAGCTGACTCTATCGTCGCAGTGATGTTTTGAACTTGAAGCTCGGTTTGGTAGACTCCAAGAATGCCACTACTGTCTCGGTATCTATTGTTCATTATTGTTTGGTATGTCAACGATACTTTTGAAAATTAATTTGGCGTAGGTGTTTTTTTGAACTGCGGGAATCCGACCTTTGTCCACTAAAGGCTCTTTTGATTGGTCACTTATTGACACAAGCTAGGATTGACACGCCCCCTGACCATTGTAAATGTTTTGTCGTTCGTCACTTTTCAGCTTGAATAACAATTGGCTTAACCGTTTGTTTGCGCACAATGGCCAGAGTATAAAAGGAAGTTGTTCGGCGGAATTTTCTAAGTATCAGAAACTGCACAGTAAGCCACTGGCTGTAATCAAGTAAAACAGATTCGAGAAAAGTTATAAAAATTATTATATTTCGGTGAGTTGTGTTATGCAAATATTGTTTTTTTACTTATGATCTGGTTTTCTAGTATCAGATCGACTTTTCGTGTGAATTTGCTTACTTCTATGTGATCACAGTGCGCGGTCAGTTTTTTCTTCTCTCTCATTCATTAGGTCCATTCATTTTCATCACCCATGGTATTGGATAGCCATAACTTTAAACTGATATTTCCGTTGTAAATATTAGGAAGTGCACATGGATGCCTGATGCCGTATCACATAAACCAGGTCTCTCAGAAAAGGATCTCCTGTATATGTATTATTTTCTTGTGAAATTTCGCATTACGCAAAACCGCTTATGTTGTTTTAACTCTTCGTTTATTCTGCATAGGGAAACATTGATAATCGCGTGCAAAGATGTTTGTAACTTCGGATCTCTCTCAAGCAAATGTTGTTCCTGACCCGACAATTTACGCACAGGTATTTATTTTCAATTTTGACACTCTTTTAGCCTGAAAATCTTATCGTGTCGTCTTTACTTGGCTGAAACATCGAAGGGGTTAGGAAAGTTGCGTTTCCCGCTTGTTAGGGAACTCCCTTCACTCTTGATATCGTAGAAAATTTGAGGAATCTTTCTTCAGGAGAATGTTTTATTTGATTTAATGTGATTTTTCGATGCCCGATTCCTGGTTTATATCTATTCTGGCTCAACCCACGGCCAAGCTGTGCAGGCCTAATAAAAGTATTGCTTGTAGTTTTAATACTTTTCCGAGTGTCTTTTACTTGATTATCAAACAGTACGATTTGGTTATAACTGCCATCAAATCGTCTCTTCCGAATTAATACGAAGTAGTATTCGTGAAGAAACGATAAGTATTTTATGGTCATGGCGGTTTTTTGTTGCAAGTTAACGATGATTTCACGAATTGCCAGAACCAAAATACCCGTATTCATAACTGATTATCTATTGCAATCATTGGAACGCGCTACTTTCAATACGTAGAGTTAAATTTCTGTTTTGTCTTTGTCATCTAGGAAGCCTTGAGCATCGACTCGGTTGAAGAACAATCTCTATTCGATCCATACGACAATCAAAAAGTTCCAACTGGCAAGCCAATGAAATCGGATCCATGGGGGCCCAGAAAGCGCTCCCTCGACCCCGACTTCGATGATTTCCACACTGCCCCAAAGAAGCCGACGTTTTATGAACCCCTAGATGAGAAGCCCCTTCTACAAGAGTACGAGGAGCCCGAAAAACGAGTGATTGTTCCAGCAGGTAAATATTATTGAGAAAGCAAAAATTATTGCCTTCTGAAAATAATTTTCTACAGCTAGTGGTCATCTCGAATGAAATGAGACACTCATGAAATTTCTTATTAATTAGATTTTTGAGATTCTCAGCATTAGCTCCTACCCCCGAAACCATCCCCCCAAACCACCCCATGTTTGGGCTTCTAATGGCTTTCAGGCTAGCTCTCGTAATTTACCCTTTTGCAAGGCATGTCGTGTTATTTCTCGCCGCTGGAACTGTGACTTACGTAATTCGTAGGGTCGGACAAAGCCCTTGACAGCTAGAGTAACACTTCTCGTTACTTCAGCTATTGAAAGTAGAACAGCTCCTGTAGCGTGATTTATAAAGTGTTTTATCACGAGAAGATAATCAGTGTGCCTCAGCATGGACACTTCCTAGGGATGCTGATCACATCATTACTGAAACCTTCAAGCCAGCACCAAATTAGGTGGCTTTGATTATTTTGTTAATGATTTTCTGGTCGTACAGCGCGCTAATCACAACTACATCGCAGCTTGTAATCATCATCGGAGCTGCCTGATTAACCGTAAATTTTTACCTCATATTAATATAATAGTGCTTAACGGCAGTCTGATTGGAAAGAAATGTTTCCACAAGTCATTAAATTTCCAAACACTGCGAAAATATTCCTCTTGTTTTCAGTTATATTTGCTTTTGAAAAATCTAAAATTTTCTAATTTGAATTCTGTCTGTCATCATAGATCCGAACTGCTGGACAAAAGACCATGTAAAACAGTGGGTGAACTGGGCCATAAAGGAGTTTAGCTTGAAAGATGTTGATGTTAACAAGTTTTGCATGACTGGAAGGGAATTGTGCCGTCTGACCAGAGATGAGTTTTTGAAACTAGCACCAGCATATAATGGAGACATTTTAATGGCACATCTTTGCGTCCTGAGGAAAGGTATGCAATACTCAGATTCTTTAAAATTTGTGTCCAGTCCCCTAAGTAGATGTCAGTGACGTCAAGGCTGTGCGGCCTTACGTCGCTATCCAATTAAAGCTTCGTATTCCTATGTTTGGTAGTGTTAACGGAAGTTTTATTGAAACTTTATTTCACTTTCAGCTCCTTTGCCAAACCTGACAACAGATGACATTGACAGTGCCCTAGCGCCTCCAATGAACCAACAGTGCCCAAGTCGTTCTGGTAAGTAAAACTTACTCTTTGCCGTTGATTATTAAAAGTTAGTTAGTTCAGGATACATTTTATTGAAGGGTACATTTTTCTAATCTTAATCTAGCGACCTTTAGTTGTTTGAACCTTTATTAGAAAAATGCTATAAATTTTTTTTGCGTATCTAGAAATAACGATCTTTCTTTCTCACACAGGATCTCCCAGATCGACGCCAGCAGAAGATAAACGCCCAGGTTCGACTGTAGGCAATGTTTCCCGAAGCGTCCCCGTAGCTCGTAGCGATGGCAGTGAATATTTGACAAGTTGTGCATTCCAATCGAGCAATGACTACAGTTGTCGAGAACGAGACTCTGTCGTTCCCAGCAAACCACAATGCGAGGGCTCCGTGAATTCATCAGGAGGTAATATATTGTTGTTTTTCTTCAAATTGCACTGTTTTTGATGATTCACAATGATACACACACTATTGAGTTGCCAAGTATGCTAAAGCAAAAGATAATTGTTCACCATCGCCCCACCCGTTGTCTCATAGTCTTGTCCAAAAGAGGTTGAGTAGTGAATAGTCTTATCCAAAAGAGGTTGAAAGTGCTTGCGAAATTTACTTCACACGCATGCCCAGTTTTCTCTAAGTGCTGTTTAGATGGGAGTTATGTTTCGTAATTTTAAAGTTTGGCTGGTGGCTAATGTAAGATAATGATTTTAATTCAGCATGTTCTTTTTCCATCAGAATATTCTACCTGCTCGACCCCAAGCAAGCCAACTTCGTTTACATGCTCAACACCACTCGCCGGTTCCATACCTTCACCAAACAACCCAACCGGCAGCGGACAAATCCAACTGTGGCAGTTTCTGTTAGAACTGCTTTCTGATCCCAACAACAGCTCTTGCATCGCGTGGGAAGGCAACAATGGCGAATTCAAACTGGTGGATCCAGATGAGGTCGCAAGACGTTGGGGTGAACGCAAGAACAAGCCAAACATGAACTACGACAAACTTAGCAGGGCGCTTCGTTACTATTACGACAAAAACATAATGACAAAAATCCACGGCAAACGCTACGCATACAAATTCGACTTTCAAGGACTCGCTCAGCTTAACCAGCCAATTACTTCAGACGCTCAACTCCACGCGGCCCAAGCTGCTGCTTACAGAGCCGAATTCCCGTTCTACAGTGCATACCCAGGGTCATCGTACGTTTATGCTGGTGCACCAGTGCCCGGATCGGCACAGTGCTACTTCGGAATGCCCCCAAGTCCATATGGTGCGTCATGGGGTCGCGGTTCCTCAGGGTACGTTGGAGGACCATATCGAAGCCAAATTAGTTCTTCTCTGCCGTACTTTTAATCAATTCTGTGGAAAATTATTTAACACAAAGAGATAACTGAAGCTCCGGTGTTCGGAAACGCATGGGTTTTCTGCGTCACACTAACTACAAGAATCTGAGAAAGAAACATTTCTAATTGAAAGAGAATTTTAAGACATTATTTTAAGACAATTTGTTGACTTGCAGTCCTTTGTCGAAATTCGGAACGTAAAGTGTAAATAAAATGTTAGGTTATTTGAAATTGTTCTGTTCTGTAAAACGTTCTTTGTCCTTTAATAGGGCTGAATTTATATCGATTTTGTACACAGCTTTCCTCACAATTGTATTGACAGTTCATTGGTTCATAGGCCCCAATGCCGTCATTGAAACGATTTAAGCCTTTTCTGTTTTCTTTTACGATGAAGATAATAGAGGAAACCCAAAAATTAAATATCTTGTTACTGATATCTCATGCCTTTCATTTTGGATGTTGATTTTTAGATTGTCAATAGAATTGTAAGGAAAGCCGACAAAATCTCCCTTACAATGTAAGGACCTCGTATTGATGTTGTGAATTCTGTTACGGACCATGCGCCCTTTGGCGTTCGCTTTTCAAGGTAGTTTTATAAGACTCTTCAGCGCTATTTTGATAAATTTTTATAAGGAATTGAAATATTTGTATTTGTACCAGAGATTATTTGTACATGAAGCTGCCCTAATTTATATTTGTATACCAAGTTCAAATTAATTATGTCAAAGGGGTAAGAAAAAGTTATTTAACATATATTTTTGTATGCTTTATCTTGTTGTTTCCACTGTCGCTGACTACTCTTCCAAAGCTGTGACCCATTCAGAGGCTCTTTGCCGCATGATAGCAGTTAACAAATTGTCTTCGAAGAAGCAGGCTAAAAGCATATTTGCAGTGTAGGCTTGGGACATGTTCTTATAGCAGAGACATTGGATGATTTTATGGCGGTCTAAAGAGAGCTTTAACAAACTTTGGGATAAACTATTATGCTTTGTGGTTATAAAGCATCGTCTTCAAGGTCCGTGAATTCAGCATAAACTCTTTCAAAAGTAGGGTCTCAACGCTTTCATAAAGGACGAATAAGGCCATTTAAATCGGTGCTGTTTTGAATAGGGCCACTTTTTCGAAGTACAGAGGTTGGTCGGAATATTTTTAGCGTTAGAGCGAGTAGGAAATTTTTTGAAAGTGGAATCTGAGATGACCAGAATTGCACCGTGGTATTTTTGACGGACTGGGATAGGCACCTAGTCGAAGGCTGTGTGTCAACAAAATTTGATGGATAAAAGTATCCTTTTTACATAATTGGTGAAAAAAAACTGAACCTTTCAGGACTCCTTGATACCTTTTCATCAACATTGATTTTGAACTTTGGGCAGGCCAGAAAACTACCCGAACTTTTTTCAGAACTTCCAAACTTTCCATATATTTGGGCCTAAGTTAGACTCGTTTATTTACTAGGGATATTTTTCGGACAACCACAACTTATTGCCCAGCCAAACATAGTCACCCCCATTGCACCCCTGTCGGGGCACCTAGAATTCTGTGTAAACTGTAGAGCTTTTGCAGCATGAGTTCGTGTAGGCTTTAGTGAGAACTCGGTATCTGTTGCTTTGGTGTGAAGCAACAGCTACATGATGAATGCAAAATGTGTTGCGTTCTTCGGTAATATCGTAAAGCAAGTATTATGTTGAAAGTCTATATTTGGGTTTTGAGGATAGAGGGCTAAATTTCATAACCAATATTGTATTAGGGAATGCGGTAAACCAAGTTTAGTCCTTTGTCACTGTAGCTCATTACAAAACAAACGAAGCCGCGGTTTTCAACTTTATCTATCTCTAAATTTAAAACATGTAAGAAACTGGCAACTGCTGGACAAAAATTTGTCGAATTCGTCAACATTGGGCATTCTAAGGAATAAGTATGAAACGAAGATGTTCCTTTGAGTCCTTTGTCTTTCCTTTCCACACTATATACTTTCAAAATATATTGTTGTTTTTTGTAGAGAATATAAAGTTTCCTGTCTTTTTACGATGTTTGACATATAACGGTTCAAACTGCTGCTTCAGTAGTTCTTCACTACCTTTCTAAACAAACGAATTATTGAGCATTTCAACGTGAAAATAATCTACTTTTTGTATTCGTATTCTTCCGCGCAAACAGCACAAAGGGCCCACTCTTGCTCTGACATAATGTTAAAATAAACAGTATACGAGGCTGTTTTCATAACATAGTTACCCGATTCCTGTTTTTCTGTTTCATTCGAGAAGTAACGTTTATTCAAGTAACTAAAAAGATAGCACAATCGAGGCAGTGGCCTAACGCAGTTTAAGGCTTTTAAAAACTGAAGGCCCCGATTAAAAGGGCCCCCGAATTGTTTTAATTTCCATGTTTTTAAGACTTTGACCTCAACTTAAAAAACGTTTAGCTTTCTTCAACTGAAGCTTTTATAACTTAGCTTTCCCTAGTACCCGAGAACGAGATCTGGCTATTGTTTTTCGCATGCTATACAACATGTGATGGGACTTTTGTGCAGTCCGTAAATAGAGGCCCCGTCCCAAGATGTCTCCATCACTCGAATGGGTCGAGGAGTTCTTACAATGCAAGAGACATGAAGGAGTGACTCTAGATGAAGGGTTAGCTCTTTGGAAAACATGCGTAGCTGAAGGGATGCATACCCTGGGTTCCAGAGTGTCCGGGGCCCCTACTTGACGCTCTGTAACCAAGGCATGCTATTCGTTGCTCGAATACACGAGTTAGCTATGAACATTATGATAGACGAGTTTACTTTGCTTGAGTTATGAATTTACTTTATTTTAACTCTTTGGAAACATTCTATCGTCACAAAGCTTTTGCTCCCCGTCCCCTGTTATTGTTTTCATCACGTTAGAATGCACGGTTGTGTATTATCTTTCAATTGAACACGAAGTATGCAAGTCAAAAATGGAGGAAATCCCAGATTGTTATCAAGAAGAATGACCATTTACCGTGCTGCCAATTTAAGTATAACCCCAAGATCCGATTCTTGGAAATGACAGCCTCATTTTATTAAACGAAAAGAACTCGTCATATCATTAAATCTCGTTCTTTTGCAAAAACAACCACATGCACTTCCGAAAAAAGTTCGTTCATAACGACCATTTGTAACAACAGATGTTAATCTTCGATTGCAGTACAAATACCAATTACAAGGCATTGAATTCGGCCTTTTTTTGGAGTAGTATTTGGAGATGAAATTGGTGATATTGTACAATTGATAGCAACGTTCACCCACGAACCATTAACTGGTACGAAAGTAATATATTTGCTATTTGTATCAATTAGTGCACGCATTGCCTCTAATAGGACATCTTGGAATTGTTCATCCCTGGCAATTACTGAGCTCTGGATAAAGTTTCACATGCCTTCCAATGATTTGAATCGAGAGTGAGCTGTTGAGCACAGGGACGCACTGATCGATAATGCCACAAAACTAAAGCTAAAATTTTATTAATTTGAAGCAAATTAAGTCTGTCCACATCATGATTTTAAGAATTCATGAAAATTGAAATATCACCACTGATTGCGCTATACCTGCAAAAATTGTTGCTGTTGTCTGTCTGTAGCAAGGGTGCTGTTTTGGACAGCTTATAGCTTGGGGTTCACTTTGGAGAAAACTGATGGGCACGTGCCTGCCAAAAAAATGTATAGCCCTATCCTGGAACACAATTCTGAAGCATGATACCTGAAAACATCATATCTTCAATTGGCAAACCTGCACCGTAAATGAGAAAATTTTATAATCTCGTATTGGGATTTTAAGCTGAAAATGACCCCCTGTTGGCAGGCACATCCCCAGCTAGTCAGCGTATTAAGCGAACCCTCAAGGCTTGTAGCTCCCTCTTAGAAAAACACTGCAACGGAATGGCCTTCTCTCACAAATCAGTGATTTTCTCACATAAGGGCATAACAGATCATAACCTCCTTGTAAGATATGATCATATCTAAGATCAAAGGTATTGTTACCTTGTTTAAAGCAGAAGGATTTGCAGAAATCAGAAAGTTTGTGCAGTGTTCTTTTAGTAGGCAAAGTGCATTTTTATAACAGAAGAGCCACATCTCTCGCTAAGGTTACATTTTAGTTGCCAAAAAAAATTCGAAAAATGTGGAATTCAAATCTTTCTATGTAAAAATTTGAAATATTTTTGGAGGGTTTGAGGGACTTTTAACAAGAAATAAAAGATTGGGATTTCAACTCCATATCTTAGCTGTAAAAATTTAATACCATTCATATTCAATCTTTTACAAAACTATAAGTCTTGGCATACATTCTTATTGTATCCGAACTTCAGTATGCGATCTTTACCTTAATGCATCTTTTGTTAATAGCTCAAAAGTATTTATCAACTTTGTTTACTAAGGTATTAATAAATAAAAAAGGAGGTATATAAAAGGAATATTTCAACCCTTTCAGATAGAGAAATGTCGAAGCTTCGTTTATCACAAAGTTTCATTTAGGAAATTTAAAATTAATTTTGGATATAAAGACTTAATACGACTTAGAAAATTGAAAGGTCATCAAAACGATGCTCTTTCAAAATATCATTGTGCATCATAAGCAATAAATACCAGGCTTACTTAGGACTTGAAAGCAAATAATTTTAGATAGCAAAGAAAGTTCACAAAACCAAAGGAAATAAAAAGGTCTACCGGCGTAAAATTAAGTCGAATAGCTTGACAGTGTAAAGAATCGTTTTTCGAATGATATTTTAATTAATGCTTTGGACAGACTGCCATTACAGTTCACAATAATTGACTCTTAGTGATAAAGCAATGCATTTAAAGAGAATTTTTCACAAATATGGCTGGTTTTTTCACTTAGGATAGGGGAATCACTTTTCTATTTAGCGTGATGCAAATGGTTTAGATCTAACATTTATTTTGTTGTTAGCTTTGAAAATTGTTGCTATTTTATCTGAGTAAGTTTTGTAAAAGTAGAAAACTGAGATCATGAAAATGAATAAATGATGGTTGGAAACTTTTGTAAGGTAGTTTTCGTGCCCATGGAGCCAAAGCTTTGCCAAATCCGAGCCGTCTGAAATAGAGGGGGTGCCTTTTCCAGGGACGCCAAGATTGTACTAATTGTCGGTAACTGGTTGCCTCGTTGTTCATGCAGCCTGACAACCCCTGCATCCCCTTTCCCCACCCACCTCCGATTATGAATTTCTGTCCTGCCGCATCAAACTCTTTTGATCGTGAAATTTACGGTAGGGCCATTATTAAACTACTGCACTATGCCAAAACAATGAAACATTATTAAAAATAGTAATATTTGTTGTTTGTTTGAATTTTGTATCGTTTGACATTTTCGTTCTCATCCCATGGCTCCTCATTGGTACTGTGGTTACTTCCACCTTAATAGAAAGCAGTCACCTTAAACTGAAGGCGGGAAAGTTATATGGTTGAAAACATTGGATTTTCTGTTTATTGGAGGTAAGCAAGCTTTTACCTTTGCTGAGCATCGACGTGAGTTTTAGATTATCTGGTTATCTAACTAGAGCAGCATGTAAGAACACTTAGGTATGGTGCGGCCTTCTCGTATTTGTTTATTACTATTAGGCGCAATGTCCAAATGGGCCTAGTCTGTCCCCTCTCAGTGGCCAAATCTTCATTGAGCTTATTTGCCTTGTCAGATCTCAACAAATACTAAATTTCTGGATGTAGTTAGATTAGTACATCGTTTCATTGTTTTTAATCATTGTTTTTGTTGCTCTATAATTTCGATTTTCTGCAAACTGAAAATTTATGAAATCATACTACACCAGGCCTTGCTCTAAGGAAAATGAAGGTGCTCTATAAAAAGAGCTCGTTAGAAACTCTAGGCGCTCTATTTCGTACCTCTAAATAAAATGTTCTTGAGAGCATCCTTCGAAAGCTTTAGAAGATCGTTAGCTTCATATCCAGAGCTTCGTAAGAGTGTTAAATAAGAAATTCAACGGTGATACAAAAAAGCACCATAATATGAAATGAAAAAACATGCAACAAACACTATGTTAGTATAAATATAGAAATATGATCAAACACGTCGCGAAATTGTTCAGATTTTTCTAGATATGCAAGTTGCTATCATTTGATGAGCTTTTATCACTGTCACTGTCTGTATGACTACTGTTATGTTCAGCTTCACATTGCTTCATCAAAATGCATGGCTACAAGTCGCAAATTTCACTTTTTACGTTATCCATTCTATAAGAAAGGCTAACACATCTTCTACTCACGAAAGCAAATGAAAACTAAAAAGCAATGTGATTATTTGGATGGAAATGTGATTGCTGATTGCACAGGTCTGTTTTAAGTTATTAAGGAAAAACCGAAAATAATACTTCAACAAAAGATTAACGCTTGCTGGAAAATCAAATAAATCTGCTGGAGAATACGCTTGATGGCCTGTGTCCTTGGTGGTTATTAGAGGGTTATTAGATTAAAAATGGTATCGAAAACCAAATATTGAATTTGCTGAATTTTTTCTCAAGGGGTAATCTAACTCAAATCTTAATACTGCTGTCTGTTGGGAAGATTGTTTATGCTTGATCAAGTTTATTCAACAAATGTCAAAAATTTTCTTTGCTCTGTGGTAATATTATTTTTACGTTTTGAGGGGCTCTTTAAATCGCTCTCCAAGACTTTTTTGGGTGCGATCTATATCACTTTTTGGGTGTTAAACACTTTTTCATAAGAAGAACAACCCTTATAAAAAACATCAGGCTGGAATTTGTCCAGAAAATTAGGACAATGTGAGAAACAAGCCAGGCTGAATGTTGGCCTATCAAAAGTTTTTGAAGCCTTAAGACTGCTATTTTAGGTTGCCATGTAGTGTTTTCCTTCATGTTTGTAAGCCCAATTTATATAAATGTAAATAAAAGTCCTGCAAATATAATTGGGGAGATGTGAAATTTTGAGGCACAAAATATAGTTAGTATGTACAATGTATTTCACATGTTTTGCCAAAAAACAAGCTAAATTGTTCATTTTTTGCTTGAAATTAAAATTTGGAGATAATGAGGTTTTCTTTTTTTCATGGAATAGTAAAACATCAGATTTTTAAGCAACAAGTTTTTAGCAAGATATAACAATACCATACAGGGGGGCCATTGCCCCCCCCTCGCCCCCCAAGTGTCCACCGCTGCCAACCATCTAACAATTTTTTCATAATTCAATTCTGTTGCCAAAATTCAAACCATCATAACTCAAAAACAATACACAAATCTCTGAAGGAAATAACAAATTCCTTATCAGCAGATAAAATTACACTAGATTAGATAATAAAAGAGGAATGTAACTTTTGGGTGGAGTAGCCATTAAGTATATGTTCAAAGGCTAGGGGCAAGAGAATAGTTAGATTGTAGAATTTGGTTTTAGCACATCTTTATCTTTGCTTAAAATTTTTAGCATTTGGTGGCCATTAAAAAGATATGGAAAAAGAACATTTAGCAGAACTGAAGAAAGACACAAAAGAAGTTTTAAGTGCCTCTTCACTTGTCCAGGCAGATAATTTCAAAATACAGAAGTCAATTCAATTAAATGGTAAGAAATGCATTTGACGCAACATTTTCTGTTGGCATAAATTAGCAAAACATATCCATAGCACTCATAATGTTAATTATCTTGATAGAAATTAACTTTGATTGCCTTTTTTTATTGTATATGCTCTAGAAATGAAGGGGGGCTCAAGTTTATCCTATGTATCTTTTTACTGTTTCAAAACATGTGCCATGAGCCTGTATTTGAGTAAAACCATTTTATTCAAACCACAATTCTGTTTCAAATATATGAAGGTAAGATAAAAAGTAGGAAAATTTGTGATTTTATAATGAATAAATCCCTTTTGAGTTGAGAAAACTCAAAGTCTTCCTTTGTTGCTGCCAATTTTTTATCACTTTTAAAGCTTTCCAAAGATTTTTTTTAAAGCCACTTTTGGTGACCAGCATTAAAGGGAACAAGAAACATATTTTAAGCACACGTGATTGAAACATGATTTTGTTGAATGCAGTTTTTCAAGATAACAACTAACCATCAAGCGTTGAAGTACTTGATGTCAATCTAATTTCTCCCAGTGGTTGTTGTCGTCATATTTTGTTTCTGCAGTCAAACTCATCAATCAAAATATGTCGACTTAAGTAAAAGTAAGTGTATTAAGAAGTAATGTAAATCAATCACAAACAAATAGCTAAGCGGATAAGACAGTTAAATCCTCCTACTGATTCTATTTATTGATGTACCGCTGCATCTATAAATACAATGGTTCTCTTAGAGGCATCGTCACGAGATATTCCAATGTATAATTTTGCATATAGGGCAATAGCACAGGTATATAGGAACGTGAGGTGATAATTAATTGACAGCTGTTAGAGTTCATGGTTAAATGAGACAAAGGTATAATGATGTATGAAAGATACCCAACATTTACGTCACCAAACTTTTGGAAGTGCTGCTCTTTTTGCAGGCACTGTAGCCAACCTCTACCCACGTTTTATTCAGGTCTTTCTTAAAAGTTCCTCCCAGTTCTCCCTGTCTTTCCACTCATCAGTTGTTCCCCCTTCAGCATAGCATATTTCATCCGGTTTCCCGTTCTTTACTTTAGGTGAAATCATATCGGTACATTTCATTCCATCTTTAGTAGGGGTCAGGGAGATGAGGCAAAATTGCTTTTAAATGCTTAGCCCATAGCTACCCTATGTACGAAACCGACAGAGCTGCTTTGGATGCTCATCAGTGCTTTGCATATCATCTTTGCTGTATTTGACCGATCTCTTTCTACAAATCCTTAGCTAAATGATAGCTACTTACAATTATTGTTAGGCTACTTACAATTATTACAACAGTAAGGGAAGGAGAAGAATAACCCAGGTGAGCTGTTTACGACCAACGTGTAAATATGCTAAGTGTAAAGTGGACGTCCACCTTCTGAAAACATTCTATAAATTGAATCGATTCCATGCTACACTTCAAACTGATAGCGCCACGTTTTGGAACTTCGTCGGTTTACAAGTGAGTAACAAAATCTTGTGAGTATAGGCGGTCCATATTGTATGGATCAGAGCCTACGCTTCCTTTTCCCCAAACTTGCCAGAATAGCATTTTGAAATGAGTAACGCTAGATTTGCGATTCACCTCCAGAAATCCTATTTGAGCCAAACTAAGAATTAAAGTATTTGGAAAACGTTCTATTTAGCTAACTTGTAGCTTTTGGCAATGTAGAGGATCTGCAGGAAACAAGAGTGAATACAGAACAGCTAATCGTTATGTAAATATCTTCTAATCATTTAGCGTTACACATCTGCATCGTCACCTTTCCGTTAGGGCTCAATCGGGGTGAGATCACCACCAATACAACATACAAACTTTTGTTTACAACTTGCTATGATCAAATCTTAACCAGACAAAATGTAATCTAGATTATCAAACGAATTTCCTGATTTGTGGTAACCTATTTAGTACATCATCCCATTCACACTAACCCTATATCCTCAATGCAAAGGTTGCGATGTTTCTGTATCCAGATTACTCACGAATTAATCTTGTGTCATTATCGATTAACGAAAATCTTCTTGTTGCAGCAAATTAGAGCATTTGATTCATCAGAAACTGAATTGTCACACCATTGTCAATTGTTAAAACAGTTTTGCTACCAGGGATACGCCCTCGATGCATGGGCGTATAGCGTCCCACGCTTAAGTAGGTAATGAGATGACAACTACAAACTCCATGACCAAGCCATTTATCATTACTATTCTATATAGCCAGTTTTGTCCTTGTTTGGTTCGTGGCAAATACGAAACTTCGTTTAGTCAATGTGACAGGCTTTGAATTACTACCCTTACCAATAGCAATCGATGAGCGTTCACTGCTCTCACCCTCTTTGGTAGACGAAGTAGACTTTCCCATTTTGATTCCACCAATACAATTCACAAATTCAACGTACAGCCTCATTTTGAACAATTCTTCAAATTCTTTTGTACAAAATTTTTAACCTTAGATTCGGATTAGGAGTAAGATTAGTGTACTTGGAAGTTTTCATAATGTTATTGCTCACGATATTGATTTATGATGACATAAAGATGAAGATTTTATATGGGATTCTCGACTAAGGGGGTAAAGCTTTACTCGGAATGATTTTGCGGTCAAATCACTTACAAGTTTTCAAACTTCAATTCTTTGTAAAATCTCAAATGCATGCACAGATAAGTTAAAAAATAGCATCTGGCCGAAAATTATGGTGGTAAAACCGAATATGAACTCAAAAAGTCGTACAATGAGGTTGAGAGTAAAACGAGGCCGCAAGTTGGATTGGTGTATTTATTATCATTGTTATGGGAAGCAGAAGGAGTGGGAATGGAGAATACTATTTTAAGCGTTTTCATTTTGTGATGGTATTCAAGCAATTTTTGCAAGGCTCGTAGCTTCAAAACTGTCCTTTCACAACCTTAAAGGGAAAACACCACTTCCCATTTGCTATATATGTTATTAACACTTTATTAATTATTTTGTTGTCTTAGGATATCGAAAAGTATTCATGTCTCGTTAATATTTTGTACTGTGTTGGAATTTCGCTACTCTTGTTATTCCTATTATTCAAAACAGATAGAAAACAAGCAGTTTGGTTTATGTGAAAAAACCTCGCGTGATTTGGGCGTGCCCTATAGCTTCAACAACAAGATTGTGCAATAACTAAGTAAGGTTCTTCAGCATCAAATGTTAAGATAAGTAGTATCAAAAGCAACATATGCAAGTGTACATGTTTGTATGATCTGAATATAACACCACGCCGTAACAAAGCAATGAATCTGAATAGCTAACTGATGAAGTATGATTCATTTTTCGTCACTTATGAATGTTTAAGTTATAGATGTATATATGAAGGATTTCGCTCCATTTTTAATATTAAAGCTTTGTTTCACCAGTTTTCACCAAGTAATATGGCTTGTTAGGTACTTTCAATCGCCGCGTCTTTGATGAAGAAAAATCTACACGAGCAACAGGTGTTTGTTCGGCTATGTCTTCTATCTAAGGTTAGCTGGCTGCTAACACAAGCAGCCTATTGACAACCGCAACTGATACGTGGGCGATAGGCCAAGATATGAAGCGACTTGTCATGGGCTCTTGACCTCAACAGCAGAACATGTTAAGTGGCTTAGGGGTCTATTAGGTTTCGAAAGTTACTATTATTTGTTACGTTTTTATGTTAAGTTTGGATTAAGAATGTTTTTATTGATTGGGAATCCTATATAACTTAAAATGATTGAGTAACTACGTCTCGAAAGTACTCTGTACTCGCCATAGGTTTCTGTTGTTTGCAATTTGTGCTGTTTAAATGGTTTTCGATGCACATTTGTTCGTAATAGTTGTTGGTCAGGTTCCACACAGTCTTTCTTTATTGCCATCCCAATAACTGTTGTGGAATTCGACTATAAGCAACAAGAATTCGTTCCTGTTACGGATGCTTTTTATAAACAATATATATTAAAAAATTTACTTTTAATGAGCCCTTGAGGATTTTTATGAACCCCTCTCGATGCTTGAAACGAATACGTCACACCGCTTTATCTATGTTTAAATTATGACCTAGAAATTATTTTCCTATAGTTTCAAAGTATCGTTACCAACTCAGACTTAAATTTTGAAAAATAACTGCTGTCGATTCAAAATAAGATAAAAATTCTTGGTAATGATTGCTTTTTTTAAGCAGTTTAGTCATTGTTTAAAAAGTAAGAAGGAAATGAACTTAATTTGAATTTTTTATATAAGATTCATTCCATAGGCTTTGTACGCATGTTGCTGCCACCGTTTCTGTGACTTGGCTATTCCATTAGTCATTTCAATGCCTGCCAAAAATTCTTTGAATGCCCAGCAATTTGCGCTGTGTTTTTTTGTATTTTTCATTTTTAAAGATATTTCTATTTCCAAATGTCATAGAAGTCACAGGACGAGAGGAATTTATTATCTCCAACTCCTTTTTTGTAAACCAACATGAGTCCCAAGGTGAGGGGGTCTGTTGAATCTACTCTTGGAAAATGACTTTAGTGTTCTAAGACTTTTGGCAGGGATTGTAGATGAAAGAAATAGATGGTTTACTAGAGGGGATAATTCAGCTAGAATGTTTCGTCGGAACTGGCCAATATAGGTTTTATCTCACACATTGTTGTATTCGCATGTTCAAAAGTACGATTCAAAAACTGTGCGTTTCCTTTTTAAGCTGCATGGACAGATTAGTTTTGAATACAGTATAAAACAAAAACAGTCACGCTAGCCATGTACTGGGGGTAGCAAAAATTCTATTAATAGTATGAATAGGATTTGGTTTGCCATATAGCTTGGATGACGCAACATATCCGCTGAACCACTGGAGCTGACGTCATAATGCGTTTGCCGATAGGAATCCCGTATACGTCTGTGAGTGACCTTCTGTGGTTAACCTTCTATGTCATGTAGAATTCCTTATAACACGTATGTACTTGCTATCCTGTTTGCTTTGTTGCTTATTCCCCTTTATCTTCTTTGTGGTTTTAAATGTTAATCTTCTTTAAATATTCCATTCATATGTTAAATCCTTCGCTTTGAGCGTTATTCTGTTTCTCAATTGTTTTCTTTTTAATAACGCGACGTCAGATCTTTCGATTGGGTAAGAGCACACCCTTGTGTCACCTGATCAAATTCGTGACTCGTAAATGGGTTTGGAAAGCTTTGCCTGATAAAAGTTCTAAACCCTTAAAAGGCCATGCGATATTCAGTTTTGGGTAATTAAACGCCAAACAAGGCTTTTAGAGGTTACCCAGAACATTTCAAGAATAATGCGTGAGAAACCACCACAAACGTCTATGGAAAGTAAATAAAGCCGTTTTAGGCCCCTTGACAGATGTAGCCTCCCCTAGTAAAAGGCGTTTCTCCTGAGGGATGAATAGACTGCTGTTATGGTGTTATCCACGTACTTAATTGTTCGTAAATAGGATAAACGAATAGTTTTTGTAGTAGTAATGATTTAATGGTAAGATTATGCTTGGTAAATTCAAGAGTAGTAATTTAGTTTAACATACTTTTCTTTGCATTATCCCTTATTTGATATATAACATTTATCTTCTGCAATCGTTTATATATCACGTACATTCTGGAATCATGCATTATTTGCAATTTTGTTTTCCAAAACCAATTTTGAAATCTTGAATTTCTTTTAAAGTATTTGAAATAAATATGTAAGAGCTATAAAAAATTATTCTGGATTGTTCTTAATTTATTCTTAATCTAATAGGGTGTAAACAGTGCGAGTGCTAGCTTTTTCGCTCTAGTGTGGTGTTCAGGCCCCATTTGCCAACAAAGCGAGCGAGACAGCCTTAATTTGCTGACACATTTGAATATTCACCGAAAAGCACCCTCAGATCGCTAAAAATCCTCAATTTTGAGAAAAAACGTTGTTCAAAATTGCATTTTGCAGAAGCTCAGCCTCAGCTTGTTCTTAATTTGTTCTTAACTTTTGGCCAATTTTGAGGCTCGTGTTCTTATAAAATTGTTTTTATAAAACGAAAAAAGTGTAAATATAGAAAAATTGATCGAATTCTCTACATTTCTGAAAAGTTATAGCTTGTTTATGAACGAGGCCAAATTCTATTGGCGTCACCAAACAGCTGGAGTTCGTGAAAATTGCGTTTCTGTTTTGCTATACGTCACTGTTTTGCAATACTTTCAGATCCAGGACTATACATGACATTTGGTCTTCTATTTCGTCAAGACTTCTCCAACTGAAAGCGGAACTTGACCAATTATCGTCTGTTTACTTCCATATGGATATGACAAGGAAACAATTTGTTCCGTTATGGCGCTTTTACATTAAATTGGTCAGATGTTTCTTTGAATTGGTAATGACGACGTAATTATCATGTAGCAGTTATTTTTTATTCAAATATAAATTATTTAGCTATTCAAAGATTGATATCTACTAAGGTGCAATTGTTAAAGCTTGCACTTGAAGAGGACGAGGGCTTGAAGATTCAAACCCATTGACAATATTAATTTCAGAATTTGTTAGTCGTTTTTGTAAGGGTATAGAAATTAAAATAACGGAAAACGAAGCGTGTGAAAGCTAGTAAATTCTATTTCTTTAAAGCAATAAATAACAGGGTCTTTAGAAGGTATATCCTAGATGCTTTTAGAATTTTAAAGAATTATATTTTGCGCTGTGTATGGACTGTGTTGTCTTGATAGTAATCCATCTTCGAAAGTCAACTCCAGAACCTAAAAAAAATAAAACAACCCTATTTTCCTTACCGTATAAATTCGGCAACCTAGTCAGCCATAATTTCTAAGTTTCGACACTTTCTTTTATTTTTTACAATTTCAGAAGATGTATAACAGTTTGATTTTTTCAATTACTCGTTTCTCAACCAAGAACACTAGATACAGTAACATGATCCTTAAGTCTGAACGGTTTTTCAGTTCCCTTCAGGGCTACGTGGACAGATCATAGAGGTCCTACACGTAAACGAAACAAGAGGTCGACACAGTTGAACTCCTCCGTCGCGACCTTGCGGCAACTTTTATTCGGCGTAGCTATGATCAACCGTGCTAGAATTTGCACAGAAGTACGGAATAATCCCTTCTGTTAAACCGCTTTCGTGAGAATGGTTGAACAAGGGCTAATTTTGACATATTGCCAATGGCCATCTTTATCTATCTTTGTTGCGTTGAAGGGATCAGAATTTATAAACACTTTGTGATATAGCGTATGCATAGTAACCAGCAGGAATTCTTTAAGGATTTCATAATCTATTTTCCTGTGTTTATTTTGCCAAGTCACGCTATGTTTTCAATTCAATACGTAATAATCTTTTTATTTTGGCTTGGTATGTTTTGAGAAGTCGACAATACGTTGAGCAAAATGGAATAAAGATTTGAGTCACTGCTCATGCCGAGCCTATGTATTTTCGGCCAGCTTGCGACCAGTGCCTGTGGGCACGTTTTTTTGTGCATTTTTGCATAGAATTTCGTTTCTATAAGCCATTTTCCTAACAATTTTTTCGTGGTTCAGTATAGATTTAATATTCTACAAACGCGCCCGTGAAAACTTAATCGAAACTTAATTTGAAATTCAATAAGTACACCAGTTAATTGAACCTGACAATAAAATTAGTGGAAATTAATGACACTCAGAGTAGAAATAAAGTGTTTTTATTTGCACTGAACCAGCAACCAGCGTGATTATTTTAAAATAAATTACCAAGCAAGCTTAAAAATTCCAACAGTGGTATCTATAAAAACTTCACTGAATTGTTAAGAAGATTTTAAAATTTTTAAAAATCATTGTCGTAAAATGCTGTTATAGATATGTTTCTGTTTGAAGTTAGATTTCATATTATCTGTTGACAAGACAGGGCTTGGTATTTTTTGCAAAACAGTGGAGCTCTTTTGCAAGATCTTTTGTTATGGGTCTTCAATTGGCCCCTCTTTCTCCAACTTGCGTCTAAACCCCCTTATACATTTGTATAATTTAATCTTTAAACTGTCTCCTGCATTTTTCTGCATTTTTACAATTTTCTACTATCCAAGTTTTTAGAAATTTTACGGAACTTTTGTGTACTCAATTCTCATAGATATTGAGAATTTTTAGCACTGAAAATTTGAAAAATTTCTCACAAAAGTTTTGAGATTAAGCTTAACAAGTAGGGGTATGCATATTTGGCCTGAAGTTGCTGCTACTTATTTGCTGATAGATGCAATTAACCTTACAAAAATAATTGGAACGCCGCAACTTACAATGTTGCTTTGTACAATAGCACCACAACGTACAATAATTTGAAGCCCCCCCCCCACCCACCCTACGTACAATTCAAAATATTTTGTGCCCTAGCTTTCAAGATAATTACCGAAAACCATGCAATATAGGTTATAAGTATTATTGTAATTGGGAGGGGGGGGGGTTAAAAACTGTGAAGATTTTGTACTGTTGTGTCAACCTTCTTGGCGAGCTTACTAATTGAATGGTGCTGTGTAAGAAGTAATCCTTTTTACGTCACGGAATCTTTATTACACACCAGAAGGAAATTTCCATTGCCAATAAATTTTCTTGCCAGAGGCTTGTGACACGTCAGCTATTTGCCTGAAATTTTCAAGACTAATTTTTAATATAATTTTTATGTTAACATTAGAACATGGTAATAACTATGATTTAAATTATTCCTTTTGTTAATGGTTTCTAAGTATTTTTTGAATATCTGTCAGCTATTTATTTCGAAAAGTCAAGTTTAAACATTATAAATACAATATATGTGCCAAAATGCCCAATAGCACTTTGGAAATAACTCCGGAGTAAAGAAAAATACCCATCCTTCCTCCGGACAACATCATCAAGCTCTGAAAACCTTTCTCAGAAAGAAATTAAAGCAGAATAGGCTTTGGGCGTGACACTTTCTTGTGCTGTTATTAGCCTTCGTGTTGGTCATAATTCGTTTGGCCGCCATGAATTCTGGGTTATGGGAATTTCTTGAATCTGGATAAAAGTCTGAACTAAATAATAGCATCGTTAGCAAATGACATTCATAGTATGACCGCAAAATAGTGTTTTGCAATTATTTTTTCCTTCGTAATCCTGTTTCTTATCAATTCATGTTTTGTAGATAATTAAAAAATGATGTTTAATTGAATTAAACTCAAGTAATATATTTATTTGAGCAAGGGGTATTTTCCTTGTCAGCCCCTGGAGATTCTTTAAAAAAGAACTCGCACTTGCCTGTAGTATCAAAGGGTTCTGAGCAGCTATTTTTTGACAATTAAATCATTCGTAGCAAGTAGAAATATGGTAGATGAATATTTGTTTTTCAATTGAAATCAAAATCTACCTTGTAAAGCCCCCATAATTTTACACCAGATCTTATTTCGATTTAACTGTTTTCTAGAATCCAAAATCAGCCATAGCAGAAAACAAATTGACGAACTACAAGCGAAAATTGCCCTACTGAATGGAAGATCGTTGTGCTTGCAAGAAAATGGTCTCATTTCTGAAGAACTGTCGAATAGGATCGAGTCACGCTTAGAAAAGTGGAGAAAGCTTCGAAGGTGAATTTTTTTATGTTATTCATGCTTTTGATTTGAATTTTTTGTATGATTTTGTATGTATGATTTGGCAATGACAAAGGCTCACAAAGCAATTCAAGAAACCTGCCCAAAATTAACGCAGAATTAGATCTGCTACTATACCATCTGAACTTTGTTTTGTCGCCTTCCTTTATTTTACTAAATTTGTTCAATGCTCCGAGGTAGATTGTTTTAATTGCTCCTTCGCAGAAACTCAAGCTAGACGTCCCTTTGGACAAATGCTACTCCCATCTATCTTCCAAATTTGATGAAGGTGCGTCAAGAAGAATTACGAAAAGCTGTTTAAAGAAAAACACATGGTAATTTAATCCACGGAACATATCCTGCACTCATGCCCCACAAAAACATCCCTTTGTAATTTCAACATAACCCACATAAATCAAATTAGATCCACCACAGCCTTACCCGTTCGTTTAACACTTTGCTTCAAGGTTCACACATGTGCCCATGATAAACCAGTCATACGGTGGTCTTTTAATTCACCACTGAAGATACTCCGATAGTCTGGTGGCTTGTTGAATAAGCCTTTTGACTCCGAGAGCTTAAAGAAAAATCAAATATTCTTTGGATAGCTTGAATTTTGTTCGGAAACCTCCATAGAATTGTGTATAGCTACACAAAGTTGGAGTTAAGCTTTTACAATGTTAGGGGGTGCTGTCAAGATATGTTTAGAGACAATATGACGAAGAAATGTTTAAATGTTACGCCCCTTTAGAAAAACAAGGCTATGTCTTTCCTGGCTCTGGTTGTTTTTTTGGGCATATTTGCAGATCAACCCTAGTGACAAGAAGGGAAGGCATGTCTAACTTATAGTAGGTGAAATGGTCTTTTGTTGCCTTATACCTGGCTGAAATGTGTTGAATGGTTGCCTGAACAAACGTTCAATATTGATAAACAACACTTTCGGTTCGGTTCAATGTTGTCCAATGTTTTGTAGAAAGACAGTCGAAAGTGGTTAAGACGTACGGTCAAGTCTGGTCTTTTAAGTGTTGTTCAGTGAAATGTTGGTACGATGCAAGTTTAGTTGTCTTTCTAACCCAGCTTTGCGCAAGGATAAGCGATGATTTGAAGCATCGATCATTTGACGTGGTAGCATCATACTCACCATATGATATTTTAGTGAATTGTCCAATGAAACACTAATCGTGCACCTTGGCAGTGCAACGCCTGTAGGGCTACGATTCTCATTCAATGGAATTTTTAGAGAGTCAGAACAAGTCATTCTCTGGTGCTCTCTTTCTACCTCATACCCATTTTTGACCCAAGCACCTCCCAGTGCACCTCCCAAATAACAGTGTTCCTTTGTCGCGGAGATCAACAACATCCACTGATAGGAAAAGGCTCCTCAAGGCATTTGCGTGCCATTCGTTCCTGAAGACAATGCTTCACTCTTCATGGAACAGAGAGGGAGTGAAAATCTTGTCAGCCAACTGCCTTCCCGGAGATGTATTCTTAGATTAACAATTACGTGAATATTTCATAGGGTTTTTTATATTCCTTCTTTGTTTTTCTGCAAAGTGTTCGGAAAGTACTTCTCTGTCGAACAAATAATCGAAACCTTCTGTAGAAACCAACAAGTTCCAAGGTATCAATTTATGGCAAGCAATAAAAGAACGTTTTTTCTGAACAATCATTCTAGCAAAGTCTGGGCCCTGTTCAGAATTGTCAGAGCTGTCATTTGCTGCTTTCTAAGTTTTTTCTAAGTTTTAAAGATTTTGCATCCTCATTTGATTCCCTTTCATAAACGAGAGCCATCATTCTCAAGCCGTCGTATTTCCTACTTAGCTATTATATTTTCCATTGTCTGAGCTCCCGTGATTCCTACAAGAAGAATTTGGCCTACAAAATTTTACCTAAAAAACAGGTCTCATTTAAAACCTCGTCAGTTCTGTCTTCATACTTTGCTCTCATTAAAGCTTAAAGCAACAGCAACCCTTCTTGTTTGCAGATATAAAAGTCATCACAAGTAATTATATCTTCCACCGTAAGAAATTTTATAGAATAAGTTAAACTTAAAATGTAGATCTTTTGTAACAATTGCATAACAATTCATGACAGACCTTTTTGACGCTGGGAAGTTAGGTTTGTCCTAATGTGTCAATGGTTGTTTGTACAAAAAAGAAATATTTGTTGTAGCTATCAAGATGGGTTTTCTTCTCTTTTAGAAGCTATTTAGGTAGAGAAGAATCCTTACTTTTGTTCATTACGCAATTAGCTTTGCCTTACTGGCTTAATCCTTTCCATGGTAACACGTAACACAGAGCGTTGCGACTCGTTTCTCTTTTATTCTTCTCATTATGTTTTTAATATCATGGTATTTTTATTTTTCAATGCCCTGTTGGTGTTGAACTTGTTTTGTTATTACTGCGCTGTAGAAGCCTTCTAATGGTAGCCCCATGATTTTGCGTTGGATGCAGGAAATCTTCTAGACAGAAATGTAGTGGCATATGCCACGTAACCCCATTCAGGCGTCCCATTAAGTCTAGCAGTATGTTGTTAGCCTGTGCTCCAGGCCCCTAACTAGTAGGCAGCGACCTTTTGTTCTCAAAGGCCGTGGCAGAAGGGCACGGCTTTGCTTTGTTCATGTCAGAAATAGTATGGAGTAACTATGAAAGAGCATTTGCCTTTGAGACTGAGAACTTTCATAAAATCCCTTAGCTGCAAGTCAGTGAAATTGTTGCTGGCTATTCCCACTCCTAACTTTTTAATGAAAGATATTATTTTCAGGAGCAAATATTTTTCTTCATTGTCGAAAGTGATGTTTTGACGTAGTACGCGATCACTTGCTGCGTGGATTATAGATATCATAGAAAGGATCAAGTCACTAAAATACAAATAATTAAAGGACATTAATTCGTAAATGTCTTAACAGTAATGACGATAATTCAATCAAACAAGATTAAACTACTAAACAGAAGTTAGATGAATCAGCATGTTTGCCTCTTAAGCCATATTGTCTCCGGAAATAGATGAATTCAGGCTAATTGTAATGTTATTATAGGGAGTTAAAGTTGAATTTTTGATAAGTGTGGTGTTATTTCGTAATTAAGGCTACTTTCGCCTATCGTCACAATAGCCTCTGCGGGGTTTTGCAAGGAACAGTACGCCAACGTTCTTATTCATTATCTTGTTTGTATTTTTTATTATCAAGCATTGACAATATGATCGAGGATATAATTGAATTTCAACTTAAGGCTCATTACTTGCAATGAGTTGCATAAAAAGCGTATATGAAAAAGGGATTCTAACTTCAGGAAAAGGTTTCACTTCAAGAAAAGCTTTAACTTCGCAAAGGTAACAGAGCAAAAATGTTGTTATGCTTTCCGTGAAAAACGAATCGATCCGTCCCGATCTGAATGATATAAAAAGATTTTTACTGCAAAAATATTCACACTTTGTTAAGAACTGAGAGGTTATTAAGGAAAACTGGAACCGTTCTAAGTTGCTTGCACGGATCGAAGATTTTATTAAGTGCGTACGGATATAAAACGATAGGCAAAACATGCAAATACTATGCAGAAAGATAAGCAATTTAACGAGTCGATGGAAATGATTGCAATGTGTATTTGAGTAGTAAATTAATACTGCCAGTCTCTTCATTAAGTTTGAAAGTGATTTGCTAGTTTAGCTCATCACTTAAGTGTTTAGTTATATTTTAGATAATTTTCTTGATAATTCTTCATTTCATCATATTTTATTATTCACAGATAAATGCACTTATCAGTCACAGCGAAGTTACGGAATCAGCTGATTTAGCATCTTGTTCTCTTTTTCGGCAGTTCCTCAGCAGTTCATTTATTGCCTTCCATACTTAGAAGATTATATTTTGATCAATGCTTTCAAACATATATAACTGTAAAGAAGACCATTGAAACGAAAGCATCTTAAGTACCACACCCAAACCACGCTCTTTTAATGTTTTGCTCAGGAGGGTTTAACATCTAATGGTACTGTCCGATGGAAGGATAAGCTTTTTTCTTGACCTGATCAAAGGAATACGTGGATTTGAAACATTTCTCAAATCGAATTTGCCTTTTTAGGGACACAAAAGAAAAAACATATTTTAGCAAGCTTCAAGGATCCAATGATCAGCCACACAGAAGTGCAGACCTTGAGCCAGCCTGTGAAATAAGTTATGAAATAAAGGTATTTTCTAACCACCTTAAGAATTATGACATTGGGACTGAAGGGGCTAAGAGGATTCAAATAAGCGGGGGGTCATGACCATGTCAAAACTGAGGTGTTTGGGGCAAAAATAAGGGATTAAGCTGTATCCACGATGTTTAAAACCGGATGACATTACTACAGCTTTTTTGCTATTTGATTGGCTTACACCAAGCTACTTGTGCGTCGATTAGTTCAGACCAAGCAAAGCCGAATCGAATCAAACCGGTATTATATTTCTTGTAGAAACAAACTGCCTTTTAATGAAACCTACATAAAGGCAAGCGACACACACTGAAATGACCTAAGCCACCTATCAATCAATGTATGGCCAATCATAAGCGTCCGAGTGGTATCACGCTTACTGATTGGCTAACAGTTCATTGACAGATGCCTCAATCAGGCTGAGAAAGCCTTTCTGTAGACTAATAAAAGTTTTTTGCTGTTTTTTGGCATCATTTCTATAGCCACGATGAAATGCTTTGTGGCACTGCTCCAACCTTTGTGAATACATCCTTCGTGGAATTTAATATTACTTTTACTTATAATAATCCACCCACAATTGATTTGACATTCGCAAAGATGATTTCACTTGAGCATTATCCCATCTTTTATAATTAATCAAACCTTTTATTCCAAATAGAGTAAATGTAAGCTCAAAATCTCTTTTCTGTCATTGTAGAGCTCAAATGTTGACATACTTATTGAACGATAATTCTACAGTGTTTTTCAACTACTCAAACTAGATTTTTACAATAGATGTTTTTAATCCTTTTATTGTCAGCAGATTAAGACCTATATTTTTTGGTAACTCAAAAGGGTTATACAGTATAAAAGCATTTTACGTGATTTATCGCTTTCAAGATGAAACGAATTGCAAATTTTGATAGGATTTGGAAACAGCTTCCAAAGCAGTTAATGTTAAACCCATAGTTTAAGGAGTAAGTATGATTTGAGATGACTTATCCCTCGACGCAGTGTGCTCATTATATCAATCTTGAAACATATTTGATTCCTGCATGATTTCAGCATGATTAAAATCCAGTTTTTGTAGCTATTTATAGCTTTGATCATCGGCTATCTGTTTTGTTATTATATTTTCAAGCATTTGTCAATTAATTCAAAGTTATTTGGGAAATAGGCTAGTCTCGTATGCCCAGGATACACTAACTAAGGGTTTCTAACAGGCCTCTAAATGAAAAGATAGAAAATTCAATTCAACCAATGTGTGTAATTTTCCCGCTAATCAAATTAGCTTTCGCAACCGTATTCACCAAGTAAACAAGTTGCAGGTCTATGTCACGTGCTTACTCCCTCCCTCGCGACGGATCGTGCATGAAATATCCATAAAAACAAAAGGATTTCCAGGGATTTTCAAATGAAACAATAGGATATTTTATTCCACCAAAGATGTACGAGATTCTTGTGGATTTATTCGTCCCTCAGTCAAAACGGCATTTCAGGAAGACGCGAGGCTCAGTCCTCACTGCAAGAAGCAGACATTTTGTTTGGTTTTTTCTCTTTAGATTCAACCTTCTAAGCATCAATATCCAATTGACGGCGATCAAGTGATTGAAATACATGTTTATTTCTCATCTCAATGTGGTTATTGTTTGGTTGCAAACGGAATTTTTAGATCTATCGTTAGCTCAATACACTATTGTTATCAACTGTCTGAAACGATTGACCCCTCCCAAAGCGCAAAGCTTATTTCATTAATGGTGCATTATAAGTACGTTAATGCTCTGCTCGGCAAGCTTTGTCAAAAAATCAATTTATTCATGATAAGATTGTATAAATAACTGTGTTCCTTTTAATGATGGATTTTATGAATCATTTGATTGTAGTTTTTTGTACTTGAAAGAAACCTGTTAGATACTCCATGTTTAATCAACAGCATTGTCCATTGAATCCCGTTAAACCAAGGTATACTTTTCCTGAGCTGCTTACTCATCAGGCTTTTAAGGCTCAGCCTTACAAATAAGTGCTTTGGAAAACATTGGGCGTGTCGCTGAAAGTTTCTATTTATATAGAACATGAGTCATGCAGTATATACTGGGCATCTAATCTATCTTGAGCTAGATCAATAACTGGATGAGGTTCCAATTTTAGAACTTTCCATCCACTGACACGGAGTGACTTACTTTCAAGATTATTTTTAGTTCATACTTAAAATCACTTTATTCTATACACGATAAACTTTGAGAAGCTATTGCTTCAAAAATTGTTTGTAGAGTAGAAGAATGGCAAACTGATTACGTCACAAAATGTTTTTCACATTTCTTTTAAGTTTGACTACAGCATGAAATACATCGAAATATGAAAAATCAATGAAAGATGTCGCAAATTGGCTTAGATATTGCCAAAAAAAGACCTGAGTTGTACGCATTGATTAATGTTGTTTTCACCTTGTTCATAAATTTTGATAGAAAGAATAAGTTAACGCAAAAAGAATGTTTTTCATTTTACCTCATCATTTTACCGCTTTATTACAATACAAAGTTCATATCAGATAAGAATGGAGGCAGAAAGATGACTGCAAACAATTTTTCGACGATACAAAATTCGAAAGTGGCTTTGAAAAAAGCAAACATTTTACAACATTCTAAAAGCTTTTTCGTCTGTCACTCCTTAGAGGATAAAACGTCACTCTGAGAAGGGTCAGACGAAAAAGCTTCTAACATGTTGTAAAATGTTTGCTTTTTCAAAGCCATTTTCAAAGATGACTGTTTTGAAAAAGGCAGGATATGTCTAAAACGATATGGTTTTTAGATTTTTAGAGCTTTGTAGTTGAATTAGTATGAAAATTTCTTATACCGGATAGCATGGTGAAACAGTTGCCTTCTTTTGAAATTGGACCTATTTGCTTATAGAATTTTGTGAATTATTCAGTGAAAATTGAATAGAATTGGTTAGAGATGCCTGTTAATAGTTATTTACAACTTTTTAGAGGAAGATCCGTCATGCTTGTGAGCAAATAATTGTCCTCAAGAAGAAACAATTACTGCAAGAGGTTAATGAGAGAACCAGGTAAGAATATTTTTCTGGCTTGAGTTTTCGCAAACAACCGCAACCGAACTGCCACGCCCAAAACCACCTTTGGTTAATTATTTTCATCGTGGAAGATTTCGCAGCCTGTGATCCAGATCCCTAACTTGAATGAAGAGGTCTGTCCAATGAGGTTTCTCTACCTCTGCTTTCAATCAAAGGATCTGGAAAACAGGTTAGATATTTGGAGCTCAAAAGGGTTATCCGAAATTTTTGGTGAGACAAGCGCGCTAAAATATTCGGAGCTCAAAAGGGTTATCCGAAATTTTTGGTGAGACAAGCGCGCGAAAATCTTTAAATGTGAGGCAACCCTCCTTCCTGGGGTCAAAGAGCATACGTAATAATGACTTCGATCCATGCGAATGCTCTTTGACTCCAAGAAGGTTGCCCCCTGATTGAAAAGCTTTTTCTTGTTCGTCTTGACATAAAGGAAAAGAATAGACACTTCTCTGGACTCCGTATCTAAGAAAAGGTTTTGACAGGATTTCTAACATTCGAGTTAACTGTGGTTCTAAAAAAACACAGCTCATCAGGCAGAAAATAGAAATTTTTGAATTTACCCTTTATTATGATTTATTAATGGGATTTTTGTCCTTTTTTAAAGTCATTTGCACAGCACATTAAAGAATCGAATGCTAAAGTAGAAAAACAAAAAGCTTTCTCAAGTTCCAGTAAATATCTGGTTTTCTCTAGAAGGGCTTCTCTTTTGAATCAGACGACTATAATATTACCTCAGCAAATCTACTTTTAAAATTGCTCAATTTGAAACATTTAGTGTTAGAAAAAACTTTCAAATAACTTCAACTTTCTTAGCCAAATAACTATGGCTAAGAAATGTCGGGCTGTTAATGTGGTTTGGCTGAGATTTGATAATTAAAGTTAGCTACAGCACAAATTAATTAGTTTGCACGATGTAATCCTGCTTTCGTTGACATCATTAAATTGAATCGTTTTGAAAAATATCCACTTCTGGAACGTATAGAGCAATAACTTATCAAATTCGAGATAGAACTGCCTTGTCACATTCAGATCTACTTTGTAGTGTTTGTTGTAAAGAAGAAACATCGGGTTAATCCTTTCACTTGTGCCCAGGCTTGATAGTCGGGGCACGAGTGAAAGGATGAACTGTATCTTTCTCCTTCACAACAGTGTTTATTCCGATTACTGGAATATCTTCCAAAAATTCTAAAAATAGAGTTGTATGACATCGTTACCTAATTTATTTATGATATGGATATTGCTGTAAAAAAGGTTTGTATGTTCATTATTTTTTATTTTCTACCTACAAGAGGCCGACCACCTCGAAACAAGATGCTTTGTGTTATTCTATTTTCTTCGTTGGCGGTCTTCAAGATACCGCTGCCTGCAGAGGTAACTGAGAGTTGACGTCAGAGTGTTTTGAAGCTTTGCAAATGAATGAATCAGTAAAAGTTTTTAAATAATGTCTAAGCGCACAGGTATCAGTAGGATTCCAGGGGTGGCGCGAAGAAATTCAAAGGGGAGGGGCTCGAGTTGATAGCTTCATTAGACTGAATAACTTTTATATGTCTTTGATTTTATGGGGCAATCGTTATGTTAGCTGTGCATTGGAAGGGTCGGCGAGAAGTTTAGGGAGGCCTTAGGAATTCCTGAAAGCAAGTAGAGGCTTTTCTGCGAGCAAGCGAGCAGAAAATGTTTACCTTGAAATTACCTTAAAATAAGAGATCAGAATATTTCTTGCAGTCATTCTCTTGCAATCGTTTAAAACATTTTGCTACTTTTTAAGCACGCTTTTAGTACGTTTGATTAATTCCAGTCTTAAAGTGGAATTTATTACTTTATATGGCCCCATAGACCTCTATTTCATGGAAATTGAGCAAAAACAGGACTTATCGCACTAGTTGTTTCTTCTATTTCTGTTTTTTCATTCTTTTTACCTTCCTTAGAAAACACTATTTGCAAAAAAGTGGGGGGGCTGAAGCCCCCTAACCCCCATTGTGGCGCCGGCCATGTGATTCTCTAGGTGCAGCAGTGGCGGAGTCCGGCGGAGTCACTTGAGCCTCTTGTGATGTTTCAAACGTTTCAAACATGTTTCAAACAGGGTGTGGCCCACAACACACCTTTTGTCCACCCCCCCCCCCCACTTATCCCAGGCTGGAGCCGCCTGTAAGGTGCAGCCATACCGTCTAGATTGAATCAAGGTTTGTTGAGATTAATAAGAATTTCTTCGCAAAAAGGAAGTAATCAATTCAAAGAAGTATGATGTAATCAACCTATACCTATTTCTATGCCTATACCTAAAGACCAAAACATGAAAAACGCTAAGAAAACATTAGTTTGTTCAAAGTCTATAATAAGTAAAAGCACCAATTATTTTCGATTATTGTTGTCAACAGCAAACAAACAACGTACCCTGTTGACTGTGGTTGATTAGTTAAGAAAATAAATCTAATAGGAAAAACAGTTAGATTAGTCTGGAAAATAGAGCCAGCATCCTAGGCAAAGGTCCTTGAAAAGGGATATGTTGTTAAAAAATTGTCATATTAAAAAATTGTCATAGAAGCAAGAGCGCTAATAACAATAACTGTAGAAAGGGTGTGACTTAAAACGAGAATGGACCCAATCTCCGAGATCAATTCTAGCAAAGAAAGATAACTATCCATTAGCTGTAATCTGGAAAATCATTATCTCGTTGTAAACAGACTTTTGGGGTGTATTACCCAAAACACCCCAATAATCTGTACCCCTGCCCAGAAGAGTCTGTACAAAAAGCCTGTCATTTGTTAGATTTTAAGTAGGCAAGCTTGTGGTTTGATTTTAGATTTTAAGTAAAGTTAAAAAAAATAAATGATATTAATATTAATAAGTATTATGTATTTGACATTTCCAACATAGTCTTGGGTTGCGTTTCTTGTTTATTCTGAATTTTTAGCAATTCTTTTTAGTTGTAGTATGTTTGTAGACGGTTGAAGATCAATAAATGACAAATAAAAGAAAGAGGTCGAGGATTTTTAACAACTGTTTACAGGCATACTTGAGCTGGGGGGTGGGTGGGCTGAGGGGGCCGTGGCCTCCATTTTACGCTGAAGTATGATACCGAGACTGTGGTTTCAAGATAATGGTGGCAAACTGCCATAAGAGTCTCCCTTGTCTAGAGGCTCCCAGTATAAATATGTGCGCCGGTGTCCCTTGTATAACTCTCCCCAGAAAGAAAAAAATACCAGCAAGCTCCTGTTTTTTCGACATTTCCAGACATATTGTTAATGTAGACAATTTAAAAGGATGCAGCTAGAATTGCATTTAAGTGCTTTAATTTGATTAAGTTATCTCCATCGCGATAATATTAAGACTACGAGATTAGCCTAATAAGATATCTGTTCTAGCGCTCTTTGATGGATTTGCTTTTTGATCCTATAACAAATCCAAATAAACCCTAATAAGACGAAAAACATTCACAGTTCGCAACAGAACTAAGCATCTTGAAGTACCTAACTGCGCATGTACATATTGGTCTAGGCCGAAAAGTTTGGAGGGGAGTAAGCCAATTGCGCTTCTATATCATTGGAGTAAGCAGCATCTTTCGACAAGCTAGCAACCTTGGATACGAGGTTGACTTTTGATAGTGATGCAAGTTATACTTGTATTTCGATAATTAATCTAAGTTTGCGGTGGAGAAATTTGTGAATGCACATCAAGCTTGTTATCAAGGAAGTCTGCTAGTACTAGAACGGGAGCTGGGACTGGTTTCAAAGGCGGCACCACGAAATTGAACCTGGGAGGGCTAATAATCAAATTTAGTGACATAGGAGGACCCACCATGTTTGGGTCCGACGCGAAAGAAAAAATTTTGAAATCAAGCCTTCTAGAATGGCTAAAAATGCATCTCCAGTTGAATTGACTGAGAGAATTTTACTTCCTGAACACACATGTGCATCTTCTTTTTCTCAAGTATTTTCAGTAGGCCATGATTACACATAAAAAACGACATTGCAACGAGAGTTATCTACTGAATTGATGCAAAGAAAAGACAAATGATAAATATACCTCAATAGCTTAGTAAATAGATCAAATAAAATCAAGCAGTATATAAACACTTTGTTCTCTTTTGATGTCATACTCTGTTTTAAAAATAATAGAAAGGACGGTAGAAAAATTTTGATCTCTGAAAAAGGGGGGCTTCAGCCACAGCCCCCCCCCGAACAGTGGCGCTCTGCCTGTCTTTTTTTATATTTTAGCTAGAAAATACCCAAGTCGTTGGTGAGATGAATAAGAGGAGTATAATCATTAAATGAGCGAAACAAGACCCAGTCACAGACTCAAAGAGCACGCGTATGGAACTTAGTCATTATTACGCAGTGTCTTTGACTTCAAAAGGAGGCCTTGCCTCGCACATTAGAAGACTCGCTCGCTCATCTTCCCAACAACTACAGTTGGTTTTTCAGACCTGTGCATCGTCATGCTAGTTCTCTGGTCTCTTATCTCTTCGAGAAACCGAGGCTCAACTGTTGCCAAAGAAAGTATTGTGCGGTAGTGAGCTGTGATGATAACATTGTCCTTTTTATCTGCCTTCGGTCCTTACGTAGTTTGATGTTTTCATGGAGATGTTGCAGTTTAGTTGAAAGATTTCGAAGTCAGTTAAAAAAACAATAACTCTCGTTTTTTTAGAGAGCAGTCTCTGCCTAGTTATCAAAAATTTTTCTCCCTGATTTTGTTCCACGTTGAAATGATCATTTCAATTGAAGATTTAGCTTCCAACCTTAAAGATACTCGGGATGTTTTTTCTAACACACACCATTTTCTACCAGAACTAGAATCTTGAATATGATAAGACCAATGTGACTTCTTCATTTTCAAGGGCCATTAGGCAGTCGAAGGAGTGCCAAAACTGCAAACGATTCTCATATCGCGGGTCCTTGCAGTCAAAGGACTTAAACTTAAAATCATCTGTAACTGAAAATCAACAAATTCTCTCAAACCTCTTTGCATTTATATTGATAAAGGCTTTGAATAACTTATACAGTTCAAAATGAATGTTCATTCCATATAAATGAGAACGAACGACTAACTGTTGTAGTGTTCGATTAAGTTCGTGGGCCTAGCATCGTTGCAGACAGCTGTTTGTGCAGGTTTAGCTCTGAATAAACTCAATATCTACATGAATTAAGAAAACATTAGAAACACTTTACTTTGAAGACCAGATGTGCGTTAGAAGAGTTTCATAATCAAAGATTTAATTTTTGAGCTGATGTTTATATTTTGTTTCCTAGTGACGAGGATGAACGTCGCTTGAAGGATCAGTTATGGACTAAACTTGAGGTGAGGATGACTAAAGTTTGTTATTCTTATGTTTTATCTGCACAAGGCGTAGCAAAAGGGCCTGTTGCTAGAACTGCATTTTGCGTAACGACCCGAAAGAACGACTGAAAACACTAAAGGCAAGACATTTTGCAATTGAACAATAGGACTGACATTAACATTTCCAAAGCACTTTTCCTAAAAAATTTTCATTTGAATCTCTTCCCTTCTAAGAGCGTGTGAACGATGGGACGCTTTCTAAGAATACTTTAGCCTCTTCCTGCTCCCCGAACTCTTTTATCCTCTCTTTTGTCAAAGCCATAATCAAATGCTTTACCTCACCCTCTTTTCTTCGCCTGTCCCTCCTTTCCCTCGCTAAGCTTTGCTATAGGTCACCCGGGCCCTTTCCCATATTCTCCAATTGAGCAATATATATTCGGGTGAAGATGTATTTTGTTTGAAATATTTTGCCATTGGGCCTATTTGTAACCGAGAACTGGTAGAGATGTCAACAAAGAAGTATATCTTTTACCAAAATGATATATCTTTTTTATGCGAAATAAGTCTTGTTGTTATTGTAAGCTTATCCCGAAAACGTCAGAAATGCTGAAGCACCAGGAAGTGCGAATCAGAAGAATTTTTTTGACCAATGTTTAATTTGTTATATTAAAAGTTATTGACTGTCGAGAAAAGCAACATAGGGCATCACGTTTTAGTCTTATAGACACCACAACCCGTTTATTAAAAAAAGCTTTGTACTATAAAGAACAAGGCATATCTATTCCTAATGATTATACGGAGCCAAACTTTCTCACCAACTTTACCCATGTATTTTATTCTCAAACCACAGCTTATTGATAGTCTATAAATAGGTCTGTTAAATTTAACCGATCAAAGGAGATCGCAGCTTTTGCACCTCTCCAATAAGTTGAAACTTGAGGACCGTCCTGTTCTATACACCAAGGGGTGTATAGCTCTGCCTAAACGGAATAGATAACTATATGGTCCATGAATACTAAATGATGAATGCAACAGTTATTTTCATTACAATGTTATCCTACATTTCATATAATCTCCTACATTTTCGGCCCTTCGACGCTAAAATTAAAAACAAATGAGACGAGGGTATTAATGCATCGATTAATATATTAAGAAGACTGTTTTCTCGTAAAAACCATTAGACAAGTTTCTCTTAAAGCAGCCAAAGGCGTCTTAGAAAGCCTCAGCCTAAAGGTAAATAAGGCACATTTTATTTTTAATTTCAGCAAACCAGATGGGATAGGACCAAGAGACATGTTTCTATAAACCACGCGCTGATACTCACGTCTTCGAACAGTAGAAAGTTTAACCACATCCCACCGTTTGGCGTCCACTGTTATTAATTAGACTTATCTATATTGCTTAATTTGATAATTGAAGGAACCAAACCATTGAAACTGTAACTTGATTTGGCCTTTAAAAAGTTACTGTCATTAGGTTATTCAATAAACTTAATGTTTTCAGTGAATGGTCATCGTTCGTAATTGGCCATTTGGGACCATCGAGAGTCTCAGTAGGCAGGGAAATTCTTTCTTCTAGTTTGAGAATGGGCTGGTCTCAAATTCAATCCATTGGTGGCGATTTCTGTTTCACCCTGATATTTTTTCAAACCATTTTTAAATAATCGATGGTTGTGATGCCACCTCTATTTTTGGAGGTTTATAAGATAAAAAATCAAGGAAAGTATTGAACGTTGATGTTTTGTGGCAGAGACATATTTTAACCATGGACCCATTTCTAAACACACGCTCTTTTTTCAAGTCTTTTTTTATCTGTCGTCTTCCTATGCGAAACGAAGATAAACAATGCTTTGAAAATCAAATAGTAAAAATTTGATGTTCAAAAAGTTTCGTTTACATTTGAAGTTAAATCCTCATCAGACAAAAATCGTCATCAAAGCATTACGAATGATTTCATTTTATTCTTTACTATTTAATTATTTCATGTAATTTGTTACTTGTATTGGAACCTGGCTCTTACATCTGAGAATATTCTATGTATTTGAATCCGTATGTTTCTAAAGGTCGCTCTTTTTATACTTTAAATATTTGATTTCGAGTTTGTGTTTGTATTCCTGTGAACGCCGTTTACTTCATTGATTGTCTTGAATCTTCCATCAGCACGAACCCTATTCAATCTGCCTCGTTTTACATATAACGTGCATTTTTAGTTTGAAACTAAGCACGGAGTCAGTACTCACTTTTTTTTCTTGATGCTAGTTCTAAAAGTCTTGAAAGAGAACACTTATTCAGTCGCAACGAGTTCTTCTTTTTATAATCTGTATTTGTAATTAAACTATTGAACTGAAAATGCTGCCTAAATTCAAAAAACTATTTCTAATCCAAATTTTAAAGAATTATTTTCGAGCAATTTCTTTGGGTGGGGGCAATGCGGTGCTATGGTTCCCTATTCTTTGTCATATGAGGGTTCGGTTTCTTATTAAAAAGGATGTCTTATTTATATTTTGTATCTTTTTCATCGTAAGGAACTACTTGAAGACTTCAAGCCCAAAGAAATACTGGAATCATTAAAACAGAACACAGTGCAGTCAGCGAGAATACTCCAATCAAGAACCACACAGGTTGATCTTATGAGAGATGCAGAAGAATTGAGGTGGGATCCTTTAAAACCTTTTTATATTATCAAATGGAAAATGCTACTTCTGTATTAAACCTCTACATTCATTCGCGCAAATCCGACAACTTTGGCCCCTTTCTTTAGACTTACTCCACGAGCCTCTGTTTCGCTACTGCCTCACTTGACGGACGCTAAAACAGAGTCTCTGTGGATTATGAGTCTCTGTTGTAGCGTCAGTGAAGTGAGGCAGTAGCGAAACAGAGGCTCATGGAGTAAGTCTACCCTTTCTTGGTATTGCACTAAATTGAAAACAATCCAGGTAATCTAGAGTACCACATTGCAATTCAATTCTTTATATCCAACAGTTTAAAAGTAACAGCACATTTTGTTTCCCATTCTTTTATTTGACAACCTTTTTCCTTCATGTTTCCCAGCCTGTGTTCGGCTCCCTAATTGAAACAAATTTCACCAGCCCAAAAGGATATTCCTATAATGCCCAGGCAATTCCTCACCCTCTCGGTCTGGTTGGAATTTTCAGGTATGGATGTCAGGGATTAAGTTTACATTTTATCGGGCTGGCATGGTAAACCTTTTTTTTGGGGGGGGGGGGCTCGCCTTGCTAAAGGCAAGATTATGATGATTTATCCTATGGCTTTTATTCCATTTAAGAATAAATTACTTGCAGCTATGCTCTCCCACATCTGTTGTCCTCAACGATAAGTATAAAACAGAGTTGCACCTCTTTGGTGTGCAATATCACTTCGCATAGTACACAATATTGTCGCTGCAACTCAATTCTCAGACCGATTGGACTACAGTCAGTATTGAAGCATTACCGCACTTGAATAGATGCGGACCGGTCTTGAATGAATGGGGATCGGTCTTGAATCAATGCCAGCCGGAATCTTTTCCTTTTTCTTCCTTTATTTTATGTGTTTCCTTCGCAATCAAAGGAACAATTATGCTCTTCGTGCATTTCATGCAGTCTTTATGTACACGTTGGGCGCCATTAAGATACAATCAAATTTCCCGCCTTTATCCACAAGACTTTTATCCACTAGTTTGATAACGTGCTAGATAACAATCTACATACGAAAGTGAATTAAAAACGTTCATGGAAAAAGCTCAATTGAAAAGAAGTAGATTGTAATGAACCTTAAACCACATTGCCTCTGCTTAGTGAGTCATGCATGGTTTTGCCAGCTTTGGATTAGAAGCTTTGATATAAGATACTTGGTAATGTCAGGTCGCCAAGGATTGCTACGCTTTTCATTTTTGACCAGACAACAGTGACAGAATACCGTGAAAGCTTAAGAACTGTGATTTTGCTCGGCGTCCTACCACTCTTCAAATTCTTGAGCCACCTTTCACTGTTTCTTTTCCCTGCGTTTCGCCACAGCTCATTATTCAACATGAAAAAGCATGTTTCATTTTCCTCCTTTTACTAGACAACGATTTAAAATAATCGCTTGAAATTTAATTATTGCGAGTAAGGGACTCGTGACCTTTCCTCCGCCAATGAGCTCACCAGAATCAGCAATTAATCGTCCGGAATCGCACATCGTTAAGGCTTAATAATTTATGAAATATTTAATGATATGTCTTCTGAGCTCATCCAAACCGATGTATCAAGTTTATTCTGACTTATCTATATCAGTGGCATATTTGACGACAAGTGGTACAGGGAGGGGGGAGGTGGTTGTTGTGACACCCTCAGTTTGCCTCACTAGACATGTTAGTTAGTTAATGAAATCATCTAATGGTTGGCAAAATAGAAACAGAATTGTTTTCATATATATCCTGGTCAATAAATTGTTCTTTGCATAAAAAACTTCTTCCACCTAACACCACCCCCTGGTTTGGAAGGTCCAGATACGCCACTAATTGTAGTATCGTTGCTAGTCCTATCTTCTTATAGCTAGGTGTTCTCGGAAGAAAAATTTAGTTTGTTCTAATATTATCAGATATAAGCGACCAAAATTCTAAACAATCTGGATGGTATTATACTATTTACTCTGTGTCCGCAATTTACTTGAAGACTGGAACAAGAAAGTCATTCACGTGATGACACTCCATGAAAACGTCCTACCCCTTTGAAAAAATCTATTTTTCGAGAAAGATTTCTTCAAAGATTCCTAAGAAATCCTATTCCTATCCTATTCTAGAGTTCTAAAAAATCTCCTACCCTGATACGCCCCTCTTTCCAATGGAATGTTTGAAAAATGGAGGGGGTGTCACTCCCCCTCCCATCCCCCTTTTATCGACACGCCCTTGGATACATTTGTGATCACGATTTAAAAACTTAATAAAACATTTGGAAGCAAACATTAGAATTGACTATCATGGACGCCTTGTAGCCTTCACAAGGTATACCAATTTGAAGGGTTTTTACGTTCTGAATATACCCATTTTTCAATGAAGCTGTAAAAAGGAGTCCTGAGATCGTCAGAAGTTGATTTAAATCTTGTTGTTGATACGTACAGTCAGAAAATCATATCTTATCATTTTCTTAGTGTTTTTCCTCATCGAAGAACTTCTTCGTAGAATATGACCTCACGAAAAAAGAAATTGGTTAAAAAATTGAATTTTGATAGCCTCTAAATGAATATTTTATTCGGCTCTGGTCTTGTGTAAATTCATATCTGGCACGCGACTGCCCTTTAGCCGACTTTGCCCCGTATAATTAACCCTGTGTCGCCAGCTCTGCTCCGCAGACCGAATCGATCCACCGCATTAGACTGTCAATTACCTCGTTGGCTGACACTTTTGCCCACAGCTTGTTTGGTTTCATAGTCTGGCCTCGTTGATTAACGTACAGAGCGCGCCATTATTGCCCCTTTCAATCTTGTTGCGATGTTTATCATTATGTCTGCGCCGAAATCGTCTGGACATCAACTTTAAGTTGATATGGCATTCTTTGTCGGTTTGCAACAGACGATTTGGAAGTGAATCAGTTGCCACAAGTGTCCGAACTTAATTAAAAGACATTCAACTAGAAATCAGTTAAATGCGGTATCTTAATTATTTTTTTAATGACCCAGACGGACTTCAACTCTAGATATAATTTTCTAGTTGATTTTGTTTTGTCTTTCCTGCCATTTTCCCGCGCAAAAAAGAACAATTTTCGTTGTCTTTATTTAGATTGTATTGTATTACCGTTTTTCTTTCCCTGCTGATAACTAAAATTAACTAACCGCCTATTTAACTGTTAGCCTGTTTCCCTTTCCAGTTAGTCAGTCTCAAAGCAATCGATGACCAAAAAAATATGTCCACCCAGGGGCGGGAAAAATTTGGGCTGTTTGCCAACGACACCCCCCTCCCCCTTCAATCCGTTTTATCTTGAAAAATTCACTTCGAGTATAGGATGTTTTTATTTCGTTAAATGCGACTTTGGAAAATTCTCTTCGCTTGCCCCACCTCTCAAGGAGGGCGATTTTCCACCACTTGCCCTCCCTAGTGTCCTAAGGACATCAACTTAGAAAGTCTATATAAGGCACTGCGGAGCAGGGGGCTAGGGGGCTTTAGCATCCCCCCGTTTTGCAAAAATGCAGTACATTCAGAAGTGAACCACCAGTAAACCCTTTTTTCATTCGGTTTTAGGCCCTCGACTTTTCTCAACGCTCTGCGGTGTATGTTTTGCCGATATAACGTGGACTCTCTATAGGTCTATTCTACGACGTCATGCTTTATTCTAAATTTTTTTCTGTAGGTTTAAATTTGAGTCTGGGAAATTAAAAGATGTGTCGCGTCAGCCCATTCTACTGCAGAGTGTCGACCAGCTGATCGAGGTATGTCCTGTCCTTTAAAAACAGAAGTAGATTAGCCTGACTCTGCACGCAGGCTAAAGTAGATAGGTTAGTCTGTTTTTTACCATCTGTCGTTAAGAATTATTGTTCGGCTATAACTTTAATAAGTAAAACAATTGAAGTTTATTAGCTTAGCTAATAAGTAATTCATTTAGGCTTCAAATTCCATTTATAATTTATTGAAAGCTCTCAAAATCAATGCAATATGTTGTCTGGTTGTCGGGATAATGTTTATTCTTTAAGTTTTGGGTCAACATAATTTGTTTTGGGTCAAAAGACTAGGTACCCTGGGTGCCAGAGTCACAAAAATTAACCGCAGCAAAAATTTGCTCCATTTATTTTTGCGCGGCTGTTGATTCAAGGATAAAAAGTAGGTTTTGCCAAAAAAATTTATACAGCGATATGAATTATGTCCTTCGCTCGTTTGGAATATCAAGCAATTTACAGAGGCACCGCCAGCTGCCAAGAAAATTGAATGAAAGGGGTTCTGGGGGATATTTTTCAGGACCACTCCCTTTTCGATTAAAACCCAGCCCTTTGTAAAACCAAAACTTTTGTGCAACCTTGCCTAAAGAAATGAATTTTAGTTGGTGGGAAATTACAATCCATAAATTTTAATTTTTGTTATATACAAAATGACTTGTCAAAGTTTTTTATACACTCTTTTTTTATAAGAACCAGTAAATTTGAGTTCAGGGTGATTGTTCTTAATTTTTTTGAAAATCTGAGGCTGGATTGTTCTTAATTTGTTCTTAAATTTATAGGGTATGTTTGAATATTAACCGAAAAAGCATCCACATATGGCTAAAAATCCTCATTTTTGAGATAAAACGTTGTTCAAAATCTCATTTTACAGTAGCTCAGTCTCAGCTTGTTCTTAATTTATTCTTAATTTTTGGCCAGTTTTGAGGCTCGCGTTCTTATAGAAGTGTTCTTATAAAAAAGAGTGTACATCAGTTCAGAAATCGGTCACGTCATCTGTCCCCGTCTAATATTTTCTCCTCGGATTTGACAAATAATTAATCGGTAATGAGGACACGTCCTCCCCAGTCCTCCGGTCCCCCAGTCCAGTCCTCCCGTGGTGCCGCCTTTCGAAAATATTTGCTTCCAGGCATTGATATCTCGTTATTTCTGGATTTTGATCGCCGATTTTGGACTGCAATCTTCCATTCTTGCTACCTTCTTATTTTGACGCGGCCACTTCAAGCTGGTTATGAATATCAGCCACCTTGTAGAATTTTTAGTTACGCGATGATGAACTTTGAAGCCACTGTTTACCTTTAATCTTTTAATCTCCACTTGTAAAAACATTTTGGTAACAGTATTCTCTGGAATAGTGCCCAAGATTTTCTCTATTGCGTAGCTTTAGAAGTAGATTTGCTCTAGGGCGTTTGACTTTAGAGTTAATAACAGGATCCTTTCAAAGTCATCTATCTCCAGGTTTTCGGGTAGAGACGAGCTCTCATCTAAAGCTAGGTCTAGATATCTTGTCTTTTGCACCCTTCGGATTTTATTTTTGCAGTCTTGAAAGTTCCCATTTCAGAAGCCATGCTTACTTGTTTGATATTGTCAGGGAAAACATTCTCACAGTTTGCAACCTTCAACCAGTCCTCACTGCTAGTCCTCATCTGCTAGCCAAATACAATCACCGTCAAAGCAGCAACCCTGCGGAAGGGAGAGAGTGAAAACGGGTTCTATGGTAGTGAAGATGAATAAATTTAAGTACCCTCTTCCCCCTATCCAGAATCCTCGACTATTTCGCAATTGAAAAGCTCACCATTTTTCATAATGTATTTCCGTATAAAATATCGCTGTTGAAGGTCCATCCAAATGTCCTTGTTTTCATTTGGTTTATTATCCAAGCAACTCATAATGTTTGGTAAAACTTCAAATAAAGCATACCAAAACTGACAATGATGACAAAAACGTCATTTTTAGCGCCTTATTTCAAGACCATGGAAAATCAAGTGAGATAAGCAGAAACGATAAGTCTAATTCGGACATTTGCAATGGGGATTGACAGCTAAGAAATTAACGTTTTGACATAAACACATGACAGTTTGATACGGGCGTTTTTCGTCTTCAGCTTATGACAAATTCTATCGACTTTTTACTTTTGATTAGCCTAGCAGCATATATATTCAACAATGAAATATTTGTGCAGAAAAATAAAAAAAATTATTTAGCAAGAAAATTGGTTCTGTTCTAAATCACCACCTGACAGAATATCATATTGACAATTGTTTCTATTACCGAATATCGCTAATCTCTTTTTCTTTTACGGTCCAAAGTAATGTTTTCACACCCTATGAATCTATCCTCTTGATTTTCTTTATCAATGCATACATTTTATTTCAATTAAACTTTTGCGGACATATTTTTCTGCTTACTTTGAAACAATAAAATCTTAAAGGAAATTTTAAGATTGCCATGTAGATTTAGCTTGTATGTTTCAAAGTAAAGGTGGTGCCTTCTTTTTGAAATTTTGGTCATTTACTGAGCTTGTTGTGTGTTCCTTTTGGTTTGAAACGAAAATAATATGGTAAACTGATAAGCAATAAAAAAAGAATCGAACAATTCAGTTACTGTCACAAGATAGAATTCAGTTACTGTCACCAGTTACTTCTTGGGCTTTGCTCAATGCTGTCAACCTGGTAGATTTGTAATACCAGTAACTTTCTGCTCAGATTTGTCACAAGGTGGGAAATATCCAGTTATTCCACTAGGAGCCAGCATGATATTGATATCCGAAAACAACATCTGGTATTTTCAAAGAGAAGTTTTTTTACACTTATGTCAAAACATCAGAGTAACATGAGCCCCACAATCTCCTTATTCAAAAGAAATTTCTTACAAAGGAATTACTAAAAAGGTTCCAAAGCACGATCCCTTGATAGAGCAGCAACATTTTATTTGAGTTTTGTTAGAGAAATAATTTATAATAATTTGTTGTCTATGCTGATAGGGTATTTGTGGATCAAAGATATGAATGAAAATGAATGAACAGAATGTTCGCTTTGGAGTGATGGATAAACTGTTCCTGTTTATCTTTTCAGTTAAAGTTATTCTGTATATTTCAAATTTATCATCTAAAGCACGTATTTTGATATTCCGTGCACAATCAATCGATTTAGACTCTTTGAAAACAACATTCTTTTTTATCCGATCGCCTTTCTTTTTCAGGCCTGATAGATGTTCCTACGTGACTCTGATTACTTTTCAATAAAACAGTTAATGTTTAAGATGACAGAAAGCGAAATATATTTTTAAAATGAGATTACACTTGTCAGATTTAGTTGAATTCTTTGCTCCATTCAGCAACGAAAGGTCAACTGCCACGAGCAGTGACTTATTCAGTAATTGAATGGCTAGCTTTCATGATGACGTCAAGATCTTAAAACCTCAATAAAGCATAAAACTTAAATGGAAAAGATTATTTCGAGGGATGTCCACGAGTCGATAGCCAAGAGGCATCGAGAGGGACAATTGTCGCATTTTTAATCGACTGAAATTGTGGTTACAATGCATAGGTCATTAATATATACTTATTGTTACATAAGAAACTCTCTGTAAAAACGAGCACTGAACATCCCGAGAAAAGTAACTTCAGGTTTCGAAGCAATAACGAAACAATTTAGTTTTGAAAAAACTGGCGGTTGGCATAAACTTTAAGCAATATTTTATCTCTCTTGCCAGTCTTCAAAAATGAAAATTTGCTTCACCAAGACCCACTTTTTCGTGGTACAACTTCCATTAAGTTTCAATTTCAATTGATATTGTGTAATCGAGGTAATAAAACATATTGATGTAAAATATTAAGCCGAGCAATATTTTATTAATTATAGAAAGCTGCGGAAACAGTGTCCGCTTTGATGAGTGATTGCAATTTAAGGTGTCTTAATTTCCTCAACCGGATATGTACTTTTCTTTATTAGTAGCCATTCTCAAAATATATTCAATAATCGAGATTCGATATTTTTCTGCTGATTAAGTGAGGTGTGTAATAGAAAGATTTTTTAGTTGTCAAAACATAACAACGAGATATTTATATCTGTTTGGGCTCAAAATTCGTCGGGGGAAATGACCTGTGTATGGGTGCACGTTAGAATGTATGTACAAATGTAGTTAAGAGGAACGGAGCAGAATCATCTCATAGGTTACTTTTTTAAGTGGTTGCCCAGGCGCGAGAGGCAAAGCACGGGAGAGATGCAAAGAATTAGAGCCAAGGACGCTGTTTTGATCTAGATTCCTTGAAACCGAATTTGTATGGAGATATATACTAAATTTTTGAAACTGAGAAACTGCTTCTAATCCAATGTATATGATAATATTTCAATCCAACATTTTTCCCTGGAACTGAGAAACTGCTTCTAATCCAATGTTTTTGATAATATTTCAAACCAGCATTTTCTCCTGAAACTGAAAAACTGCCTCTAATCCAATGTTTTTGATAATACTCAAATCCAACATTTTCCCTTGAAACTGAAAAACTGCCTCTAATCCAATGTTTTTGATAAACATTTCAATCCAACATTTTCCCCTATAGTCAAATATTTTTGCTGTTGATCCAATATTTTGGTTGATATTGAATAACAACATGAATTTGGGAAAATTACGAATTCAAACTCTTATTAATAACTTACCTGGTATGTGTGCATTTGAAAATTGAATGGTTTAAATTAAAAAAGATTTTACATTTGTTTATTTGCCAAAACAATGCGAAGAAAATGCAGGGATGCATCAATGTTATAAGCAAGGTTCTTTTGCATTAATAAGGAGGGGCTAATCCGAACCACTCCACCTCTTAGGTGCTGCTATAGGACTGGACGCCAGTATATAAACATTAGTATGTTAATTTATGTTTCCTTTGCCTCTCAAAGCTATCTTTTAGTTACACGTTGTCGTGGTGTCGTATTTTTTATTTTTAAGCATACTCTAGAATAAAACGATAGAGACTTTCATTGACTCTATCAATTGACAACACCTCTGGTCAATACCCTTGATGCCACCAAATATGGTCATGTTCTTAATGGACTTAAGACTGCCGGTGATCGCAATTGTCCATACGCCATTCTCATCCTTCCCATCCTCTCTCCGTCCCCCCCCCCGCTCCCCCCCCCTTCATGAAATTCCAACTCTACAACAGGTCAAGATGTTTTTGTTGGTCAGTTTCTCCCGTACCCAAAGCTGATGATAATTGCTGATCTCCTTTTTCTATTTTCGGATGTTTTCTCGTCTGTTAATTTTGATCAAACACTGCATTGTGGTTTTGTGTTCATGTGCATTTGCCAAATTCATTCATTTCAAAAAATTTACTTTTGACCGGCGGTTTTAGCTGTTTATCAGCAATTGTGAACTTTGTTCCCCTCTTAAAAGTTTTTTAATCTTTGATTCTTTGACCTTGATCTTTATAGATCTTATTTGGTCAGTCTTAATGGTCTTATTTAAGGAATATGTTATGCCGATGTTTTTGTTCGGGACAGTGTCACATTTTCCAAGGCTTCTAACCAGTGATTCAAATATTTTCTGCCTTTTTGCGAAAGTTCTTAGACCGTTTGTCTGTTAGACGTAGCCTGTGTCCCAGACCCCTAACTTGAATGAAAGTTAGGGGTCTGGAACACAGGCTAGGTAGACGTAGTTTGTTTCGTAATATCTCATTAACTGTTCTTTAATCTCTCCCTTACTTTCTCTTCCTTAAAGACATTTCCCTCTATATCTGCAGTTGAGGGCCCCAATCTACCTAAATAGCTCTAGGTTCCTGCTGTCTACAACTTTCGCATGAAAATATGTTTACCAGATTAAAATCTTAATTGCTTGGTTATTTCAAATATAGATTAATATCTTATCAATTTGCATTTCAATACCTAATCACTGTAAAATTCGAACCGCATTTTCTCATTGCAATGGATGAGCAACGGTTTTGACAAAAATAAGGAGTACCTCAACTACATCATAATCATTGGTCATAGTGCCTCGCATATGTTTCCCTGTAATATTTCAAGTTTTATTTTATACTGAAAAAAGCCCACGAGTCACGTATCTCATGAATAAAGTCTATTGGATTGAAAAATTTGTTAATTAGCCTCATTGAGGGCAAAACATATTTCTTGATTATTTGCATACTGTGTTGAGTTAAACTTTCACAACTCGGTAGCTTGCATTTGTTATGAATTTATTGAATTAATTGATCATCTGAAAAAATTAAGCTGAAGGAACAGTCCTTCCTGTTCTCATACTTCGTTTTGTGGTATTATTACGAGGTGAACATGACGTAACGTCAGGGTCTTATGACAGGGGCCCCGTACAAGCAAGGTTTTCACCTCACACTGGCCACCAAAGTTATGAGGTATGACAAAACAATTACAGTGTAAATGCTTAACGAGATCTCAAAATGGGGGAATGTGGACCGAATTTTTTTGGAGACCTCTCAAATATATTGTATCAAGCCGAGGGGATGGGCCTAAAGCTTTAAAAGAGCTTACTTGGAAAATGTTTATTAGCTACATCAACATTTTTAGAGATAAATGCAAGGAATCCATTCTAAGCTTTTTCTAATGGTAATAGGCAGTTTAGGCCCTATGTCAAACGATAATCACCGTGATAATATGCCCCTGTTCCTTTCATCCACCTTTTTATGATCACGAATTCCCAAGATTCTCTCGTGCTCGTTCATTGAAGATACTCTCGTGCTCTTTCCTCCCCATCAGCTGATTTGATTAATCATATCTGGTTTTACATTTCTTTCTCCTTCTTTAAATCTTTATAAAAACAATAACTATTGTGTTTTGATCCCTATTGGTTTTTCGCCTATCCAATTATTTTCTTATATTTCACGTTAGAGGACACCTGATACTCAAGAATTTTGCCTTCGTTTATTCATTAATTGACTTCATGATTCCTTTATACACATTCGTTCTATGCTAGATTATTGCACATGTCTCAGTGGTTTTTCTTGCCACGCCAATTTCCATTCGATGCTCGATAGTTCCAAGCACTCTGCAGTTTACAATGCAGAACTCTGGGGCAAACCGTGGGTCAATTCTGTGACTAAAGAATTGCGGGCTGATATGTGGGATAGTGATATCTCATATGAACACAATGAGAGCTGGGCCCTGCGCTTGCGCAAGTTAGTAAAACAAGACGTTCTTTGAGGTAAAACAAGACGCTCGATTTGAGGTTAGCCAATTCAAATGTGATGAAGGCTCTGTATATGATGAAAAGCATTCAGAATATTGGTTTGCTGATATGTAGCACCAGCTCGTGGTACCAAGGTGCATAGTAACTGTTTCGAAATGAAGAATTTACTTCATTATTATTCTTAGCATTATTAGAAAAGTTTTGAACCATCTCACCAAAAAGAGATTCTTTAATGTTAGTTGTTACAAAAGTGAACATACACTAACTAGGACTAACAGAAAGCAAGTTCAAGGATTGCATTAGACAGATTACTTACTGCAAAAAAAACATTCGCACTTGTTTTCAAGGAACCAATTTTTAATCAAATTCATGGATTGTGTAGTATTTTGGGCTGTCGTTGTGTTAGTCGTTCAAGCAACCTATTTTCTCGAGCTTGTAGCAGCTTTATATTCAGGTTTCACAAAACAGTTCTTTAGATTGAAAACAGTTCTTTAGATTGAAATTCCAATACTCGCTTATTAATCCCATCAATGGATTTTTTATTTTCAGCAAGGCCATTCCGCCCATTTTCAGAGATTCGTAGAATCCGAAAAAGCAAAGAATGATATTTGGAAAGAAAAGAAAAGGTTTGAAAGGGCTCAGCAAATCCTCAACAATGTCCTTCAAAAGCAGTATGGAACTAAGTCGAAAGAGATCAATTTGAAGAGGTTTTCTTTTTCTTTCTTGTGTGCATTTTGAACATTATGCCATAACAGGTTGAGTCTCAAGTTGTTTCTTTCGTGATAAACTTAGTTAGCATTTACCTGATATTGAAATCAGATGTTACTTTAGGAATTAACACATTAGTGAAACACTTTTTTGCAAGAGCTGAAAGAATTCTTGCTTTTCTCCATACTTTGGTAGGACTCGACTCAATGTAATTTAGACCTAGAGCTAGGAGTGATTGCATAGCTTTTTGCAACAAAACCCACAATTTACAAAAACGCTGCTTAATGAGCCAAGCAAGCATCATATTTGCTCGACTTAGTATCTATTTTCGTTTTCAATAGGAGGGTTCTTGACCTGGAAACAGAGTTGTATGGTATTGAGGCCGCAATTTCATACACAAAAGAGTTGATAAATTACGTCACAAGCCAAAGAGAGACGAAAAGGAAAGCCGAAGAATCATTACTTGCAAAATATAGAAAGATCCAAGAATTTGAGAAAACAGCCGTAAGAAATCTTTTTCTTACAATTGTTATTGAAATTTAGTTTTTGACAGAGAGTCATGAGGGGATCAAAACTAATTTGGTATATTTTTGTGATGTTTCCACTAATTAATTTCCTCCGGCATTTTTAATGTCGAACAAAAAGCTGAAAATACTTGGTCTTTATTTAAAGCATTGGATATTTTACTGTCTCATATCTCATTTCATCATCATTTGGACATAAAGGCCTTTCGTTTAGTTGGATGACTTTCTTTCAATTACCCTCAAAAACAGAACTTTTCTTGCTGTGCTGATTTAGGTTTTTGGTGTGTTCTGTTCTATTTAAATTGCTATTGCAAATCTTTAAATGTCATCGTATTGGCGCTTCTTTATTATCTGATATTGATCATTTTTATAATTAATTAGGCCTAGAGACTGGTGTTAAATTTCAATTTTAAGATAGTCTTTGCTTGTTCTAGTCAGGTGTGGGGGAGCAAATTTTTTTGTTATTTCTAGCTGGTATCGTTTCAAAGTCAATATCTTCAGAGACAACCCTACCATCAACAGCTTTTCACTCATACATGACAGAGTAATTGTACCATATTCAGTAATTTACTACATCGAATATTTTTTACAATTTCCTTAGCAAAGAAAACAGATGATGATACAGACGCTTGTGAAACAAAACGGAAGGGCAAGAAATCAACTTGAAGTGCAACAAAATGAGGTTTTTGTTTACGCTTTGTGTTTTTATTTGTTAGCTTTCGTTTGATTATTGGTATTGACTGAGCGTATACACTTATAAGTCTTCTCAATTACATCAAGTATCTACTCTGTAAGGTGTGGGAAATTATGGGTTGAATGTTCGCTTTGTTCCTAAAGAAATTAATTGTCCCATTCCTTAACTCACGAAATTTTTGAAATTTTAATGGAGGCCGATGCTATGAGATGCTATGAAAAAATTAAACTCTAAACTCTTTAGCGCAGTTTATATGTATAAGCCCCTATCTGAGTTTGAAAGCTAGAGGGGCATATGTAGGGAAATAGACTGGGTTTCAATTAAAGGGGTATTTTTCCAAAAGAAGAATGGTCTTAGTAAACGAGCAAGTTAGAATTTTAGTCGAAGTAATGAAAAGGTTGATTAGCTTGCTATACGATTTTACTTTTTTACTTTGCAAAGATCAGGGTTAAGAAGTAAGAGCCCGATGATTCTGGAGCAAATGTAAGATTTGCAATTCCTTGTAGATTTGCTGCCTCTTACTTGGAGAAAGCTGGAACTCCAGCACTGGCCGTAGTAACATCATATGCTACTCTCCTGCTTTATAATCTCCTGAACGACAACTTGATAATTTAAAGTCAGCAAAAACCGTTCCTCACTTGGATATAAATTTTTGCTTACATTTTGATTATCACCATTATTTGGAAACTGAAAAACACAGCGCCTGCCTTAATAAACATCAAGGATGAAGATTTGGTTTGCACGATCACTGGTTTCGTTTCTGTGTTTAGTAAGATAAAGACATATCAAAGCTTATCATAATGACTTTTTGAGATTTAAGAATATCTGAGTTCCAATTTAATATGCTTTATCCTCAATTTGCGGTAGTAAGGACACAAATAGAGGTTTTCTCATTCTAACACGAAGAATGATCCATCAGTGAATGATACCCTCTGTTATATTTGCCTTAACATGCTTCCATGGAGAATTATTAAGATAGTGATTGTCAAAGCCAGCTTTTGATTGCCTTATGCTCAACCTTGGGTTATATCCCCTAACGACTCTTTTCACTAGCAATTTATTTGTGGTTAAAGTCATTGGTTTATGTTAGACTCAGAAAGAAACGTAATGATATCAACTGATCTTCAATATTAGTATCAAAATTATCCCGAAATTGTGACCATCCCAAGATTATCCACAAAGTTAATCAGATTACAGCCGATGTTTTCGATTGCATTTTTATGAAAGGCATCTGAATCGAATTAAGTTCGCAGTAGTTTAACAGCTATGTCTGTGAATCTTTCCTACTTTTTTTAAGTTTAAGTAGTCTGCCGATTAATTATTTTCCCTTCAACGCAGTTTTATCAAAACAGGAGCAAGGCTCTTCCTGTTTCTTGGAATAAAACATCAAAGTACTCAATTTTTAATGGTGTATGTACATTTTAATGAACGACAATAGTTGACTAAATGTCAGCTAAATACTTTGGTCGAAATTTTTAGGGCCGCACTTTTAGGTTCAAAGGTTCCAAAACAATATTCAGTCGTGACATGAAAACGTAGATAAGATAAGATTTAGTTATAGCTGCTGTTCGCTATATTTGCCTGGAAATCTGGAAGTCTGGATATTTGCTAGTAAAGTTCTCCGGAAATGGAATAATCCGACGTTTTTCACTTCTAGTTTTCAAGGTAAAGTTTCGCAAGAAAGGAGTTGAAATAACTAGTATTATTAATTAATTTGGAGTTATTTTGGAATCCATTCAAGAATACAACCGTTTATTTTCCACGCTGTTAGATTTATATGCCTTTAAGACTTCATATGATAAAAATGACCGTTTTGGTAATCTGCTAATGTGCCTTGTTGTTGAATTTTCACCAGCCAACATTCACACAAGTTTGGACAGGCCGTTAGAGTTAAGCACAATCCAGCTAGAATCTGAATCGTTAGCTTGTGACCCATTTGGCTTGGATGTTATTGATTTGATTGGATGTCATTAATTTCATTAACCAATCAAATGACTGTGCGCTTCAGGATCAGTAACATGCCTCATAAGGCCGACTCAACACCACTTAGCTACAGTTTTGATAAAATTTCCTCCTTATATTTTCTTCGTAGCTTCTTTCATACGTGAAAAATCAGATAACCCTTCTTGGTAAAGAGATTGATTCCACAGTGGACGAGATAAAACAGAAGCATTCATTGGAGCTAGAATTGTTTTCGTCTTTACAATTGGCCCAACTAGAATCTGTTGAGCTGCAAAAGTAAGTCTTTTCTTCTCTCAAGTAAAAACCACTGACAAGTGTGTTTGCTGCTGATCATTCTGACATTGTAAGCACGAGAGAGAATGACAATTGTGTAGCACTTAACCATCTTATGTATTTCATTATGTTTTTTTCTTTTAGGAACTAAGCGCGAGGTTAGCTCACATTTTCCAATTTTTCGTTGATTTTAGTACCAAAACTTTCCTAAAGTCTTTACTAAATTCTTAGTTCCTTTTTGGAAACACAAAAACGCACCATAAGCTACCAAGAATAAAAGATATATTTTCAAGGGGTTCCCTTTGTCTCTTATAGACGGTGTCATGAAGTGATAGATAAACACAACAAACTTGCAGTTTTCTAGATCTTTCCTTTTACAAACAAATCTTTAATGAATCTCTACACGACAGCGAAAACATCAACTCTCTTACATGAGCTTTCAACCAAAACTGAATACGCCCCCTTTAACAATAGATCGTCTCTAGGTTCCAGTCCACAATACTTTACGTCATCACAACGGTTTCTTGTGCGTTGGTAAAAGCGATCGTCTTATCTTGTAATGACTGCCCCCTATTATCTTATAGTGGTTTATCTCTCACCAATAGTTAATATAGGTCGAGATATGCGTTATAACAGCTGGTTCATGTTTTGTGTGATCAGTGTGGCTGAATTTTATCGTCTTTGGGAATTCAACTTGTGTACGTGAAATGAGAGGCATAATTTTAATTTGGCAAGCCTCAAATTAATCTTTTCCATAACATAAATCTTTGGTATGCGTAATGCGCTGTTTGTCAGTTCCATTTAAAGCCTTCCGAAACTGATAATCAACATTTGTGAGCAAGATATATTAGGTAATTTTATAATGACGTCATTTTTACTTTACTGCTTAGAACCAATTAAGAGCAGTATAAAGCTATTAAAGAAGAGATGGATTCTATTGCATGTAATCTGACAGCATACTTGCGAAAAGCAAGTGGCATCCTGCAGTCTTTTATTAAATATTGTGTTCCGTGAGCAAGCTAGCATGGCTTTACGTCATAATTATGTACAGTTTTTAGTGACAGCTTGATTGAAGTGATAAAACTCTTATAAACATCTTATTTTTTCTTCCTTACTTTGCTGTCTTTTATTCAATGAAACCTTGTATTTCACGTTATTTCCAAATAAATAATTAATTTTTTCATTTAAGATTTAAATTTGTTTTTAACTCAAGGATCAAGGATTATTTATTGCACGAATCCTCTTTCGATTTCCTTTTATCTGGCTCAGCTCGACATATATTGTAATCGTTTCTTCATTAGTGTTGGAATTTCGGCATCTTTTGAATTGCTGTTTACTACAAATTTTTAAGAATTCTCGGAAATCCAGATTTTGAATGAATACTGTACTTCTTTAATGGTCCATGGGTAGTTGTTCTGCAGGCCTGTTTACCTAAGATCCTTTTTATTGCCAGAATTTGTTCTTTTGTTTTCTTTTTTAGATATAGTTCTCTTCTCTGTTTATGAGAAACTTTTCTTACCGTGATTCAGAGTATTTCATTTTTCAGCTCAGCTTTAGTCTTTAAAATCCAAAACTATAGCAAATTACTTGTCATAACATTGAACATATGCAAGTGGTAACTTGCAAATATTCAGATGAATTTAAGCATACTTTGTTCTTAAATCATATGGAAGAAACATCTATTTTTGTCTCATTTAGCTAAGTGTATTGGTAATCTTGAAATTCCGAAATGTTCTTCAGCAATGTTCTTCTTAGTTTTGTGTGAACTATGTTCGAAGTAAGAAAAATTGAGCTCGAACTACTGTAAATTAATTTTATTCATTTTGATGATTTTTCGCTTTTTGCTGTAGTGGATCAAGAGTGCCGTATGAAAGTCTGTCAATTCATCAGCAAGAATGCAATGAGAACAATGCAAGCCGTTTGGTGAAGCAAATGATAGATGCTTTGAAAGTTAAGAGCTATCTTGCTCCTGAAGAACTTATTTTTAAGATAAAAGAACTGAAAGAGAAAGGTAGGTGAATTGTTATAATCCAAGCCACCAGGTACAGGACAAATTTCAATGCTCAAAGCAATATTCTTCGAATATTTCTATAAAGCACAGATGTGTCAGCAAATTGAAATTACTGTGTGCTTGTTTGTCATAAAATGCTCGTGGCCGTACAGGCAGAACTGTACTCGCTTTTGATGTATAGAACAGGACGGTTCTAAGTTATGACTCCGAGTTTAGCGGTTAATGCAATCATCATCAGTTACGCAAAGCTGTACTTGTAATTTTGTAATTAAAATTCTCGATGTGCTGCCCATTGCCCACTGTTGTGTATTGCATTTGCGTCGGTGTTGTCACCTAAATGTTGCTTGCTCATAAATATCATCTGATTAGAAAAATAAACATTTCATAAAACTATAGGGACGATGGTTAATGTCACAATTTTCCTCATTAGTTTGAATATAAATGCACTAAGTATTTGTTTTTCATTGCACAACAATAATTTTAACTGTTGTACTTGTTTTGGCATCTGGAGACGTAGCAAAAGTCGCCCGATCAGCTTACCCAGACTGCAACAGAGAGCACCAATAATGCCCATACGCCCAAAATGGTGGAGGAGTTGATTTCATGAATATACGGATTTTCTGTAATTTGTTGGCAGCAAGTTCGTATTCAATGAACAAAAGAGAGGCAAATTTATCAATGAATCGTAGAAACGTGCAAGCAGCACAGTGTAAAGGGGAAAAAAGAATAGTAACGAAGTTTGTTGTGGTTTGGGCGGGACTTAGTGGTATGACAGAGAGAGAAACATGTCTTGAAACAACTGTTAGATTATAATGTATATATAGTTATGAATACTCGAGGGAGAGAACCTCCCTACCTCATGCTCCGTACTCACACCATACCATCAATTTAGAGGGGCGTAGTATGAATGGATGCCGGAAATGCCAAATATGACGAGCCTTTTCACCATGTGTCTCGGAGCCCTAGACCCAAATGGAATTTTCCAGTATTCTTCGCAATAAAGTTTTGAAAATTTCGTGTTCACTCCGTGTACCAGTACTTTGGCAGGCATTGTTCCTATTTGTGGATCGGATGAAATTGCCAATGATTCGCTCTCTACTAACGGCTAATTGACTTATAGAATGCACGATAGGAAATAAAAGTTCTATTTGGAGTAGCTTGTTACTGGTTATTAATTTTTCTTTTCAGAAATTGAGTCAAATAATCAGCGCAAGCTGCAAGTGAGTCATGATGAAGAAATAGTGTATGACGAATTCATTAAGAAGCTTGCGAGAATGCAAGGTGGGTGAGACATCCTTAATCAATTCACTTTTCATCTATTTTCATTGCAATAAACTCGAGCTAATTTTTAGCTTCAAAAATTTGGTACCACCGCCATCGATTTGATTTCATTCATTTAAACATCATTTAAACGATTTGAGTTTGATTACTTTACTTAAACAATAAACTAAACGACTTTCAATTTACTCTCTACAAATTATTGCCCTATTTGCATTTGGTTCAATCCATTTACATTTGCCTTATTATGCCGTATGGCATATGTCTAACAGATTACGTTTCAAGTGCCACATAGACAGCAATTTTCAGCTAATCTAGGCGTACAATCCATTACTTTTTTATATTTATCACTAACACAATGATTAACAGCTTTCTATAAATTATATTTCTTTGTAATCATTCTGTACATCAAAACCTGGTAATTTTTCATCTAGACTTTTTGCTTTATAGAAAAGAAGCTAAAACTTTCTATTCACATATGACCTGAAATTGTCAACAAAGCATCACTCCAATTTAGTACACCTAATTCATTTTTCTTCAAATAGATTTTCAGGAGAAATTTGGCGTTTTTTAAAATCGCAATATTCAGACCTATTGTGCTTCATACACTTGACAAAACTCACTCGGCTATCTAAAGTAGGACAGAAGAGTTTTTGAATCAATTATGCAAGCAAGGCCGTTTTTTATTAAGGTGCTTTCGAATCATGTACCCAATAATGTGAATGGCCAATAGGCGTTGATTGTTCAAACTAAAAGCCAATCACACGCACCGGCTCTCTTATCTTCGATTACCTTATGGAATATTCCCGGAAATATTTTTGTCATCATTGGACGTTTCAAATCATGTGTGACATTTGATAAAAATGTTCTTTCAATATTCAGCTAGTGCTCCTTTTTCTTGCAAGACTTACTTTTGCAGCACAAAAAGCTTATTCGAGTTTCATTAGTACGTTAACCCTTGCATGTGGGAACTTTTTCGTATTTTATTATTCCTTCTTATGTTTTGTACGCGTATTACCCTTTGAAAAACTAGTCTCAAATGCCTAGACTCCCTTTCATGATGATGATGATGATGACTCACCACTTTCGAAGTTTATATGAAATTTACTGAACGCTTTCACAATCAAAATGGGGATCTGTTTCAAAAATCTCTTCAAACAGTCGTACATCACAAACTCAGTCGTGCATCTACTTGCATTCTGCATATTTTTCCATCTAGGAATCTTATTCAACATTTATTTTGCTTGTTATTTAAAATCTATCTTCCTTGGTTTGTTTACCCTCATTCTGCTTTTCCTCAACAGATCAATGTAAAACGATGGTTGACCAAACCGAATCTAAAAGGCGACAAACGCTTTCTGTTCTAAGAGGCAGTTTTTTAAATGCTACAGATGCACTTAAGGAGTGTTTGGATTTAGGAAAGCTGACCAACACATGGTAAGTGCTTTTGGTAATTCCTTTTTAATTCTCATGTCATTGATGTTTTTATTATTCGTATTTCGGAGGCACCTGATGTTCTCGGTATTGAAATAATATTTAGTAAACTTTGATAGGAAACGTTTGCTATAACTCTTTCTTCTTTGAAGCAAATTAGCGATTCTGAAGAAAGAACATTAGCAAGCGATGTTCTCCTTTCTTAGTCACCTAGATAAGCAAATGAAAAACTACATTTACATTGAAGAGTTGTAAAATGGTCTCCTGATTGCGATAGCTTGAAATCGAATTCCTCTAAAAATCAAAAAGATTTACGAAACGCATCTCTTTACTGAAGCCCAGCGTGACTTTACTGATACGGTTTTAAGTGAGGCAAACTTCGAATTTCTTTTGTAGAGCCAGTTATTTACGAGCAGAATTAAACTTGAAACTTTAAACTTAACCTGGTGCATTCCTTCAGTAAAAAAGCATTATGAATTCTTGTCTCTCACGGTCTCAAGTTACTAACTCATATTTCGTAATGATTTGTCTTGGTGCGAAATTTAATTTCACATGCCCATACATTTATTACTACCTTTGTTTAAACTCTTGCGCATATAAGATTTATTAGGTAACGTAATAGTTCACGCTCAGAATAGTTTAGATTTATTAAGTTTCCCAATAAAAATATTGCGATAGCACTGAGCTCATTTATTTCGTCGTCTTTAATGCGAAAACCAGACAGAAATAGAGCTTGAAATGCTCTTAGTCCCTTAAGAAATGCAATCCAATAACGCAACCAGAAAGGGTAAAGTGGATATGTTCTATATGAGCCTCTTTACACTCTGAATACTTCCTGCCACTATCAGTCTTCATGCTTTTAATGTGCTTTCTCTCTCTCTTTTCATTTTTATATGTAGTGAACGCATAAGTGATTGTCTTACGAGATCACAACTGTCCATGTGTGATAAGGAGCCAGAAAATCTTGGAAATTTTCCCTTCGCTCCGTTTTTACTCTCTAGATGCCCTCGTACCGAGTGTAGGTCCTTTTGTATTTTAAATCTGTTCACCAATAAGTGAAAAGACCTTTTGCCAAAATGACAAACTTCCGATCATCTATAGCAAACAAAATCCAATTGTCAAAATTTCAGGAAAATTCAACTGTTCGTTTCAGCTATCTGTTTTTATGATACAGAAGAAAATTCATTTTTGACATTATTTGTGCATAAAGTATTAGACTATGACTAGTCATGAAAAGACTAGCTAATCACGAGAAGCAGTGTTACTATGACACGTGGAAAGTCAAGAATATTTTTTGAAAACTTGAATTGATTGTGTACGTGTCCTATTCCCCAGAATTTTGTGAAATGCTATTTGAAGAAGCTTTTGATCATTTCAAGCATACTGAAACCTCGTTTACAATGTCACTGGGCAATTTCAAGTGTTTGCACTGTCTCGATTTCGAACTTTTTCGTTTAGCCGTTCCGTTTACACTGTACGTCGACAATTTGTAGAGCCGGGTTAAAAAGGCTGTATTTCGTAAACCAATGCCTTGAATTTGTTGCAAAAATCTTCATTTGAATTTTGCTTGCACGGATAAGCGTCAGCTTTGCCTCACGGTTTACTTTCAGGGTAGAAAATCGCTATATCTAGCCAAGGCTTGCATCGGGAGACAACTTCTCAGCGTCAAAAACACTCATACTTACGACCTAATAGCGAATCCGTACCGACATGATCTAGGATAGGTGCTTACACTGGCCCGTTAAAAAACGGAACTGCGACGGTACAAAATGAGCCCACTATCGTAGCTGGGTCAGGACCGTTACACTACAGAAAGCAGATTAAAATCGTTTCTGTACGACAGTGCAAATGTCAAAGGAAGGACAACGGCCTGAATTTTGTCACGGTTCAAACTCGCGTGGGACAGTGTTAAAGGGGTAACACGACACCTACTTATGTTGGTTCCCTGCTAAGCCTATTCTAATTATGTAGTTTTTTGTTTTAAGGTGGGACCAACCTGCCCAGTTTTTAGTCCCGTGGATCAAAGAAGAGGGCATGAACCTGCGCCAGTGGCACACACAGTGGGAGATAAACTCAGCAAGATTGGCCGAGAAAAGCTGTTAAAATGAAAACAACATTATCTGCGGAATACACCAAGCTTGAAGAAATAAGATGTATTCCAACGAAAGATTTGACTTGGATTTTGTGATAATTTCATTATTCCCTGATTTATTGTTAACTTATCTATCAGATGTGTTAGAATTGCAAGAAACTGCCCGATGAAAAGACGTTCGCCGGCTGTTTAAAGGCAAGTTCGCCAGACTGGACCTTAATTCCTAAATTAGATTTCTTCTGCAGCATAACACATTCAGCTTGAAAATTGTTTAGTGCTCAAACCAATTATATTCCCCCTCTCCCACCCCTTCCTTCTGATGCATATAAGATCATAAAAGCTTAAAAATTGAATACTATACTTCCAAAAGCACTTTTATTAATTTCAATAATACTCTGTATGGAATGAGAAATTACTCTTGTAGTATTTTCTATATTTATTGTCATATCTTATGGTAGCTAAAATTGATAATACAGAGATAGAGCGATTAATCATTGTGATACTGAGAATTTCTTTATCGCGTATTTATCGTACTTAATCGTATTTTTTATCAAATACCTGAACCTTTATAGTAAGAATCAAACCTTGTTTCTTGGAACTCAGGGGATTAGTTTGCTGACAAGATTTTTTTGAATAAGCATATGGGAAATGGCGTTTATTAAGCTACTAGAAGCTCTAGGGTTTGCCCGTTGTGAGGGCCTTTTTTTCTTTCTTCCTAATCAGAGCACAACAATGCTTTTCGAAAATTTAGCAAAATGGCAATAGACTTAGAACTGGTGATTATAATTTGCTTTATTCAAGAAAGCATGATATTATCATGTTGTGGGTGCTAAATCTTCGTTCTAAGATGACCCCTAGATTTTTAGCTTTTAAGTGATTTTTAAAAATCCTCTTGTTTGTTCTAGTATTCTATAGGTTTATTTTAGTATGAAAACAACTTTCTCTGTTCACTCCTCTTCTCCTCCGCACTCCCCCCGCCACCCCATTGTCTCCGCAGCCCGTTGAGAACCCTTGAAAATCCGAAACACAGGGTGGGGCCTGAAATGCAATAGCATCCCAGCATCCCGTGATGGCCTTCGCCTGGCCCTGAAAAATCTCAACATTTTCGTGTAATGATAAGGGAAAGCTTATGAAAATTACCTAGGATTTCGTTAAGACATTAGATGTTGAAAAAATATTAGATGCAGTTTCTGGCCGTCCCTAGAATTTTAAAACCTCAAAATTTTTCTTGCTGCGAAGTGCCAACCATGGTGGCGGCCTTCACTTATTTCCTGAAAAAATCTTTAACATGTGGTCCCCCACTTCAAAACACATTTTTGCCTGCCCTAAAGCTTTGTACCAAGGGCAGAGGTTCTTTAGTTGGTGTCAAAAAACGGTGCCCTCCCCTAGCCAGTTTGGAGCTACCACACCGCTTCTCCTTTTCGGATAGTAGCAACCTGGCACACTCATTTGCCGATGCGGCACTAGCTCCTGGTTTCCCCTTAATAAGCATCTTTTTCAGGGCCCAGGAGGGCTCACTTGAGTTTTTTATATGCAGGGTTCCATCCGCAATTATCCAAAGTTACTAAAATTATCAAATAGAATTAAACAGATCTGAAAGTATCATACAGGAAAGAAAATTCTTACCCATAATTATTGGATGGAACCCTCTCCCCTTAAACAGAAAATGAAAGTGACCCATTTTTGTTTCAAGAGTTTAGGGCTGTCGCTACAGGAGGTGTTGGGTGTGACATTTTAGGCATTTAGTGGTGCTTCTTCTGAAAATATATCGGATATGTCGGCAAATAAAGGATGGCTCACCTACTTTGTCGGCAAAAAGGATCGGGCCAGGGCCTGAAATAAGAAATTTTTTACAGATCCACATTTTTTGATAAAAATTCGGCGTGTTACTTTGCTGGGATTGGCCCGAACAGGGTGGCAAATATAGAAACTGCCACCAGAGTGCAAATAGCATGTCCTAAATGAATGAAGTATAAGTAACAAAAGCTGATTCTTTACAATATATGGATTTGGTTAAAAAGAAAATTAGCAACATAGTGATGTCTTAACTTGTCAGCAAAAAGTTGTCGAAAGTCAATTCTTTTACATGGTTTGTTCGGATCTCCGTCAAAGCAATTTTTTCTTTCCTTTCACCTTTAAAAACCCCTTAAATCAGTCTTGCTTCCCATACTTTAGTGTTTTTGGTTTTTGGAGGTATAGTTTTGCAGCTGTTCACGGAACTAGAAACTTACGAGATCAAGAAAATTTATTGCAATATTTATATGTTTGTTGAGTGCTTCTGGAGCTATGCTGCTATCCCCACCTGTTTCTATCTTGTTGTAGGTGGGTATCAGCCTCTCTACATCAGCAGGGAATCCGAGCCATTGTCTCGCCTGGTAGAATTTCTCTGAGAACAAGTCTCAGATCTCTGTGATCTAAGTCATTCACTTCTCAAACTTCCTGAGACAAAAGCGTGATGAAGCTTTCTTAAGTCTCTTTTGGCTTATGGAAGGTTTTTAATTGCATTCAGCCCATCAAATTCTTTGTCATCAAATCTTTGCTTCAAAAAGGTTTAATACTAACGGAAACGTCGTTACGGATGGCAAATAATATCTTCTCTCACTGATGTACAAATTGTGGTTGTCTCTTCTTCTTCTATTTTCGCGTAGTTTGAAAGCATGATCTTTACCCCCATCTTGTTTGTACCGCAGACACCACGCACCAGCCCAAAAGGGAGTGGCTAGAACGGAGCTTGGGAGTTGTCCCTAAATTTTTTTTACGCAACGCCCTTTGAAACATCGGGAAACACCCCTTTCAGAGAATATTTGCTTTTTATGTCCTTATTCATAAACATAATGATTCAGAGAAGATTTCAATTTCAAAACCGCGTTAGATAAGATACAAATTTATCTTCGACGAAACAAGATAAAACATCATGAAAACGAACAAAAACGGGTTCCCAGTCACGAAGAACTGCTACTAATGGGTTCATTAGCATAAACTTTCAAAACGTTTCCTAACCTATTATTGCAAAAAAGTTGGGAGGGCTATAGTCCCTGTTATGTAACATTCCCAATTAAATGTTCCTCCCAACTACCACCGAGAGGCGTATGATCGTTCAGCTGCTGTAGCCTTGAGAGGAATTTTTTCAATGCTTGTCCAATTTAAATAACAAACAATCTTTCCTAGCGTAGAGTCACACCTATGTTCTGACACTGGAGAGTGTCAGATGAAATGCTTTAGTTTACTCAAATGTTTGCTTTTTCACAGCCAATTTAAGTAACCTTAGCTGAATTGCTTTGTAACTTTTTTCTGAAATCTACAGAAAGATGTCACATAAACCCTAAAACACATTACAGGCAGAAAATCATAATCTTGCAGATTTCCCAAAAAACTTGGTCTTTAGGCTCAGTGTCTTTTTTGAAGTGAGTCATAAAGGCAAACTAACTTGAGATGATGTCTTGAATTTGAAGTTGTATGCTGAGTCCATCTTTCTTCAAAGCAGTACGACAATCTCATAAAGTGCAATTGATTTTCCTCCGCATGTACTGAAGCTTCGAGTTCTAAAATTTCTTAATTCTTATATCATGTCCATTGCTCATAAGAAATTAATGTAATGCATAAGGGTATTGCACTCATCAACACTATCCACGTCAACACTATGTTTCAAGCTCCCCACCTGCTTTGGAAATAAAAAAAAAATTAAAAAAAATTTAGGGTGGGATTGGGCATTCACTTCGCATTGATTAAAATTTCCTAATTCTATCTTAGGCTTTTCGATTGGTATTTTATGCTGCACTTTTAAGAAAATGCACTATTTGAAAATCCACACCTTCTACAATTACAGTTCCACAGCTTTCATTTACAACTCAACAAAGTGAGTCAGATCCACGCTTATTCTAGGCCCTGGGCAGCCCCTTGTGGACAAAAGCTAGCCATGCCCCCAGGGGCGCCGCAAGCATTTTGAGGCGGCGGGGGCAGCTACTCAAAAAGGGCACATTTTCAATGACTAATATTAGCATTATAACAAAAAAATGATATAACATAATACTTTTGTACCGATAAAACGTTTAATCTGAAAGTTTCCCTTTCTGTTGTTTAGGCATTTGCTGGAGGGGACGTGCCATTTTTCAGGGGAACATTTTTCTGAAAAGTGCGGAATTATCGGTATCAGTTTTTGAAATTTGAGCAGAACTATGGGTACCATTTTAGAAAAATATTGCAAAATTATTAGGAGGGAGATTGAGCATTAACAAAATGAATGTCCAGTTAGAAATGAAAGTATGAAATATGTGCAATATTGAGATTTTTGGCAAAGGATATGCAAAATTTGTTTGATGATTTTGTTGTGCTATAAAAATGTTATTTGCTTTGCGGAATTATGGGCATAGTTTGCATCATGTTTGAAGAATTATGGCTTACAATTTTTCATACATGTGCGGAATTATGGGTCCAAATTTTTCAACCAAAATGGCACGTCTCCGTTCAAAATTAGGCTTAGTTAACTGTTGATTGTCGTGTGTCGTATCACGCTGCATTGTGCTAAAAGTACGTTGATGCGACGATGCTAAAAGTACGTTCTGCAGTTGCAGATAAAAGTGCAAATGAATTGTACAATTACAATGACTTTTGAGCTATGGCAGGCAATCTTTATGGCATTCAATTGAAGTCATGATTTATCAAAGGGTTTCCATCTTTGTTACCTTCTTTATTGGTATGACATCTTCTTTCTTATAAATTCTGATGACTTTGCTAAAGTTCATCTAATTTTTAAAAGCTTTTAGATTATTTCAATTGAGGCTTCTACTAGTTAACTTGGATTAGTGTTACGTATTGCATTAGTGTTTGACATTCTCTGGGCCCCATCTTAGTTTGTCGCTTAGAACCCCAGATGCCTCAGTTATGCTACTCAACTTATTCTACCGTAATTTCCTAAATTTTAGAATGTTGCCGAAAGAAATAGCATTATTGCATGTAAGTTCATAACAAATGCACCCAATGTTTTAATTGCTTTCATTTTGTTCCTAACCGCACTAATGTTTCAACTCACCCAAGAACTTGAAATTTTACATATTTATTCCATTCGCATAAACACAGTGCCATTTTCACCAGGGCAAAGTGCTGCCCCTGCTGCCCCATAGAGTCAGGGCAGGGGGGCAGCTGCCCCCGCTGACCCTGTGCTTCCGGCGCCCCTGCATGCCCCTGCAAGGATTCTTCGAATATCCGAATCAAGAGGAAGAAGGTTGCCCGTGTCAGGTGACCGTAAACAGCAAGCTATCCGGATGATGCTATCTCTTAGGGACTGGGTTCTACCTGCCGTGATTGTCCTAGGTCAAAAATTCCAACATGGTAGTCACCTAGTCGAGGCTGTTGCTGTCAATTTTTAATGCATCTGAGTTTTATACATTGCCTGTTAAACATCGTTTAATTCTTCATCATTAACGCTTTGGTTGCTTTTTCTATCAACAAGATTATTGTTGAATCTTTTGAAGCAAGGTTATACCTCTTTAGGTTTTCTAAGATCGTATGACGGGCATCAATAAAAAGTGGGAATTAGATAAAGTTTTCAAAAACATTGGCGTTATAATCTAAGATCGTTAACAATTTTGGTTCTTTACTGATTATTATATGAAAGAAGATATGGCCAATGTACAGTGTGTTTGAATCTAGGCGCACGATGTAGATGGCCAATCTAAATCCTGTCATGTCTGTAAAAGCAAAAGTACTGAATTTAATCACGAGGGATGCCTTCAGTCATAGTTTGATGCGTTGATTGAATTGGTCTCATCTAGCCTGTTAGATGACTTCTATACATGTACAATTTTATTATGTTGTGATTATAAAAGATATTGATGCACAAGAAGGATTTGAACTAATGACATTATAATGTTCTATCGCATCATGTGGTATCTGTGCTCTGTTGTAATTGTGTTTTACTAGAGTATTTCTGAGACAGTATAAAAAACGACTACATGAGCCTGTCTTGAGGCGCGAATTTAGACGATAAAAAATGATTGAAGATTACACCTCTCGTAAGGCCATCGGACCGTACTCTACCACAGAATAACTAATGCGCAGGTCGTCAGTTTAATTTTGTACCATTTGTAGCAGTCTATTCTAACTTGAGATAAATTTTGCTAATCATAAACTTGGTCTAGAAGTTTCTGATATATAAGGTCTGTGGCCATGAAAAGTCCCAAAGCTTTTGGTTTAGAAAGAAATTTTAGCTACATAGCTCTCGATGTAATACCATTGTCTGATTCAAATTCTTCATTCGAGTGATACAATCGTATTTCCTTTTGGTATAAGCTACTCGTCCACTTATTTGAGTTTGGACAAATGCATCAACCTGTAAGAATGAAATAAAATAAGATGCGTGGATTAAATGGTGATTACAATTATTTACTCAGACTCAAATTATGTTGTTTTTTTCAGTGATCGCCCATATGTTTTTTCTGAAATTTTTGTTGAAAATTATTAAGGTATAGGGCACAAACCATGTAATCAATGCTTCAGATTATTATAAGGATAAAGCAAAAAGGATGAGGCTGTTTGTGGTGAGCTCGATTTCCACTTGATAACTAACTTTTATGTTATGTTTGAGATGAAATTGATAAGGTTTCTTTTTTATTTAATGTATTAGAAATTGTGCTATTTTGGGTTGTTCTGCATACACGGATATTTTGGGATTTTATGCTTAAATTTTATTCCTCTCCACGACCATGTTCTTTTCTTTGATTCTTATTGTTTGAGATTTTCGACCCGACGCTTTCTGAAAGTTCAAGCTCGAGCAGAGTTCTGCTTCGCTCAAGAAAGTTTATTTGATCTATAGATTCAGAGTTATCAATCGTTCAAGAAGCAAAGTGGTGTCTGCTTTGGGTTCTACTTCCCTTGCAGAGGGAGAGGTTCTGAATGAGGACTGATAAAAGTTTTATCAAGGCAAAATAAACAACCCACCAAATTCAGTGTGTAACAGCAATCAGAGCAAGATTACTACAGCTCTTTAATAACAGTTTCACGTATTGGATTCATGCTGTTCCGATCCACATCTATTCATGGATGCTCAATTGTGGTAAAACTCACTGTACATCTAGGACCAAAGTTTGATCCTAAGAAGTAAAATCTATTGCATGATGTTGCTACTGTTGCCCTTTTCTTTGTTCAGCGGTAATTGAGACAATATGCGCAGTGACAAAAGCGCGGGTCAGAACATTTATTCAGATCTCGAATATGCATTATATTACAGCTCACCCCTTTCTGAACGACTTACTACCATCGAGCCTCTGTTGTGTAGCGTGCAGTCAAGTGAGGCAGTAGCGAAAAAGAAGCTCATGAAGTAAGTCCTATACACTCCCTAACGAAAGTATCCGGACAGCTGAAAAAAGCAGAAGTTTTGCAACATTTTTAATGTGCTCTGTTTTATTTTGGAACGGTTTTTTCAAAAAAATCTTATTATCAACTAAGTTAAAAAAGTGGTTCGACCAGCCTAATTTTTTGTTTTCGTCCTGAAAAGCGCGATATCGTGATTGGTTTACTCAGAACTTTTCCGGGTGGTACTTTCGTGAGGGGAAGTAGTTTACAATATGTTTAATCTTCCTTTCATATCTGTGAACAATTTTGTGAAAAATATCCAACAAAGTTTTGTTAACACACTGTCTCAATGAAATTGTACAAAATGTATTTCTGGCAAAGTATAACGTTGAGCGTAACTTATTGATAGAAAGCACCGGGATATGAGTCAAATTCACAAATTACCATGCCACTAGTTCCTCACGAAAAAATTTATGTTGCTACTGAATCAATCACCAATTTTTGGCGCTTTGGATAAAAGGTAAGAGAAGAAGTCTTTTATGAGACTAGTCTGGTAATTTTAATTCTTGAAAAAGAAATTTTTTGATATATAGTCAGTTCTAAGTCATGTGAGCTTCTTTCCATTGAATTCTAATATTTCAGTCGTTGTATTAATATCCTGATATTTTCGCTTCCTGTAACGAGAAATAAACACATTTTTGTGTACATATGCACCAAGAAGCATTGTAAAAAGTCTCTACATATAAACTTGATTACAAATTGCATTTTTTATCTTAAGTTCTATTTAACTGCTCATTTGGTAATTAGTTATAATCAACTGTTCGAATGTCTATTATCCCAGAGTATAGGAATCCTTGATGTGTCATTTAAATCAAGTGATTCTGTGATTTAATCTTGTTTTTTTGTCCAAATAGCGAACAACACACAATTCACTTAAATATTCTGGATAAAAATTTTGAGTTTGAATTTCGGGGTTTGACAATACATTTTTTTACCATATGAAAAATTATATGTTGCCTAGATTGCATCAAATTTGGATACCGGTTTTTCCACGAACTCTAGGAGCCTTACTCTTTACGCTTCACATAGAATGGGTGGTTGTATGATTTTAGGTGACGAATCAGTGTCTTCAAATGGGCGGTAATCACCTGTTAATATACACCTTCGCCATAATTTTTGCATTCTTTATTCTTTTCTTTCCTCTACCCCCACTTTTTGCTTTTAATGCACATTTGCTTTCAGGATATTCAATTTCTGAAGTTTGAATATTCAAAGATTTTCACGAGTTCTTCCCCACTTAGGTCCCCTCTCTTTTCTATAAGCATCTTTTATCCAACTAGCCTGAATTTTGTTCACGTATAGCTTTAATTGAAAATTTTGACGCATGTAGCAGATCAATGACACATACTTTTTGCTTGAAGATTGTGTATACTAAACTCAAGCCCCATTTTCGAGTATTTTCTAAATTCTATTTTTATTTACTTCACAAGATCCTCATTTGTTTGTGAATGAACAGTTTGTGCAGTGTTTGCAACTGTTTTTGATCCACAAACTGGATACTATATGTATATCTCCCTTGGATTTAGTTTTCTCCCGATCTAATTTGTCTTGTCGACGGGTCTATCTCTAAAGCATGATCTTGCATTCTCACAAAAATATTTTCCCACTCCTTCTGGTACGGAAATCTCACTGCAGATGACCAAATCAAAGATATTATTTATACTCTATTTTTGAGGTGAATTAGTATTAGGGTGTCCATATTTTCTACGTAATCGCCAAACTTTAAACAGAAGGCTTCTAATGTTTTGTCCTGTTATCTGCTTAAATAGATGTCTACATTTGTACAAAAGCTAAGGAATTTGCTATTCTCAGTTATTATTAGCATACGATATTTTGTGACATTGAAGTGATTGTAACCAGTGTTATATAAAGGGTTTCCAAAAATTCAGAACTTCTTTATTTGATTAAACTCCTGTAATATAACAATATCTGTTCATGAAAAAAGTCAGAAATAATTCATGGTTTGCTATCGCAAAACAGCTGTTTTTATCAAACGTTTTTCGCTAGAAAATATTTGACATTCATGTCTAACGTTTGGCAATAATTTAGCAGTTTAAGTTTATACCAGAAAAATTTTCTCGGTTAATCTTCCATTAACTGATGAATTTTGTATTTCATTGTTTGCTCTAACTAGTTTCAACGATTACTTTTTGCAAACATCTAACGGCGAAATGCCTTTTATATGTCCATAAATTTTAAGCTTTTTTCAAAGCCATTTTCAGATTCTGCACCCGATCAAGGTAATTGTTATTTATGATTATCTTTGCCAGCTATTATAATTGATGTTCAGCTATCCAGCAATGAGTCATAAAGAACATGATTTAATGGTAGAGCATGGTAAGAATAATGAGCCAAAAGAGCGCCATAAATCAAGTTTACCTTGTCCATTTTACGAGTAAACGCATAGAATATTCTATAAATCTGTTTAAAGATATCTGTATCAAACTTATATATAAGCAGTATTAAGAGCTAATTTGTTCTAACGAAAATTGTAAACTAAGAATGATTAATGCTAATGCTTTAGCAATTAGTAGAAGTAATATTATTACAAAGTTTAAACGTGAAGTTGACGTTTCTATTTTTTCCTGAGATAAATATATAACGCTAGAGAAATCTGTATTTTTCTTGTGTTACAAAAATCTAAGTAAGACCAGAACAATTTGGTGTAAGCTCTCAGAGGCTTCTTGTGTTATTTACATCTATGCTCTGAAAATGTTCTACGCCATGTTTCCTTGACTAAAATGCAATAAAAGAATTTGTTTCTGACTTTCTAACATTTTCTGAGGCAATTGAAATTATAACCAGTTGGGTACATTTTTATTAGTTTATGTTTCAAGTTTAATACATATAAATGGCATAAATTATTTGCAAAGTGAAAGTTTTGATAATTTGCAAAATCAATAGTTAGACATTTAAGCAAAGAAGAAAAAAGTTAAATATCACAGCGATTGAAGCTAAAACCATTAGAAATTGCTTAAAGTTTTTGGACTTTGCTGCATGCTTTGAATTTCATAAAGCTTGAGATTAGAATTCATTTCGAGGCAATGTTCCATGGTAACTATGTTTTAATCTATATGGTTGTGCTTATATAACGCGAAATTTTTATCGTCCGTATCATTTACTCATAAAACGGCCTATAGTGTTGATATTTTGTGCCAAGTGTACCCTATTCTAATTACTTCATCTTTGGGAGCTACTTCATCATTAAATATCAACTGTCTTACCACCTGAGTTAAAAGGTGCACATATTTTCATGTTAAAATTTGTGATACTATATATTGAGCTAAACGTCATTGTTTTTTAGAATCCACGGTCTTGTATCTTTTGCTTAATAGTAGACAGGGAATTTAAGAGTATTGCCATAAGTGTTTATTTACCAAAATAACCCCAGTTTTTTGTCTTACTTCTTTTGACTTAGGGAGCAAAACTGTAATCATAAAAAATTACAAATTATATAGTGAGGGTTTTGATTTTGGTTTAATCAAAGTCATTTGAACAATTCGGCAAATACTCTTAGATTTTTTGCTTATTGCATGATGCCCAGTTAATGGATTTAATGCAAATCTTACATTTCAGCATAATTCTTTGCTTTTGTCTTTCTTGTGCAGAATAATGCCATGGTTTCGTCCATTGAGTTATGTCGGTGTGAGTTACATAACACGACCATTTGCCATAAAAAATTGGTGATTTGGAAAAAAGATACGGTTTGCCTTTTGGAATATATATATCTTGGTAATTAATTTATCGTGGGAGATTACTCCAGACTTCAGTCATTTAACCGTATCTTTTGTGTCACTTTTATTCTTTGATAATTCCGAGTAATGTTCAATATTATTATCAAATGTTTGCCCTAATTCTACAAAGTTGAGTATAGTCCTTATCGCAGGTCCCAAATTTTATGTGTTTTTGTGTTCAAGGTGAGTAATCTAATTAATCAATTTGTTTGTTGGCCCAAAGTGTCATGTTGTTTCCTTTCCAGTGCTTGCCGTTTGGTTTACACCAATGTTTGGCCATGGGACAAATTTGTCACCTTACCTGTTTATTATTCTAAATTTGAAACAATGTTTTCATCCTTTTCATTTTGTCAGTCAAAAACGGGCATAAAGTGCTTCGAAGTTTAGTCGTTATGGTTGTTATATCTAGTGGTGTTTAAGAGTAAATATATTAAGCTCGAAAAGTTCCATACTTGAAAGGAGATATGGTACCACTATTCAAGTATAATCAGGGTGAACAAGAACAGCAAGTGTATTCCCTCAGAGGCTGAGAACTTACTTAACTTTGAATAAAAATAAAATAGAGATTCTGACACATATAATAATCTGACCTTTCATAATTTAAATGTTGTACGAATTAATATATAACATTGCACCCTTGTCAAAGCAATTTCATGGCATTTTCTCTCGTAAGAGATTTCACAAATTTGAGCAGATATATAATTTATTTCCGTCGTATAACAACAGTCATCATTAAAACATGCGACAAAAAAAATTTTAGCAATTTTTGTTAAGGTAAGCATTCATATTTGTTAATTAAGTGATAACACAACTTTTAAAAATTTAACTAGATATTCGTAGTATTTTGATGCTAGCCTGTTTTTATCAGTGTGCTGGCTTTTTGGGTGTCCATCTTTTCTTACAGATAATATTATTTTATATCGATAAATTTGGAGGTTTTTTTATTTCACTTACACCCTAATTATTATAAGGAATTGAAAAGATCCATCTCTGTTAACTGGAAATGATCAACTCTTAATGTTTTTCCAACTCCTACACCAAGGAAACCTTTATTTATTAGTTACTTGTTATAAGGGATTAAAAGATAAAGTTTCAAAGCCTTCCTAACTACGATGCGCCAGAAAGTTTTTTTAACTGAGTACACCGCAATTTTTTAATAAGTTTATCAAAAGATTCAACTTTTAAAAAACAAGGTTAGGTTATCTTTCAGTACATTTTACAGGTTATTTTTTTTGTGGGTGGTGGGTAAAAACGTCCAACAATAGGCTAAAGCTAGCTGCAAGGCCAGTTTGTTGTCCCCTATTCTTGATATTCTTGAATTCTGATTAGCATGGGGTGTGGAAGAATTTTGGCGCCGGCCTATCAAAGGTTTGACCTATGCTCCCTTTGTCCCTTTATAATTTCAGTTATCCTTATAGAAATATATTATGCTTTTGCGTATGGTATGGACTTGTTTCCACGATTGTAGTTTCTAACTCTTAATGCTCATATGGCACTTAATGGAGTAGTAATTTTCGTATATGTATATTTAACTTGCAGGTGAATTTGGTAATCCCCCCCACAGTTAAATATAATGCTTTTGCATATTAATCCACAATATAATGCCCTATATCATGGAATATGAAAATGCAATTAAGTGATTTCTTAGAGTAGCTTATGTACCCAGTATAATGCAGCTATCAGTGCAGTACTGGTTGTTTTTACTTGATTGAAATGTTTTCCCTCCCCAGCTTTATAATTTTTTTGGCAGGCTTTTTTGTCTACCTGTAAAGTTTTTTGTATTTTATTCATCCTAACATTGTTGATAACCTGACATCATCAGCTGGAGTCACTGTTGGTGATCCTGTATTAAGGACTGGGAAGCCATTGTCAGTAGAATTAGGACCAGGTACATCTTTTTTCTTGTCAATTGAAGAGAAGCGTGCTAAGTTCCAAATTAATACCAACTTTGAATGTAGCCTCAGCAGCACATTGTGGATTTAGTTTTAAAGTTCTTTTGTGTTGTTTATAGAACTTTCATTCTCTGCATGCATACCAAGCAAATAATGAAGTCTGACCTATAGCACTGATTTTCTTGTAACCACTATGTAACAATATCTTTAGAGATAATTTTTTGCACAATAGATTGAAATAATGACACTATCTAGTTTAACATGATAAAACTGGTTCAATGACTGACACGTGAATACGTTTATGAAGGCATACAGTCATGGAGATTTCATTGTAATTTTTTTCTTAAAATCCCTTAAAAAATCTCATCTGCAATAAAAACAGAACAAGAGTCTTTCAAAAGATCATTGATCTTGCACAGACTTTACAACTATCTCTATTTGTAAAATTTGTAAAAGTTTCTTTCTCATAGATTTTTTCCAAGACTTTTTGGCAGAACCCTTTATTCAAAAGCAATATTGTTCACGAGAAGAAAGTATTTTCATTTTACTCGGTTGATGTTTTAATTTTTGTATAAGTATTCCAAATGTATGGAGAGTAGCTCTCAAGCTAATGCTGACTTTCAAAGGATAAATGTTTTATTTTCTTTTTCAGGTATAATGGGTAGCATTTTTGACGGGATCCAGCGGCCACTGAAGGTGAAGCATAGTTTATGGTTCTTATTCTTACAACAATTAATTTTGTTATGATTTTTTAGTTTATAAAACTTTTTTCAAACTGACAAGAGTTTAAACATTTGTGCTGGCTTAGCTCAATTTTGCAATACATTGGTGTGGTCATCATATTTCTGTTTGAAACTGCAATTCTCTTTTCTAGCCATTTCACTTCTTCTACTTAAAGTCTGATGGTACAGTTTTGTAGCTTGATATAGATCTGCAGATAGTTTAAGAAAATGACCTCTTTGCTGTGCTTCCAACAGCTGTGCTGGTAGAATAACATTTTCTTCAATTCTTCTTTTCCAAAAGGATATTTGTGAAATGACTCAAAGTATTTACATTCCTCGTGGTGTGAACACAGACAGTTTAAGCAAAGCTACACAGTGGGATTTCAGCCCTATGCAGCTTAAGGTTGGTATGATCAAGCATAGATCTTTCATTTGCATTTGATTCATGTTTTGATTTTAAAGATAGGACATTAATCAAACATGGGCAAACATTTGAAAGTAGCTGATAATCTGATATTGCAGACCCCAAATATTAAACTGCCTGTGTAAGATTGGAAGCTCCATAGCCCCTACTGCTGTTTTAAAAGCTAATGGAAGTTGCTTTTGCCACCCAATTTAACTAACCCTACTTGCTGATTTCCTGTACTAGTTACTTAATGTAAGCAAAGTTTTCCTGCTTGAGAAATCCTAATCCTGAATATTGGTGTGTTTTTAAACATGATCTTCTTTGACTACTGTATCTATGTGAGTTATGATTAACATTGAGTTGAACTCAATTACAAGGCTTCCAAAATGATCCGTGGGCTCTTTTTCTCAAAGTGATTGGCTCTAAATACAATATGTAGAAATCATGCTATTTCTGGCTTGGTCATAACAGAGGGTTGATTATTATTGTAGTTCATTCATTTCAGAAACTTTTTCTGAATCTAATATATAAATATCTGTCTCCAAAATTAATTTTATTTTTAATTTAATAATAAAATATTTTGGTTCATTGGTGCAAAGAAAGATTATCTTTGGAGCTCGTTTAGACAGAACCTATTCCTTGTTGTTTCTTAAACAGATGAGAAAGCTGAGGAAAACTTTTCTGTTTGCTTTGAACCTTATTTTATTCTTACTATTGTTAATATATTTTCTGGATTTTAAGTCATTTCGATTACAATTTTTTGCAAAGCTTCTGTTTTGCATATTGATTTTTTCTTTGACTGCAAGAATATTCTACTTTTCGGATATTTGAAAAAGACCTTTTTTGTTGACCCTGCTAAAGATCAACCCTATTTCTTTCAGGTTGGCACTCATGTAACCGGTGGCGATATTTTTGGAACTGTTCATGAAAATTCTTTAATTAAACATAAGATAATGCTCCATCCAAAGGCTCGAGGGACGGTCACTTATGTTGCAGAAGCCGGAAGTTATAATATCGATGTGAGTTTTGAAGTTATCATTATATTTAGTTGGTTCTATATTTGTAGTTTATGTTCTTAGCTGAAGTTTGATTTCTTTTTGACCACTTTTTGTAATTTTAAATTGCATTCTTCTTTTAGGATGTAATATTAGAAACTGAATTTGAAGGAGAGAAGACAAAACACACTATGTTACAGGTATGTCACCACAGCTTCAATAAATGTTTGCCCGCAAAACCATTTGCAGTATTTATCATTAAATTGTAAAACGGCATGGAAATAAGATTATACCCTGCTAATTTTTTTGCTCCAGATTTGGCCGGTCCGTCAGATGAGACCATGTACTGAAAAACTGGCAGGAAACCATCCTCTTCTCACTGGTCAACGAGTCTTAGATGCATTGTTTCCGTAAGTTTACTACTATAAAAAATTTTTAATGTAGAGTTTTCTTATAATTTAAATAATTTATTTATACAGCGTTTAAGGAGTTTGTCGATTAAACGTTCTCTCGAATTTTTCTCTAATCAAATAATTGGGAAAGTATCAGTGAGGATTAAATGAGTGTTAGTATAAATGTTACAACCTAATTCAAAGTCTTGTCACTGCAAACTATGATTCCTATATTTAAAAGTGATCCTGTCCTGTTACAGATTTATTGGTGTAACGTAACTAAGCTTCTCTAAATGTCCTTTTGTGCTTTGGAGTAACTCTGCTGGAGGCAAATATGTATAAATTTTCTTTTCTTGTAAAGGGAGAATAGATAAACTTTGAGTTAAGGTACAATCATGACAGCAATACTACTACTGCATTTTCTTCGTAAGAGTCAGGAGGTAAATTTTAATACTGAGCAGGTTGGAGAGAGGGCAGAGAAACTTTAGCCTTGGGCAACGGCTTGAAGTACCTTTCCTTAGGGTTCTCGATAGTATTTGGCTTTTGCATTTTTGATAAGTAGTGTCCTTTTGCCCTGTGTTTTGCCTAATTCTTTTGCATGTTACCAGGAAGTTGAATTTACTTTATCTATTGTTTACTTATGTATACTAATTCGCTGAAATCCAATGATCAGATTTTTGTTTTTAGCTTTCAGTATGTTTTTTTTCGGGATAAAGTTCTTTTCTCATAGGCCTGCTCTTCCCAATTCGCAAAGGTTTTGAATTTTCTTACTTTTTTCTTCCCAGTTGTGTCCAGGGTGGAACTACAGCTATTCCAGGTGCTTTCGGCTGTGGTAAGACTGTCATCTCGCAGTCGTTGTCAAAATATTCCAATTCAGATGTTATTATTTATGTTGGGTGTGGCGAGAGAGGAAACGAAATGTCAGAAGTACTTAGAGATTTTCCTGAGGTGCAAGCAAATGTTTATTTATTCTCATCTTGTAATGTCAGTTTTATTTCTAATGACGCATTAAATTTACGCTGGTCATCAACCTTCAGAGGAATTTTGAATTAATTTAGTAAATTTTTTTCAACTCCAGAAACCCATTTTGAAAGAAACCTTCTGCAATACTCTTGACAATTGTCTGTTGTACGACACGATTAGCTATTCTTGTTTATCATCGTTTGGTGTAAGTTAATCTCAAAACACTAGGTCTACCGTATTTCCTCTAATGAACGCCGCCCTCGATAAACGCCGCCCTCTATTGAACGCCGCACCTTCAGCCAACCATTTGGAAAAAACGCCGCCCTCTATTGAACGCCGCATCTTGAAAAGCGGCGTTCATTAGAAAACACACCACTATTCGAAAGCTATGAAAGTTTTTATCTCATAGAGACGAGGACTCTGATGGAGGCAGGGGTATTGACATTCCTTGGCATTTCCATAACGTGAAGACATCTTTTGTAAACTTTCAAAAATTGTTCACACAATCTTTATTACGTGTTTTGGGAAAACAAATATTTTAAAGTCTGTTTTTATCTTTTTTCATTGCATTTTTCATTTGAAAACTTTTCATTTTGTATTGAACGCCGCCCTCTGATACAACCCTAGCTGGTAAATTTAGGATCTTGTTTTCTGAGCATAATGCCTGCCGCAAGCAAAATTTAATATCTAGTTCTATTAATATCTTCCTCAGTTATCTGTTGAAATTGGTGGTGTTGTCGAGTCGATTATGAAACGTACGGCCTTAGTTGCAAACACATCAAACATGCCTGTGGCAGCAAGAGAAGCTTCGATTTACACAGGTACATATGAATAAGTTTTATAATCTTATTCAACAGAGTTCAAAGGCACTTGAATGATACTCAAGTCCCCTCAGCCCATCTGCCCATCAACATTGGCCAATTAATAAGCGGAATTCTACCGACACGTTTGTGGATTGGCCTATAGTTGATTGACAGGCGGCTCAAGTCACTTTAGTGTCATTCGATTGCCTTTTAAGAGTGCAGGAAACGACTAATATGAATGTGTAACATTTTTAGAGAACTTTGACAAAAATTACTTTTGCTGAAGTATCATTCATTGCGTCATTCCCATCATTGGCATTGTTTTTGTAGCAAGAAGTACTTGATAAGAAAGGGTAGTCTTTAGAGTATACTTAAGTAACCGGTCTCATAAGATCAAAACCTGTAACATACAAAGTAGTAGATACAAAGTGCCGTTTTGGGTTCGTACTTTCATAAAGTTTTCAAAGAGCTGAGATAGGATTCGTGCTTGCTTACAGCTTGGAGAACGTTCATTAACTGTTTTTTGCTTTTTAGAATTACCTTTCTTAGTTAATATTTGATTAATATATTCTCTGACTCTTATTCTAGGAATTACATTATCTGAATATTTCCGTGATATGGGTTACAATGTGAGTATGATGGCAGATTCCACCTCACGATGGGCTGAAGCACTGAGAGAAATCTCTGGTCGTCTTGCAGAAATGCCTGCAGGTTTGTCGACTTTAAGTATCGGTAGAGGGAACAATGAAACAAAGGATAAAAACTTATATTTCATTGCGGAAAAGGAGGACTATTATTTGCTACTTTTGAAGGCTCTTTGCACTTTTGGACCCATCAGAATCTAAAATTCACAGCTTGGTATTAAGATTTCACACTTACCAATAAAACCTGGCCTTTTTGACCGACTTCAGCTAAAATACTGTATCAGGAACCGTCGAAACAGCGGTATTATTATCTGATTTTGCGACTTCATTTGATATAGATCTAATATGATATTTATGAGTGTCTGACACTTTTTTTATTTGTGATCATGACCATAAAGGAATGACATTGCTTTGCAGACAGTGGCTACCCAGCTTATTTAGCTGCCAGGCTAGCCTCGTTTTACGAGCGTGCAGGAAGAGTGAAGTGCCTAGGAAACCCAGAAAGGGAAGGCAGCGTCAGCATTGTTGGTGCTGTGTCCCCACCTGGCGGTGACTTTGCAGATCCTGTCACTTCAGCAACTTTGGGTATTGTTCAGGTAAGCACCAGGCTTGTCTTATTGAAATTGAAGGACAGAGAGTTGTTTTTCGAGCAATTTTTTAGCATTGCACACATTAACTTCTATGCTACAGTATCGGTTTGACTATGTTTTTGAATGGCACGTTGCTGTCTATATAAGAACTATAGCTTATCGTTACGGTCAAGAGAGAGGTGTTGCTGAAGCTTTTCTAATTTAACCAATACTCTAACGGAACGCAAATAAGCTAGAAGTTCTTCCCCTTTCTAATTTTTCTGCGTTTCAATTTGACAACTGTAGGCCTTTGAACTGTAAACTTTGCAGTTGAAAAATAGATCGTATTTTGTGTAAGATTCATCATAGAGATGTTTCATATCTTCTTCTTCTCTTTGTGCCATATTCTCTACGAATGTTGGCGACCATAGTCCTCCAAAACTCTCTGCCCTTTGCTGTTCTCAGAATCTTCAATCTTGCTACTTGCGGTTTTTCTGTTTCATCCACATGTTCTGTCATCCATTTGCTAAGGCCTTTAAGATACGTCAACCGCTGTATTCCTGTTCTTTATATATAAACATAAAACTGTTGTCTATTTTATTTCTGATCAACTCGTCTCTAACTATCGATTGCTAGGCTGGAAGGTAGCAATGTATTTCTATTCTCTCTGCTGTTACCCCTGTAGCTTCAATGCTATTTTTAGAAGAATTTTTTTATATTCCACAATCTTCAATATTTTATTCTTGGCTAGGTCTTTTGGGGGCTGGACAAGAAGCTTGCCCAACGAAAACATTTCCCATCTATTAACTGGCTGATTAGCTACAGCAAATACATGCGTGCACTTGATGAATACTACGAGAAGAGTTACCCAGAGTTTGTTCCACTCAGGACAAAGGTTATTCTCGTTTCATTTCGGTTTCCCATTTTCTAAGTCGTCTCTGTTTGGTTTTTTGCCAACTTAACATATGACTTGAATAGAAATGGCACTATTCAGGATTGTTTAATAAATATATTTAATTCAGTGTATCAAGAGTCAACTCCCGGAAGTCTTTCCTTTAACTTAATGTGTGAAACCCAGTTGAATTAAAATAAAAGCTTATAAATGAAGTTTCAACAAAATTTGAGTTTAAAGAACCAAGGCGCAACAGGCTGAATAATTGCCATCAACTATGCAGCGCTGAATAATTAATGACAAGTATATGCAAAGTATCAAGACATTAATATGTTCCTCAGTACCCTTCTACTCTTAGTTAATTTGTCAATTGTTAGTATCTCTCTAGTATCTAATAATGATAATACTTCGATTTTCTTTAAGGTTAAAGAAATATTGCAAGAGGAAGAAGACTTGTCAGAAATTGTACAGCTAGTCGGAAAGGTGGTTTTTTGCTTCATTTTAGATTTTCGTAACAGTCGCGTCCTTTATCTATTTGTTTTGGTTGATGCCTGCTTAAGGAATTAAGTAATAATAATCAAATAATTTGTGGTTAGCTTATTTGCTAGCTTATGCTAACTAACGCCAACCATAATCAAAATGCATGTTAATAATGAGATAAAAAGTAGCTTATGAGAATATAAACCTTAAAGAAACCCTAAATTCTCTACATATTGCATACATAATTTACAGATATCATCGTAGGTTTAATTCTTTTCTTGAAAATATACATTGGCTGGGACTCTTTAGATTACATGCCATGCCATACCTTAGATTCGAGAAAACGTGCATTTTTAAACTTTAATACGAGCCTACGTGTTATATTTTTCTCAGATTGTACCGCATATTTTGAGAGGGCACGTAAAAAACGTTGTTTGGTTTCTTCATAACTGTTATAAACAACAACTGATATAAATAAGAACGTAATAGTCAGAAACAAAACAAAACGAAGATGAGAATCCAATGTTGTTTAATTTGAAAAAAATTAAATGTAATGAATACTTGTGGAAGGCTTTCATCAGAGTGGCTGTAACGAACGAGTCAAAAATTGTTAATTAGGCCACATAGTTGCGGCGCTCTCTGGATGCGTGAAAAATAAAGAAAGAATCATTCACAGGATAAAGAAACTTCGTCATTTTTGTCGGGATATTCATCGTTAAAGGCATTGAGTCATGATAAAATATTGGGTATACCCTAAGTGCCAAAATCCGCTGAGTCACGATTTTCATAACTGCATTGCTATTGGTTGACCTTAAACTGGTCACATGAGCTCACCTCGTACTGATTAACAAAACAGTTTCCATCAATAGCAAGTTGTCAACAACGAATGCCAATATCACATGAAACAGCAACGATCACATGAAACATTAAGGGGTGCCTTTTTCGGTGAGTTTTCAAACTTGTCGGCAAATAAAGGGTGTCGGCAAACAAACCCCTTGAACACGATACCTCATGACTACACTGCTTACACCCTAATAATGTAAGAAAAAATTAAGAACAAGCCAGCCTGAACTTCAATACACCGGTTCTGATAAAAAATGTGTATACGATTTAGCTCTACTTTGCTGTTACAACAGTATACTTCCAGGATTCTTGAAAGTTATATTTAAGGCAAATGTAGCAAATATATATATATATATTTCTTTCGTCTGTTGCAACAGAGCTCACTGGCAGAAGCTGATAAGATTACTTTGGAAGTTGCAAAATTGATCAAAGATGACTTCCTACAACAGAATGGCTATTCACCTTATGATAGATACTGCCCTTTTTACAAAACTGTTGGGATGTTGACGAATATTTGCGCTTTTTATGACGCCGCAAGACATGCTGTTGAAACGACGGTACATTCTGATAACAAGATCACGTGGGCTATCATCAAAGAGCAGATGGGTGACAACATTCTTTATCAGTTAAGCAGTATGAAATTCAAGGTAAGATGCCCCCTATGTTTCCACGTTAAAGAACCTTGAAAAACATATTTGCTGGTGGTGTCATTAAGGATGAGTGTTTAAAGATATTTCTCCTCGAACCTTAACATAATATTTCGTTTATAGAGAATCGTTTGCCTAATGTTTCCTTTTATAGCCTGGCTTTTGCGAAGTCTGCAAGTCATCCCTCCATGTTTGAAATTAGCAAACCGAAATATAACCGAATTACACTCTGAGCAACTTTGCTGGATATGTCGCCAAGATCGTTAGTGCTCTTTTAGGCCTAACCACTAAGTTGCATATTGTGGGAAAATGAGGTGTCTTAAACCAAACAAGATTTTATAGACTGGTGGCAGTGACAGGAACATAAAACTCTTCAGCTGTTATCAGAAATGTATTGAGATCTAGTCGCGACGATTTGAAAAAAGTGCACGTGAAGACCAAATGATGACAAACGGCACAAACGAACCGTTTAGGATTCGTTTATGAACTACCTGCAATTCGTGCATTGCCTCTTTATTTTGCCATTGAAAAATTGAATAATTGCAGCTTTGCTAAACTCAGAAATGATAGCACTGCTCAACATGTGTTATCCAGCTGTTAGAACAGGATTAATTTGTCTTATTGATGCTTATACCCGGAGCATTGTTAACCAAGTAAAACGGACAAAGTTATCGGTCCCTGAAGCATTTTGCTGCCCTTTAACAGACAAATGTTAGTTTTATTAAAAACGTTTTCAACCCAGACAAGTTAAGCTGGAAACCAACAATTTTGTGTAGTGTTCATGAAGTGTGATACTTTTCTGTAATATGCTTCAATCATTTTTCATAAGCCACAAATAAATAGGTGAAGTAACCAAGTAATCCTTTTGTACACTAATATATACTTAATTATTCGCACAAATGATTTAAAGAGTAATTTGAATATAGCAAGAAAAGGTAGAAGCAAGCAGTTCTTATTCCCCAACACTCCAAAGTTTATGTTATGAAGTGCTCTAAAGTACTTTAGTTTGCCATGTTCACGCTTTTCTGGGCTATCTTCATGGTGACTGGTGACTAATGGTGACTAAAACAGTCCTGCATCGGAAGTACCTGGCTAGTAGATAGCAATATTGGAAACATTTTACAGTCTTTGCAACCTTTTGTCAAAATTTTGAGGGGAAAATTATACCGCGGGTATTGCTGATGTAGCACCTCGGTTTTTAGGAAAAGAGAAACTAGATATTTATTGGCTTTACATAAAAAAGATATGACATTCTTGAGTTTTTTTCAATTCTCTAAAGAGGATGGATTGATGGTGACAAGTTGTGATATCAATGTCGTTATTTTAAAGGCAATCGACAGGTACTAAAGTGGACTTGCTACAAGTCTCTCTCTTTAAAGAAAGGGAAAAGGGAAAAATGGAAGGGGAGGAGACACTCGTTCCCTCCCATCTTTTCTTTTTTCCCTTTCTTTAAAGAGAGAGACTTGTAGCAAGTCCAGTACTAAAGGCGCTTAAGGCATCTTTCAATCAAAAATTGACCAATCAGTGTGTGTGATTCCACTCACATGCTCATTGATTGGCTAATATTGATTGATGTATGGCTTAAGCCAATTTATATCAGTCGACTGACTTGAAATATCATCCTCTTCTGCAGCTTAGTTTAGAACTGCTCTGAAATTATTTTTAATTGCACTGTCAAATACACCAACTGTTCTATTTATTTTGATTATGAATTCATTTATTTGGAAAGTTGCACATTTATGTTTTGACAGTATTAACTGGCTTCTCTGATTCTCAGTGTTTATATGGTTTTATCAAATTTTTTTCCGAGTAATGATAAATTTTCGTCTTTGCAGGATCCAGTCAAAGATGGAAAGAATAAGATACTAAATGATTATCGGGAATTGCATGACCAAATGCAGCAAGCATTCAGAGGTCTGGAGGAATTCTGAATACCCAATGGAGAATTAGTATAATGGGAGACAGAATATAAATGGAATTTTAATATGCAATTTGCTTTAAATATTTTGTAAAACCAGTCGTAGAGTCTCGAATAAAAGTAAGTTTATCGGTATAGTCCTAAGCTCGAGATTGCATAAGCAAATGTTTAAGTTGTTGAATTTCTTTCCATTTGGGTGTGACGTAGAACGACACCGTTTTATTCATGTCGGAACGTATGTGGTTTAATGTCGCATACATCAAGTTCAATGACAGTTTAGTCGGCCCAAGTCTGTTCTCAATCGTAAATCAAGCCTTTGAACACTGAACGGTCTACTTTGCTGATAAACTCAACCCGCAGTAAAGCTATCAAACATTAAGTTTAGTTTCCTATAACTATGGCTATTTTAGCTGGCAACTCGGTTAGTAATCATAGATAGTGTGTTTCTGGTCACATTTTCACTTCGACTGGGTTTATTTGTTTATGCAATATATGTTATTTTACTCCGAGCTAAAATGTGATAAATGTATTTAATTTTGGTAAACACTATTTTATTAGAATTATGTATCTTTGATTTTCCATCATCAAAATCAATTTATTCCTCGACGTTGATCAATTAATTTTTCAGTTCTCAATGAAGCCGACACTTGATATAGCCACAGTGATTTGATGAAAAATTAAGCCACTTCAAACATTTAAAAGATTTAGAGAATGGGTAAATGGAAGTATTTGACAAATAAACTTTGTATGTTTGACGATTTAAAACTTCGCTTACTCAAATGGTTTTGAATTAATAGTTATAAAAAGCGGCTCTGTTTATCGCTAAACTGACGATAAAACACATTTATGGTATCCGATGGCCAAGTAGACTTTCCCAAAGTCTATTTTGTGTTAAACCCGTAAGGCAATCGTACTACTGCGAGGGCACATCTAAACTGCGGAGTAGACGATAGAAGGCGAAGGTAATTTTCCTAATTGTCTAATGGCCAAGCAATTCCTAATAAACTACATTCAAACGTAGAGACTGTGGTAAGAAAGGGGCTACTGCGTACCATTTTATGTTTATTCTAAGGCCTTTTTTAGGGGTAAACCAACCATTTAACTTGTTTATGATGTTGTAATGTCTACTCCCATCTTTATTTTTGATTTTGGCATTGACAAGGCGAGCTTGCAAAGCGATTCTGCTTACGTTGGTGAATTTTTCTTCGTTACTCAACAGGTATTACACTACGCACATTAGTCTATGTGTCCATTAACGAATGTCCCTGTTGCACTCAGAATGCCAGTAAAATGCTAGAATCCACAAAGTACATTAAATCCTCCTATAGCACTCCCTACACTTTACACCATTTAAGTGTTCCATTTTCTGCGACATAGCTGTCTTGCTTTGAAAGCATAAATATAGAGAACCATGCGGAAACTAATCAACACAACATGCTTTCGTCTCATTTTTTTGGAGAAAAATTGATTTATCTTTATATTTACAAGAATATTTTTCAAGAATTCACCAAAGATAGCAAGGTATGAAAATTAAAGTAATGAATTAACGAAAATAAAAGCAAAATACCAACATTAATAGAGTAAAATACATCATAAAGAATAAAACGTTAAAGATAGTAGTTCCTTTTTGGTTCATGAAATGTACATAAATAAACGTCACTTTTCGATACCGTTAAGTCCTCGGATAACCCCCCGAGGGCTTATTTTGCAAAAAAATTAACCAGCCTTTCCACTAGCCCGGGTTAAGACAAAACCGGGTTAAAAGTTATCCATTTTTAAAGTGAGTCAATGGAAACGGCATTTTTCTTCGACTCGTTTTTAATCCGTTTTTTATCGTTCCCACTAAGCGGGGTTAAAATGTATGCAGGGTGAAAGTTGTAAGAGAAATCAGTATTTCCATCAATAATCCTTCAATTCCCATCGTTGTAGGCCAATGGAAGCAACATCGACATGGAGGATTTTGTTTTTGATTTTTGGCACCATCTCAATTCTTAAACGTTGCTGTTGTTGCAAGCGGGTCAGAAGTTGTTCGGGTTTCGGCGTTTCCGTTATCCACAGGTGGGTCAAAAGATACTTACCCGGGTTAAAACTGACCCACTTTGAGACCTGTTTTCAAACTTGTCCGTTTTTCAAGTGGGTTAGTGGCAACGCGACGCAGGAATGGATAACTTTTAACCCGTTTTTGTTTTAACCCGGGCTAGTGGAAAGGCTGCCTTAGGTTGGGGGCCTTTTCGAGGAAGGGGGCTTTTTTGAAGGTGGGGGCTAATTAGCAGCAGCAAAATTATTACCTGGATAAATTTTGGTGCTTAAAACCATTTCATAAACCTTTTGCTATCTGAACAATGCCTCAGCCCATGTGGGGTTAATTTCACAAAGATTGCTTTAGGGTGGGGGCCTTTTCGAGGAGGGGGGCTTTTTCAAAGGTTGGGGCTTATTAACAGCAGCCAAATTATTACCAGGAAAAATTTTCTTCCACTATTTGTTAAGGCTGGTCAGTGTGCTTAGAAATATTGGATAAACCTTTTGTTATTGGATCAATACCTCAGCCAATGTTGGGTTAATTTCACAAAAACTGCTGTTGGGTGGGGGCTTTTTCGAGGACCTCGTCGCTCATACCCGTAAGCGGCACAGGGGGTCGCGGTAAGGAATATAAACCCAAAGGAGAAAGGGTGTGTCTACACCATGTTCGACACTTTTGAATGAAGCCATTATAGAATATCTGTCAATTTTTGCAGATTGATAAAACATGTAATGTCAAAACATGCAATGTCAATTTTTGCTAAATTTTTCCCTGCCTTCAATAATTGTATTTACAATGTTGAAAACTGTAAGGCCCTAACCACAAACGGCCGGAAAATTTCCCCTCTTTGTCAACGGAACTTGATTGTTATCGAGCAATTCAAAGAAGGGCTTCCTCCTCCTTGGATATCGATTTTGATTGGTTATCATTATGCCGCAGATTGTTCAAGAGCGATTTTAGACCGGTACTTGGCAAAAAGTCTTGGCCACCCTTTCCGCTTTTGTGCTCGTCATCTGTCCTGGTGAACGTTGTGTATCAAAATATGAGATTATGTTTTATTAGGGGTGCACAGGTTTACATAACATGGTACTTGGATTGGTTTGACAAGTAATCTGAAAGATTTAAATATCTTTTCAGCAGGGAGAGGATCGAAAATATTATATGACTTCTTTATTTGGCCTAACGAACGCATAACAACATGAGGGAGTATAAAGTGGTTGTGTTGGGATCAGGAGGCGTTGGCAAGAGTGCCTTAACAGTTCAGTTCGTCTCAAACCAATTTCTTGAAAAATATGATCCCACTATCGAGGATTTTTATCGTAAAGAAATCGAGGTAGATGAAATACCGTCGGTGCTCGAGATACTCGACACAGCAGGAACCGAACAGTTTGCATCAATGCGCGACCTGTACATAAAGAATGGCCAAGGATTTCTTCTCGTCTACTCTATTACAAATATGCAGACATTACAAGATTTAGCACCAATGAGAGATCAAATAACAAGAGTTAAGGGAACAGAAAAGGTACCAATTATTCTAGTAGGAAATAAAAAGGATATGCACGATGAAAGAGATGTTCGTCCAGAGGAAGGTCAATCAAAAGCAAATGAGTGGAATCACTGCCCATTCTTCGAAACTTCAGCAAAGACGAGGGAAAATGTGAACGAAGTGTTTGCAGAAATTGTTAGGAGGATAAACCTTGCTGAACACACTTTACAAAAACAAAACGGTTGTTGCTCCATTCTATAATTGATAGATCCTATTAATTATTGAATGTGGTTTCCGGCCTATAATAATTCAAATGAGGTATTACCCCTACCACTGTTAGGGAATTATTTTTCATAACCCCCATCGATTAACTAGTGTCCAAAGTACAATTCATTATCAAGTATCAAGTTTATTCGACTTTTTTTCAAATCTAATTTCATACAAAGGGAACTAAAAGTGGGACACCTATTTCCCCACTTTTTATCCCTTTGAATGTTCAAATGTATTTGTAAACAAGGGACTTAGACTCATTCACTTAATAGAACCACAAGATGGGTATGATATATCTCCTAGAAGTGTTTTCAATATAAACTCTTTTTTAAAAGTTTATTATGGTGCATACAGCTGCCCATGCCTTATCCTTAGGCACTTTAAACCTTGCCTTGCAACATTCCTCAGCTCAGCCTCCCAGTGTGTAGAAAACCATGATAATCACTTTTGATACTTCCCTAATTTTAGGTGAGATATGATTAATTTGTAATGATAGCTAAGTATATTTCTTTTTTTCACTTTTTCAGACATATGTTTATTTTAGCAGTTAACTACTGGTGGATAATTGTATTTGATCTTATCCTTTATCTTTAACAGCATCAGTTTACAAATTGATTACTTTTCATCAAGGCTGTTTGCTACAAAGGGCTACAAAAAAGACTCAAACCAACATTTTGCAGCCAAGCGCATTTGATCATTTTAAGTCCTATTTATATCCACAACTTTGCCTTTGTTGAGTTACCTGGAAAAGCAGAAAGGACAGGTAGCAAAAAGCTACATCTACACTGCAGCTAAAACATAGGATAAAATATACTGTAGTTTTTCTTAAAGACTCATTGTTAACAATGAGCCATGGCGCTATGCAAGCATCCCAGAATGCATTTTCAGAAAGTCTGAAATCAATTATGGTTAATATGTAGAAGTTTACTGCCATTGTTTTGATTGTCGACCAGAAAATTTGCCACCCTAGCAAAGGCTCATTGTTAGTAATGAGTCTTTAAGTTTTGCTTTCATGTGAATGTGCTCATAAATAATAATGATTAAAGATTGTTTGGGCTATCACCAATCTTGTGAGGTTTAAGAATACTTCAAGTTGAAATGAAAAGCTTTTCATTTGATTTTTTGAAGGTGATTTGGCTCAAACCTATGAAGTCCTATACTTTTTACACAAATTATCAATGACCTCCCCTATTTTCTCCCCTCTGGCTCTAGAAAGAAATATACAGCATCTTGTCTACTTTGTGCAAAAGGCTTGAAACCTTAAAAGTAATGTGTCCATATAAAAGGACTGCATATACCCAACCTGTCAAGTAACATCAAAATAATGTCTTGTAATTGGTCAGTGTTCTTGTGATGCAAAACTGCTAATATGAAAAGCTAATCTTGTAGCAGGGTGGATAAACAGAACAACAGTAATGGCTGGGGCAATGGTATGAAAAGTCACTTGTTTCTGAAAACCCTGCAGAGCTGCTTGCATTAGCTTTACCTTTAACAGATACAGGTTCAAATACTTTGCTTCTTTCATGCTTACTGATTTGCACCTTCTTAAATTGACCAATATAGCTAACTGACAAAAATTTTATCATACATTTGCTCATCATGCTTCTCTCCAAAACACTGTTTGCTGAGTTTTGTTATGGAATTAAAGCTTTTTCAAAATCGTTCCTACAAAACTTTAAAAATTATATAACACAAACAATTGACAATACATAGTTTCAAAATTTCAAGCCCTGAAAGAAACCTCCTGTCCAGTGCCAACAGAAGAACAATCTTGTTTGTGATTAGATTTTCAAGGAGCATTAGTTCAAGTTAGATTTCATGTTGAAAGCTGTCAAAATCAACACCTTTTAGCCAGTAAGTGCATTATAGCTAGAACTACCTTCAAAGAAGCAAAATTTTGGCTAAACTTTCAAGTCCCTCAATAGTTAAAGTTTCATTTGTACTGTAAAATGGTCTTAGTAATTGATTTTGTGGTGATAAGTTAAGGTAATTTTCCTGTTGTGAGTAAATTGGTAATTATTTTGTGTGGTTTAGTTTAGCAACAGAAAACAGAGATAACAGAAAAGGGAATTAGTTCCCATTTTTAATATTCATCTGCTCATAAAATTTAGAGGGAGAGACGATATCCTTATCACGTAGAATAATACAAAGTTGTATCTAGAGATATACAGATTTATTGTTATATGTTATATGTAACAGTGTTTTAATAAATATGGAAAGTGATAGTAGATGCAGAAACGTTTGCATTTGAAGAACATCGTTTTATTCTGTAATGATCACTGTTTTACTTTAGGTTTAAAGGTAGCCTGGTTTTCAATTTTATTCATGCATAAAGTATGTTTGATTATGAACGTCAGTAGCATATGAGAGAGCTCAGTCTTTATTTGGTATGACATCCTTTTATTTCTAGTTGTTATCATGAATTAATTCATATTTAGGAAAGGATATTGCCAAAGAAGTTTAAGAAGACATTTCCATAGTGATCTAAATTTAGGATAAAGGTCAGGCTTTTTACTCCCCAAAAAACATTCATTTCCAGATGCCAAAAGCTGTTAAATAGTTTAATATTATATGTCTTGTGATGAAAACTTAAGGAAAGGTAGAAATGTTGAAAATGTGTTGAAAAATTTTTCTGTCAAAAAATTCATTTGAAAGGAAAAAACTTCAAGATGTCAGAGAGAAATGTCGCCAGATGGATCCTTTGAACAGCAATCTATAAAGTATTTTCCCTATAAAAGATTTTAAAGACTTACTTTTTGCCAAAAATCTTAACCAACCTTTTTTATAGATTTCCCTTTGAAATTGAACCCAACGATTTTGAAAAAAACAAATGTTGCTTGACCTTCAAATTATTTCATGCAATGATCCATGAAAGAACATTGTTTATGAAAACTGACCATTTTGCAAGCCTAAAGCATTTTTTGTCAAAACCTGTGAATACTTGTTATAAAAATTTCTATCAAGTCCGCTCTAAGTATCTTAGAAAAGAGTGACCAAAGGACCAAAGGGCAAGGTGGCAGGCTTGAGTAAGAGAGTAATAGAAAAATAGTTCCTAGCTGCTGACAATTCTTTCATAACTAACTTTTTTTGATCATCTATAGCTTTCTTGAAATTGGGAAAGCTTTTTGCATAAAAAAGTGTATGTATAAGTTTTGAGAAAAAAAAGTAGAATTCTAAGGAAAATACATTTAAACAAAAATAGCCATTTTTCCAAGTCTATAGCCTTACTTTTTGTCAAAATATATCCAAGAATTTTCTGCACATTTTCAGTCTAAACTGATTTAAAAAGCATAGATAATGGTCGAAACTATATTTCATGCTACTTTGGGTCAATTCAAGTAGAATTCTATCATAAAATACATTCAAACAAAAATAGCCATTTTTTCAAGTCTATACCCTTACTTTTTGTCAAAATTTATCCAAGAATTTTCTGCACATTTTCAGTCTAAACTGATTTAAAAAGCAAAGATAATGGTCTAAACTATATTTCATGCTACTTTAGGTCAATTCAAGTAGAATTCTATAAAAAAATACATTTAAACAAAAGTAGCCATTTTTACAAGTCTATAGCCTTACTTTTTGTCAAAATATATCCAAGAATTTTCTGCACATTTTCAGACTAAACTGATTTAAAAAGCAAAGATAATGGTCAAAACTATATTTCATGCTACTTTAGGTCAATTCAAGTAGAATTCTATAAAAAATACATTTAAACAAAAGCAGCTATTTTTCCAAGTCTATAGCCTTACTTTTTGTCAAATTTTATCCAAGAATTTTCTGCACATTTTCAGTCTAAACTGATTTAAAAAGCAAAGATAATGGTCAAAACTATATTTCATGCTGCTTTAGGTCGATTCAAGTAGAATTCTATAAAAAATTCATTTAAACAAAAGCAGCTATTTTTCCAAGTCTATAGCCTTACTTTTTGTCAAATTTTATCCAAGAATTTTCTGCACATTTTCAGTCTAAACTGATTTAAAAAGCATAGATAATGGTCTAAACTATATTTCATGCTACTTTAGGTCAATTCAAGTAGAATTCTATCATAAAATACATTCAAACAAAAATAGCCATTTTTTCAAGTCTATAGCCTTACTTTTTGTCAAATTTTACCTAAGAATTTTCTGCACATTTTCAGTCTAAACTGATTTAAAAAGCAAAGACAATGGTCAAAACTATATTTCATGCTACTTTAGGTCAATTCAAGTAGAATTCTATAAAAAATACATTTAAACAAAAGCAGCTATTTTTCCAAGTCTATAGCCTTACTTTTTGTCAAATTTTATCCAAGAATTTTCTGCACATTTTCAGTCTAAACTGATTTAAAAAGCAAAGATAATGGTCAAAACTATATTTCATGCTGCTTTAGGTCGATTCAAGTAGAATTCTATAAAAAATACATTTAAACAAAAGCAGCTATTTTTCCAAGTCTATAGCCTTACTTTTTGTCAAATTTTATCCAAGAATTTTCTGCACATTTTCAGTCTAAACTGATTTAAAAAGCAAAGACAATGGTCAAAACTATATTTCATGCTACTTTAGGTCAATTCAAGTAGAATTCTATAAAAAATACATTAAACAAAAGCAGCTATTTTTCCAAGTCTATAGCCTTACTTTTTGTCAAATTTTATCCAAGAATTTTCTGCACATTTTCAGTCTAAACTGATTTAAAAAGTTAAGAATATGGTTTAAACTATATTTCATGCTACTTTATGTCAATTCAAGTAGAATTCTATAAAAAATACATTTAAACAAAAGTAGCTATTTTTCCAAGTCTATAGCCTTACTTTTTGTCAAAATTTATCCAAGAATTTTCTGCACATTTTCAGTCTAAACTGATTTTAAAAAGTTAAGAATATGGTTTAAACTATATTTCATGCTACTTTATGTCAATTCAAGTAGAATTCTATAAAAAATACATTTAAACAAAAATAGCCATTTTTCCAAGTCTATAGCCTTACTTTTTGTCAAAATTTATCCAAGAATTTTCTGCACATTTTCAGTCTAAACTGATTTTAAAAAGTTAAGAATATGGTTTAAACTATATTTCATGCTACTTTATGTCAATTCAAGTAGAATTCTATAAAAAATACATTTAAACAAAAGTAGCTATTTTTCCAAGTCTATAGCCTTACTTTTTGTCAAAATTTATCCAAGAATTTTCTGCACATTTTCAGTCTAAACTGATTTTAAAAAGTTAAGAATATGGTTTAAACTATATTTCATGCTACTTTATGTCAATTCAAGTAGAATTCTATAAAAAATACAATTAAGCAAAAGTAGCTATTTTTCCAAGTCTATAGCCTTACTTTTTATCAAAATTTATCAAAGAATTTTCTGCACATTTTCAGTCTAAACTGATTTTAAAAAGTTAAGAATATGGTTTAAACTATATTTCATGCTACTTTATGTCAATTCAAGTAGAATTCTATAAAAAATACATTTAAATAAAAGTAGCTATTTTTCCAAGTCTATAGCCTTACTTTTTGTCAAAATTTATCCAAGAATTTTCTGCACATTTTCAGTCTAAACTGATTTTAAAAAGTTAAGAATATGGTTTAAACTATATTTCATGCTACTTTATGTCAATTCAAGTAGAATTCTATAAAAAATACATTTAAACAAAAATAGCCATTTTTCCAAGTCTATAGCCTTACTTTTTGTCAAAATTTATCCAAGAATTTTCTGCACATTTTCAGTCTAAACTGATTTTAAAAAGTTACGAATATGGTTTAAACTATATTTCATGCTACTTTATGTCAATTCAAGTAGAATTCTATAAAAAATACATTTAAACAAAAGTAGCTATTTTTCCAAGTCTATAGCCTTACTTTTTGTCAAAATTTATCCAAGAATTTTCTGCACATTTTCAGTCTAAACTGATCTTAAAAAGTTAAGAATATGGTTTAAACTATATTTCATGCTACTTTATGTCAATTCAAGTAGAATTCTATAAAAAATACATTTAAACAAAAGTAGCTATTTTTCCAAGTCTATAGCCTTACTTTTTGTCAAAATTTATCCAAGAATTTTCTGCACATTTTCAGTCTAAACTGATTTTAAAAAGTTAAGAATATGGTTTAAACTATATTTCATGCTACTTTATGTCAATTCAAGTAGAATTCTATAAAAAATACATTTAAACAAAAGTAGCTATTTTTACAAGTCTATAGCCTTACTTTTTGTCAAAATTTATCCAAAAATTTTCTGCACATTTTCAGTCTAAACTGATTTTAAAAAGTTAAGAATATGGTTTAAACTATATTTCATGCTACTTTATGTCAATTCAAGTAGAATTCTATAAAAAATACATTTAAACAAAAGTAGCTATTTTTCCAAGTCTATAGCCTTACTTTTTGTCAAAATTTATCCAAGAATTTTCTGCACATTTTCAGTCTAAACTGATTTAAAAAGCATAGATAATGGTCAAAACTATATTTCATGCTATATTATGTCAATTCAAGTAGAATTCTATAAAAAATACATTTAAACAAAAGTAGCTATTTTTCCAAGTCTATAGCCTTACTTTTTGTCAAAATATATCCAAGAATTTTCTGCACATTTTCAGTCTAAACTGATTTAAAAAGCATAGATAATGGTCAAAACTATATTTCATGCTACTTTATGTCAATTCAAGTAGAATTCTATAAAAAATACATTCAAACAAAAGTAGCTATTTTTCCAAGTCTATAGCCTTACTTTTTGTCAAAATTTATCCAAGAATTTTCTGCACATTTTCACTCTAAACTGATTTAAAAAGCATAGATAATGGTCAAAACTATATTTCATGCTACTTTATGTCAATTCAAGTAGAATTCTATAAAAAATACATTTAAACAAAAGTAGCTATTTTTCCAAGTCTATAGCCTTACTTTTTGTCAAAATTTATCCAAGAATTTTCTGCACATTTTCACTCTAAACTGATTTAAAAAGCATAGATAATGGTCAAAACTATATTTCATGCTACTTTATGTCAATTCAAGTAGAATTCTATAAAAAATACATTTAAACAAAAGTAGCTATTTTTCCAAGTCTATAGCCTTACTTTTTGTCAAAATTTATCCAAGAATATTTTGCACATTTTCAGTCTAAACTGATTTAAAAAGCATAGATAATGGTCAAAACTATATTTCATGCTACTTTATGTCAATTCAAGTAGAATTCTATAAAAAATACATTTAAACAAAAGTAGCTATTTTTCCAAGTCTATAGCCTTACTTTTTGTCAAAATTTATCCAAGAATTTTCTGCACATTTTCAGTCTAAACTGATTTTAAAAAGTTAAGAATATGGTTTAAACTGTATTTCATGCTATTTTGGGTCAGCTAAATGTTCAGGCTATAGAATCAGCTTAAATTTAATGAAAAAATTATCAATTAAAAATTTAATAAAATGAAAAACGTTGGAGGGAAGAAAATACTAAGTCATAGTTACAATATAGGCAGACAGAATCCCATTATGTACTATCGATTTAGCTTAAAAATAATATTTAGCTTAAAAATAATATATGGACTTAAAAAGCAGTAAAAAATTTACTTAGAAACTATTTTGTCTACAAAATTATTTAAACTTAAAAAAATGCAAGAAGAAACAAAAAAAATTTATTCAGTTCTCAGGCAATGTCCATTTTATGTTGGGTACAATACAAATTTGGGTGACCAAAGGAATATCTTTAGGAATCTCTTATATTTCATTTTAATGCATTTAGAATAAAAAACAAGTAGAAAGAAAGCAAACGAATAGCTTGATTGTATATTCTGAAAAGAATACAACACATTTCTATAATGATGGTTGTAGTCTAATCTCAAATCCATGGCCTTGAGGCTTTTATAAAATCAAATTATTAGAAAAAAAATCCTGAACGAAAATTGGTGATCAAACAGGTAATTTTGAAGAGCTTTGTGAACTAAATCTCCTTCAAGGTGTAAGCTAAAAAATTTTCAGAAATGATGAATTTTGGATCAAAATTTCTCAACCCAGCATGAAAACCGCATCTATGAAGTAAAGTTATCTGCTTGAAATTCAAACAAAACTGGAGATATTTTGTTTAATTCTAACGGTTGTTTCACGAAAAATAAGGTTTTTAATGAGCTTATCTGGCATGAAATAAAGCGTAAAGATTATAGAAAACAAGCAAAAATTGGGAGTATATCTTAAGTATTAACAACGAGCAATCCTTTTGGAATTGCGAACAACTTTCCTAGAATTATTTCTTACAAAAAAGATGATGACGAAAGACTCTTGAATAACAAATACATGGAATTTGCAACAAGGAAAGAGGATATTACTTTCTAGCGCTAATGTATGTGAATATCAATCACGTAATATACTTACATACAGACTTACAGCCTTTTCTGTATAAAAGAACTAAATTTACGTAAAATCTCAAAGAAAGACCTGTAAATGTCACTTCCAGACATGAAACAATATAGTGAGTATAATTTTTAATATATAAAACTAACTGTGACTGGACACATATTAACAAGAATGGTGACGAATTTGCTAAAATTCGATTTTCTGTTTAAATGGTTTTAAGCCCCGTCTAGGTAATGGTACAGTTAAAACAGTAAAAATCACAACTTTTGTCGAAAATAGTTTAATTCATTCTAAATGAATAGAAAAATTATAATACAGATCTCCAATAATCTAGGTATAAAAAAACAAACCACTTGAGGATATGCTTATTTTACGATAATAAGCAAAGATCGAGTTTTACTAAAGTTTAAGTCACTTTGAAATATTAGGTAAATTAAAGTTCGAGGTTTTTGCAAGGGTACGCAAAATTTTAACAGTGTTTCTTAAGGTTCTGTTGTTATGGTTTTAAAAGAATCCAGTCTTCACTTGATCATTCTTTTGAAAGGTTTCATTTTATTGTGACGCATGCTGTCATTTTGAAACACAACATTTTGACAAAAACAGAAAAATGCAGGCCTAATATATCTCTCCTTATAACATGAAAAACGTGATCGACGTATGACAGAAAAAAAATGTCCTTAGTAGTCGCGAGGACATTTATTCTGACTTACACTGTCAATAGTAAAAATTTAACCACTACGGTGATAAAAATGAAAATCTTCACAAAATGTCTAATAATTCTGAATGTCAGTCATCATGGCAATTCTTTTTCATCTGAAATTACAAATTTTTGCCATTCATATATAATAAAAGTTTAAATAATAGTCTTTGAGTATCATCAAATTTTCTTTCATTTTTTTGGGGATCTTTTAAGGTTCAGACAAGCCCTTTTATGAAATAACAGGATGCTTTCAAAGACCAGATAGTTTCACAAGCATGTTTACATGGTTTGATCATGCAAATTACAAATGAAAACAGAAGAAAATTGCAGGAAAAGATTTGTATATGTGGAATTTAAAAGTTGGTCAATTAGTAAAAAATGGTAAAGCATTCTTACCGGTTGGTGGGTCGTCACAAGACCAATCACCCTCTTTGCACTCACTAGAAAATACAATAAGAATCTTCAAGGGGACGGCATTAGACATAAAATACAAAAATATCGAGGAATTAATGTACAAAACAAACGAAACTAGCCCAGGTATTATTTGTTCTAAACATCTATGACTCGATTCATAAGACATTGTGTTCTCTAGAAAATACAGTACGTTTTGTTAAATGGCAAATTTAAGTGATGAAACGTTAATTCTTAAATAGTTTATCCTCATTATTTTTATCTGTTTTAGCAAAAAAGATCTTACAGCAGAACATTGTTTCTACAAAATCACAGTTTCAAGTCGCATAAACCTACTGGTTTTTAAAGCTGTATACAGGCAGTATTTTGAATATAAACCTCCGAGCTTCAGAGCAGACTCGGAGTCATGTCTTAATTACAAATGCGTCTCGAGAATGTCTTAAAACTTTAATCTCAGATGTTTTGGGCTCATACTAACTATGAATCTAAAATTCGTCGCTTCTATTTCAAGAGAGATGATACTAGTAAAAAAAGCATGGTGAAGCCTGCTTTTGATTTTTTCATTGATTGAGATATGGAGCAATTGATTACGACCAAAAGGTAACAGGTTTTAAAATGGCATAACCATTCTCGTTAATATCTCGACATAGATATTTTGTTCCGCTGTGGCTTCTCTGTTGCAACAAAAGTTTGTGGATGCAAGATAAATAACCATAGGTTTCATAGCAAAGAAAATCGAACTTACCATACGGTACGGCGGTCGTCTTTGATTACTTTTTCGCCTTCAGAGTAGTAACGGTAGCGATGATGACATTCTGCAAAAGGGAATCACTCAGTTGTCGTGTTTTAACATATATAGTATTAAGAAAGTATTATAAAACAAAAAAGAGCCTAGCGGCAAACAGGTACGAGTAACAAGTGTGGAAAATTGCAAACTAGTTTTGACCACTTTCTTAAACCTAAATCAATTGTATATATATATATATATGTATTATATACACAGCTCTATAGTTTACGGACAAACTTCTCTGATAACGAATTTCACACAACTTCGAAAATACAACTGCATAGAAGAAAGCTACCCGGCTTTATCCAGAATACTACATCTAAAAATTACGTCCAAAAGCCAATCACATTATAACGGTATAGAGCATAGAAGCACAACTATGGAGGTTTTCTGTACAAAAAGGTTTCTAATGCATTTGACTTTCATCATAACGCTGCATCAGAGACTAAAAGTCGACAGACAAGAAAAGAGAGATGTGATCAGAATACGGTGAGCGCAGGAATTTTGCTCGCAAATTTTGTACGGAATTAATTATTTTGCACGGAAACACCCAAAAAAGGAGAGAAAAAAGGAACAAAACATTCACAAGTGTACCCAGGTTGCTCGTTTTGTCTCCATCTACTCCTTTTTGCGTACATGATTAGAGAAAAGCGTGAAATGCCAAATAATTTCAAGTTCACTACATGAATGAATCTGCCTCTGAAGACGTTGCCAATTATCTGAAATCCCTGTCAACTGAAATGAAAACGTTTACCAGGCATTACTCTACATACTTTTTAGCTGGCAAGCCGGACAGCATTCTCCAGGTACATCCACCAGTTTCTGGCAATTGTTATCAGTGAAATCGCAATCCGGAGATCTGCATAGGACACCATAAGACCGCGTGCATCTACATGCCGTACAGTTGTCAATATTCCATTCAGAGGCAAATGAAACAGCTGTTCCATCAGGTTTATTGCAAAACTTGGGCTTCTCCAGTTTGCGGGGTGGAACTAAAAAACGCAAATTAATCACGATTGATCAATATACGTATTCCCAATGCCACATGCAGCTATATTTTTGAGTCTCTTATTTCCATTGCTATAACCTTGTTGGTTTTTGGTAGAAATCCAACAATATAATTAATCAGGATATTTTTAACAACAGCATATTTCAAATCTTCCAGGTTCACAGGACGTTAAAGGTAGATAGTGATGGGGGATGCATTTAAACAAGGCTATGGTTATAAAGTGCCTAGCTCCTTGTGAGAGGTCGTAATGGTATAGCGTTCGAAAACAATGGTCTTCTGATTAGTCATTACCCCCCTCCTTATTAACAATGTACCGATTCATATACAATGTTATTATCATAGTTGGTTCCATTGCAATTACAGTGCAAGGGAGTTGCTGGTGCTCATCAAGCCGGGATACTTCAAACACGAGAACTTGAAAATAAGTACTTGAAAACAAGAGGAGCTTGTTCCTCATTTACAGTACTCTCTTAAGCTCATGAACCGTTATTAAGGACCATGAATTCTCTAATGATCTTACTTTGTCTTCAAAATTTCAAAGCCGCACAGTGTAAAAGTGTACCAGTATGTCAGTTTCAGCAAATTAAAGCCGGAAACAAAACTCACTTATATCATCAATACAGATCGGCTCGCATTTCCCATTCCACCGCTGACGCCGTTTGCAGTTCTGTTTCACTGAGCTTGGATCCACACAAACGATGCCTTTTGTAGTGCATTCACATACACTGCAATTGTTTTCCTGCCACCTCTCGTGTTCAACCACCACCCTTCCGTTTGACTTCTTACAGACGTGATGTTCGGGACACACAGGGCAGCATCTTCCCTTTTGAGGCCTTGCAGGCCCGGTTCTACAAAACGGCAGTGCACACATGGGCGACGAACACACTGGATAGCCGTCTCTACTACAAGTGCAGTGGATGCAATCATCAGAACCGTACCATTCATCACCAATGTTATACTCAATTTTAGTTTCGTAATCGATGCACTTGCTGTGACGCCTTGGCTTAATTGGCTCTATCAAGGGAGGCGATACTGGCAAAGGTTTTGGCTTCTCTTCTGTTGACACCTTCTTCGTTTCCCCTTCAGTTTTTGGATCCTTTTTGCTGGATTCTCCCTTACCAGACGAATCATCAAGCTGCCTGATTGGAGCCACAATGTCTGGGTTTTCGGTAGAAGGAGGGGCTTCAGTAGTAGCAGGAACAGGCAGTCCCTTTTCTGTGCATGTTGGTCCTCTGCCTATAGTAAAAGCAAAACGTTCAACCCTAGATGTAATGAACATTTAAAGATGTATCTTTGGTATGATCCGTATCGGGCAGTAAAGGTACAAATGTCGATGCATCATAGTTTTCTATATTTGGTTTATTCGATTGCTATATATGATATGGTTATGTACTTTTCATTATTGTAGACAATTCCAAGGTTTAGTATGGTATAGTAGGATATGATACGGCAAGATGTGGCGAGATATAGTATAGCAAAATATATGATATTACACTATACTACAATACACTATATTACAATACACTATACTACAATACACTAAACTACACTATACTATACTATACTATACTATACTATACTATACTATACTATACTATACTATACTATACTATACTATACTATACTATACTATATTATACTATACTATACTATACTATACTATACTATACTATACTATACTATACTATACTATACTATACTATACTATACTATACTATACTATACTATACTATACTATACTATACTATACTATACTATACTATACTATACTATACTATGCTATGCTATGCTATGCTATGCTATACTAGGTTTTAAAAGCTATAAATATCGATATTAGTATGATACGGTTTGAATGGGTCTGCTTTGTTATAATACAAAAGAACAATACCAATGGGACTCACAATAAAAGACAATGGGAATATCTCTTATATATGTGTCTTCATCTTCTTTCAATGGGACTTTGAGTGAACTATCCGAAAGATAATCATTGTTTCGAATCCAAGAAGTTGTTTCGTTACCAGGGCACCAACCAACATTGAGAACAATGCCCACGCTGTACACAGATTTCAAGTCTTTTGGCTTTTTGGTCAGAAATGAGTATTTAAATTTCTGCTGCAACTCGATGCCTGACATATCCCACGTCTCTGCTGCATATAGAACAGACTTAACATCTTGAAATGAGATATCCTCAAAAAACAGCTTTAAACATGATGGCGCTGGTAGTTTTCCAGGAATTTTGTTGAACATCATCACACCTTGAATTGTCATATTTTTGCTCCCTTGAAAAAATATAATTTCAAAAAATTTAAAGTCATATACATATTTAAAAAAATGAAATCTCAATAAATAACTTCAAATTACTATTGACAGATTTTCCCTTAGCTATTTAACGGGGCCCTAAAAATTTGTTTCTAGAATGGAAACGTAGACAAGAACTAGATTTGTGTGAGTCTTGCGGTGGAAGGTCTTTTTCTGAGATTGACTTACGAATAAATGATCCAATGGCGGGTCTTAATTTAAACTTTATATATCAAATACAAACGATATTTGCAATGAGTCTTCAACTTTCAAGAATAATAGATTCCTAGCTACCCTCCATGCCAATGATATCTTTTGGTATCTGTATTCTTATTTAATGATAGTTTCCCAAAAGTAATTTTTGTCAAGGAAATTTTTAAGAAGGCAAGACTAATCAGATTTGGACTTCTTCGCGACAAACGCACAGCAGCTGCACAAAGCGAGCATAAATTTCTTATTTCATTATTCAATTGTTGTACAAAAGATCACTGAGAAGACGCTAAAACCAAACTAAAACCAGGAATATCGAACTTGGAAATGTACTTACTTTTGTACATCACAGTTTTACTCTATCGATACAACATTCGGTCAAAGAATAAAATTAGTTTCAAAATCTTATCATCATGATGCTTCGAGTTTGAAATTTAGAGTAGCCTTGAATTTACGCTACCACAGTGTTTTTTTCCATTTCAGTTAAAGATGTTATCAAAGGAGAAACATTAGAAGCGTTGGCACAGCGACGCCAGGGTAACTTCATTATCTCAATCAGGCCCCTTCTTCAGTAAATTTCAATCACAAAGCAACTATGAAAAAAGAAGAGTCCTTGGAAAAATGCGGCATCTTTGAGAAATGTGGGGATTACCAGGCCTACTGTCCCCTGGTTCCAACTCTATGCGTAAATGCCTCCATTTGTCAAAATTAAAGTCAACTTAACTGCCAGCTTAATAATTTTGTCGTGAAAGGGTTATATTCTTAATGACAATGATTTAATTCTTAATATTACGCGGATATTTTATTTGATCCACATAAAGCCAGTTAATTTCACAAATACACAGTCACCTATCGTTACGCAGTTGTTGATATGTTAGGTGTAAAATCAAATCTTACCATACACAGGTTTTCTGTCGTGCGAATAACCAGTTTTTTTGCCAGCTAACAAAGATAAAGAAGTCAACTTCAAAATTTACATTGACAAAAAAAACTTGCTAGGAATAAAAAAGAGTTTAATACACAGCGATCATGATGTCCTCGTATATAATAAACTATTGAGACTCGAAAAATTGTTAGACTGTCAATTATATACTCAATATTTAAGCTTTATCCTTGCAAGCTACCAAAGAGATACTAAAGTAGCCTCGAAGAGTCTTTAATCTGCTTTAAGGAAGTGTTTGTCTGATCGAACCTAAGTTAAAAAAAAAAGGATAAAGAGGGCTGAGTTAGAAGTTCTACATCCAATGCAGCACTTTCACTTTCAGGACCCTTAAATATGCTAGCAATCGATCAAATTTGTCATACTTTCGTCCATTTCATCCATTTTCTTCAAAGTCTCTGAAAAAGATCGATAATTCATAGATGAAAAGGTTCGCTGTTGGCATAGAAGATGAGGAAGCATAACACACTTAATATAATAGCAAAAGACTTAACTGTTGAAAAATTGCTCTTTTTTGAAGTAAATGCAGAGAATAATCTGTGCAAACAAAAAACAAAAAAAGGGTACGTGGTTACATGTACATACCGCTCTTCATTTCAGAAACTGGAATGGACCTAAGTTTACCATTAACACTCCACGCGTCAGAAGAACCTAAAAAAACGAGAAAGACACATTAGCTTTACTGCTTTTGAGACAATATTTTTGTTGAATTAAGGGTAGCTCCAATAAGAGGCTAAATGATCTTTATGATCTGACCTTTGATCAAGTTGATATGAGGATTAGACTGAAATTTTAAAGGATTGAGCTACAAAGTCAATAGTCGCTTGGTATTTTAAATGAATGTATCGAGTGTCCTTGGTAATGACAATTTCACAATAGAACATTTTGAAAAGAAGTCTTGCAAAAGGTATGATTCCTCATTATACAGACATGCTGAATTTGATTAAGCAATGAAAGTTGTCAGGCACCAAATAGAATAATCAAGAAATGTAGCCTTGAAAAACATGCACTTTAAATAGACTCTGCTCTGGAACAAATCTGTCTCCTTGACTGTTGCCCCAATCAGGCAATACACTTATCACGATGCTACCAAAGTTGCTTCAAAAGCATCCCGGAGTCAGAGGGAACAAACCCTGATATTGACAGTCAATGAAATCCTTTTTTCATTGCCTTGATATGTGATTTTATGCATCCACGTTTCTAGCTACCGGTTGAGCGTTTACAGCTCTGCCTATACGACATCGAGCGGTAAACAGTAACTTTCTTTTCTTGCTACTCAGATAGCAAAGTTTGGTTGAACAATGAATAAAGGTGATTCATTCGAACTGGTTGAGTGAAAGAATCTGCTTTTCAGGTGATAGTCTGTAATACCTCTAGATTTTGTAAGATTGCCGATTCTCTCAAACGTTATAGGGAAACAAAATTAATGAGGAGTATTTTTCATGGCCACCTGACATGGTATCATGCACAGTACAGAATTAGGAATGGTATGGAATTGTATGGCGTGGTATGTTATGGCGTAGGAGGTATTGCGTGACATGGTATGGTGTTGCATGAAATGGTATGGTATGGTATGGTATGGTATGGTATGGTATGGTATGGTATGGTATGGTATGGTATGTATGGTATGGTATGGTATGGCATGGCATGGCATGGCATGGTATGTCATGGTACTGTATGGTGTTGTATGTTATGGTATGGCATGGTATAGCAAGGTATGTTATGGTATGGTATGGTATGGTATAGTATGGTATGGTATGATATGGTATTGCGTGGTATGGTATGGAATGGTATGGCGTGGTATGTTATGGCGTAGCATGGTATTGCATGACATGGTATGGTGTGAAATGGCATGGTATGGTATGGTATGGTATGGTATGGTATGGTATGGTATGGTATGGTATGGTATGTTATGGCATGGTATTGTATGGTATTATATGGTATTGCGTGGTATGATATGGAATGGTATGGCGTGGTATGTTATGGCGTAGCATGGTATTGCATGACATGGTATGGTATTGCGTGAAATGGTATGGTATGGTATTTTATGGTAGGTATGGCATGGTATTGTATGGTATGGTATGGCAAGGCATGTTACAGTATGGTATGGTATGGTATGGTATGGTATGGTATGGTATGGTATGGTATGGTATGGTATAGTATGGTATGGTATTGTATGGGATGGTATGTTATGGTATGGCATGGTATTGTATGGTATGGCAAGGCATGTTATGGTATGGTATAGTATGGTATGGTATGGCATGGCATGGCATGGTCTGGCATGGCATTGCATGGTATGGTATTGTATGGTATTCTATGGTATGATATTGTATAGTATGGTAAGGTTTTGCATTGGTAATTTATTGGCATCGGTATGATATGATTTGGTATCGTATATGATATGGCATGGCGTGGTATAGGAGATTTTATGATATGACACAATATGGCATAGTTTAGAATAAAACAAAACTGCATACTGTTATATAGATATTGAAAAGAACGTTTCTTTTTGATACCTTCAATCTTTATCTAAAATTGTGTTGATGGAAATTATGTGAATCTTTTTACCATCTCGAAGCTCAAAAGTATCGCGAATCTTAAACGAGGTTCAAATAAAGTTTACGGTCTATTTCAAAAAAAAATTGTAGCAGATCAAAACTAAAGAGCTTCAAACTTGTTATTCTGTTTTAAAGCTAGTAGTTTATTTTGCAAACGCAATACTGAACAGGTCGGAAGAACAAAAATATGGGCGACTTCGATACCATTGCGGCGTTGTTTGCAGAGACTTTAATGTAAGATGGCTTAATGGGACTTTAGCGTAATGACGATCATCTTGAAAACATAAATCCACTTTTCTCAGCTGTGTTTTGATTAGGCATTCTATCGAAAAAAATGCATCATCTTGGAAGTCAGCTCCTAGAGCATGAAAATAAAGTTGAAACATCCCAACGCCGGAAAAACACTATTTACAATCGACCACTAGATGTAATGCCGCGTGAAACAAAAAAGCCTCACACCTTGGCTGACTTTTATGGCTCTTACAAGTTTCGGGTCTTAAAACTCATTGGAAATTTTTCTCAAAGTGCATGAAAACCAAAGTGCAGTGCAGGTAATTAGGCAGAAAAAACTCAGCAATTTTATTCATGCTCTGGTTATCATTCTGCTAAGTGCTACTGAAAAGCAATAATCTACCAATATATGTATATACCTCTACGAGTTCCAAATAACTTAGTAAGCGACTCGAGAGTCAAGAAGACAAACGAGTGATGTCATCATTAGTGACACATTGTTAGTCATAAAAGAAATTGACTCTTTAATCAAGAGTTTGTAAAAAATTTCTGATGCAAAAAGTTTCTTCATACTCTTTCTCTGGAGGAGAAAGAGCCCCATTCAAAGGAGTCTGCATTTATGAGAAACATACCCGATTACTTTAACTCCATGACGCTCAGTACCAAAAGTAGGCTAGTTGAATAATCCCCTTTATATCCATTTCAAAATTTCGACTTAACTATGACAAAAGGCAATTCATACTCTATCTCACAAAGTTGCCTAAAGAATCAGATATGAAATTTAGCAAGCATCAGCCAACAATTAAAGGTCAGTTCTCTCATTCCGTACCTGTCTTCGGGTATTCTGGCTTCTCTGAAATCTCACTCGAAAACTGAATGGGTGGCATATTTAGTTGGTCTTTCAAGTCTGACTTTGACTCAATCTTGCTAGGTAACTTCTTAGGCTTCTTTACAGGGCAATCAGCTCCATAACCTGAAACAAGGGTAGAAAATTGAGAATCTTAACATCTGATTTACAAAATATGGGGGCTTTTGAAGAAAGCCACGAGAAAAACCATGATTCGTCTGAGTACTTTCGTAATGCACTTTGAGTACTGGCAGATGTGGAAAAAAGGAGGAAAAAGACACTGTAATTGAAGTGGCAATCTTTTATTTATCTATGGGTTCTGAACAAAATCTTGCCATTGCAAGTGACATTACAAAACATTTATCCTGTCAACATTGAAAGAAAATTGGAAGTGCCACAAAAATTTCTTGTAGAAATTATGTACATACAAAAACTAAGAAAATGAAAGACACAAGGTTTTACGTAAAATTTGACCTGATACCAAAGTATTTTCCCTATTAACCTTTATGAATAAAGATTATTTTTAAGGGAATACTGTCCTGTAAACAAAGCCAGCTCACAATTTCCTGTCTAATAAATCCCTATGCATTTAATATTTCACGGTGCTATTAACACATTCGTTCTCATGGAAATTCTAAAGCTTTTAATTGCACATAATGACTTTATAGTGACATGGTACTTACAGTAATACACCAGGTTCAGGTCCTTTTCATAATTAACCGAATCTGGTTTTAACTTAACGTTAAACATAGTGTCAGTAAGGAAGTCTTTATTTTTCAGCCATTGTTTCGAGTCCTTATCCGGACACCAGCCAACATTGAGAGTAGCGCTAACACTGAATCCAAACGTTCTCTGTGGTCTCCTGGACATAAGCTTGTATTCATAGACATTTCCAATTTCAACACCAGAGAGATCCAGTACATCTTCCTTGTATGATACACTTGAAGTATCAGCCAATCCAGTATCTTGGAAACTGATACGTAAACAGGACTTTTTAGGAAGCTTGCCAGGAGATTTGTTGAATTTTAACTTTCCATGGATAGTTATATTCCCAGGCCCTGAAAAAAAATCATTTTACCATGAACTTAGAACTTTCGATCAGGTGATACTTAACTTTCTAGCTAAACAAATTGCGAGAGACAAGACGGTTTCAAAGTTGAAAGGGCGGATAACGGAGTCGCAATGAAAACATTTCGCACCACTTCCATTTGGGTCTCTGGAAACGCTTTCTCTTGAAATACTCTTCGAAAATCAAAATACACAACGGTGAGCATGGATTTTTTACCAGAATGCTGCTTAGTAAGATGTAGCTATCATTGTCACTGAACTTAAGTTCGCGAATGGTTTTGGCTTTTTAAAAAAAGGGCCCACAAGGAACTATCCCATTGAACAAAAATTTCAGCGCAACAAAACTCTATTAATGGCCTATCAAAATTAGAAGAAATTTTTCGACTAAGTCATTCAAAGTAAATCTTACCGTATTCTGGAGCCCGAACGTAATCATCTACCCAGTCCGCTATGAAAGATACACAATGATTCACATCAAAATAATTATCATACATATATATACAAATTAATATCAAAGGGCAAAATTGTTATATTACTATATTGACAAAGTAAATCAAACCAAATTACCGCGATAGCCTTGATATCATAAATTTTTCAGGTACTTTCATTCCAAATCATCCTTACTTGATTTCATCACATGGTGAGGTGTTTTCGTTATTTCGGCAATATTTCAGTACCAATATACAAGGGCTATTGGGATTTTCAATTCCCGGTAAACGGCATAGAAAAAGATCGTTGTATTTCAGGTTACAAATGTCTTTAATGCTCCGTTAAACTTGGATGCTTTTATCAATGCAAAAAGTCTAAACAGTGGCTTCAAAGGCTCTTGTTGAGAGCAACATTAGGATGCCACGTTATTTCAGTATGACACCTTCTGTTTTACAATTTTTCAAAAGCTGAATACAAGTAATTATTGGATACACCAAATCATGAGCAAATGCAATTGGCTATCTTGATGTAATGTTCCATTTTGGGATTGATGTTTTTCAAAAGGTAATTAAACTGGCTAACCAGACGTCAAGCACATAAAAAAGCTATAAGGGGTTCTCACCTTCCGTTGGATCTCCAAGAATTCCATGAGGAGGTTCAGGGCTTTCATAGGGATCTGAAAAGATGATAATAAGATGATCTATTTATTGTGTTGAAGAAAGACTATAAATTTACCCCGTACTTTCTGACATGAAACTCCCAACCCCATGCTGATTCGACAGGTAAGAGATAATTGCACAAAATGTTTGACTCAGAAACCAAGCAGACACAAAAAAAAGACTTTTCATCCTCTAAAACAGGGCTGTCAAACTCAATTGCACACTTAAGGTCGCGGGCCGAATCAGATAAACATCAAATGATCTCGCGGGCCGGATATAATTACACGCCTGGCCAGTTCGTACTTATCTTCTAAAAATGCATAGACAGTTTCTCTCGATTTAAACTTCTATTTCGTTTTTTCGTTATTTCATTTTATTTCTAGCTACAATAAAAAAGCGATTGTGCCTCTTAGAAGATTCATTCAAAAGTTCTGAAGATATAAGTGAAAGTTACCTATTAGAAGATCAGGTATGGGGGGTGTTTCCCCAAGAATCTCACTTTTGGCTTCAGGTTGTGCTTTTTCGTTCGTTGCAGGACATTTCTTTCCCCTACCTACAATTAAAGTAAAGACGAATCAGAATATACTTCTGTATTGAATATAAGGGTTCTCCTGGTAAATGATGCTATGTAATCTTGAAATATATCTGTATACCAAATGATGTGTACGTACAATAGCGTTGAATAAGTGGAGCTGAAAGATAGTTTGCCCAGTCTGCAAATATAAAATAGGTTTCAACACAACAAAAAAGTACATTAATACTGGTATCTCTTCCTTTATGCAAATATTTGCTAAGATTGAGCACACAGGACGCATGAGCAATTTTATCATGTTATGCTTGGGAAACTCTCTAAAACTTGCTATTAAAAATGTATTTTTTATACATTTTGTAAAAATGTGTTTACAGTGGCATCGCAGCCATGAACAAGATGTTGGGCTATTTCAAAAGATTGTAAACAAACGAGTAAAGGGGACTGATTATTGAGCTTTCATTATCATTGTTATTATTATTATTAATTTCTTTATAGTAGGCGCTTAAAGAGGTAGCAAAATTACTGCTAATTGAAGGCTACTAAAACAAAAGCAAAAAATAAAATAAATCTCACAAATCTAGCTATTAAATTATATCCAACATAAAATGATCTTTATATATACATAAATATGTTACATATTTACAGGTGAGTTTCGAATTTAGATAAAAACAAGGTTAATTAACGAACCCAACCTGTGCTAAGAAAGTCTTGCATAATCGGCAGTTGCATTCATCACCCTTTCACTCCTTTATACGTTTTTTAAAGATGGAAATATTAAGTGACTGTTTGATGTCAGTTGAGATTCCATGCCACAGTTTACATCCCAAGCAAGAAACGCTCTCTATTAACCAAACTATCCGGGCCTTGGGCTTTTGTAGAAGATTTTTGCTTCTTAGATGATAGAGGGGATTTTTCTCAATGAAAATTTCACTCATAAAGCTTGAAGTGATATTTGATTTAGTTTTGTAAATCTCTGGCATCAGCAACTGCAGATTCCGTTTATGTACAGATACAAAATTATCTCTGGTCAAAAGTGTATCAAAGTCAGAAACACTATCCTTGTATGCGATGCTCAGTGCCTTTTTGTGAATGTGGTTGATATTGTTATCAAGATTTCTGCCACAGGACATCCACACTAAGGGGCAGTAGCTAAACTGGGATCGGATAAAAGCCTGCATGATATGCTTGAGCTTTTCATTGTCTAGTAAATAGGAAATACGTGAAAGAGCGTGAAGCTTTAGGCCTGCTTTCTTGCATAACGATTTTTCCATTTCAAAAAAACCATAATCGTCAGATAAACATTTGCAAAATTCAGAAAAATAATACGTATTGATAGAAATTATGGCCATCATTATATTGCAGTTTTGAAAAAAGAAATCAGCACTTACAATAATATATTACTGGCACGTCGACTTCATAATCTGTTGTACCATCACGTAAAGGAACATAAATTGTTGAATCGGACAGAAAATCAAAATTCCTGATCCAGTCATTCGAGTCTGGGGAGGCACACCAGCCTACATTTAGAACAGCACTTACAGCATAGAATTCATGGTGTGTCTTTGGCTTTTTTGTCTTGAACTTGTAGTCATAATGGGCGCTGATGTCTGAATTTGATACGTTGAATTCCTCGGTTTTGTACACGACAGATCCGTCATCTTGTACCGATACGTCTTCAAAGACAACACGAAGACATGATGGTGTAGGCAGCTTTCCCGGTGATTTCTCGAAAGTAACTTTGCCACGGATTGTGATAACTTCGTCAGCTGTGAAACGATCGGAGAAAAACGTAAATATGAAATATAAAACAATCAATTCAACACAACAATCTTCTAAAAATTCATCAGATGTGCAGCTAATTACAAGTTTTCCTTACAGTGTAATTGGACTGATGTCTTTGATAAACAGATGAAATGATTTCAGGTCTAAAGAAAACCAATTTAGAAAAAAATAGATACACATAAACACATGAGTTCAATATCAGAAAACGAAAATACTATTGTGTTTTGGGGAAATAAATAATTTTCAGGATTTTTTCTGTCTTATAAAAAGTTATCAGAAAAAGGAAAAGATTTCACAAGAAAATAAAAAAATCAAGAAAAACTTCACGTACAATACTCTGGCTTCGTAACATCTTGTGGTTTATCTATAAAGTGAGATAGAAAACGAGCTAAAAAAATGTGACGAGATTCACCATATAATATCGATTTGTATAGGGAAACGAGGCCGATAAAAGAGTTGACTCCGTAGGTCTATTAAGCTCGAGGAAATATTAAATGATATTTGACAATTCATCAGATCTCAAACTGATCTTACCTTGATCTTTGGTAAACGGCATTGGTTCAAGCTCTGCATTAAAAAAATAGAAAGTTTGTATAACGAGAATATTGTATAAAAATCTAGCTTAACGGAAGCGATGGGTGGTAAGTCGCACTTTTAGATTGAATAAAAGGATCACATGGAAGATTCTTTTGACTTTTCAAGATGGAGATCGGAACCTTATAGGCAGAAAAATCTAATATTTCGCCGAGGGGCTAAATCACTCGATGAAAACATCATCGCAATTCAATTAATCGTGATCGTATATCTTGTGGAAATCCTATTGCTATATCTGAAAATCCCCTCAAATCATTTTGCTTTGGTGGAAATCTCGTTCGCTATATGCAGGAGTCCCTGGCATTTCGCATCAGCACAAAAGGCTCCTAGAATACGAAATATCAAAAAGAGAGAAAAGAAAATAGGATGGCATTCACAGTAAGCAAACGTAAACTATAGTTGACTTAATGACTATTGCGAACATAGAGTAAAAACGTGATGCTATCATAAGAAACTTTGAATTTAGACCAAAATTAACTGAAAAAAGCATTACGAAAAAGCAAAAACTGCTGAAGGTATCAAAAACTGGCTGAGATAAAGTGACAAAATTATTAAAGCCCCTTTTTAAGGTAGATCATCAAATATACTTTTTCAATCGTAAATTGAAAAGGTATACTGACTATATACTAGTTTTCTGCCAAAACTCCAGAAAAAGTTCTGTACTTTCTCTTTTTTCCCGACAGAAAAACAAATTTTTAGAAAATAAAATTCTTCAAATAAATCTTTGTTACATAATCTATGTGTCCATAAAAGTGTCAATTACGGGGTTTTTCCAGGTACACTGAAATTACTATTGTCAAACTGTGTTTAGCCTTAACACCAAAGTTACCACGCCACGCGGTTCCACACAGAGAGCCCGTATTGTATTTTGTACGGCCCCATAAACTGATTTAACATGGAAAGAAGAACTCTAAAGTTTTCTTTCAGACAGTACAGTCCAAAGGCAAAAATCAAAATAATATATGTATGAAATATCGGCTTTATGCAGAAACAATCAAAGCTTCAAATTGATTTCCAATCCATAAAAGAGTATACTGTCCAAAGAAATTCAGAGATTGGAAGCTGTTAATGACGTGTTTTAAACCCACCTGATTTAACACATCTGTCTCTTGTGCATGTACACTTTGATGAGCCAACAGGCACTTTAACTTGAACACGCTTTTCGTTCGGTCCACAGACTACTTGCTCTGGGGGGCATAACGATACACATCCCAAATTATTGTCGCCATAACATTTGCACTTTCCTCTGCAGTCTCCAGAAATAAACTCCTCTCCTGCCTTGTAAGTATTGTTCTGGAATTTGCATCCCGAAAGTGGTTCTAATAAAAGATAAAACATGTCTCATAGCAATACTCGCAAGAAGACAAAGCTTTAGTTTCTACAACATGTTTGCAGAAAAATTTAGAAGAGATACCATTGTTAAGAAAATTGATAAGGCTTCATTGTAAGGTGTAATTCTCCAAAGTTAACTCAAAAACAGGGCTTTACTCTATATCTTTCAAGCATCTTCTATTTTGTCTTTACGCTCAAGATCCTAATTGTAGGGGGGGTAAACTCCATTTTTCACAAATTTTGCATACCCATTTCCATTTATTAACACCCCCTAAATATGCATTTCATGCAAAATTCCTATTAAACCCCCCCCCCCAAATTAAATATAATTTCGGAAAATCCAACCATTCCAATCTATTATGGCCGCCCATCTTAGGGTTTTTTGAAAAATGCCAACCCCCCTCCTTATTAGATCCCCCCTACAATTAGAAACTTGAGAGTACATCTTCCTTACTTCTGATGCTTTACAAGTACTGTTTCCTTCCATATTTCTCGATCACTTTTCATTTCTCCTAACTAACTTTCTGCTGATTCACATTCTCGTATTATGTTAAATTTTCAGGTCTTCTATATTAGCAACTTTGTATGGTGTTGCAAAACAGGATGAGAAATTAGATTTTCTGGTGCCAAGTCCCCTTGTGGGCAAAAAACTAGGTTATCCTTTCTAGAAATTGTCGAAAAAGAGGCAAAAGATAGAGTTATAGATATTTCTGTACTCTGAGAGAAAAATGACAATATGAGCAACATGACAATGCAAAATAATTAAAAAAACCAACCCTTTTTGACTGATACTTTTATGGCAGGTGCAGACCGTCTTACTTGAATGGGAGCGTCTGGTGACTCCACAGAAAATTTGCCAATATTGCCAATTTTTGTTTTTTTAGATAATTCAAATGCCGCGATTGGAGGGATTTCGGTAACGCTGGGCTTTTCTGGCATTTTGGGGTTTTCTGGGATATCAGGTTTTTCTGGCACTTCTGGGACATCAGGTTTCACTGGCACTTTTGGGAAATCAGGCTTCACTGGCACTTTTGGGATATGGGGTTTCATTGGCACTTTTGGGACATCAGGTTTCATTGGCACTTTTGGGACATCAGGTTTCACTGGCACTTTTGGGACATCCGGTTTTGATGGGACGTCAGGTAAATCCGGTTTTCTATCCGGTTTTATGTCCGGTTTTACATCAGGTTTTACAGGTACAAGGGGCTTCTCTGGCACAACTGGAATTTCTGTTTCATCCTTTATGATTATGTCGGGATTTATTTCAGGTCCTGATGGTAAAAAACGAAATGTTTAGTAAACCTTGAAAAATTCCTACCAAATGTTGCAAAATAACCTCGTCTAAAAAACCACAAAAATACTAAAGCTGTATCTCCTTCTATCTACATTCATTCTTTATAATAAACCTGCTAAAAGAAACTATAACTGAACAATCAGAAAAAGTTAAGAAACATAAGTATTTGAAGCAAAAGAATTTTAAAAAAAACGATCGATTTTCGAAAGAAATCCAAACTTCGAAATTTTATGATATTCCATCAATATGGTTGGCTGGTTGGCAAAAAACTTTTGCACAGAGGATAAAAATACTTTTCTCATCAAAGCAATCATTAGCAATATTTAGCGAGTTTTAAAAGAAATATCAAGTCCATCAAAACTTTTGACTGCAGCTGTAAGTTGTGTAGAATTTTTATTTCAAATTTAGGCGTTTGTTATTAGACTTTTGAATTCATTTTTGACGCTAGTGTCAACTTTAAATAAATTGTTTATATTCATCATCATTATTATATATGCACAGCATTAGAACCGGAACAAATATATTGACAGAAGCGCCATAAGCAATGGAAAACAATAGAAACATTGACGAGTCTCATTGTTTACAGCTACGAACATCCCCCCAACAGACCCCACCAACAGACCCCCAACAGACCCCCCCCAACAGACCCCCCCCCCCCAACAGGTTTCTGTTGGAAAATATCCTAGCATGAAAATTGAATATAGGACCCCGAATGTTAAAATTGATGACATCATAATTAAGAAGCTTTAAAGCTTATGTTTCAATGAAAAGTGAGTGCATTGCTACACAGTTTGCTATGTGAAGCAAAGCTAGAAAACTCAAGTGAATTGCTGGATGTTTAAGCAATGAATTAACTATAAGTAGCATGAGCTGTAAATTTATAAAGATATATGAACAAACCCGTGTATCCACTGCAAATTTGTTTACATACACCAAGAGATTTAAATCTGTTGTCGTTTCCCTCACAGCCTCCATAGATAAATTTCTTACAAGCCCTGCTTTTGACGTCAAAATACCATCTTTTAAAATAGCCGTAGCAGCTTCCAGACTCTGAAGGGAGCCCGCATGTCTTGGCTGAAACATAAACAGGCAAAATTTGTTAGCCATTGCACAAACGAGCTAAAATTTTTAGTCAACCCCGGGACAGATTAATAATAATAAACGTTTCAAAACCCCGATTCTTTATGATTACTTTTCAATATGGCCTAAGTTTTTTGGCGGAGCATCTTTGCTAAATGCTGCTGTTTCACAGTGTACTAGGTAGATAAACGCCTCAAATTTTATATTTTCAGCAAAACAAGAAAAGATACATGTAATGTGAAAAATCGCAGCCAAAAATTCAAAGTATTAGAAAACCTATAGGCAGTTCTAAGAATGACGTAGGCAAGAAGTACCTGGGTTCAGTCTCTCGCAGACACCGAGGTCTGGTAGGCCAGCTTTTCCATCGCTCATCTTCGTGAACTTGCACTTAAACCCGTCACCACATAGTATTTCGTCGTGCAACTTAGTATATCCAGTGCATTCGTAGCCCTTGTAAACTTCCTTTTTCAAACAAGACAGGCTAAAAGAGCATATCCATCTACCGTGTCTACAAGTGCTGGGAAAAAAACGTATGCAAGCTTAGAATATTGTTGAAATCGGACCTTGAGTAAAGCTGTATTTTCATATAAGGCCAATCAAGGGATACGAATTTTCTAGACTGTTAGGCCGAAGGAGCTTGCTGAAAGGTGGAGCGGCACAACAAAATAGGGACATTGCTGATGCGCTTGTACCATCGGGATTATTACGATAAAGAGGAGGAGTTTTTCAAAATGTTTCTGACAGGACAAGAAGGTCTTGAAAATAATTCCTTGTTCGTAACTCAAAGAAAGTCCTCACATGGGCGTTCAAAATGATAAAAAGGTATTACATTTATTTGCAAATAAATTTTTCTGCAAAAAGACGCGTACCAACTTTCACACTGTTCGCCAGAAGGAACAACATCTCCAAACTTGTATTCTTTATTGTTTAGTTGGCATGCTAGAAAGGTGAAATATTATTGTTTAAAGAATGCTTGCGTGACCATTCACAAGCATCAATCACGAGGAAAGGTGAAATCATATAAAAAAGGGAGGTGCAGAAAAAATGACCCTAGGACACTTTGAATAGATACTGACAAATAATCTATGCTTATTATTACTCATGGATTGTGTATATCTTCAAAAAATGACTTTATGACAAAACGACTTCAAAGTTGTCACAAAATATTTTTTTCGTTATCATATCTTCATCAACTACGGCTATTTTCATATATTTACAAATAGAAACAGTTTTCAAAGCTCCTCAGGGAAAACTGACATTAACGTTTTGCTATCACTGCGCACGTGGTATACAACCGGTACAACAGACCATTGTCTAGGCGTCTATATGCGATTACCATTAAAAACGCTTACAATATGCGCTTACCATATTAAAAACGTTGGTTTCTGTATAGCGTTGCAGAAAGGCCTGAATCAACCGTTTTGTCTGGTAGTACGTAAAGGATCGGATCAGTCTTTTAAATATTATCACAGTGCACTTACTTAAAAAATATGGAACAATAATCATTAGCTTTGCGCAATATAATCAGAGAGACATAATGGTCACTTACGGACACATGGGCCTGGCAGGTAGCCGATATCTTTCTGTGTTTCACATTCGTGCTTTCTGACGACGCAGTGGTTAGGGTAGTTCTTCCCGTCTTTCAATCCACAAACTGGCTCCTTCTTACGCTCATTGCATTTTAAATGACAGCTGCAAGTAGGCTTGCCGTTCATAACGGAACACCATTGATGCTTTCCACAGGTTACATCTCTGCATGCCGCTAAAGGAGACAAAAAACTTTGTGAAATAACACCACCACTTTGTTCCTTCACAGTAAGGGGCACTTCATTTTTCTAAATAAACAGCTGCTTTTTTCAAATCTTAAGAGAGGAGAATTAAATTATTTGGCAAAATTGTGTAGTTTATTATTAAATGTCCTATAGGTAACCCTACTGACACGACCCCTTTGAGGTGCAACAAACATCCTTTTGGGGTCTGTTCGTATTTACTACTCCAATGATGCAAATAATCATTTGCATAACTAAATTTGCTTACTACCCTTGCAGGTGACATACCTTTTTCACATCTGCCATATTTTGCCTCTATTGGCAAATGAATGTTTTCGCCTGAATTTGGGTGCCGAATCCGGCAAATCATCCCCTTGTCGCATGCTCCACCCATGTTATCGATACCACCACACTTTGACATTTCTTTTTTCTTAATGCAAATGTTGCAACATTTGCACTCATCTTTTCCAATGAATCCATCCTCACACTTTAAAACTGGGACACAGATTCTCGCAGCGCAGTCGCAGTCAAGGTTACCTTGCTTTAAAGGGGGCATCCCTGCGACCGTTGTTGCCAATAACGCAATAATCACCAAATTTGCCATTTCTCTAGAATTGAAATTGAATACAATGAAAGGGGAACGATGGCGAAAAAAGGCAGTCAACCAGAGGTCTCACCAAACCAAGTCTTCAATGGATTGCTTCGAGAGAAAATCAATGTTACTACTGGCCTACAATGCAACTTGTTTCACACAGAAAAATGAACACGACACAATAATATCAGTTGTTTAGTATCTGATAAATTTAACCTCTTGTTTAAAACGTGGGGAAATCACTTCATGAAATCCCATGCACCTTTGGTGGAAATCCTATTGTTTAGTTTGGCTATCACTAAAAATTATTTTAAGGAGTTAATTTCCCATTGGCTTCAAAGATGAAAAAGTAAGACGAAAGTCTCAGAAAGACTGGTGCTATTTTAATTCTCAAAGAATAAAAAAGAACTCAAATATAATTTGCAAACTTTTCACAGACCAAGTATTGTCCTCTTACAAAATAAATTTTTGCATATTTCCCTAATGAAGTAAGCTCAATTGCGTTATCTACGGTCACCCAACTAAGAAGTAGGACTGCTTTTAGAACTTAAGCGGAGAATCTTTGTAATTCAAATGGGAACTAGAAGTGTCCCGATTTCCACGGAAGGAATATGTTGAGTAATAAAGACTGTAAATATTGTTGTTTCATTCTGCAAAAGAGACTAGCAAATGAAAAATAACGCATTCTAAAGATTACTCAAACCACCTTTAGGAACAATTCATTCAAAGCATAAATCTCTGATTTTTCTGTCTGTTTCTTCCTCTCTGCCAATTTTGAGAGTTTATCAACAACTCGAAAGTGGTTCGAGCTAGCGTGTTATCATATCGGGGCGTTTGAACGAAGTTGGGAAGGTTCGAGGGAAATACAAAACAGCTTGAGTGTTTGATTTAGCGCGGGGCTCGATATTTTGCAGTTACGCTCTCTTTTTTATACAAACCAGTAAATTCAAGTTCAGGCTGATTGTTCTTATTTTTTCGAAAATCTGAGGCTGGATTTTTCTTAATTTGTTTTTAATCTAATAGGGTGTAAGCAGTGCGATTGCTAGCTTTTTCGCTCTAAGGAGGTGTTCAGGCCTCATTTGCCAACAAAGTGAGTGAGACAACCTTCATTTGCTGACAAGTTTCAACATTCACCGAAAAAGCACCCACACATTCCTTGTTTTTTAGATAAAACGTTGCATAAAAATTGCGCTTTACAGCAGCTCACCCTTAGCTTGTTCTTTGTTCTAAACTTTTGGCCAATCTTGAGGGTCGTGTTCTAATAAAACTGTTCTTAAAAAAAATGTGTATGCTAACCGAGAGCTGTTCCAATGTCCATGAACTGTCTAAGCACTTACAAATTCCAGATTCCTGGAAAAGCCCGTTCCATTTTGTTTTATGCATGTACTTTTCTAATTCCTCTCTAGCCTTCTATGCCTTGCCCCGGACGCCGGGATTAATGGAGCAAAGAGCGTGCGGTTTTAAGTATTTCCTTCTACGAAATTGCGGTTGACAACAACTTTGGTAAGAGTTAAGTCCAGGTCTCCAAACTTATAACTCTACATTTACTCTGTATCAAATTCCAATGTGAAAATCATAGGATACCATCAATCGTGAATCGAACGCACCAAAGGGGGCAGGGATCATAGGGGCATTTAGCCCCCCCCCCAGAACATAAAAATTTCGGACAAGTAATCTGATTCGTGACGCTCTTGGTTCTTAGCTGAAAGTGAAAACATTTCAAACTCCTTCGGCATCTACTTATACTTTGTAACACTAAATATTATGCTTCGCGATCTCTGAAAAGACAAACAAAAGGAGCACACTTTCCACGAGAAAGCTTTTCCAAATGTGAAACGAGGCACTTTTTCGACAAACCACCAGCCCTTCCCCACAGTTCATGTGTTTCGAGAGGACAATTGGCAAATATTCATTGCTAAGAATCGCTGTCAAAAGGAAACTATGATTTTTGGGAACTGTTTTTAAGCCTTATGTTAAGGGGCAGCATTAGGAAAGCTACAACACATTATCCCCGAACATTTATAACGCTGCAGAGGCTCTCTAGTTACATTCTCAACCGTAATTCAACTGTCTTCGCATATGAATTCAATGTTGTCTATATAAAACGGGCAAGAACGGCGGGGACGGTTGCAAACCAGCTTCGCTGTCAGGACTCTCAGATTTTGAATGTAAACAATAAGCTTTGATCCTGAAACTTAATGGTCACACAAAGATACTTAAAAGCCTGATAGTGCTAAGTACTGGGCAAACCTTAATCCGGAAATTATGATAGACTGGTGGATATGGGAGGCAGAATTTTACAGAAAACCCGTTAGCCAGTCGAGAAGGACAAATGACAGAAAATGTGACTTGGAACATGGAGCAATGGCATCCTACCATACTTGGATACGAGAAAAGTGTGATACTTACTTGGCTCAATGTCTGGTCACGTAATTTTGGCTGCTCTTCTCTTCTTATTTTCACAACTTCATCTAAATCCACGAAACTATCACTTGAACCGTCAACTTAGTATTTAAGTTCAAACTGCAAGCTTTATGCGAACTAGTTGCCAAATCGTTGGGTTTCGCAGCTCCGTTCTCACAATATTTTTATTGTGTAAGTCTAGTGTCCTTGCGCGGTCATTTGTATCAATCACTCGGAAGTAAGACAATAGAGACACAGGCTTCCTGCCTCCCGACAAGGAAGCTCTTCGTCATATGACGTAACTAACTCCATTGGGTGTGTCACACAAACAATAATGAATGTCGTCACGAGGGTAATTATCTACCTCTGATGCAATTCATTTACCAAATGAATGATACTGGTATTAGATTTGCAAATAGGGGACGGAATTTTGATTAAATAAGTGAAAATTAACTATTAACAACAAAAACTACAGTGTCATTTGAAAAAGAAGAGGCTCTTTTCCAGGAAAAGGCCCCTGCCCCTTAAAACCCAAGTTGTTGAAAGGATCTAAAAGGGCTAACATATGGCGTAGTTATTTAATTCATCGGTAACAGAGAAATAATTATTTTTGATCAGAGGCGACTAAATTGACATTTTCCCACTACGTTATTTTGTAAGAGCAATTTTATAAGAATTCCAGCCTCAAAATTGGTCAAAATTAAGAACAACCTGAACACCTTCCTAAAGCGCAATAGCTAGCAGTTGCACTGCTTACACCCTAATAATTTCAAACAAATTAAGAACAATCCAGCCTCAGATTTTTAAAATAATCAAGGACAGCCAGCCTGAACTTAAATTTACTGGTTCATATAGAAAAGAGTGTACAAACATGTATTGTTAAATTTCACAGCATGTGTGTATGTCCAGTGTATAAAATGGAAAATAAATACTATGTCGTTATAAATAAATTACACGAAAAGGACACGAGTTCCCAATGCAAACCTATAAAAAAGTAATGCAAGCAAGTTTGACAATCAGAAATCACAAATAACTAAAGATTCGTTGATCTAAAACCTTATTCTTGAATGTCAACTTACTTAATCAAGGCTAGCATTTTTACTCGTTTAATTTTCTCCAGTTTCTAAATAAATGGAGCGAGAACAAAACTCCC